CCGGACCGTTGAGAGCCCAAATTTTTGAGGCCTCCGGCCGGGACACTGATCAAAGGTCTGGCCGGAACATTGGGTATATGTCCGGCCGGACCGTAGGAAACATAAATTTTTCGAGGCCTCCGGCCGGACCGTTGACCAGGGGTCCGGCCGGAACGTTGGATAACAGTCCGGCCGCACCGTAGGAAACCCATATTTCTCGAGGCCTCCGGCCGGTACGTTCACCAGAGCTCCGGCCGGAACGTTACCCAACACTCCGGCCGGACCATTCCAAACCACCACCCTTCCTCCGGCCGGTTCGTTGCTGGCAGCGGCCGCTCCAAACGGTAGACCCGGAGTGCTCCGGCCGAGCCCGGGTCCACCGTTCGAAACGGGCCAAATGCACTCCGGGTGGACCGTTCGAAACGTGATTTCCCACTCATTAGGCTCAGATTACCCACAAGCCTCTCTATGCTGTCAGCGCAGGGGAACTTGGCGCCAGGCTCCTCCCCATCCGCCTTCGGGGGGTAGAGGGGATGAATTTCGAGTATGCCAATACAATGCTCATTCTCGATCCTAAGTCCTATATCCAAAAACGTACTAGTTGATCCAAGTCACATGCACCACGCGAGCCAATTCAAACTCCACAATCTTATTCTCCTCTACCCCCCTCTGGCGGCTGGCACAAAACATATACAAACAAACGGAGCCCCGGCTGCATACCTCCCAATTTAGGCGTGTGATCAACCATCCAGATTATGTAATTAACTGGGTCGACTGCCCGAGCGATGTTCTTGCCACTGGCAAGTACTGTGAGTCCCTCTCGAGTCTCGAGCCCTTGCACTGCATGCCCGGGCTGCAGCGTCTTCTCGATCTCCCATACTCCATACCTCCGTCTCGCATGCATCCCATCTCGCCTCCCGTGTGCCTGTTGTCTCGCTGTCTCGTGTGTTGTCTTGCCCCGTCGCGCGCCCGCCAGAATTACTGCGACCTCTCGCCTCGTACGTCCTCTGTCTCGTCAACTCATTGGCCTCTAGTCTCGTCGTCTCGTTTCGCCAATGCCCGCTCTCGTGTGATGCTCTCGACGGTGCCGGCCGCAGCAACATGTGCGCCTTCGCCTCCGTGTCGAAGACAGACGTCGGAGCGATGTTTGTGCCTCTGGACAGTACCTCCCTCTCCACACCAAGCAGCGCTTTCTCACCGATCCTCATCCTACAGCCGACGCGCAGTCTCGCGGAACACCATCATATGAGCCGACAGCGGCCGACGCGTCGGCTTGTACGATGAAGATCGTACAGCCGACATAGTAAGTGTATGATGTATTTACCTGGGCGGGATGTATACAGTACTTACTGCACTGGTGATTGTAATCAATAAATGAATGGTCGGCTGAGCTCTTCTTGCGTGCTCAAAGCGCCGTCGGATGGCACAGTCAAGGCGTCGTCTTGCTGGTGATTGCCCGGCCGTGACGCGTCCGCGCTGTCCGATGCTGGTACTGGCTGCCGCAGCTAAGACGGCGGCTTGCTGGTGAATGCCCGATTGTAATGCGACGCGCTGGCAGAATGGTCGGATGGGCTCTACTTCTATACTCAAAGCGTCGGCTGGCGCAGTTCAGGTATCGGTTCGCGTTGGTGAATGCCTGAACGTGACGCGCCGTGCTGCAGCGCGTCCGGCGATCAGGCGCGCGTTCGGACGCGTTCACTTACTGACTTGCTCGGAAACTTCAACGTTCAATGTGGGTGATCCTCTTGACGCACAGCCTGGCCATACGACCCTCAAGGCCTCAACAAACCCTCCTGTGGCAAGACCACTAGGCCTCAACTCGGAAACGAGCATCGGAACGTGAGTGTTGCAATGGAGAGGAAGAAAGGGTGTACCGAGGCGGAGCATCATAAAGCTCAGAACATGCAGGTACGCTCCCATTCAATGTATCTATGCTGATACCTGCCTCATAGGAGCCTGCGTGATGAATGCGAAGAACATTGCGTGTGCTGCTCGCCTTGCAGACAGCCCGGCTCCGCGTCGTCTGGTTATACGCTGCCGCCACCCGTCTACATACTCGCCTGCGTACGCGCCACCTTGCCCTCTCATTCACCAGGTCGCCTGTCCACCATGTCACACGCCGTCTTGTTGCATATCGTCTTGCCCGCATACCGTCTTGCCTGCATACCCTGTCTAGTCACACACCTGCTGTCCTGCTCGCACTGCACCGTCTTGCCCGTCTACCGTCTCACCTGCCGTTTTACACGCCCGCCGTCTACCGTCTCACCAGCCATCTTACACGCCCGCCGTCTTACGAGCCTGCCGTCTTACGAGCCTGCCGTCTTACACGCCCTTGCCCTCCATCTCGTCACGCTATCCCCATCACACGCCTCCGCCGTCTCGCAGGCCCCCCGCCGTCTCGCAGGCCCACCGTCTCGCAGGCCCACCTTCTCGCAGGCCCGCCGTCTCGCAGGCCCACCTTCTCGCAGGCCCACCGTCTCGCAGGCCCACCAATTCATACGCTCGGCATCTCTCTGTCCCACCTCCGTCTCGCGCCCGCCGTCTTGCTTGCTCTTGATATTGTACTCCTGCTGCCTGCCGGCCGTCTTGCTCGCCTGCGTCTCGCCCGTCATTTTGCCCATCGTCTCACCCGCCTGTCGTCTCACCCGTGGTGCCGTTTTGCCCATGTGCTGTCTCGCCCACGCGCTCCTTGTTCCTCTCGCCCGTGCGCTCTTGCTCACGCCCTCTCGCTCACGCCCCGCCTACACCCTCTCGCCCACGCTCTCCACTGTCGCCCGCGCTCTCTTCTGCTCAGCCCACTGGCCACTCACTCATCAACCCGATCGTCCACATGATCGCTCGCTCGTCCGTGAGCCCGCGCCTCGTACGTGAGCCCGTGCCTCGTACGGCATGTCGATGCATGCTTCAAGGCACCCCAAGGAGGCCCCAACTAACACAAGGACGAGTCACCGCAAGGAGAGGAGCAGGAAGGTCGACAGAGAGGAGAAATGAGAAGGGCTGACTGCGGTAATTACCCCCGCCTGTCGCCCTCCACCCTTCTTCACACAATCGCGCGACGCACCCCGGCCTCGTCCTCTCTACATCCCCACTCCATGCATACGCCCTTGCTCGACATTCTCGCTACCCCAGGAGGCTCTCATCTGCCCGTTTCCGTCTGTCTGTCGCCGATTTCGTTGGCCTACTGTCTTACCTGTTCGCCGTCTCGCCTACCCACCTACTGTCACGGTTTTGTCTACCGTGTTGCCTATCTACTTGCCTATCTACCATATTACCCACCAACCAGTGTCCTGCTCATCTCTCCTATCCTACTGTCTTGCCTGCCATCTCCCACATGGCTCGACTTGCTGTTCCGCTCACCCACCGTCTTGTACATTGGCCGTTCGCGTTGCCTGCCGTCTTGTTTGCCCACCATCTCACACACTCGCCGACCTGTTTCTCGAGTTCGAACATGTAGCAAGCCAGTGTATGAGGAACTCAGTCTCTTGAAAATGAGTGTGAAGGCAAATGAGACTGAGATGCATTGTCTGTGAAGTTAGGTATATAATACTAGTAACGATAATCAATATCTTGGACGAGAGGGAGCATGGGTGAGACTACTACTACTTCGAAATACCATAATCATATGTTCAGTACAATCCTTGTTATGATTCAGTGGTATAGAAGTATGAAGGAGCGGACAACGAGTATGCAGCCAGAGAGTGCTCATTAAATATGTGAACTCTCTCCAGTGATTTGCCCTCGCACATTGCCTCGGTCATGTCCCCGAGTCGCCCGGGATGGTCTTGTTCTCATTATAACTTCCCCTCTGTGCTGCCATATGCTATGAGACTTTGTACCAAGCATGAATATATGTAGTACATGGCCAGTATACAATTCTGTGAGAATTGAACCGTGGGATGCATTTGTCTAAGACATGCTCTCCATGTATAACCTTCTTAGCTATCTCAAGCTATAACATTGCCAGATTGCTTCGTGGAATTGCCAGCAGCAACATATACCATAGGCACAGCATGAATACAACTCCTGTATGCATTTGATTGTGACAATTGTCTTGCAGAAGCTGAGAACTAATCCACATGCCTCTCAATATCTCCAAACAACACAGCATTTTTGAAACATATCCGAAGATCCTCTTCTCATATGAGCTGAGATTACACAAAGTCAAAGTGCTCTTTACATATACAACAATGAGGCTAATGGCCTACGTGAGTGGCTTGCCTAATCTACTACTATAGTTCCACAGCAAATTCAGTAGATCAGCGAAGTATCATCATTGTCAATTGCTCATGAATCACTCTAAGTCTCTGACAGAACAAGGGTTACCTCAATGTCTTGCCGTTGCATCTCTATTTGCTGATATACCCACCATAAAGACTGTCTATAGAGTCATATAGACCCAGTACAAACTTATAGGACATGTTCAATAATACATCCACACCATTGGCCCCAAACCAATGAGCAAACAGCATACAGTGTTGCACGTACATACCATTCAAGTTGAGTCGAGAATCAAGATGCATACTCTCCGCCTTGTCCGTCTTGTCAAGGTGGACATCCGATAATGTCAAGGAGGTTATCAAGACAGTGAGTGTCAAGGAGGCTTCTTGACCAGTCCGTCTTGACATGCCCGTCTTGACATGCCCGTCTTGACATGTCCGTCTTGACATGTCCGTCTTGACATGTCTGTCTTAACATGTCCGTCTTAACATGTCCGTCTTAACATGTCCGTCTTAACATGTCCGTCTTAAAATGTCCGTCTTGACATTGTCCGTCTTGATACCTCCAAGAAGGCTTCTTCAATATGCTCGCCATCTTGACATCCTCCTTGACACTTTCCGCCTTGAAACATCATTGGCATTTGCCCGCCTAGATACCTCCTTAACACGTTGGTATTGACGAAGATGAGCCAACCATTAGTTACCTTGGGTCAAAAAGGTCTTAGTGAGTAAGAAGGTCAAGAAGGTCAAGAAGGTCCAAGAAGGTTGGCTGAGTCAAGACGGATATCGGCCAGGAAAGATACCTCAGCTGATGCTCGGCTCATGCATTGTCTTGGGTGAGACAAGACAGTCGGCTGAATCCAGACTGTGGTCAGCTACAGATTTTCTCCAGCCGAGAGTCGGATAGTGCATCGTCTTGGGCGAGACAAGAAGGTCGGCTGGATCAAGATGGTGGTCGGCTGCAAAAGCTTTGCAGCCGACGGTCGGATAGTGCATCGTCTTGGGCGAGACAAGAAGGTCGGCTGGATCAAGATGGTGGTCGGCTGCAAAAGCTTTGCAGCCGACAGTCGGATAGTGCATCGTCTTGGGCGAGACAAGAAGGTCGGCTGGATCAAGACGGTGGTCGGCTGCAAAAGCTTTGCAGCCGACAGTCGGATAGTGCATCATCTTGGGTGAGACAGAATGGTCGGCTGGGCGAGAATGTCTGGGTCAGCCAATCATCCCACGCACCGCCTTGCCCGCCTTGTGCCGCCTTGCCCGCCTTGTGCTCGGCCGACTCAATCACCTTCCATGAGACGGTTGTGGTCGGCCGAGGTCGGCCCATCCCATCCCATTCCACGAGACTGCACGTCGGCTGTACCATGGTCATCCATGAGACAGCTGAATGGGCTCCCCTCTCAACTCTCTGTCTCGCATGCATCCCGTCTCACGTTCACCGTGCCTGACATCTCGCTGTTTTGTGTGTTGTCTTGCCTCGCCGTGCACCCGCCGTCACTGCGGCCTCTTGTCTCGTACGTCCTCCGTCTCATTGGCCTCTAGCCTCGCCGTCTCGTGAGCCCTGTCCTCTCGCCATCTCGCTTCGCCAATGCCCGTTCGCGCACGATGCGCTCGATGGCGTCGGCCGCGGCAATGTGTGCGCCCTGCGACGGACATCTTGAGGGTGCGCATGTTGTTCGCGCTGGGCATTTCCTCATCCAGCGTGTTAGCCTGTGCGGATATCGGTGTCGACGCCACTGACGCAGCGTCGCTCGAGCCCTGCACGCAGGGCCACCCGGATCTCGCTCTGGGCGTGCTCAAGGAGGTCCTGCGCCTCCCGCTGCGCACTCTGATGCTTGCTGATCTTGCTCTGCAGTCTCCGGCTCTTACGACTACGTACTCAGGACAGTCGGTACATACCTATCCACCTCAGGCTGGGTCTATGCAATGTGCAATGTCCGGAGCAACGAAAGACGAGCACACAGGTCTTCTTGAGCTACGTTAATACAACATGCTATCAGGTGCGACAGCTTCCACCGAGTCGGCGAGCTGACGAATGGCTTCCCTGGGGACACCCCGCGGCTGCAGGCCCCTCTCAACCTCGAGTGCGTGTATGTAGATCTCTCGCTGTGCTAGGCGTCCTCGACGGGCCCGGCCAATATTGAAAGCCCAAAATGAACGGCATCAATATGTTCGTTATGAATGCAATCGTTGCGTGTCGGCCTGTGCACTTTGCGCAGGGAGGACGTGTGAACGTTCGCTCTGGTATGTCTTTCCCGGATGCTCAATGTTCAACAGGGAAGGCGGATGTCCGCTACAGACATGCGGGGCATCTTCGACGACATCTCACTCATGCGAGGACTCGGAGCCTGAGTCGTAGAACATCCCCTTGTGCGTGTTGTAGGGCCTGATCATGTACGCCGAGACAGAGCACGCATACTCGCGTGGAAGATATGTGTAATTGATCAGACAAGTGCCTGTGCAGAACAGAATGTGGCCACCGGCGTGCTGATAGCAGGGCGGACAACAGTCAGTGTGCGGAGGGTCGCGCGTTCGGTCATCATGACCCGCCAAGTATGCTCAAGCGAAGGGACGAAATGCATCCAGGATTCTGCGTCGCATGCGAAGTGTGAGAGTCGAGGTTGATGGGGACGAGAACAGCAGAGAGCAATCTCGTCCGTGACATTACTACTAGAATACTCATCAGACTCGAGGGGCCTTGCTGATGATGATCCATGACAGAGTTGCGCATATTGGCATATGAATTGAATGTATGTGTCTGACTCATGCAGACGAAACAGGCTGTAGATACTAGTAGCAATGAAAGATCCTTCCAAAGTCCCACGTTTAACATAACATGAGCTGTAAGGGATGCGTAAGCGCCGGGATACATCGCACGAGCGCCCGACGCTCGTCCGAATAGATATATTGTTTTCTTTCCTTTTCCTTTTCCGTTCTCTTTCCTGACTCACCATAGACTCGTTCTAGACCTATTCCTAATTGGTACATGCTATGCTCGGAGTGGCATCGGAGTGGCGACCTGTGCCACAGCTTGCCACTCATCCTTTGTTCTCTGACTCTTCTCGCTTACATCATATGCCTGGTTCGCTCGATTCGGTCTACGTTCACTCATGTATAAATACAGTACCTACGACGGGCAAAGGCCCAAGCTTCCATACGAGGACGTTGCCTACTCACCTGTGTCCGCGTCCAACTATCGACTTCCCGTGTGTTTCCGACCTCGCCGACGCTACGCCCACCCGCGCCAACGCGCCGACGAGCCGGATTCCTCACAAGCAATGATTATCATTTCGCAATGTTGAACACATTCGAACCAGTATAGGTATCAAGCACTAACAACATGCGCGGGTTTGTCAAAGACCGCAGACTGGACCAAAAGCAGACGTCCCCTCCCGCTCACCGGCCACTGGTACATACCAGGATGATACCTTTCCGCCGCAGGCGCGTTGCACTGTCGCACGTGCTCGCTACGAAAATTCAAAAATACTCATTGATTGACCGGCGAGAAAACATTCATCAGCTGATGGGGCTACCATATGGGGGACGCCATCACCGGGCTCCCGGTGTTTGTATATGTTTTGTGCCAGCCGCCAGAGGGGGGTAGAGGGGAATAAGATTACGGAGATTCAGGATCGGGCGGGGATAGAAGTTTTTGATGGGATGTGGCTGAGGTGTGGCGGATGAGGATAGGGACACAAAGCACAGTTTGCGGTCTCGAAATTTCGTCCCCTCTACCCCCCGAAGGCGGATGGGGAGGAGCCTGACTTGGCGCTAGCCCTCAGTTAACCGATAGCCGCTTGAGGCGAATCCTCCGACTTGGGCAGCGCTGGGACGCAGTCGTGCTCGTGGACGAGGCGGACGTGTTCCTACAGGAAAGAGATAAGGTCGACATATCAAGGAATGCCCTAGTTTCGATCTTTCTCAGACAAGTCGAGTACCATCCCGGCATCCTCATCTTCACTACGAACCTGATCCAGCAGATTGATTCCGCCTTCGAAAGTACGTCTGCTAACCTGGGCACGTACTGCTTCGTGTCACTGACAGGTGAATCGTGCAGGTCGTATCCACTTCTGCGTGAAGTATCCGGACTTGGACTTCGTGTCTCGTAGAGCTGTCTGGACAACCTTCCTCTCTAAGGCCGGCATCACCAAGGAAGACATCAGCGAACGCGATCTTCATCGTCTTGCCCAGATTCCATTGAACGGACGCCAGGTTCGTGAGTTCATTAGTTGACTAGGGTAATCGCTGACTGCCACTTTCTACAGATCAAGAATATTGTCGGCACGGCGAAGTCCATTGCATGTGCTGAATGGAGGGGCGGAATATCGTCTGAATCGGAGTCCATCTCGCCATCCAACTCGGAGGTCCCTAAGCTGGCGCCCAGACACGTGCGCATGGTGCTAGACGTTATGCAGGACTGGCAAGTGGCGAAATCTGAAGGTCACCATGTCACCCATACCACCTATCCCATCGTCCTCGGCACTGCAGGGATCGTATGCGCTCTAGTCGCTTGGATTCTGTGGCGTTTGAGAGCTTCCGTTTCTTCTTTCCTCTAAACAGGTCTCCAGATCCGTGTAGTGCCGGCGTCGTAGCGACTCGTATGACCCTCTGTACATGAATGTCGCTCAGCGGGTAGGAAATTACATCATAGCCTGACTTCAGCTGATCGATGGTACGACATCAGTACGATACTATATGCGCAACAATGGCACAATATCCATGAATCCAGCGGTACTACCATGTTATGTCAGAGAGATACACACAGCCTCCATGTTGCAATGCTGAACGTCGAACACTGAAAAAGACAGTCTTGTACAACTGTGTTCGACAACAGTATAGTACACATTAGATACAGGCGTACGGTAACATAAACAGCAGCACATAGCAGGAGCACAATATAAGTAAACCGCGTGTATCGTCGCATCGTCAGACAGGTCATTTTCCGGAGACCGTGGGCAGGGAACACAGGGAGAGGGAGATATCAGAGGTATCTCGGGAGGTATTTTGGTTGAGTACCGTATCGTGGGCGCTCGTTCGGCGTTGAGATTGGGATGTTCGCGACAGCGTTTCACGGCGTATAAGTACTGCGCTTCATGGGGGACCAGATGTATGTACTGCAGTTCGCGACTCGACCAGCTGCACCTCCGCAGCCAGAAGTGCTAGACGCACCATGAAATAATCACAGTATGTCCATAACCGACTCCAAGAGCACCTTCGGTTTCAAGAGCACACTGCGGGCCAGCAAGCCCTCAGCCCCGCCGTTCGCCGCAACGCCGTTGCCGTTAACGCTGCCCGACGTGGTCCCACTTGTCTTCGATGCCGCACCGTCCCCGTCCGGCCAGGATCCGTGCCTAACACACGCCAGGCCGAACTCGACGGTGCACAGGACCTTGCTGCGCTCCGAGCCATGGCCCGCATACACGTTCTCCATCGTCGCCCAGTCGAACCACCGCTCGTCCCGCCTGCCCACGTTCCCCGCATTCACCCAGCTCACCTCGAACACGCTGCTCATCACGCCCTCCCTGACCGCGCCGGCGATGTGCTCCGCGCGCTCGCAGATCCGCGCGAGGCCGGCGCCGAAGCGCGAACGAAGCGGGTCGCGGTGCACCCCGCGGCTGTCGGTGCACCCCGAGAGCGCGAGGACGGCGAGGAGCCCGCGGAGGTTGGTGTCGTTGAGTTGGAGGAAGGTGGCGGGGGGCGAGCCGGATGGCGCGTCGGGTCGTAATGGGAGGTGACGGCGCGAATGGTTGTAGGTGAGGGCACGCCAACGTGAAGCAGTAGCTTGTGGTTCTGTGGTGCACGCATTAGTGTGAGACAGAGGAAAGGGGAACCCGGTAGACTGACCGGTACGGTTCATCTGCTCGAACAGGCCCCCAAGGAACTGGTCGACGTCGGCAGGAAGACCAAAGCAGAAGGCGTTCATGATGCGACCAACGCAGAACACCTCCCATGCCTGGATGGCAAACTGCACGAGCGTTGGGTCGCCGGAGTGGTCGCGCGTGACGAGCAGGTTCGTCATGGCAGGGCCAATCGCGCTGTTGAGGAGCTCGCGGTCTGATTGTCGGACGAGGTCGACGCGGCGGTCGAGTGCTGAAGCAAACTCTTCCGCCACAGACGCGGCGAGCTGGACGATCTCTGCGTTCAGGTCGCGCAGGGCCTGGAGAAGCTGTGCGCCGGACCACTCGTCTGTCTTGCTGAGGAAGGTCTTCAGGCTCGCGACCTCCTCCGTGCGTTCTTGCAGTGCGCGGTGGGCCGTCTTGTACGACGACAAGAGAGAATCGTAGGACGTGCGTAGATCGACAGGGTTGGGCGAAGGCGTGCGGTACATTCGGGGGGTGGCGCTGAGGGTATTGGCGGGTGGGAGTGGGGAGGAGAGGACAGAGAAGGTGGCGAGAGACTGGCGGGCGGACTGGAGGTCGCGCTCGAGGGCGGCGACGCGCTGCTGGAGGGCGGCATTCTCGCGTTCGAGGAGCTGTGCGCGCTGTCGCTCCTTCTCCCTGTCCTCGATGGCGATGCGTGCGCGTTCGCGATCCAGCTCTCGCTCGCGGTCGCGGTCGCGCTCCCGCGTCCAGTCGCGCCGCAGTTCGTGCGAGTATTGGCCACGTATTCTGGGTGCTGTGAGTGTCGAGGCCACGGAGTAACCGTCGTCGGTGAGGTAGCGGTCCTCCAGATCGTCAGATAATCGTACTGAGGGCAAGATCCAATCGAGCAGGGTCCAAAGCGAGTTCATCAGCGATGAGCGGTATCTTCATCCGTGGCGGGGTTTGCAACGAGGCATACACCGACGAAGCGGGTCATCGACGGGTAAGGTTTATTCTGGCCGCTGCTATGAGCGTCGAGAACCGGTCTGTGGTCCTCAGAACGCTATCCAGTCTTTTGGGCGCACACGATTATCTGCGCGGAGTGGGAGATTGCGGGGAGAGCGGCGTGAGCCAACCTCGAGCCCGCTGCCTTGCTGCTGCAGCGTGGGCAGCAGCGCCACTCAGAGACGCACATTTCGGGCGTTTTCTGCCTCTCTCCTCCCCATCTCTCTCGACGGCCAACATCAAGGTTCCACCCGCGCTACAGACACGTTGTGGGAGTCACAGACTGCCCAGTGGGCAAGTCTTGGACAGAGAGCATTGTCTCGACGAGACGTGAGGCCTTGAGGCGGCAAGTGGCAGGGACATGAGGTACGTCTGCTACAACGCTCTTTATATTGTCGCCAGCATACTAGACGGCAACAACTAAACATCCAACGCCTTCTCTCCAACGCCGGAGTATGCCACCCCGCGCAAGTTCCAGTCCGTGTCGGGCTGCTGCCTTGTCCCTGCCACATCTACCGCTCGGCACCACACCTTGCCCTCTTTCCCTCTGTGAGCATGCGGCACGTCCAAGGTCGCCTCCCACAGCGTCCAACTCCACCGGCCCTCCTGGTCGCAGGCTGCTAGGTGTCGCCCTCATCAACGCTCGCCTCTACTCTGCTCACCTGGCCGATAGGACCCCGCACTGCGTAACCTCTGACTTCGAGCCTATCTGGCGGCACCACTCTCACGGAGGCAACCGCCGAGTTGAGCGGATTGGCTTGAAGTGCGGGGACCTTGGACCACCAGTCCTCCTTGTCCGCCATCTCGTGTGTCTGTACCTGCTCAACGCCGTCAACCCCGTTGCCCAGCTGCGCAGACACGGACTCCACACCTTCGTCGGAAGCACCTTGTAGTCCTTCCTCTGGTAAAAGTTCTCCGAGTCGCGTTCAGCAACAGTGATCTCGTCCACCCACTTCACCCAGCGTGCGCCCGTGTATCCGGGCACGACCACACGGAACGGAAAGCCATGATCTGGTGATAGTGGGTGGTCGTTCATCTGCGCACACCGTATGCGTTTTACCGGGTCAACTAGCCATGCCCAGCGCTAACGCGCAAGCTGACCTCGTACGCCCCGTCTTCGTCGAGCGCCTTCTCCAGCGGGATGGATCCGTGGGACGCGAAGCAGACGTGCAGGAGGCGAAATGTGGTCGGCCGCAATCATCGGACAGAGCGACGCAGAGGACAGAGCGAGCGACGAGCGACGTACAACGTAGTAGGAGTAGGCAAACTCGTAGATACCAGAGCTAGATCTATGATTGAATGAGCATTTGAACCACCACCACCACCGGATGCGCGGCAGACTGAGCTGGACGCAACGAATCCAGAACGTTAGGGAATTGAGAGTGCCGTGCGCGCAGTTCGGTGTACAGTCTGGGGAATGTACGGCGGGCCCCAATACATGACCGTCGCACGCCAGTGTAATGCGGAGGAAACTGACGAGCATTTGAGCGACTTCTACTGACATCCTTCTACTTTGGTGTATATGTACTCCTAATGTTCAGATCTTCAACTTCAGAGCCCAAGTGCTATTGAAAACCTACAGGAAGCGCTCATGATATTTGCCAAATCGACTCAGTTAAGAGGCTACTTGTGAAGGAAGCTACGTAGGTACATCAAAGAAAAGAGGAGTTAGTGGCACCCACTGCGCTCCTCCAACCACTTAATCATTTCCCTGTCCGTGTGCAATTCAATAGAAGCCCGGCGACCCTTGAAGTGTAAGTCGAAACATGTGAAGTTGTGCGAAGGGTATATTACGAAGTCGCCGTTGCGAAGAGGTATGACCAGACCCGGTTCATACAGCACCAATTCGCCGCCTTCGAAGTCACCGATTGCGAGGACTACGCAAACGCTGTCGCCCTGGCTATCTCGGTGCGCGGCGGTGAAGATGTTGATATTAATTACCAGTCCGAGGAATGGTGCAGAGACTGCCATTTTGTTGCCAGGTAATATGCGAGCGTATGCGTCGAGGTGTTCGTATTTCTCTGGCATCATCTGCCTCAGCTTGGACACGGATTCGTGAGCTTTTCAATCCAACCTCAATCGACACAATCAAATAGATATACTCACCTGTGCATCCAACCAATCGAAGACAGGGCCTAGTGTGTTCTTCACGGACTGGTAGATCGGATGGTTGACCGAGTTTGTCATGTCCTTAGATGGATGACAATTCGTCTTGATGCCGGTCCTCTTCATGGTCATGGGCAGCGGGCTCATGGGAGAGTTGTGTCCCTACGAATTAGCGTGGAGTGTTATTGGGGATCAAATAATCATTACAGACTCGGAGAGTGTACATACCGTAGTGCTATGCCTGTTGTACCAGGAAAGGTGTACTGCCTGAAATACATGCTCACCACCGTCTTGAACCGTGTCAATGGCCTTCAAGGCATCAGGCTCGAAGCAAGCAGCGAGACGATCCATCAGATCGTCTCGCATGCTTGGCGGCATTGACGTGCATATGCTCGCAACTAGGCCTGACTGTACGGATTGTACAGTAAGTACGTCCCTGTCGGAACGAACGTCAGACGCTCAACACAGTTCAATGACTGTGTCTCTTACTTGAACAGATTTGGGTCGAGCCGTATGTATCCACTGCTTGTTGGGCGTATACCATCCACGTACATCGTCTGTAGCTACAAATTGTGATACTGTTGTATCATTTTACTGCGTACTAATACATCGGCTGCGACTTACGTGTGATTTCAGCTCCTCCAGGCTTGAAGGTTTGACGGCTTCGCTGGCCGACGCCCGTTGATACTCTGTCCATCGTGAGTTTTTCTCTCGGCTCCTGGGAGGCTCAAACCATCGGTTGTGGGGTTGCTCTGGGTCGTATTTTGAAGGGACAAGTGTAGCAGAATGAGTAGGAACATTAGAGTCAGAGTGTGTGTATGAGAATGCTGGCAATCCTGACGAAGCTGGTGGAGGCGGTGTCAAGCGGTCGAGACCAGTAGCGGGTGATACATGAGACAACGGTTTGAGGGGCAAATGCATCTCCACGTTCTGGCTAGGGTTGAACATTGTCCACAGAAATGGATTGCGCAGGATGAGTGAGAATTTGCTGCTGTTTCAATAGTCAGTTCGTGCGATAGACCTTTTCATACTGTCTTGCTCACATCGAGGGAAGCGCAGTGAACAGACGATCAGAACTGTTGAGATCGCTGAATAGGGTGCTAGCAGAGAGCCCCAGTGCCGAGAGTGTATCTGCTGTGAACAAATCACCCATTTGGATAGGACACTGTTTGCGCAGAAAAATAATGGTGGGAATGATTGTCTGTTGGACGAGACGTCCAACCGAGCTCTCTGTGTTGTGTGTGTGAGTTATTGAGTGCGTGAGCTAAGATGTTAGAAACTCACCTGCATCTGGGTTGCGTAGTATGTTTGCTAGGTCTGCAGCTACATTGCCGTCTGCTTCAATGACCGGCACACGCAAGTTTGTGTGCGCCATCCATAGAAGTAAATAGATAGACCCTTGAACACAATTTTGTGAATATGATACTACAAACTGAAAAACCAACGCAGGAATCTTACCTCCCGCCGCAACCGCCGCAAGCTTGCTACCTTTCGAGTACCAAGACTGCACGGTGCGTTAGCTGGGCGGCTTAGCCTGAATTGATAGTTGTTCACGCCACAAAGCTGAAATATTGACGTCTGTCCAGCCCGACAAACTGGATGTGCAGACTGGTAAAGTACATGGTTTAGGCGCAGATTGAAGAAACTGATCTACCTTGCACACTCGAAGGCGAACCTAATGAGAGCGATCATAAGACGGAAGTCAAAGAGTCCCTGCTTGTGATCCATCTCCGTGCATCGTTGTGCCAGCTGAGAGAGCGTCTCGCTCCGCTCTCCGTGCGACGCTTGAAACGGCAACAAAGTCAATCGTGCGCTGCGTGCAACATCATCCTTGACGTTGCACGCAGTGAGGGTGTTGAAGAAATTCACCACTGGAGTACTCGCAACTTCGTACGGTTTCGACGCCATGTCCCACGCCGTGTGCGGTTGTTTCTCGCTGGCAACCCACTGTATACAGGGCCCAAGTGGGAATTGTGCTACCTGATTCTGCTGACCATTCTCTGTGGGCCCTGACGTGCGGTCGTACAGCGCCGAAACCAGTTTACGACGGGACCTAGGAGGGCGAATTGGTCCAGTCGTGTGGCGCCCAGGATCTGAAATTCCATCAAGAATGAGACCATTTGAGGTTGCATGTAGAGGCCGCTTTCACCTGGTACTGTTGTGACACTGTACGAAGGCTGGTTCCCGACAATAAGTTGCTCGATTTGAGTATGTCCACTGCCGCTGACGGACGCATGAACGCTACTGGTAGATTCGTCAACTTGAACTTTAGGCGATCGCGAGTCAGATTCTATAGCATGTCGCGTAGAGAACAAGCTCTGCTTACCAACGTGTGAGATTTGATTCTCAATACCGTGTGCAGTATGCACGGCCTCTTGACTTGCAACCCCAATACTCTGGACAGCGTTGCAATCTGTATCATTCGAGTTGTCCCGTTGCGTTGACAGTCTCCTCAGCAGCGAGGCTATACTGGGATTCGGATCCTGAATAGAGGATAGGAGCGCAGTGAGCTCCGTGATCTCAGAGTGACTCAGCTTCATGACGTGGAAGTTAAGTACAGTCGTTTGCTGGCACAATGGTTGTTGCATGCGTGCGACTACGCGCGACGAGCATCTTGTTTGGCCCTCTTTGGTGCAAGTTGGCATCGAGGGACATGAGATACAATACGTGAATCCCCTCCTCCTCCTCTTCCTCCTCCTCTGCCAGCGCCACGCACTCTTCACATTGTCGCTAGCAAACTGGGCTGTGTCTACCAAACGTGCAATGTCTTCTCTCCAACGGCATCGTATGCCACTCCACGCAAGTTCCAGTCCGTGTCGGGCTGCTGCATTGTCCCTGCCACATCTACCGCTCGGCACCAGACTTTGCCCTCTTTCCCTCTGCGAGCATGCGGCACGTCCAAGGTTGCCTCCCACAGCGTCCAACTCCACCGGCCCTCCTGATAGGTGCTCGTCGCCGGCTGCCAGGTGTCGTCCTCATCAACGCTCACCTCCACCTTGCTCACCTGGCCGGTAGGACCCCGCACTGCGTAACCTTTGACTTCGAGCCTACCTGGCGGCACCACTCTCACGGAAGCCACTGCCGAGTTGAGTGGATTGGCTTGAAGTGCGGGGACCTTGGACCACCAGTCCTCCTTGTCCGCCATCTCGTGTGTCTGTACCTGCTCAACGCCGTCAACCCCGTTGCCCAGCTGCGCAGACACGGGCTCCACACCTTCGTCGGAAGCACCTTGTAGTCCTTCTTCTGGTAGAAGTTCTCCGAGTCGCGTTCAGCAACAGTGATCTCGTCCACCCACTTCACCCAGCGTGCGCCCGTGTATCCGGGCACGACCACACGGAACGGGAAGCCATGGTCTGGTGACAGCGGACGGTCGTTCATCTGCGCGCAACGGATGCGTCAACCAACCGTGCCCAGCGCCAACCTTAAGCTTATCCCAGCGAGCTCACCTCGTACGCCAGCAGCACGTCCCCGTCTTCGTCGAGCGCCTTCTCCAGCGGGATGGACCCGCCGAACCAGTCGTCGTTCTGGCACGGCACGACGTGGGACGCGAAGCAGACGTGCAGGAGGCGAATGCGGTCATCCGCAACCACCGGGGCCCCACCCGCTCGAGAAGCTCGCGCATGCTCACGCCGGCCCACTTGCAATTCGCGATCGTGCCTTCGCCCCAGAGCAGGCCTTCGACTTCCTTGTGGTCGCGTTCCTGCATCGTCTTCCGTCTGTTGCCTGCGCACTGATCCTATTCAGTACCGGAGTCTCAGGACTTGGGGTGGGGACACACTTGCAGCGCGGCGACTACCTCCTTGCGCTGGAACTCTCTCTTCAGGTCGTCCAATGTGAATGCTCGCTCGTGCTTGACGAGACCGTTGACTTTGACGCTGAATGTGGCCGCATCCAAAGCCCGGATCGGACCTAGTACGCTTGCATGGGAACGGGCTATTCCAATCTCAATAAGGCGACGTACAATGATTTCGGCTATATACGAGCTGCTCTGGTGTGTATGGGTGTCGGACTAGCTCTGCAATGTCTGGCTCGGCGTTCCACGGCTGAACGCCTAATACATGTAGTTTGTCGGAGTGCTCAGGCTCCCGCGAGAAGTCCATGATTACTCGAACAGACGATGAAAGCGTCTGCTGTGATATTGTTGCGAGTTATGTTTGGGCAAGCTGAATGCATGAAGTCGTGAGAGCATCTCTGTGGGACATCTGCATCCTCACCAGTTGTTTGGCCGTGGAGACCCACGTCATAGCCGAGCCAACGGGACGGATGCGGCTGAGAACGAGCAGCATCCCCAATATGGGAGTAACAGTTCGATCGTTGATTCAAGTAATGGATACAGCCAGTACAAGCCCATGGATAGCTAACTAAGGAGACATGCGAGAGCAGCGAAGGGGGGTGTCAAACGCCCCCGAAGTGCGAATGCAGCAAGACGGACAGAGATAGACGAGTGGGAATAGATACCGTGAGTGCGTCGTGTGCGATGTAAGGAAGTGAAGTATGCAGAGCCCCAATCATCATAATCCGGGGTTGGGATCTCAGAGCTGGAAGAAGCGGGAGTTTCGCCGAGTGACGTCGGCCGTCTTGGCCGCGATGGCTGCGGATAAGGAGAGGTTGGGCACGGTGCCCGCCTTCGGGCTGGCGGTCAGAGGAGCCTCCTTGCTCTGGTACTGGACCTTGCCGTTCGTGGATGAGCAGGCGCCGTCGTCGGTCCAGTCGCCAGCGTCTCCTAGGATCGTCAGCGTCGGGCAGTGTTGAGACGGAAACGCGAGGCTCACCACCCGGGGTGTCGCCGTAGCTCCACCACTTCGCCGTCCAAAGCTCGCCGTTGTAGATGACCTGATCGCCGCCCGTGTACTGAAGACGCAATATCTCCGTCAGACTCAACCGAGCCAAATATACGACGTGAACGTACCGCGACATTCGCCACCCACGTCCCGACTCCCGCGCAGTCGCCCGCTTGAGCAGTGGTGGTGGTGGCAGGGGCAGATGTAGTGGTCGCCGAAGACGTCGTGGGAGCCGCTGTCGTCGTGGAAGTGCTGCTCGGAGTGACAGTAGTGACGCTGCTGCCGGTGAGGTAGCCCTTAATGGCAGCATCATAGCGGTTGTTCGCTGCACACGGTAGTCTCAGTTAGCGCGTGTCTTCCCAGCCATGAGAATTGCTGACCGTATGCCTGCGAGGCGTCCCAGAGCATGACACCCCCGAAAGAGGAGTACTGCTGGCGCGTCGCTTGGGCGATCGCTCCCAGGGTCGCCGCGTCAACGTAACCAGAACCAGCTGCCGAGGACGAGGCAGGCGCTCCGATGTACACCTTGACGTTCGGGTTCGGAGAAGTGTTCTTGGCCCAGTTGTCCCTGCATCGGCGTTAGAAGAGCCAGATGATCATGGGCCGCGTGCTCCTCACCAAGTGCCGAAGTCCCAGTCGTTTGAATTATCGTAGTTGGTCAATCCACAGTAGTTGTTATCTGTTGGACGTTTGAGAATGCCATCATGCGGTTATGGAGGCGTGCGGTACTCACAGAACTGCACGTAGATTGCATCAAAGGACTCTGCGTTGATAACGCTGTGTATAGGCGGTGAGCGCGTTGAACGGATGTGACGAATAGGTCTATGCGGTACTGACCTGCCGAGATATGCGTCCGGGAATGGGCACTGCGGTGCAGCAGTGAGGTAGTACCTAACACAGTCGTCAGCTGCCTGCAATTCCTCAATGACAACAATAAGCCTACGTCTTCGAGCCAGAGTTCATTAAAGAGCGGAGGGCCGAGACGAAGTCAGTGAAGTAATCGGACGAACCACCTTCGATGTCAAGGTCAATTCTGCGGCCAAAAGATGTCAGTCTTCCGAGCATTTTCTGCATCCAAGGGACCCACCCGTCAAGGACAGCGTTGCCGAAAGGGCGGGTGCTGCTGGACCCTCCAAGAAGGAGGTCCCAGATAGTTTGAGCGAACTCTTGCGCCTGGCTCGAGTTACTGAAACTCGCAGATCCAGTTGCACCTCCTAAACTCATTGTCACGATCTTGCCTGCGCTCTGGCACGTCTCGATGCCAGACGCCAGGAATTGGCATTCCGGCAGCTGAGTACCCTCGAACACGGGGTCATTGGCGGTGCTGCAAGTCTGGCGGATAGAATGGAAAATGTTGAGATCACGAGATATTGACAGGGTCGTGTGAAAAGTTACTGACGTTCGCCAGGTCGAGGGAGGGCTCGCCTCCTTCGCCAAAGAAGACGTTCAGGAACGCCATAGGAATGGCGTCGATCACATCATCCTGAAGACGGCCTCAGTTCTATGTAGGTACGGAGGGAGATCAAGTGACGTTTACCTGGCAATAGTACGAGATGTTCTGCTGGTAGCCGGAACTGCTACCACCTGAAGCCCCGTATGAGTCCTGGCCCCAGTAACTGCGGCCATGACAGTGTCAGCTGGAATGAGTGGAACGGTCTGTGCACCCTTACACAGCGAGCTGCAAGGTGAAGTAGCATCAGCTTTGTGCATCACAACCCCGAAACTTCTCTGTACTCACGTTGTCTGTAGCACTGTTCGAGAACGCCGCAGAGACCACGGTAAGGTCACCCACGAGACCCGACAAGCCAAGCCAAAAGGCTACAGACGAAGACCGGCTGAGAACCATGCTGAAACAGCGGGGGGAGGAGGGGTAAGGGAAACGGACGCAGTACGCGTGTCCTTTAAAACCACCCCGGAGGCGCACTGCATGGCAGGCCAGGAGCTTCGGCGCGCAGCCCCTGTACAGAAACCTACAATAGCACGACGGTGACGCGTGGACGCGTTTCTCGAGCGGAATGCGCCCGCGTGTAGCATAAGCGGGGTGATTATCGAGCGGCGAGCTCGGGGTGACTTCTGCAGGAACGGACGACCATGCGGAGTTCATCAGCTAGCAGCGTATCAACGATTGAGACTTGCATACTTAGCATACCGGCAGAAGCCTGTCTTCATGATAAGCCTCGGTACTTCAGAGAGGACCGTGGGTGAGGTGTGCATTAAGGCACTTCGCGGCATTAGAGGCAGCTTCTTCCGTTCCAGCGTCCCGAGGACACACTGGGAACGAGAGATAATCGGGGAACGGCATCCGCATCTTCTGCAGACAATTCAATCGGTAGTAACAACTGCTAGAATTGCACGATAAGACTCATGGATGGGCTGGAGTCGATGTGAATTACTTACCTGGTGATACCTCGCCAGTGGCACGTTTCGCAGCCATTCGCCCAGACACCGGTGGCGATTGACCTGGCAAGCTGTCCTTCGTTCCGATGTCTTACATGCGGAGACTCGGAGCGGCGCTGGCTTGCTCGCACTCTGCATTGATCGCGGCTGATCTGCATCCATTGAGATAGTAGAAGCCTCGCGGTGCTCAAGAGGTCGGACAAAGCCTCGTTTGGTTAGCATTTCCTGCGATAAGCAGCGTGCGTGCTGGGAACAGACCAGAAAGCACCTGAGCCGTGGGAGGCACGGGAGGCTTGGGCAGGGCAGATGGCGGATGGCTCGCCATGAGAGACATGAGAGAAGAGTCCAAGATGGCAACTCGTGTGGGCGTCTAACGTTCATACCATGCACCCGTATCCGGTCGCCTTCCAGATCAAATCGGCAGATCCGCCATCGACCTCTTGCGATCGAACTTATTACATAAAGTTATTTGCCAGTGATTTGCTACTCGACTCGACCTTGACCGACTTAACCTCCCAGCGGCCTTCCGCTGTCAACTAGACGGGGAAAACTGATTGAGACTCGACGACCTAGCTGTCGTGCGTCTTGTTCGTTGATAGGGTGCCATGTGCACTTCATCGCCTTCAAAGAGTGGTGATTCTGAACCACATGGGCAGGGCGAATGAGTGAACGCGTCTAGCTGGCAGTGGCCATGCAGGTGAGTATCGTGTAACATGTATCTGTCCAGATTTTTCCATGCCATATGACGATGCCGCTGCCATTCAACAACAGGACAACCGGCCGGTCTCGCAGGGCTCGCCTTCCTACGATATTGGCGGGTCTAGATACTTAGCTACAGAGCTCAAGCACAATTCGTTCCAGAAGACACCGTCCAAGTTCGTCTCGCCTTGTAACTGAACCTAAGTCATGTACGTTTCATTGTCAATGCGGCGCTGATCCGATGCTCACTTCGCGCCGCAGTCGGGCTCAATGTGACAATTCCTTCACCCGGACTACAGGACCACACCTTAGCCGACATCGGCGCAGCGTACGACATAGTTGTCTGTATCATTTGACGTCTGTGCGTGTGCCAGGACCGGCTCAGTGGTTGGTTGATTCAATTACCAAAGTCAAGCTATGTCAATCACAACCGATGATTGCGATGCGGATGGACTGCGTTACAAATGCTTGACTGGTCTCGCCGTCTGGCGTTGCCTAGCGGAGAGCATGCAAACACTCCGCGTTCCGGCTCCACCTCTTTCGCACCATCTGCGCCTCCGCCGCCGCCGTATTTACAATATGCAACACGCGGTCGACTCCATCGTGGTCTAGAACTTTAGGGAGACGTTGGGAGACGGCCCAACTGGGTGCCTTCGAAGTCAATGGTGTTCACCACCGCGACTGTGCTCCGCCGTGTTCCAAACTTGTGGCATGCCACCGCTCGCCAATGGGCCAGCTGCTGCGGATTGTGATTTACCACGTGCAGCCCCTGTCCACACGGTAAGAGCCGGTGAAAGTCTACGCGTTGGAGGCTCGCTGATACATTGCGTTTCTCTTGCCACGGGGCTGCTGGCTGCGACGCATGCGACTCATGTGCCTAGGCATGCTTGATGCCGCCGGCCGATATACTCTACACTGTGCATGCGAAGCATGCTGTACGTATACATTGTGAACGTCGTCGTGCGATACATGCAGTGAACATCAGTTACAATGACAGTGTCGCGTGGAAGCAAGCCAAGGAGACCCGGCTCAAGTACTAATACACTAGAATACATCTATTTGCGAGCGAAACAGCTACAGGGGTACAATCGGGCCCTCGCTATCCTTCTTGCACTCAGAGACGATCTTGTTATGATACATACGATGGTGCCGCTCCAACATAAGTCCATCGACATCGCCGGAAGTTTTGTCCGTCTTAATGAAGTTCTGTCCGTCCTAACGTAGTCCGAGTCTACGGCGCCGTAACATCTGTCACCAGCAACGCCAGATGTATGAGTCCACGAGTGTTGCTTACCTCCGTTGAACAGCTTGCGGCAGCGGACGTCCCGCTCAATACAACCAAGGATGTTCCGTTCCACAACTAGCAGGCGGATTGGTCTCGTCCATGGGGTCTAGGCACGTCTCGACCCTTTGCGGCTCGATACAGACGATCCCGTACAAGTCCCTACAGATCCCATATTTGACTTGGATGCGAGACCCGCAGGGCGCGAGGAACGTGAGAGACTCGAGCGTCGGCACGTACGCCGCGAACAGCTTGGCTAAGCACGTCCATTCGTCCCACCAGAGTTCGACGCCATCGTATTGGCGGCGCCAGCTCCGCTGGTCAACGGCAATGTCTTCTTTGTAGGACGTGCCCCTGCGCATGCGTTCCTCCATAAGCGGCAAGTCACAGGGCAAGGTCGCAGGCATAGGCTCGAGATCAAAGTTCCAGGTAAAAGACTTGAGATGCGGAAGCGCCGCCAGGTAGGATGCATATTGATACGTCGTCCCAGGCCACCTGTTCGATACACTCCAGTCCTGTCGAGCATTCTTGGAGAACACCAGCGTCAATGCAGATATATCGGGCGTAGCATCTGCTAGCATGCGGAAAAGCTCTTCGCCGACGAAGTAAAGCCCGATCAGAACCAAGACCCGCAGAGGTGCGCCACGAAGACTCGGACCTCGATCAGTTCCAATAACATGCCCCTGCTAAGGGCATCATAAGGGCACAGTGATATCTTGAGGTGCGTGAGGCGCAGGGACCCGCCGGCGCCGGCACCGTGCATACAGCCTATGAGCCGAGGTAGATCTTCCAGCGCAAGGTCTTCAACGTGAACACGCTCGACGGTAAAGAGTGGGTTGTGGATAGCCCAGAATGGGTGGCCGGGTAGGTTCAACCCACACACAGGGTCAGCACGAAGGATGAGGGTCCGAACGTTGGAAACACGCGAGTTGCCATCACAATTTTGGAGTTGGTGAAGTCGATGTAATCGAAGACCAGGTTCACGACAGAGAGGATTTGAGGTAGTGAGACGAGGCTGAAGTCGAAACGAGGCGGACAGTCGAATAGATAAACTGTCCTGAGTCGCGTCATCTTCGCCATGGCAGTAAAGATAGCCTTCGATAGTTCGAAGGAATATAGCTGCAAGTCGCTAGTGTCTGTGGCGGCATGCAAGAGTTCGCCTATACTCTGTCGCACAGGCCTGAAGAAACGGGTAGATCCACTGCGAAGGCCCATGAGTTCCAGGCACTCTTCGTTCCACTCGTTGACGATCGTCAAAGTACGGATGCGCTTGAGAATATCTGGGCGGGACAGGAGGAGCGCGCAGTTTTCCATGAAGCGGCCCCGCGCAGCTCCGCCATGAGCCTCGAGGGAAGCCTCGTCGGTTATGCGTACTGTTATGGTCGATTCATATGGTGCCTGGGGAGGAAGGTCGAGTCGTAGTCTTAACGTACGGACCTGGAAACCTCACAGATGTCATGTACAGTCTGCAGTTCATATACATGGAGACGAACATTAGATGCATAATGCGCAGCCAGTCGCCAGATAGTCTTGCAGGTCGCGGTCAGAATTCGTGCGCCGCCGGATCCGGCCAATTGGAGGATGATACACAATATCTCGACCGGGAGCTGAAGCAGCAGCAGGCGCTGGAACACCGGCTGCGAACCAGCTGTCAACAACGCGTTGACCTGGTCTGTATATCGCGTTCAATAGAAGAAGGACAGGTGGCAGCTAAGATCGCAACTGACCGGCTTTGCGTAGGAGCTCCTCGACAAACAGACCACTGAGCTTGTATTTCGCTCTGAACTCCCTTTCCACTGCTGGACGTGAGATCTCGATATCCGTCATCTCGATCTGACTACCATCATAGGAGGGGAGTATTGTTACGACGGTGACGATGTGTGGGCGAAGGCGATCGATATCCTCGAGAAAGACGAGCATGCGCGCATATAATGAGGAGTAACGCTTCTCCCAGCGACCGGTGAGGTCAAGAACGCCCTAGGCAGTGATCAGTGGGATGACAGCATACATATGGTATGTAGCTACATACCTCGTGGAATCCTATGAAGGTATCGAAGAACCGTCTTATTCGCAAGACATCGCCATACATACACGGGACACGATCAGGCAAGTTGCGGATGACCTCGTCGTTAGAGTCAATAACATCCCTCGCATCCGCTCCCAGCGATGCATCCACTCGACTCGGATTGCGCATGAATAGTGAATAAGCCCTCTGTCTGAAACGTGCTTCGACATCTTGGTACAATCTCATCCAATTGGAAGCTGTGATTCCATACGAGTGTCAGCGTCCGAGAGGGGGGAGGTGTGCGTCTAATATCCACTCAACAGACGGTCCACTCACGTTGATCATAGCTTTTACATCGAGCGAAGTCTGCAAATTCCTGCTTGATGTCTCGCTCGTCTTCGGAGTCCATTATTACAGGGTCTTCTGTTGTGGATCTTGTATAAGACGGTACTTGGTGGAGTGTTACTCGGGCGCATACACCCACCTAGTATTGTTCCCGTGACGCAAGGCAAAGGGGCCGATTCCTTCGCCGTGCGCCTCTCCGGATTCACTGAGGTGGGGGCTGCAAGTTACGGACTCTTGATCGAAGTCACTCGGTGGTCACCGGCAATGCTGCTGTAGTGGTTCTGACACATAAGTATAGTCATCCGGTAGTCTGAGGCCGAGGTAGTACCTGCCAAGATGTCCCGAATATTGAAGGTCCAGGGCCGAAGAAACGTATGTAGACTGCCTGTGCAGGCCGAGGAGCCTGAGAATTAGCGAGTAGGCGTGGAGGACTCGAGGAGGGCAACCTTAGGGCCGGGCGTTTCGCGCCACACGTTAACTTACCAGGTTGAATACTTCACTAAGCGCCGGTTCCAGGCCGGTTCCGGGTGGACGAGATCCAAACGGGATCAATCATCAGCGTCAACTCGATCGCCGGTGCGATCGGCGAGTCGGATCACCGTCTTCCGGCGATCCAAATTCGGCAAGCTGCGAGCCCGGACTTTACGGACACCCCTACTTACGTCGTATATCTTTCTGGCTGAAGCTGACCCAACGCTGCGCAAGAGATCCGTAGCGCAAGTTGTGAAGGTACTGGATCGAGGAGACTGACTCATTCTACGTACCAAGGCGATGCCACTGGAACACTCGGGCCGCCGGCCGCTCACCGTCATCCATATCTGGTACCAGTACTACTAGTACTTCCGTCCTTCTGCACTTGTTTTCGAACCGCCACCACTGCGAGCTCGAGTCTTCCAATATCTGTGCCCTCCGATGTCTTTTCAGCAGCGGTTGTCCGGGATTGACACTGATTGGCTTCCTCTTTCACTTCTGCCGAAAACAAACTTACCAGTATGCTTGCCACAGGCTCTGCTCGACGAACTCAAACTCCAGGTCGATCCAGACTTTTACTCTGAGCAGTCGATCATCTTCGGGCGCGACGAAAAGGATGCCAGAGTGTTCCCTATGCGTCACTTGATACTACGACACTACGTACTCGCACTAGGAGACGCGGATACGACAATCGACGAATCATGGGCCGGCCATAACGACAACGATTAGTCCCTCCCGCAGATCATGCCCGATGGGAGCGGGAGCACATACCTCCACTTCGCCGTCAGGCTCGATGACGTGCCGTTCGTATACGAATGCATCCGTCTTGGGGCCGACGTCAACCGTAGGGACGTCAAGGGGCAGACACCGCTGTACTGCGCCATGCACGAGTTGTTTGGGTTCTCACTCGAACTGGCAGAGCGACAGCTGCGCCACAAGGGCACCGAGGACGAAAGCCTCGCCATATCCACCATCGCGCGGTTGCGACACATAGCGAAGATTCTAGTCGAGCAGCACGCCGATATCAAAGTTCCGCCTCACGGGGATCTGCTCTACCACGTTGTCAGCCTCGCTTGGGTGACCCTCGAAGTAGAACTACTCGAGCTGTTTGGGCTCTACGGAGTCCCTTCTGACTACTTCGAATTCCTCTCGGAAGCCCCGGATCCACAGTTGGATACTTGGGAAATCAATCCCGCCGGAGTATCAGCTTGCAGGGAGCTGGCGGCGCGTTTCGCTGCTACTTTACCATCGAGAATGGAACCAATAACGCGACCACCGCGTAAATGCCCTTGTTTGTCGGGAAAGCCACTCGCCGAATGTCACGGATCGGGTGACCACCCATATCCTCCCACATTTGCGTGCATCTGCAGGTCGACGAAGACATATGAAAACTGCTGCAAACGCAGAGCCGAATTGGTCGAGAGATGGGACCAAGAACGGGGGTGCATGGCTGTCACCCAGCGCAAGATGGAAGGGAATACGACGACCTACATCTCCTTTACCTCTGTGGGCACGGCAAGGAACACCGTATGGCCGGATACGGGAAAGAAGACTCCGTCAGAGCTCGTTGAGATGGCCGTCGAGTATAACGACACCCAAAACGAAGAGAAAGCTGACCCGGCTTTCCGGTATGTGGTGACTGAATTGAACTATCTGCCTATGTCAGTGCTCCATGCCGAAGAATCCGTATTCGTCTGACAGATGAAACATCTTCAGGCCTGAGGGAGACTGGCTGGGCTCAAAATCCCTGGGCAAGAAACTCAGCCTTGGCTGGAATCTTTACGTCGACCAGTACATTGCATCCGGCCAAGACACTCGGAGTGTCTCCCAGATCGAACGGGCTGCCAAGCTGGATCCGTTTTGGCAGCCCCTATGGAAGAGATGTGAGGCATCCGGATGTAAGACGATAGAGCGTCCAGGGCTCAAGATGAAGCGCTGCCATGGGTGTCAAAAGGTTCGTGATCCTCGTCATTGTACGATCCCATGTTTGTTCATCTGGCAGTATAGATATATTACTGCGGCGCGCCGTGCCAGAAAGCACATTGGAAGGAGCACAAGGATGCATGCAAGAGACAAGACCACCCACTCCAGATGTTGCGATCGCAGAGGATCTACTCAACTATTCTCAACGAGATCATCAAACCTGCGCAAGAACGGTTACTGCAGGGCTCAGAGTACGTGCATGTATCCTCGCAAGTTTGTACTAATTCTGAACATTTTCACATCTGACGGCTGTAGACCAACAAAGCCTGCAGACTCCGAGGAACCTGCTATTTGAGGCCGCGCTAACTGCGTGAGTTTAATATGCATTGGAGATGATACCTAGCTCATAGACACATTTGTAAAGCTGCCATTGTTGTACGAAGGAGTCGGGTGAGCTAAAGATCATTGACGGCGGATTTTGCAGAAACGGTATGACCTGTACGAGCACCGTGTATGTGCAGCCCAAGAGGGCGCATTGTAGACGACCCAGGACCGAACGCAATCTCATGTAAGTAACAGCTGCTTGCGTATGAGCTGGCCCGACGCGTGGATGTACGCGCCGCGGCTGTGAGGCGCGACGTCATCGCCCGAAAAGGTAAGCCGGACGGAGGGCGGGGCGCGCCACCTGATCGGGAGGGCCCCCAGGTCCCAGACGCGTCAGGGTGTCACCCAGTAGGCCGACGCCCCACCGTGTATATAGCCCATCCGCATCCGCCCCTCCGCCAGCATATAAACTCTCCACCCACCATGTCCGCCACCCCAGACATCCCCGCACCCACCCCATCCAGCGAACAGAGCGTATACTTCGACGCACCCATCATGCACTTTTTCTCTCGCAATAACGACGACAAAGCCCACGACGAGCCTACGCAGGTTGCGGACACCAATGGCGCGCATCAGGGCACTGACCCCCAGCCGTCTGTCGCGATCGCTCCTGACCCAGTCGTGAACCGCTACCACGAGAACCTCGAGGACGAGCAACAGCAGCTCGACGACAAGAAGCCGGCCGCGACCACCTTGTCTGCTATTCCCGAAGGCTCCCACAGACGTGCGGGCAGCCCGCCGTCTGATTCAGGCTACGGCTCGTCCTCGCCCAACACGGCCGCCCGCCCACCAGAGCGATCTGCCTCCCGCGCGTCGCGTAGAAGTCTCAAGCCTGTCCCCGTCGTCTGGAAGGACGGTCAGCCTGGCAGCGAAACCGATGACGACACCTACGCTGATCCAGGAGCCGACAACCGAGCTCGACGCGCGACCTCTATGCGCTCACTCCGCACGTCCACTAGTCGGCGCGATCGTGATGGCTATGACCACGAAAGCGTTCGAAGCACGCCCGCCTCACGCTTCTCGGACCGCCGCCGACGCGTAAGCCTGAGCGGGGGCAGTTTTGCGGGAGGCGCAGGGACAATCGGCCCTGAAGCAACACCCCAACTAGACGATACACAGTCATTCGTGGCAAGGGCGAAGAGCGCGGAGGCAGAACTGACTCCGAAGCAGAAGTCTAAGATCGAGAAAGCTTCAGGTACAGACCTTTTCGTCAGCACTCAGGAACACTACTCACCAGTACTGGAGTACAGCTAAGGAGGGCAAGCGCCTCTCGAAAGTGCTGAAGTCCGAAGCGAAGTCGGAGGCGAAAGCCATCGAGCAGGCCATCCGCGAGCTCGCGGATATTCAGAAGATGCAGAAGACCGCATTGAAGGAGGAGAGTCGCGCGGTCGCCAGCCACGCGAAGGCGCTGCGCACATTCCACAAAGAGGAGCTGGAGTACCTCGCCGCTCGGGCACGGTATGAGAAAGCGCAGGCCGAGCTGGCAGCGGTGGAGGACGGCAGAGACGCCGCGCGCGAGCACGCACAGGAAGTCACGGAAATGATGCAAGAGAAGAGTAAGGAGGTTGACTGGTTGCGGGCGCAGAAGGCTGCAGACGATGTAAGTTGTTCCCCGTTGCATTTTCATGTACGCACCGAACTTGACAAATTTGTGACTGTAGCGCGAACGACAGGCGAAGCTTGTGCAATTAACGGGCAAGTCATAACTCCCAACGCACCTAGGGGTCCTCAGTGTGCTTCATAAGACTTGATACCCATAGCATGACGAAGACTTTTTGATGTTCTGCACGACAACTTAAGGGCAAGAGCCAACAGACGCGACCAACGTGACCGTGACGCGTACGATTGAATAATTGAGCGCTTGTGCCACAATTGCGCTCTTGTTCAAGCCACACGACTTGATCCTTGCCGCCATCTCTGTGTCTGCTGCCACTCGGGGTGAAACCAGTACCAATCACAATTTACGCCACATGGACTCGGATGACGAACGGATACTGCAAGAGGAGGAGGCAGAATCTGCGCGAAACGTATTTGAGCTTCGTGAGTGGGTGCTCCTTTGTGCAAACGCGGCCGGACGCGTGCTGACCTCGTGCGACTCGTGATCCCATCCGGGTTGGGACCGGATACAGCGCAGCGACCGCCGGTGTGGATCAGGACCTACGAGCGGGAAGAGTTCGCTATACGGCGCGAGTATGTGCTCCGCACATTAGATGCGAAGGAACAAGGCATCCCGTTAGACAGCAGCGGCGACATCCGGGGGATGTGGCGTATCCGTCGGCTGTGGACTAGCGTCGCTGGGTTCTACGAGGTATGTGTCTCGCTTCCTTACGCGTATACCGTTTGTGCTGACGGTCAGCCATCCTGTCCCGATGCGTAGGGCAAGTTGGACCTTGCGGGGCGGAGCGAGAGGCGTTGGTACTCGCTAAAGAGACGGTTTGACCGATTTATGGTGGACGTGGCGTCTCTACGCACACATATACTCACACGCCCGCCGACGGTGCTGGATGGCAGCTGCGAAGCGTTACTGCTCATCGTCTCGTCGCCCTCCGCCCTTAACGACTTCAAGCACAAGTACAAGCTAGGCTACGTCGACCTCCCGGAAATCCTCGCAATACCTGGTGAATGCTCTCCATTCCGTGCTGTACAGGGACGTGTGCATGCTAATCCACGCCTTGTAACCAGAGATGATGGACGCCTTGTATCCCGGCTGTCCCAAAGCTGTGATTCAGAAGCTATTTCTGACAGACCTCCCTCCGGAACTGCTCCTCTACATCTTTGAGCTTGCTCACATCGACGATGCGCGCGCGCTCGGTGCCACTTGCCACGCCCTCAACGACCTGTCGTTGCCCTACATATACCAAGTATGTTCGTTCTGTAGCTCATATCACTTCCCTGATTGGAACCATTCTACAGACACGGCGCCTAGTGCTACATGTAGACCCGACCTATCTCGAGAAGGCGTTGGAGGAATTCTCAGATATGGACAGGCGCTATCTGACTCATCTCAGTGCACGAATGCGCACGAACCTCCTCGCAGATTTCGGCTTCCTCCTCGCGCGCGATGACATCCTCAAGCGCGTCGAGCACCTGGTCATCCAGAGCCTCTGGACGCCTAACTTGGCGTCCGCGGCGGGCTTCAATGCCCGACGCGAGGCGCATAGTACATTCTTCTCGCCGATATGGAAGCAGATCGAGGCTACCTTGTCCGCCGTGACGAACCTGCGCGAGTTCAATATCGAGAAGATCGTTATCACGCAGAACATGATCCATGCGATAGCGTCGTTGCGCGGGCTACAGACACTCAGCATACATAACTGCCCTGTCTACCAGGTCGCGCCATGGGAGATGCCCCCACCCTCTCGACCGTAGTGAACCTGATTTTATTCCCGCAGAATGTCCCAGGCGCAGAGATGCTCGAGATGATCGGGCTGGTCCCCAACGTCCGCTCGCTCACTGTCACGGGCCTCCCAAGGTGGCCCTGCACGCTTCCGATCGACGACTTCCGCAGACAGTGCAACCCTTTCCGCGTCGTGGAGCGGGTCAACTTCAGCCACATCGACAATGAGGATGTCTTTTTGCTGTTCAACTGGATCCGCGAGGCCGCCGTCACCGCAGAGCACGGCCTGCGGATCACGCACCTCCGACTCGAGCTCAAGTACGGCCTGCAGAGGGATGAAGTCTTCCAGCTTATCGGCGCGCTGGAGGGCGCACCGCTCCGGACGCTCGCCCTCGAGGGCATCTCGTACGTCGAGGCGGACCTTTTCACGCACCTCGCGGAGGCGTTCCCGAACCTCAGCGCGTTGACGCTTATCCACCGGCAGAACACACCGCAGAGGGCGAGCAGGCCGAGTCGGTGGCCCGACGCGACGTGGGAATACGCGGCGCGGCTCGCAGCGTTCCCTTGCCTGCGACACTTCATGTGGAACTTCGACCTGCGGCCGCTGCAGTGCAGCACAACGTTCGACCTGCCGTACGCGGAGGCAGGCTATCCTGCGACGACGGGGCAGGAGCTGTACAGGCACTTTGAGGAGAACTGCTTCGAGACCGCGTGGGACATCCTGCCGCGGCTGTTCTGCGCGTACTGCCCGACGCTCGAGGCGCTCATCTTCTCAATGCTGGACGTAGTGTTGCTGGAGTTCACGATGGCGCGGTCTAAGACGGGTAAGCTGGTCGTGCAGGTGAACGGGGAGCCCGGGCATAGTGATCTGTGTGTCAGTAACAACCCGATCTGGCCAACGAACACGAGCTTTGAGAATCCGTGGCATGTTCGGGGACGTCCGCTGCAAAGACCATGAACCTGAAGCATCAGGAGACGACACGGACTATGGAGGTTGTTTGACTTATATACTCATGATCAGTGCCGACCCTTGACATGTACTTACTATTGGATCTCTGCTCTGTTAACGTTACTACTGTATCTCACTCGTGATACGCCTCGATCTGTAACATACGCATAAACTTAATCACTGAGCATACTCCCGACCGTGCTCTATGATGGCGATATGATGGTGCCAATCATCCGAAGGGACAATACTATATACTAACAATCTATTAGTACAACAACACATAGTAAGTTACTCGAAACGTGATAGAAAGCGGACACACCGGGGCCTGTTTTCAGTCGAACGCAATCTCCCAGTCACACTGACAGAGATAATCGCGCATATCAACATGCAGTATTAACGCACCCGGGCCAGAGGCGTAACTTAACCTCTGCAAGTCTGACCAAACTCATCATGATGGCTACTACATGAGATTGCATACGGTCCTTGGTGCTGTACAACGCGAGTCCTTGAGCTGCACTGCGTACCGTGACGATTGCCACTGGCTGCGCAAATCTTACTGATCCCCCCAAGTCGATGATTGATGATGGATTCAACGGCTGCCAGCACGACTCCGAATCCTTCGTACAACACTAGCAGCTATAGAGACGTGAGACCAAAGTTTAATGCTACCTCAGCATGCAAAGTGAACTCACTACAGTCGGCGCAACGTCACAAAGCAGGTCCATCAGACTCTGCAGAATTCGTCGATCTACGCCCGTCGCGCAAATGTTCAGAATTACAAACGTGCGAGGAAACGACGTGCATGGACGTACTCCGAGCCCTGCAGCAACCGCTCTTGCGCAGGCTTGATGACCTCATTGAGAGTAGTTGAGTAGATCCTCTGCGATCGCAACATCTGCAGCGGATGGTCTCCTCTCTTGCATGCATCCTTGTGCGCCCGCCAATGTGCTTTCTGGCACGGCGCCCCGCAGTAATATATCTATGCTACCAGATGAGCAAACGTAGAACCACACATCCACGAAATCTACGAACCCTCTGACAACCGTGGCAGCGTTTCATCTTGAGCCCCGGACGCTCTACCGTCGTACACCCGGACGCTTCACATCTCTTCCAGAGGGGTTGGAAAAGGGGATCCAGCTTGGCCGCCCGTTCGATTGTGAGTACACTCCGAGTGTCTTGGCCGGATGCGATGTAATCGTCGACACGATCATTCCAACCGGAGCTGTAGTACTTGCCTGCAGCCCTCGGATGCCATTCCCCCTCCGGCCTAAAGATGTCTAACCTGTCAGACAGATACGGATTTTTCGGCATGGAGCACTGACATAGGCAAAAATTCAAACTGGATCACCGCACACCGGAAAGCTGGGTCAGCTTTCTCGACGCTTTCGGTGTCGTTATGCTCGACGGCCATGAGCACGAGCTCTGAGGACTTCTTCTTTCCCGTGTCTGGCCATTTCGCGGACATCGCCGTGTTCATAGTGACAAACGAGATGTACTTTGCTGTATGCCCGTCGGCTTCCATCATGCGCTGGGTGACTTTCATACGCCCCCGTTCCTCGTCCCATCTCTCCACCAGTTCGACACTTCTGAGCTTGCAGCAGTTCGCATATGTCTTCGTCGACCTGCAAATGCATGCGAACGTAGGAGGATATGGGTGGTCGCCCGATCCGTGACATTCGGAGAGTGGTTTTCCCGAGAAGCACGGGCATTTACGCGGTGGTCGCGCCGGTGGTTCCGTCTTCGATGCCAAACGCGCTACCAGCTCTTTGCAAGCTGATGCTCTCGCGGGATCGATTGCCGAAGTATCCATCGTCTCAATCAGGGGACTTAGATTTTCGGAGCAGGCGCGAATACATTCAGGAGCGGTCCCGTGGAGAGCAAACAGATCAAGTAGTTCCAAGTCTAGATTTGCCCAAGCAAGGAGGAAGGGAACGCGCGACGGCTCCTTGTAAGGGACGAGATTGACATCGGCGTGCTGCTCGACTAGAATCTTCACCATGTGTCGCAACCGAGAAATAGAGGATATGACGAGGCTTTCGTCCTCGGTCCGACCGTGGCGCTGTCGCTCGGCCACTTCTTGTGAGAAACCAAGCAACTCTTGCATGGCGCATGACAGCGGTGTCTGCCCCTTGACGTCCCTACGGTTGACGTCGGCACCAAGACGTATGCATTCGTATACGAACGGCACGTCACAGATCCGCACGGCGAGGTGGAGGTATGTACTCCCACTTCCATTGGGCATGACCTGCGGGAGGGACCAATCGGTGTTGTTGTGACCAGCCCATGATTCGTCAATTGTCGAATACGGATCCCCTAGTGCGAGGACGTAGTGTCGTAGTATCAAATGACGCATAGGGAAACTCCTGGCATCGTGCCCGAAGATTTCCGACTGCTCGGAGTAGAAGGGTGGATCAACCTGAAGTTTGAGTTCGTCGAGCAGAGCCTGCGGCAAGCACACTGGTAAGTTTGTTTTCGGCATAATTGAAAGTGGAAGCCAATCGACGTTGATTGCGGGGAGTTGCTGCAGCGAAGACATGGGACGACAGTACAAGACTCGAGCTCGCAGTGGTGGTGGTTCGATAACAGCTCGCAGTGGTGGTGGTTCGATAATAAGCGCAGAAGTGCAGAAGTAGTACTGGTACCGGATATGGATGATGGTGAGCGGCCGGCGGCCCGAGTACTCCACTGGCGTAGGCTCGGTAGGATTCTTGAGTCTCCTCGATTCCGTATGTACATTCACAGTCAACTTGCGCCACGGATCTCTTGCACTTGATTAGGCCAGTTTTAGCCTGGAAGACTTCAGTGCGACAGAGTTAGGTTAGATACAAGCCGCCTCCTCCACGTGTTATTTCGTGCTCCGGCTCACTTGGCTGCAATGCGGCGACCACAGATTTCTGACAGACGCGTTGTATGCAGTTCATGACATTGGTACGTCACAACGAACCACGCGATGTTCTATCATGGTGCCAATAATTCAGAGGGACAACATTAACAATCCATAGTCCAACAACATAATAAGTTACTCGAAATGCGATACAAAGCGGACACACCTAGAGCCTCGTAACACCAAAAGACCGGGATCGGTTCACGGTGCATGGATGGCACCTCGGATTTCCCGCTCGTCGTTAGCGAGGACCTCACGTCGGCCGGGATACAACGCCGTGACTACTTCGCGCTCATGCCATCGAGTATCAGAGGGCGAGGTCGAATCCGAGTGGGATAGCGGAGTGAGCGTATACTCGATAGAGAGCGCGGAGAGCACGCCGCCATACGCATGTGAGATACCTGGGCAGCAGGTCGATATCAGTGCTGTCGATCAGTATACACAATGGGCAACTTACCAGTGTCGATGATGATGATCTTCCCGCCACATCTCGAGGTGATATGCTACGCCCCGTACCTCAGTTCTTGTCCGTACGCCTTGCACGAAATACGGCTTACCTCAAAGTCCGGTGTATGGCCCATGACCATTCTCCGTGTGCCCGTCCTTCTCAGGACATCATCCACCAGGCTGCACACCTTGTGCTCCGAGTCCAGTGCCCATCCGCGATACCACAGCGGCCCATCTCCGCCATACAGCTCTCTCTCCGCCTCCGTCGCATCCGGGGGAAGGCCTGTATACGGATGCGGCGGCGAGGGCGGCGGAGGCGGGTGCGAGTGGATCTTCCGGAGGAGACCCGCACCCAGTTCGTTGATGCGCGACGGGAAGGGGGTGAGGTCGTGGTAGGTCGGCGAGAGACCGCCGTGCACGAAGGACAGGGCGGCGTGCGAGAGGACGTTGGTGGACGTGGAGGAGACGTAGTCGGTGTTGGGCGGCCCGAGGGAGGGGTGCAGAGGTAGGCGGGAGGTTACGGTGTAGTTTGCTGCCCAAGACTTGCCGATGCGACCGGTGGAGAGCATCCGTTGGCGCGCCGCGACGCCGCCGAAGGTATTGATTTCGGAGGGGCGGACGTATCTATTGTGCAGTTTCAGGGTGCGCTTAGTACTATGGTGAAGACGTCTCACCTCCAGTCACCTGTGCGCAGACAGTGAGCCTCGCATAGTGTATGAATATGGACCCACGTACCAATAACGTTCATCCACTCATGGTTACCTAGGTGCGACAGGACCGTGCCACCCACGGCATGAGCCTGCTCGCGAAGCTTGTCCATCCACAAGTACAGCTTAATGGTGTCATCTCCTCTGCGAGCAAACACATGGGCTCTCGAATCCACCCGTGCAGTCATTTCATTTCATAGCTCACCGGTCGATGATGTCGCCCGTCTGCACGAAGAAGTCAACTTCGCCCGACCAGTCGCCATTTCCATCGACCACTCCCGCCATCTGAAGCACCTTCTGCGCGTTCGGCATGTCGCCGTGGAGGTCGCCCACCGCAACGATGCGCCTAGTGAACGGCCGCACATCGTGCTTCCCATCGTAGGGTGCTTTCTGGCCGTGCTGCGACGGGGCTGTTAGGTCGAGATGCTTGCCTATATACCACGAGACGGGAAACTTCGCAGCAGACTTAAACAGGTGGATTGGCGGAGGGAATACGAGGAAGAGTGCCACTATGGGCGTCATCATCGTGAGCCAGATGATTAGCCGTGGCATGGCGGGCGGATGCTACTAGCGAGTGCACCTAGACGGAGATGGACGAGGGAAGAGTCCTGAGCGTCGCGCACCCCAAGTCCGAGTCGATCAGGTCGCGTCTCAGGCGCGCACGCGCTTCTTGCCTCCGCCCGCCATCCTCCCGCCGGAGGAGCAGCCATCCTCATTCCCGAGCCGCTCGTGCACTGGACGAGGTGAGCAAACCCAAAAGATGCACAGAGGAGTAACCTACCATTCATGTACAGTGTCATTCTGCTGCCGAAAGTGCGATGCGTTCAACTCCGGTGCAGACTCGGTCACGTCGCGCCCGAGAAAACCGCGCACCTGGGACAACCGACGCGCCCCGAGTCTCCGATAAAAGTACGAAGGACGTGTCTGCATCTGCAAGCACCCTCATGCTGCGCGACCTCAATTCGTCTCGCAACGATTCAGACACTATGTCGACGGGCATTTTGGACCAAAAAACGTTGGTTCATCTGCGTCGGAGGGGCGCTGAAGGCGCGGCGGATCCGGAGCCAACGACGCGAAAGGAGCCTCGTATTCCTCGAACGAAGCCCTACGTACTTGTGCCCTCACTCCCAGAGCTGCGTCCGCCTGCGACCACGCGTCTGCAGGACCTAGCCGTGGATAAATACTCCGGCTCTACGGCAACCAGCCAGCGAATGTCGTACGTGCTCATATTTGATGTAAACATGTCCCCTGATGTACCGTGTCACCATGCAGGCATAGTGTCCGTCCACCGTTGGAGGCAGAAGAGCTCATGGCTGTTACTTCTGGTCCTGTTGACCCATCGCCAGTCCCATCGGATGAACTCCCTAGTCAGACCGTTCTTCCGGACATCCCTTTCATCGACTTTCGCCCCAGGCGGCGCAGGCGATCGAGCGTGTCCTCCCGGCCCCTTCTTCCCGAACACATCCCTGCAGCTGAGCTCAAGCTCGCTGTGAACCCTGGCATCGCTCCTCAAGGCATCCTACTCGCTGGCGATCGCTTGTCGTACGTTCCTCCCGGGCACCTCAAGTTCGCGCCCTCTCCTGTGCGCGACACGGTACCCTCGGCGGCGGCAGCCAGCTCTATCTTGGAGTCGATCAAGACTGAAGATACTGATGCTGTTCTACCTTGCCCACTGGTTGCTGAGACGGCGCCTTCTGACAATCACTCGGTCTTGCGGTCAGTGTCCCTCGGCTTCTTCTGTGGAACTGTACTGTCCAGTTTCTGTCTCGTTCTCTTGGCTGTTGTGTGGTCCGTCTTTGTTGTGGTGTTCACTGATGTGTAAATGGCACCCATGTACTGTAGACGCAACCTGTTTGTCGAAGTGTACTCATACTCCTTCTTTGTGATGATTGTCTTACTGTCTTGCGAATGAAGCTTTGACATAACCATCAGCAGCTCGTAAGATCCCTTGCTCGAAGAGCAAGGTTCCTCAGGTCGAAAATGTTGGCCCCCGTCCTGAGCACAAAACGACAATCATTTTCTGACTACACAAATACTGTACAGCTTTTAAGCATTATATCTTCGCTCGCACGGCACTACCGGAGGCACCAGCACTCGAAGGAGCCAGCAATCCACTGAGTCACAAGAGCTTCGCGATCTCTGCGTCGATAGCTTCGGGCGTGGTGGTGGACGCCCAGCGGCCGACGACCTTCCCTTCCTTATCTACCAGGAACTTCTCGAAATTCCACTGTGCCGCAAGCCGTCCGCCGTCAGCCGCCGTCCTCGGACGTCGAGGCACAGAGACGCACCTTGATCCTGGTCATGCCGAGCAGCCCGGCCTTCTGGCTCTTGAGCCACTTGAAGACCTCGTTCGTGTTGTCGCCGTTCACGTCCGTCTTCTTCGTGAGCGGGAAGGACACGCCGTGGTTGAGCGTGCAGAACTCGGCGATCTTCTCGTCGTTCTCCGGTTCCTGCCCGCCGAACTGGTGGCGCGTTGGGCGATGAGGGGGCTGTATACCGCCGTCTAACCAGAAAGACTCACCTGGTTGCAGGGGAAGCCAACGAGGACGAAGTCCTTCTCCTTGTACTTGTCCCAGAGAGCCTGGAGACCTGAGACGCATGGAACGTTATCTCACGCGTAGGCCTCTCGGAGCAGCGGAGACTTACCCTTGTACTGGGGCGTGAAGCCGCTGTTCAACGTTCATCGACATCGCATGTCACCCTCTCGTTCGGTGATCGGAGCGCGTATGCACGCACCACTTCGAAGCCGTGTTCACGATCAGGACGACCTTGCCCTTCAGCTCGGCGAAGTCGAGAGTCTTTCCTCCGGGGAGTTCAGCCTTGAGGTCGTAGAACGACGTCATCTCTGCGAGAGTGTTATGAGAGTCGGCTCGTGAAGTGGTTGTTGCGAAGCTCCGGGGTCGGTCTGCGCTCACGACCAGTCTTCTGGCGATTCGCGAGGATACGAGAGAGTAAGCCCGTAGGGAGGATAACGAGCTGGACAGATGGCTGATAACAAAGGGCCGTCGAGGCAACCGAATTGTGGGGAGAAGTGAGTTCCGAATGGCGAGCATCTCAGCGCGGCGGATGCATACGGTACATAAGTAGCTGCTTACAGCGACGGAGCATGTGCCAGGGCAGTTGCTGGGCAAAGCAGACAATTCTTTCAGCCTCCGTGCGCCCCGGATATTTACCCGGCGCGATAAGTAGCGACGTCGACCCCAGACCGACGGGCCAGACGTCGACGGACAATGTCTTCGTGCTTACCCTTGCCTGACCGTCGACCTGCATTGCACGCAAATGTATGTACTGTATCTCCCTTCCTTCTGACAGCCACTACACAACTTTTGAGAGTCGACTCCGCCCCGCCAGCTAACGAGAGCGCCTTGTCTTAACTCTTGAGCTTAAAGCGCCGTTGTCAGCATACCGTATTGGCTCATTCCTGCTCGTATTGCACAATCAGGCGAGCTCGAAGGTCCTGCACGACGCCGGCGGGAATGTCAAAATGTCAACCAACCCCCTGCGCCGCCCTCGCCGCCCATTCCCCAGATACCCGACGAGGAGCTGACTCACCAGAGCCGCTCGGACCGCTTCGTTGAATACCAATTTATATGTTCTACACACAACTGACGCTTGATAGAACATATTGCGAGGCATCAGAAAGAAAGCAAGCTCAAGGTCGTGAGGCCATCCTTCACGATGCCTCTGAAGCTCTTGCGAAGGCGACGGTTTCGAGGCCGCGACAATTCGAGCTGCAGCCATTTGAGTAGTTGGCAGTATGTCTTTGGTTTCCGCGAGAGGACCGTGTGGAACGCGTGGGTCCCAAGCCTACCAGGAATCGCGGTCAGGTGGGAAGGCAGCGGCGGGGTAGCAGGGCGTAAGCGTACCATACGACTTGATCTTGCTGGAGGTCACAGCGTCCAGAGGAGGCTTTGGCGACCTTGTTTGATGACTTGTTCCGCATTGTAGCAAACGTATATCTGATCATCTGCTGTATCGTATCTGCAAGCGCACCGTGTTAGTGCTCGATCGCAGTCACTGCCTGTAATCACGTACTACGGAGGAAAGCGACGTTCTTCATGACACGCGAACCCCACGAGCGAAGGTAGTAGTGCATCTTCATGGCGGAGAGCAGGAAGTTCTGGTAGATGTTGAGATGTACTGTGTGCCGGGAGTTCAGGCCGACGTCGGTGAAGAGGATGTGGCTCTTAGCCTTGGTCAGTCTGCGAGAAGGTGAGCAGTTCGGTCTGAGGAGGGCTAGACCATGCGGAACGTACTGCATCATCTTGTGGACAAAGGTAACGCCTGGGCGTCGTCCGCGCTCTACTGTCAACGAATCCTGGAGATCTGATGATATACTTATGAGTGAAATAGCCCGCAGTTTAGGCTAGCAAACACCTACATGTCTCATGGTAGCGAGTATAATCTGCTGAGACGGACAGGTCGGTCATATTGATCATGAAGCCGCACCAAGGAAAGCCTGTGGGGGCATAAGCCGAGGGCGTCGCCGTAAACGGACGCGGGCTCACTCTTTTGCTGAGGGTCAGTAATGTTAATGTCAGGGTCATAGTCGAAATTCGTTAATGTCTTCTCCTTCGATATGAAGCACCCATACTCTGGATGACCTTAGAATGATATGAGCCTACATCAGTAGACAGCGATCACGAACATACCTTGGATCATCATGCCTAAAAAGCGCCTCGCACGCAGTAGATCGGTCGTGAGAAACAGGTAGTCGTCGACGAGTCTCAGTAGGAGCTGAAGAGACATGGCTAAGCTTCCGCAAGTAACGCGCAAAAAGGATACTCACGCTATGGACATCGTCTGTGAACTTGAAGTGTTTTCGCTCCAGATCACCGTAAAAGAACGAGCACAGCAAAGTAGATAGCACGGATCCCTGTGGAATACCAACCATCTGGCGGTAATAACAGTCTCCAATCTGGTATACATTCAGAATTGCGTTCGCTCGTGACTGCTCTGCTTCGACCTACCTTAACTATATTCTCAGTGATATGCTCCTCTAGTAGCGCCATGATGTCCTGCTTCTGCGCGAAAGGATACACCACCTGTTACGGGACGATCAGGTTCACTGCGCAACGACAAGAAAGAAATGCGCTTACCTGATCCACAAATATAGTGTGTCGAAGTGCCGCTGCCAGCTTCGCCGCAAAGTCAAGGAAGTGAGGATGGTCGTCTTCGGTGTATCAGCGCCACAGATTTCGTCAATCGGGAAACAAGTAGCAGGTACCTTCTGGCTGAGCCTTCTTAGCATACTTGCGTCGCACTCTAGAGCCGACACAGTTCACTTGGCCGTACCGTTGAATTACATATCCGTCCTATCGTGAATGATTAACGAATTTCAGACGAAGATACCTTCCCAAGTTCCATACCTCTGATATCGCGTCCTTCAGGATCTCTAATAGCTTGGACTGCTCAATGGTATCGAAACAGGCCTGGACGTCAACCTTGACGAAGTACAGCTTCGGACTGCATACCAAAATGTGCGATCAATCGCCGACCTAAGATGAAGCCCGAATGACGCACAGCTTTCCATCAGTGCCATGCTCGAGTAGGCGGCTCTTGTAAGCCTTTAACTTCGTGTAAACTTCGTTAGAGCCGAAGACGGATGCTCCTAGCAACCCCGGTTGATTCTCCTGGTTTACTGCGTTATTAAAAGGACGGCCATCTAGAATGATTGGGACTCACCTTCTCGTAGGTCAAGATTTGGAAGGCCGCTTGCAGGATCTGGTTGATGGACGGCTGGGGTCGATCTCTGCCATCCTATACGAATACAGCATGTTTGATAAACTATTAGCCATCAATATGCCAAACCTGCATGATGTACGGACCTTTGTTGACACCTTACGTTTGCGCAGATTAACAATGGGTCGCACACCTGTCTCCTTCGGCAGGAGTCTCACGAAAGAGAAGCCAAGCTTCCTCTGTCGCAGGATCTCTTCGGCTTCGCGCTGTAGTGCGCGCCACGGTCATAACCCACTTTAAGCCGGAGAGAGCGATCGAGAACAAACCTGCTCTATCCTCTGGAATGTCTCGGAGCTCAGCTTCTCGACGAGTGGGATGCACAACGCGGACCAGTCGTCCTGCCTGAAGTAGAGGACTCGTCTTCGGAATGCCGAGGACTCTGTTACATAGAACGTCGTCTACAGGTCGTTCAGTCCAACATACGCATAATATAGCAGTATGCCTTACCCTGAGAAGCGGGATCAGGAACGAGTCAAAATACCAGAACATGAACTCCTCGAGCAGCTCACGCCGCTTGATCGCGTCCGTGCGTGAAACTCGCGGTTGTGCGTTGTCTGGGGCGAGCCAGTCACATTCCGTGACGCTGAAGCCCTGCAGGATGTTGTGCAGCGTGGTAGTCTCGTATCGCCTAGACGTAATGAACGTCTTGACATCTGGAGTGACATCAGCGTAGTCCGACGTGGTACTGCACTTGCTACTGACGCTCGTTGATCAGTCTGCGATTCTTCCGGCACCCCCACATAATCCTCGGAATGACAGCGTCTGTGACGGAAGTCACGAAGCGATATACCTGTATCCCGATTGTCAGCGATCACAAGGAGACCAACGGCTCAAACTCCACCTCAGCATGACTGCAGGCAAATTCAGCGAAGCGAGGCTTGTACTTGAAGTGCCGTCGTGCTTGAGAGAGTCCATGAGGAGTGATGGGACGGCCAGCGGAGTCTGTAGACACATTCACTTCTCTGAAAGAAGGTTGTGAGCGGAGCTGTATGGACTGCTCCGACATCATTTCCTAGCAGTGACGTATCGGTCAGTTCGCGAACTCGTCAGACAGCCTGATAGGGCCACTTACAAGGATAATACTGCTATCGAGTGTCGACTTGTCCTCTGCCTTGATCTACGAAAGCGTTTTGGTGACAGCACGAACGGATTCTGGGAGGATCTGACCTTCGATGGGCAAACTAGTTCGAGTAATGCCTTGTATCTGCATTTTCGATGTTTCCAGATCATCTGGTCGAGGATATGCAGCGCGGCTTTCACTCTCTTGGGAGTTTTCTGCGCCCCGGCTCTCTGAATTCGGCATTTGAGCTCATACCAACTGACACAAACTACCCATCAACGAACCTTGATCTCACTTTCCCGGTCCAGGTAATCGAGCGACTTATGCGATTGAAAGCTAGCCCGCTCATTCTCGACGAACGGGTGCGATAGGCCATACTGGCGTGGAAACACGTACTTCGCGAGATGTCGCACATGTGCCTCTAGTTCCTTTGGGTCGAGACCGCCGCGACAGTCTGCAGTGGTAATGCGATGTGAATAGTATGATGGGGAAATCACATTTAATACATCTGCGAGAAGAGGTCGACTGTTACGTTCGTGATGTAGAGGAGGTTTGCGACTTACGTTTTGGAGGAAGACCGATAACAATTGTGCTATTCTTTGGAACGAGGTATGGCCACGAGTAAAACAAACGAGATCGTGGGATGACGATGTCGGCCGTGGTTCGCCTGCATCCCCATGAATCAATTGAATCAATCCACAAGCGCATATACGCACTTGACAAGCGTCGTCGCAGCACGTCTTTTTGCAGACGACGTTGAGTCCAATCGGGTAGCGGAGTCAGCTTTCATGCGCTTTCGGGGCCTCTCGTCTAATTGAGGGCTAACAGCTTTGCGCTTCAGACTGCCCGCTTTGCTCTTAGATAGAGCCGAAAACTGCGCTCCATGTATGCCCGACACAAATGGAGGCGCCTTAAGGTGAATGATAGGTTCGCCCGTGACTTGACATAGACAGTCATTGGAAAGCGGGATGAATATGGAAGTTTCTGTTAGGAGATGAAACATCACGTCTTCACCAATCCTTCGCAGGGCATATCAGAATAAGCCTTAGGAAAGAATCTATGGGAGCACCCACCTTTCGAACAGCGTACGCCACTCAGATGATTGTATGGTCGTCACATTGGTGTTGATGAAGTAGTTGACGAGGGGTACGCGTGTGCCAACGCGCCCGACCTCTCCATTGTGTCTGGCCTTTACACGCTCAGTAATTCATTGTATACCTCGTCTTAGCACGTACTTGGCGATATCCAGAGGCTATGATGTTCGTCGAGCGACCTTTACCTTTGGACAGCAATCGTTCCTGCGCTTTGTCGATGACCTATTCTGATGTTATAGACATCACTGTTTCCGTCCGCAAGGTGCAGTCACTGACCTCGTGTAGATGTACCATAGGCGGCTTGGCGTTGATTTTTCTACGGTCGGTGAGAGGTGCCTCTGGGACGACATGGGATCCTCGTAGGAGGGCAGTAAAGCTGGGAGGATCATCCGACCGTAGAATTGAGGAACCATCCTCGAAGCATACGTGATTCTGAAGATACTGGTGTAAGCCGCTTACCACGGGATAGTAGGCCTGCAAGATGGACAATGTCACTGCCATCGTGGACAGAACGAAGCCACAATTGGCTCTTGGACCGTGACAGTGGAGCGCGTCGATTCGGAAGTCGCGTCGCGGTAGGTACACGACCACGTGCTCGTGGCCCACCTCAAACGCCTGCCGCGGTGCAACGCGTTTATCGCATGGGATCGCCTCGTGTTTTGAGACGCAGAGAATCACAAATGCCCATGTATTGGCCTAGAGTACACGCATACGCAATATAAACCGAATTGTATTCTACACCAGTGCAACGAAAGCTAAGATGAAAGCAGGGAATAGATTTGGTACAGACTACTGAGCACACGTTTCACAACCATTCAACAGCTTTCTAATCACGCATCGACTTCTGACTTCTTGTCCCGATTCAAGAAACCTAGAAGAGGAGATGAACCTCATGATGAGGGACTCAGCAATTATCTTACCTTTGAACTTTTGGTTGTGAACCTTTTCCCGCTCCTTGTCCATCGCTCGCAATCGTGCAAACTCAGCATTGATGGCAGGAGCATCTTCCGAAACATATCGCTCAGTTTAGTCGTGTGGAACCAAACCGCGTTGCTATAAAGCCGTACCTGCTTCATTCTTCTTCAGCAAGTCTTCAAGAATCTTCTCTGCCTTCTCGAAGTAGCCTGTCTCTCCAAGAGCCTTCGCCTTCCTGAAGAGAGCCTTGTAATTCTCCTCATTTAAGGCTAGAGCCTACATTATGTGAGTCAGCTCGCCATGGCCCAGTTCGGCGACCTCACCTTGTCCGCCGTCTCTATGGCACGTTTCCAGTTGCCTTGCTTCAGATGACAAGCAGACATATTGGAGTAGATTTTTTCCATGATATCATCCGCCTGATCCACACGCGTATGTCAAATTTGTCACCAACTGCAACGAACAATCGTACTTGCCTCAGTCCTCTGTTTCGGAGGTGAGGTTCCGTCCAGAGGAGAAGTCGTTGCCGCCGCTATGGGTGAGAGTGCATTCCTATCATAGAAACGCGTTAGCTTGACCTGCACAGAAGTGTAGCTCCTGCGGACTCACTTGTCTATTCCTTTCAGATACAGTATCGACTGGTACAACAGCCCACTTTCATCAGATGATGTCAATACCAGAGAATATGGAATTACCTCGTAGTACGATCTGAGAGCTAAGTATGAGGACAAACGCGTTCAGAATGCTAGAAAGGGAGCTTGCATTCCGCAGAGTAGTGCGCACCGCTCTTTAGGTCCCCACCCTTGAATGCTTGGTCGGCTACGTCTTTCTTCTCTTTGGCAATCTCAAGCTTCTTGAGAACATCAGGGTTTGGTTGCTGAACCTCTTCAGTGCCGTTGAGTTGCGCCATCGTAAAGTGATCAGCTTTCGAATGTAAGGAAGCGTACGCGTGTGGTCAGGGGATGTAAACCTGTGGCACAAGGGCGCTTATGCTGGGATTGCTTCGGTGTACCACGCGATTCTCACGCATAGAATGGCCACTGATCCCTCTACAAGGGAGCGGTAACTAACGCATACTTACAGCTCGACTGAACCCGACTACCCAGCCTATTCTAGCACGCCCATCTTTCTCCTATAGTACAAGCTCGCTGCTCGAGTATAAGACATGTCACTCTTCTCGAACATACTCGGCGGCATGGCCTTCGGGTTCGCTGCGCGTGTCGGCCAGCTGGCCATCCAGAAGCGGAACATCTACGACAGTACGTGTCCCTGCGCCGTTGCCCACTCGCAATACTGTCAACATCTAACGACTCTGTCTAGACCTGGCGGGACACGCCGTGTCAACGGCAGCCTTTGGCTTCGTAGGATACTGGGCGTATAAGTGGGACGAGCGGGCTGCAGTGCTCATCGCAGAGAAGCGGGCCCAGATTGCTGCACGGAGAGAGGCCGCAGCAGCAGCACACTCATGAGGACAGACAGCTTCATTCCGGTGTGTATGAACCAGTGCTGTTATGGATGCCCTGTGCTGAGCTACGCTCCAGTATGTAGGTTGGTTGCGATAGCCAGCTGCGAAGCCTGTACGATGAGGGAAATACATTTCACGGTGCGATTTTCGAACAGACGATGACGACGGTGAAGCAGTTCAGAATACAGTCTGTTCTGTACTGAGGAGGACCGGTGCAAATCGCTCGTTCATGACGGATAGATAGTGGACAACGACTGAAATTTGCGCAGCGACCCGTCGACTCCGAGGACGCGGCTGTAACTCAAGGCATGGTCAGGCTACCTCTGCCTTTGCGCATCGTCAAACAGTGCATAAGTCTAGATTTTGGGCCTGGAGCCCACCAACACTTGATAACTAACGGTGATGTCTAGTATTCCTTCGGTTCAGTATGTGTGTGCTGCTTTGTACATCCTGCTACACGTACACCTATCTTACTACGACGGCGCAAAAGGGCAAGGGTTGTACACGGGAATGAGAGAGGTCAATAGAGGGAAGGAACTGTGGTGTCATCACAACAGGTGGTGTGCGACGGTTGCAGCAAACGAAAGCACAAAATAATCCCAGACACCCTGGATCGGATGACCTCGGAGAGAAGACAACGAATAGAAAGGAAGTAGGCGAAAGAGCAACAGGAAGATACACTCCCATTGCAACACGCAATGGGGTACAAGGAAAAGGAAGAAATGCGGCAAAACATATGGTACACGCCCGAAGGCATACTTAGTAACTTACAACATTTCCGAGAGGTGGATGAGATACAGCAGATTTGAAACCATGCCGTAGCACTGTTTGACGAGTGACGATTCACTGGTATGCAGGACGAGCCGGACAAAGGAGCGTTTGTGTACACGATCAGGCCTGAAAGGAGGGGCGAATTGTACAGAGTACGACGAGATGATATGGAGAGGCGACCGGTTGTTCTTGCTGAGACGCCTGGATTTGTGACGCGAGCGAAGCTGATAGAGCCACCTTCCGCGAGATATGTGTATGAACAATGAGGGTGTGGGTGCCGGCAGCGGCTAGATTCGAAAGGCGAGCAGATAGGTATATCGAGCATCCGGTGTTACTTGTCCTTGTTGATGATATAGCGATAGATTAGCGATGTATATGTCGAGGTACATTGTTGTCGGTGCGATAGATGGAGCAAGGAGGCCCGAGAAGGTGAATGGATAATGGGCCACCATACAAACCCTCGAGACGCAGCCAGCAAGCGAGCACGTACGGGCAAGGACGACCCGTCAGCTCAAGCTTACACCATTTGGAATGCACTACCCAGGCTCGCTCCGGCGGAGGGAGAGCCGCTCTTCTCAGTAGGAGAACCGGGGCTGCCGAAGGAGATCTTGCGCGCAACGGGACAGTGGGGCAGCTTGCTACCCTTCGTGCGGCGAAGAGCCTTCGAGCTTGCAGGGGTCGCAGTGACGGTGCTTTCCACGGCAGGAGCGTCGGGGGACTTCGGAGAGAGATGATGGGTCTGACGGTCAGCACGAGGGGTACGTCGGCTTGGGGTGGGCGGCTCGAAGCTCGATTGCAGCTGAGGCAGCTCGCCTCCCAATATACTGGGGTTACGTTGTATGTTGGCACGAGGCTTGGCCGGGCGACGCGCCGGCGTGTCCTTGCTGCTCCTTGACGTCTTAGCCGGAGACGACTTGGGGGGCTTTCGAGTTCGGGATATTTCGGGGGATTTGACAGGAGAAGTGGGCGGACTGGCTGAGGAGGCAGTCTTCACCCGAGCCTTCTTCGCCTTCATACTCCGCAGCTTCTCTTCCTCATCAGATGATGTAGCGTCCGAATCCCTACCGCTCAGGCTCATGGCCCCTGAACTTCGTTTCGAGAGAGCACCAAAGGACGGTGCACGCTTCAAGCCTTGGCCAGGCCCGTACAACATCGATCCGGCGAACGATTCGGTACGCTTGATACGCTGCATGCGAGGATCGACGGCGGGCATGACGAAAGAATCCGACGAGTTTGACATATCAGACATGGATCTCCGAAGACGAGGAATACGAGAGCTGGAATGGTTGGAATTAAGAGTGGTAGAGCTGGGAGTTGAAGGAAAGAAGGCCTGTCCGCCTGGAGCGCGGAAGGGGGAAGTCGAACGAGACGAGGGGGCTGCATATGATTGGAATGATGAGGTCGAGAGGAAGCGGTCAGCGTTCTGGAGACGTTGTGATAGACTGGGAATCCGCATGTTAGTACGCGACGAGGTTGATGGAGGGTGCGATATACACACCGACTGATGTTGTCGTTATCCGCCCAATTACGCGCTTCCACTTGCATAAAGTCCATACTCGACTGCCGATACAACGGGCGTTTGGTAGCAACGCGCGCTGTCTGCTGTTGTTCGTCGGTGTCACTCCCTTCCTCTTCTGCGATAGTGTCACTGGCTCCATCGTTTACCGTCTCCTTGGCGAGAGCTCGCGCAAGCTCAACAATCTTTGCACGCGTCGCCCGCAGGGAATGGGGCCAGCTGACAGGCCCCTTGGCTTCTGCTACACCGCGGGCGATCTTATCAAGGAGATTTGATGGAGGTACGGGACCGTTGAACGGAGTGAGAAGATGCGCAGGAAGGGCGTCGAGAGTCTGGAGCAGCACACAGAGTCAGGAAGGATGAAGATGACGAGATGTTGGGGATGGGAAGGCAGGATAAATCTCCAGGCTGTATGGGAATCTGGGCTTACCCTAGATAATAAACGCGTCTGCTCCGGACTCCATTCCGCCTCTAGATCTTCCGTCCCATCGTAGTTTGAGCTGTTCCAACTGTCACTGCTGTAACGCTTCTGCGATGACACGGGCAGGAAGGGGAGAGGCGTGTTGGAGTTGGGCGGAGTACGGGGTGAGGAGTCCTGAGACGCGTGGGATAATCTACGCCGAGGGAGAGGAGGGGGCATGGCGGGAGTGAGCGACGAGACGGCAGCAGGAGGCCGTCTTTGCATACTGTCCTAGAGAGAAACGAAAGGAAAAGGCCAGATAATGGAGGTTTAGAGTACGACACGACGGGCAGCGATCAACATCCGTACGTACAGGCCTCGTTGCCACGTTCTCGTTTAGGGCAGGCATTTACGCGCATCGCCCTCCCACGGCCAGCCACAGGCGCGTTATCGATTGTGCTGGCAACCGACAAAATTTGTGGGCAATTCAACGCACCTTGTCCTCGAACCGCGGCTTACCTTCTCGCTCAGCAGCGTATAACGTGTCATTGGGTGATGTATAGGAGGCTATGAGATTGGTGGACACTAAGGAGCCCTTTCAAGGGAAGAAAGGCGTCGGCGACAACACTCATCGCTCCCCTTGGGCCATCTTCGGCGAGGTTCACGGCGAACACTAGAGCTGGGGCTTCAGACACAGAGAAGATTGCTCACCGTGAGGGCCGTCGCCTTCCAAAAGCTATGAAGCTCACAATCCATTGTCGACGCGGACGACACGAGCATATGAGACTCTGGAGGGATACATCGTGTGCATCGAGAGAATTACCATTCTCCACCCCTAGGGCATGGCAAGTGAGAGGAAGAGGTGCGAACTGTCGTCTGAGCGCTGGGCTGAGCAGTGAGGGCGAGGGGTGTAGAACGGGAGCGAAAGGATGCTTGCGCCACCATCATCATGTTCGGCAAGAAGGAGTGGAAAGGATGTCATGGACGCGCACACCTGATCAGATATCTGAGTGGGTCCTGTGCACAGCGCAACGCAGCCGGCCGAATCTTCGGTGCTTGCGCGGAGTCCGTCCGCCTTCGGAGTCGAGTTATCAGGTTATGTATTACTCACGGAGTTCAACTTGAGTTTAACCGCACGCTTTCGGATTCATAATGACATACAGGTAACCCGCCGTCTCCCGAGACTGGATAATTACTGATACAAGCATGCTATTTGCGTATGGAATACATGAAGGAAATGAAAGGCACCCTGTAAGGATACCCACATATGTAATGACTGGGATGGAACGAGGCCGAATGGTGCTGCGTCTGATCCGATTCTGACTGGCTGCACACCACGCTTTCGCGGTCTCCTTTCAATAGAACGCGTCTGATACATAGACAGCATGCTTGCTACAGACTTATGAGGCCGGTAGTCCTAGTCATGTATCAACCGACTCCACCAATTTGTATTACCAGCTTGCATTTGTTGCGGGGAAGCACAAGGGAAGCATCCTGGTATCCATGGACAGTTGAACCGAACGCAATCAACTTCGCGCGCTAGCTTGTAGACCTGCTAGACGTCGGGCGCCGTCGTTCCCTCTAGGAAGCGAGAACGAACGGACGTCAGCTTTATCTACAAAGGTCGAAAATTAGGCCACAGAGGAAAAACCAAGAGAAGCGCATGGACGTCCGAGTCTCTGGCATACCCGGCGGTGAGCAACTACCGCAGCCAATATTTCATATTCCTGCCGCAATCGCCAGTCGATCAGCTTCCCAGCGCCGACAAGAAGGCGGAATTACACATACGAGACACTACAAAGAAACCATCGTTTGCTCCACATGCAAAGGTTGTGGCGACGTGAAAGCTCTTTCACAATGCCTACGTGGGCAGGGAAAGTGGACCATAGGGCACCATTATCGGCATAGAAAAGGCTTGAAGGACTGTTGTCCGCCGGGAAAGGCGTCTTTCGACGTCTTTCCAGCGAGATACGTCTATGTCGTGGGAAAACCGTGGGGAATTCTTTTCACTTTTGAAGCCTTTTCTGCCTGGGGAAATCATGATATCTTTGCAGTGAGACTTCATGCCATCCGCGGCAGAGGGCCATGCTCGAGGCTCAACGAGACAGATCTCCAACATGACGCATTGAAACCCCGGATATACTCATGCGCCTATCGAGAGGCAGGGAGCCTTCTATAGCGCTTGACTCGACACTACAATTCGCCAGGTCAGTAAGGCGCAGCGTTTAATTCCGGCAGGAGGGCGTACGAGAAAGCACACAACTGTGGAGGTGGCCGCTCCATTGGTAGGCCAACTGCATCGCCCACGAAATTATAACTCTACAGGCCGAAATAACGGGGGAAGGGGAAATTCGAATCGCAAGCTACCAAGGAATTCTCGTACCATGATTTCCTTTTGACTATCCTCACACTGAGCACCTGATCGCGGGCGTGAATGTCGCTAGGAGACGATGTGAAGGTGAGTGACAAGGCAAAATGTCGCCGGATGCTCAGGAAGCAAAAGACCGACAAATTTTTCTTTCGCGTCGACTTCCTGTCGGCAGTACAATTCGTTAGATGCTATGTAATGATGAACGGCGGTAAGACTCGCCTTGGGTGCGCTGCCTTCGTGCTCCTGTCGACGGGTTTATTCGCGAGTAGAATGATTCTGGAGAAGAGTCTGAATACGCGTAGTTAATGAGCAATCTGGGAACGGCCCCTCCGCCGCTATGTCGCCAGATCCCCAAGGCGCAACATTCAGAACAAGACACAGACACATAACAAGACAGACACATACTGGCTGCATGGGTGGGAGCACCTAGAGGACGGCCGATAGTTAAGCTTTAAGACTGGACACGGCGCTCGATTGCAATCGATACGGCAGTTTGCGGTTGCATACCCAGAAAGTACAAGGGGGCACACACAAGACCACAGCACATAAGTCCAATGAACATAAAGAATATAGATAAGGACGTAAGAAAAAATACAAGGGAACAGAATGCAGAACAAGGGACGAGGAATGACAGCTCCGTGCTCACGACTTCGTCTGGATCTTCCTCGTCAGCGTCCTCAGCCGCTCCGCGTTCTTCTTCCGCCGCTCGATATCCACGTCGACGCTCATGCTGCCCTTGGAGAGGCCCACGTTCGAGCGCGGCGCCACGGTGTAGCTGCCCAGCTCGCGCTGCGGGATCATGACCGCGTTCTTCCGCACGCGGTTCTTATCGCTCTCCTTCGCCCGCGCGAGAATCGTGTTGAGCCGCTCTGGCCCGCGCGAGGCAGCATCGCCGTCGCCGATCTGCGCGGTCGGGACGATACGGTCGCGGTAGGACGCGCTGCGCTTGATGATCGGTCGCGACCAGGTAGAGACAAGGTCGTGTGCGAGGCGTTGAATGTCGGGGGTGACACGCTTGCTTTTTGTATAGAAAACGATGACACGGCCGATGCCGGACTCTTTCAGCACGCTCGTGTCGATGAATTCCATCTTCTTGAGGATGGGGAAGAACTCCCTTTGGATGTCGAGGGCCGGGAGGGAGCGGTCAGGCAAAGGATCTAACCATTTCCGCACACCCTCGAGTAAATTGTTATCTGCAATAGACTCTGCAAGCGAATTCCTTGTAAAACGACGTCAGAGCGTGAACACCGTAGTCCAGATACAAGACACACTTTCGCAGTACCTCCATCACTTGCGGCAGGAGCCTTAGCTTAGCCATAGCGGGGAGCTTCTCCCTGTTCGCCTGCTCGTCGTCTTGGGCAGCCGCTATCATCGCCTCCCGGAGCCGCGAGACCTCTTCGTCCGCCACTCGGTCCAGCACGTCATCCTCGTCCTTTCTCTTCCGTTTTGGCCGCGACGCCTTCTTCGGCTTCAGGATGGCCTCAATCTGCATGTCCAGCTTCACCTTGTTAGCTGCAGCGGCGCGTCAGCGGATTCCATTTCAGCGTCGAGGGCAGACGTACCCTGCTCAGGCGGCAGCTGGCTCAGGTCGATGTCCCCCAGCTGCTGCTTTCGCTTCCTCTTCCGTTGCTTCGGCCTCGACTCCCCGTCCTCACCAGCGTCCGTCCTCCGCCTCCTCCGCGGCGCCTTGGCCTTGGCCTTCGGTGCGCGCCGCTCCTGTACGTATTCGTCGCCGGAGTCCGCTGACGACTCTTCCTCATCGCCCATCGGCGACGCCCGCTTTGCACGTTTTTGCGGGACATCTAGTGCGTGCGCCGGAAGTGAGCATATGAGCTGAGGCCTGAGGTGAGAGGCACTTACCATCCTCCTCCGGTGCGGACAACTCGTCGTCGGACTCCCCGCCGAAGATCGCACGCTCCAAATCCTCGAGGGCCGTGAGTCCCGTCTGCTCAAGAATACAGCAAGAATTGCCTTACATCCATTTTATTCGACGTCGACATGGCTGCCGTGCCGGTACAAGAGAGCAGTGGCAAGTATGAGGTGCACGAGGCGCCCGAAGTCGCTACTAAGCTACGCGTGACCGTGACTCCACCGTGACACCCGACATTAGCTCTCCATTTGGAAGGCGTCGTGGTTGGCAGCCTCGGAGGTGCCACGGCGGTCGGGCATTTATATGTTTAAACTCGACACCCTGCTTTTGTTACCCTTAGCCTTGCAGCGCTTCTTACTTGAGGGTATCGGCATAAGCCAATGCACATATGCGGCTCGTGTTTTATGCGCAATTATTCCCCGGCCAAGCTTTGCCAGGATGGACTGGACGTGACATTTCAGCGGGAGCTGGAGGGGAATGTTGGACATTATGACTCTGTGGGCGTATATGAGCAGCGGCCAACGTATGACTTGGTTCTAATTGAGGTACCGTATCTCCACCCGACATCGGACATTTCACATCATTGGCAGCATGTCCATAAGTTTATACGAAGCTGCCTCCTACCCCTGCGCATTCCAGTCCAGAGGCTTAAGAGACTTGCTAGGATCAAAAACAAGTTAGCCAGGAATAACACCTGCCTGGAACTCCGATCAGCGGACGAGCTTTGATATATGTATTCTGCTAGTTTCTCAACCATCGTATGCAAGTTCGACTCTACACGCGGGAGCTTGCCACTACTAGTGCACGAGAACAGTTCGCACTCATGCCGGTTACAGAATACCGTTGGGCAGAAAGACGGTGGGCAACGCGGTGTCCTGCGATTCGACGGGTGAGTGCCAGTCGTTTGATGCGGGACGGTACTCAGTACGCTAGAAATGATCACGACGTTCAATCAGAAGTGAGCTCACCGCTCGTCATCCAGTGCGCTCATCCCCTCATCGTCGGCCCATATCGATAAGTAGGTCTTCTGTGAAGTCCGAGTATGCGCCGCTACACGAAAGACCGGAGCACCGGTCAGAACCGCAAAGCACAGGAATCGGTGGGGCAGTTGCACTGCAATCACAACCACCATACCGCACATACAGTACATCCGATTCAGCGACATGGGGCGTCAAGCTCGCCGATGGGTCCGATACAGGGTCTATACACCGGCAACGGCGCTGTATGGGAGGTAATCAAGAAACTGACAGCACGCATCGAATGGGTTGCGCCGACAGTGCGCACGAAACTCGGTGTCTCATGCGTCGGATCTCCCCAGAGCTTCGTGTGTGTCCAACTTGAACCACACCGAGTCACGGCGAACCGAGGCAACGTTTGGTCCTCCTGCCATTCGATTGGCGCGGCGGAACTGCCTGAAACAGTGTTGGACATAGATCGGCCTCCCCATTAGGTTCGTACTGCGCCGTGCGCAGCAATTCCTGTTGCAGTACAATCGTTGTTCATGCCGACCAGCCGACGCTTGCATAGCTGCGTGTCGTCTGCAAGGGCAACACACACCTCCGTGAAGACTCGGCTCCCTTCTCGCGCACAAATTGCACAGTGGTACACGCTAGTCCGAACAGAAAGCAGTGCGTGAGACTTGCTGAGACGCGCTTTCATTGGCCTTTGCAAGCTACGCATTAGCTACGTGAGACGGTACCTGCTTCCTGGGATCTTTGTCGTATTTTTGGCTGTCTTCCAAGCGCGGCCAGAGTATCATGGATATCCATTGAGTGCTTGAGAGCTTGCACAGTTGCCACGACCTTCGGATGGGCCCTTGAGGCTCACAGACCGTGACAAGCGTCCAGAGCACAGTAAGTTACTAGTCGTTGGCCGGTGCGCCACACGTCTGCAACAAGCAGGTGGCGGGCGGGACGATGCCGAGGAAGGCCGGAGGAAAGGCTAAAGGAGCGCGCGCGGGTGTCAAGGAAGCTACGTAATGCTTCGGATTCGAGAGCGCCGAAGCGGAGCTTCGTGAACGGAAGACGCACATTGACCTGCTGATTGCGGCGCGTGGTCGGACGTGGTCGGGGACTTGGAATCTACAGACAACGACCGCGTCGTCCTCGAGAATGTGAGGTGGGCGACGAAGGAGGTGAAAGAAACATAGACACGGAGATGCAGGTACCGAGAGATGCTCGATCGGTGGCAGGGCTTCGCGCGATATGATTTCCGTGCTTCTCTAGAGCCTGTCTCTGGCTATCTCCCGCGACGTGTGCTGCTCGCTTCCGTCTTGCTCACCGCCATTCTCGTCCTTGGTCTCGTCGTGCAGTGACGAACGATGTTGCGAGCGTTGGGGGCGATGAGCTCAGCGCTGGTAGCCGAGGCGGAGGTGGCTGCGGGGATGCGCGGTAAAAACGGGGCTAATTATACAGACGGCAAGGCCATGCCGAGGGCTGCCCCGAGTCCGGTCGAAAAGTCAGCTGTGCGCATTCTCCCTCCTCCGCCCCTCGTCCACCGCAATGGCCACGGCGGTCCTTCGTGCCATGGCCATGCCCAGCGACATCCGCCTCCACCCGTCCTCCCCGCCCCCTCCATCCCCCTCCAGTCCGACAAACCGCAGCCTCCCCCCGATCTCTCCGAAAGGCAGAGAACGGCCTCTCCCGCCACCTCCCATACCCTCAAAGGACTCAGTGGTCGTCCGCGCCGCGTCACCTGGGCCCAGCATAATATCATCGAGGAGGCTTGCCAAGTCACCCGAGGCAGGGCCATCGCGGTTTCGTCCTCTCTCCCTCACATCGCCGTCTTTCGCCTCGCGCCGTGCTCTCAGCCGCGTCTTCAAGCAGCCCCGCGTCCTCGCTTCTCTGCTCGACGTCTCGAGCTGGGGAGACATACATGCGCTCATCAGTACGTGCCGGGAGCTCAGACACGGCTTGCTGCGCAATCCCGAATGCAGAGAGGCGCTGCTTTCGTTCTACGTCCCCGGATACAGCGTCGCTGTGCAATCTGCAGACATGACGCAGGTCCGCGAGGTCAAGGTCGACTTCCATGACCTCACACTCCTCGGTGCGTTTCTACATCGTCCTCTCCATCTCCGAGACCCTCATGATCCGCGATCCTAGTCCAATCGCAGTTCGTTCCGCTGCACAAGTACCCGATGCTCTCCCTGTCCATCCTCAGCCGCTTGTCGCAGAATGCAGACCAGTTCGAGCTCTACCGGGCCACGGAGCGATACGTCGCGCTCACCCAGGCTCACTCCCGCTTGGTGCTGTTCTTGCAGGCACTGGTCCACAGCGCTCCAACGTCTCCCCTAGCCGACGACTTTGACGACAACCTGAACTTGCTCTCGCCACAGGGTACGAGAGTACCGCAGTTCGCGGGCATGCGCGAACTCGTCTTTCCCGCCCCACTGGCCTACAGCGAACCAGGCCACCAAGGCTCCACCGAGACACTGCCCAGCGCCGCACTAGGCCACAGGCGCACAGCGACGCAGTTCTCAGAAACCGGGAAACCAGCTACTCGCGCGCTCTCGCTCAGCCCCGCACGAGCGTCCGGCGACTTCCACGCGTTGCTGGGGCGCGGCAGCCGACCAGCGCGCAAAGGCAAGGTGTCGCGCAAGTCGCTGTTCAGCGGACCGAAGGTGCCTCCACCCCCGCCCGCCGCGGAGCCGATTGCGAGTCAGTACGTGAAAGGCTGGGCGACCCGCACGTCGTACCAGATGCACCGGTCCCCACCGCGTGCCTGGGACCAGCAGCAGCACCGCATGGGCGTGTCATCCGTGTCCGAGGACGACCTCAAGGCGCCGAAGCGGCGCTTCACGTCAACGACGTTCTCCAGCGAGTCAAGCCTCCTCAGCCCGCCGAGTAGCAGGAGCCAGACGGAGCCGTCCGCGTCGGGGGACAGCTCGTTCTCGCCCCGCGCGAGCTCTAGGGAGTCAAGACCGCTGCCCCCTCCGCCGCCTACCGTTGCAGTCCCGAGAGGGACATCACCGCATGACCTCTACCTCGCGACGTCGCGCACCCGCGCGCCTGTCCTCCGCACGTTCGTGCCGTGTACTGTCCTTGACGACAACGCGGTCGCGGCGTGCGAGGAACAGCTCGTAGACGCGGGCCTGTGGGAGCACCTCTCCGTCGGGGACGTCGTCTGCAACTTCGGGTACGTTCCACCCGTCACAGAGCACGCGGACGGGGACGGCGATGGAGAGCCGAAGCAGGAGTGGCTCCTCTTCGACGGCGCGGGGCTCGCGCCGTACGCGCCGCCCGCCCCGCCCCCGCTCGAAGACCCGCTCTCGCTGCCGTCGCCGTTCTACTACGCGCACATCCTCCCGCCGTGGTCCAACCCGCACTACGTCCTCTCCCTCCCCGCGCTCCCGCGCGGCCTCCGGCCCGACGCACATTCGCGCGCGCTCAGCCACGCGGACGTGCAGCTCACGCTGACCCACGTGCCTGCGCGCGTGCGCAGCCCGCACTCGCCGCAGGGCTACGCGGTCGTGCGCAAGTTCGTGTGGATCGCGCGGCTGCCGTACGTCGGCCCGGGCACGGACGGCGGCGCGGGGCTCGGGCGGGGCTGGCAGGGCGAGTGGATGCTCGAGGGCGAGGGCACGCGGGAGGGCCGGCAGAGCCTGCTGGACGCGCTGAGCGACGGCCCGGACGGCTCGGGCCTGACGCGGAGTGGCAAGTGGGAGGTCGTCCGGGACAAGTCGGGCAACGGACGGCTGTGGATGAAGTGAGTGTCGACGTTCGTGGTGTGCGCTTGGTGCGGGGCTGATGGGCGTGGCGTGTTTAGGTCGTTGATCCCGAACGTCGACGAGGCGAGCGAGTCGGCGGGCTCGTGCGACGGCGACCGGATATCTGTGACGCACTGAACAGACACTGATGGGTACACGAACCCTAGAAAAGGTCCGAGACGCGCTCCCCGCACTACGCTACAGCCCACTGCTTTACTGCCCCCCTACATTCCTAGACTCCATCAGACGCTATCGGTATACCCTCGCGGTCTCTTGAGCCACCCTTCCTATTCTCTGCTGCTACGCACTGTTGACCTACCACTGACACTTGCCGCGCACGCCCACATAATGCCTCTACCCCCACTGCCCGCGCATCTCTGTAGTATCTAGCTTACCCCACGGACGCTTGATGGACCTGTCACGCTGTAGGAACATCTGTCTGCTCGCCCACTCACTATGCGTGCCTCCACCTCTATATCGCTACACATCAAAAGACCATCTACGTACTTCTACCACGACCTTGCTAGGATACAGGCCTCGGCGGTACATACTCACTCATACTACGGTCTCCCTGCTGTAATACATAGTAGATTCTACCTATTCACGCTCCGCCCGGGTGGTGGGGTGGTTCACGCGAGTTTGGTGACGTCGAAGCTGCCGCCGGGGCTGTGGGTGAAACCTGTCTTGGTGAGCACGTCGAGTATTGGTGATCACTTCTGTAGGGATGCTGCAGACCATGCGACGGTATTCAGCCCGGCGGCCTGGTAGATCCTCACGGTCAACATAATGGGAGCTGGGATGCACGGGTGCGCAGAGATTGCCGTCCTCCTTCGGATACCCAAACTTCTCCTTGAAATAATCGTACAGGAACAAGTCATCCAACTCGGAGCACTGTTCTCGTTCTGAGAGCTCGCACCTCCCCGCACCTTCCGCTAATCTACCTATGCAGAGCGTAAGACATGGTACGGTGAGCATCTCTGCAACGTTTGTGACTCACGACGACGTGGATCAGGCGGCCTCGCACATCAGTCAGTCCTCTGACACATTGGGATCCTCCGCACTACGTTCTCTGGTTTGCGCGCAACAAACAGGAAGTGCAAATGAGACATTCGAACACCGGTATGAATACGATGGACGTACTCGAGCCATCTACGTTCTTCCGCAGGCTTGATGACCTCATTGAGAATAGTCGAGTAGATCCTCTGCGATCGCAACATCTGCAGCGGATGGTCCCCTCTCTTGCATGCATCCTTGTGCTCTCTCCAATGTGCTTTCTGGCACGGCGCGCCGCAGTAATATATCTACGCAATCACATGAGCAAACATAAAACCACATATCCCTGAGAACTACGAACTTTCTGACACCCGTGACAGCGTTTCATTTTGAGCCCCGGACGCTCTATCGTTGTACGCCCGGACGCTTCACATCGCTTCCAGAGGGGCAGGAAAAACGGATCCAGCTTGGCGGCCTGTTCGATCTTGGATACACTCCGAGTGTCTTGGCCGGATGCGATGTACTGGTCGACACGATCATTCCATCCGGTGCTGAGAAACTTGCCTAGGGGTTTCGGCGTCCATTCTCCCTCGGGCCTGAGAAATACTAATCTGTCAGACGAATACAAATTCTTCAGCATGGGCACTGACATAGGCAGAAATTCAAGTGAAGTCGCCGCATGCCGGAATGCCGGATCAGCTTTCTCTTTACTTTCGGCATCGTTATGCTCGATGGCCATGAGCACGAGCTCCCAGGACCTCTTCTTTCCCGTGTCTGGCCATTTGTGGACATCAGCGTCTCCATAGTAGCAAAGGGTAAGTAGGTTGCCGTATGTCCGTCGGCTTCCATCATGCGCTGGGTGACGGTCATACGCCCTCGTTCCTCGTCCCATCTCTCCACCAGTTCGACGCTTCTGAGTTTGCAGCAGTTAGCATATGTCTTCGTCGACCTGCAAATGCACGCAAATGTGGGAGGATATGGGTGGTCGCCCGATCCGTGACATTCGGAGAGTGGCTTCCCCGAGAAGCATGGGCATTTCCGCGGTGGTCGCGCCGGTGGTTCCGTCCTCGAGGCCAATAGCGCTACCAGCTCTCTGCAAGCTGATACTCTCGCGGGATCGATTGCCCAAGTATCGAACATCTCGAACATTTCAGTCTGGGGACTTGGGCCTTTGGCGAGAGCCTGAATAAGTTGAGGAGCGGCCCCGTGGAGAGCAAATAGCTCGAGTAGTTCTAAGTCTAGACTTGCTAAAGCGACGACGAAAGGAAGGAGCGACGGCTCCTTGTAAGGGGCGAGATTGACATCGGCGTGCTGCTCGACTAGAATCTTCGCCATGTATCGCAACCGGGACATAGTGGATATGGCGAGGCTTTCGTCCTCGATGCCACCGTGGCGCAGCTGTCGCTTGGCCAGATCGAGTGAGAACCCACCCAGCTCATTCATGACGCAGTACAGCGGTGTCTGCCCCTTGACGTCCCTACGGTTGACGTCGGCCCCAAGACGTATGCATTCGTATACGAATGCCACGTCATAAATCCGCACCGCGAGGTGGAGGTATGTGCTCCCGCTCCCGTTGGGCATGATCTGCGGGAGGGACCAATCGGTGTCGTTGTGACCAGCCCATGTTTCATCGATTGTAGTATACGCATCCCCCAGTGCGAGAACGTAGTGTCGTAGTATCAAGTGACGCATAGGTAGCACCCTGGTGTCGTGCCAGAAGATGACCGTTTCCTCGCAGTAGAAGTCTGGATCGACTTGGAGTTTGAGTTCGTCGAGCAGAGCCTGCGGCAAGCATACTGGTAAGTTTGTTTTCGGCATAATTGAAAGTGGAAGCCGATCGGTGTTGATCCCGGATAGTCCCTGCAGCGAAGACATGGGACGACAGAGGTTGTGACTGGTGTGCGATGATGGTTTGATAATGCGTACGCGTTGAGTTCCAGCGGCGGGCCAACTTCCTACTGCCACCGTAACAGTGGGAACTTCCGTGAGGAGTTCCCTCCTTAGGTGCCAGTGGTCATGAGATCCTGAGAGACGAATCAATTATAATAAGTACTGCCTCACGACATCGGCACAAGTCAATCGAACCTTATATCAAGCTTCTTGACGGTATGGAAGTTCGTTTTATAGCGGGCCAACATAATCATAGTTATGTGATAATAGGGAGCAGATCCAGTCAATTGCGTCTGGCAAATCCTGATTCATACACGGCGTGGGCTCAGTGAGCTGTCACGAGAAAGTGCATGTGCGGCGCGTCAACCGAAACATCGACTATACAGTACCAAACGACTCTAGAGGTACATACCCACAGGAGCTGGCTGATCATCTCGCGCTTTGCCCTCATTTGCGGACACGGGCGTGCCTAACGAGGTGTGTGTAACACCGATGATGGCCCCATCGTCCAGGTCGTTATCGATGTCTGCGGTGCACACGACGCGGAACTCACGTCTCAGCGGCATAATAAACGTTGAATAATCGTGCCACATACCGGCCTCAATGAGCTGAGATGTGGAATTGAGAGGGGTCGTGGAGTCGCTGCATGCTGCCAGTTGGGGGACAAGCTGGCGACCTCGAGCACTGATGCCCTCTAGCGTGTTTACCTGCCTACAGGTCATCCGACAGCTCGCGTTCTCGAAAATCGCATCCACGTTTTGGCGGGTCATGCTTCGCCATGACGGGGAGAGGTAGAGTTGACCTGGCCGTCTTGCAGGGTGGAAAACGGGGGCGGCGGAGTGTTCGACGGAGACTAGTAAGGCAGGAAGGTAGCTTGTCATGAATTGGGCACGGTAATTTAGGCTGGCGATGTCGTGAGAGTCAAAGAATCGAGCTGTATACATATTTCCTGATCACCGCTACGTTGAACTCGACTTGCTTCTTCACTCATCCAATGAAGGCTAAGGCAAAGGTATAATCAGTCTCATCGGCACTAACCCAAAGGCAGCAACAGGGAAGTGACTCACTAGTCACCCTCGTACTACGATGGGCGCCCTTGCGAGCGCCGCACTGCTGCAGTCGAATCAGACGCGTACAGACTCAACATGTTTAGGCCGACGACGAAGAGCAGTCTACTCAGCTCGTAAGCTTGATCAAAACAGATCGCCCGTAACCGTAGCAAAACGTGCTGGCAGGTTTTCACTGGGCATGCAACTCGTAGTTTTATCATTAAGGAACTTGGGGACAGCGACTTCATCGCGAATTTTGCACAACTTGAGCTTTTGCGTCTTGTATTCGCTGGAGAATGTATACAATTTGAACTGGTCGACTATTGGGTATGGGAGGGACGTTGGATGTTGCCGAAAGGCTCCTGCTGTGTTAATCGAATACCTCAGAAGAGCGTCTGCCAGACGTATATATCCAACATGGGATTATGCTTTGCGGCAGCATACATGTTCATGACACTGCTTACAGCGGGTACGACACATCGTACAACACACACGCAGTCCTCAGAGATCACGGGCTGAGATCACTGTCCGACTTGGTACGGGCCAGCAAAACATGTCAGCTACATAGCACACATAGGTTCAGTGTACGTACGCCAGTAGAGCCAGTGAGCTCATCCTCATCTTCTGAGCTCGACCCGGTGGACATGGAATCGGAATTGTCGCCAGCATGCTGCGGACATTGAGGACGTTGTCAGAGGACATCAGACAGTGGAACTATGGGCCAACAGATACCGTAGTCGGAGCGTGAGACGCGACATGCTGAGACGGCTGGTGAGACAGCTGGATTTGATGAGACACGGTGCAAATAGGCGCAGCGACGGGACGACAGCCTACCACAGCAGAGGTACGTACCGCAAGATGCCTGGAGTGCTCTCGGGCCGAAGAGACACCCGCGCTGAGACCTACCTCCGTATTGTCCTCGCCAGTACTGTCGGCCTCGCTGAGGATGGACGACGCACGAGACGACGCTGCTTTTGTAGGGCCCTTTTTGGAACCCTTCACCACGCGGTGAGAGCAATTATAAATCCGCACAAAGCAGTACATACCCTGGCTGGTTTCATTGCACCCTTTGCCTCCTTCGCTTTGTTCTGTTCAGTCTGCCACTTCTCTGCGAACTCCAGCTGCAGTACACCATTCAGCGCAGCACGGTATGTAATTGTGAAAAACGTACCGCTTGTTGCACTGTGACAGCATAGTCCTTCATCGACATGTTCAATGCTTCCCAGCCCTTCTCCTCCCGAACACTGGATCCCCATAGAGTGAATTGCGGCCATTCCTGTCAGCCCATGCCTTCCAATCATAGGCTGATAGCTGTTATTAGCGAGCATGATGGCATGGAAACATCTGACATACATACCAGTAGGGTCTTCTCTGAGATGAGGCCTGAACTTCTCGACACCACCACCAGTGTAGTCCCCGGGGTCGCAATGGACCGCAACAAGCCAGATATGGAGCCAGGGATTTAGCTTGCAGCCTTTCCCTGATTTGCACTTGAGCTGCTCCGCCTCCCATTTAATGACCTTGCTGCGGATCATCCGTATAGCATTGCCACTCCAGGCCTCCCTGTCTTGAAAGTGCCATGGGTCACTGTTCTCGGGAATCGCGTCAGGCCTCTCATTCCCCCATGGCGAGGGGGTTGATTTGAGGACCCTATCGATGGTGTAGACAATGTAGCCAAACCACGTCGTGTACCGATTCATCAAGCGTATGCCCTCATCGTAGCGCAGAGACAGACGCGCCTTGTACTTGCCCTTGTCGTCCATGAGGTCGACCCAGCGGTGGTCTCCAGTTGGCCCGAGCACAGACATCCAGTCAGAGGCATCCGATGCCTGCTGGCGCATGATGAATCCCGTCCGGGCCTTGGGGAACGTCGCGATGTACTCATCCAACGTTTTCATGACGGTCTCGAACTCCTCGGGTGTAATGTACTTTACACCATTCCCTCCCTCCTCCTCCTCCTCCTCCTCCTCCTCCTCCTCCTCCGCCGCCGCCGCCACCTTCATGTTCTTCCTCCTCGCCGTGGCCCTGGTGCTGACAGTAGCACAGTGCCTGTGCCCAGAGGTCTTCACGTGTCGGTCCACTGGCATAATTGCTTTCGATATATTCGAGAGGCCGGGGAAGCAGGAGCGCAGCGAACAAAGATACCAGCACTTGGCGGGAAGAAGCAGGAAGGAGCACCGCCCTAAAGAGGCGCCCAGCAATTGGCACGGATGCGGACGGTCAACGAACACTAGTAATGGCTCTGTCCCCATGCTGGCCTTGAACGGCATTGCTGCTCGCATTGCTGTAGTACGTACCTACTAGTAGCTATAGAGCTTACCTCCCGGACTCATGAGCATCTGTCTGCCATCCGCTTACTCACTATATGCGTGCTAACTTGTACCAATTCTATATCGCTACACCATCTACATACTTCACCACGACCTTGCTAGGGATACAGGCCTCAGCGGTAAATTCTCATATTGTCTCCCTGCTGTACTAGTACATAGTAGATTCCGCCTATTCCCGGTGGTGTGGATGTTCACGCGAGCCTGGCGACGTCGGTGTTGACGAACTGTGCGACGTCGAAGCCGCTCCCGGGGCTGTTGATGAAGCCTGTCTTGGTGAGCACATCGAGAGTGTTCGTGATCACTTCCGTCGGGATGCTGCCGCAGTCGTGTGACCATGCAACGGTCTTCAGCCAGGCCTATAGATTCTCTACGGTCAACTGATGGGAGCTGGGATACACGGGTGTGCTGACGGACCTTGACGTCCTCCTCCGGGTACCTAAACTTGTCCTTGATAAACTCGACGTCCGCAGCCTCACGCTGGGCGGGGTCGTCGAACGTGCGGACGTAGATGGTCAGGGTGTCTAGGAACGTGCGCAGAGCTTCCGACGAGGCTCGCGTGGGGTGCGCGGCGATCAACCAGGAGGGCCAGGGAGTTGGCACAGATCCAATCTATCGCATTACCCAATGTTAACTCAACTGCGATGCATGGAATGTAAAGCGCAGTGTGGACACGTACGAAGCGCGCCTCGCCGGCGTCGACGAAGGGCTTGGTGGTGAACCACTCCCACATGAATGCGCTGGTCGTGCCATCGTTGACCGAGCTGATGAGGCCGCGGATATCATTGTTCACTGCGCGCTCAGGCTTTGTCAGCGCACGTTCCTAGACATCGCGTCCGGATTCTGGGTCTTCAATACTCACCTTGGAACTGCATCTTGTCCGTCGGCCAGTCCTGTTGAAGGGCCATGACGTACGCCATGGTCTGGCTCCCACTGATATCCATGAGCCGGACGTTCTCAGACGAATGAAAGGCGAGCCAACCTTCCGTATCTCGAGATGCCGATGGACGTTCCCTGCAGATCCGGAATTCCCTTGTACTGGGTGTCCTTCCCGGTGATGACGGCCCTACGCGGATATAAGTCCCCGCGCACCAGTGAGTCTGTTTGCCGGAGGGAAACGCACCAATTTAGCGGCGTCGTGACGTAGCTGCCCACGAGCTTGTAGTGCTGCGACCCTCTGGCTATGCCAGAAATTAGAGGGTCTGTCAATGCACTAGCGTGCGCCATGATCGTAAAGATGACATGCACCACACAGAATGGTCAGTGAAGTCGCGACCCCGGGTGCTGCACTCACACCGCAACGTCGATCTCGTCGTTGGTCAAACGTGTGATGACCTGACCAGTCCCGCCTGAGTCGTAGACGTAAAGTTAGGGTGCGTCCCAGCATGATGGCAGACTCAATGGTACATGCTTACTTGGGCACTCTACAAGCGTGAAAGTCTTGCCTCCGTCTGCCTCGGCGTACTGCAGCAACGGAGAGGAGAAGTGTTCCCGAACTGCCAATCACATGAGATCCGTAAACACTTGCAGTCAGATAAACAGCTCTGTGAGGTCCAACACGGCTCTATCTCACCGTAACCGACTCTGAGGGGCATGTTGATGAGTCTGAGCAAACACTGGCCAAGACCGTTCTAGGAACCTAGCCGTGCCAGGTGGTGGCGGAGAGTCAGAGCGCAGCACGGTCGATAGATCGAGGATCTGAGTATGTAAGGCGCACGACGTCATCCTATCGTGATCAACTGGCCGACCGCAGTCGTGCAGGAGTTCGAACGCCTGGCACCGCGATACACTCATACAGTAAATTATCGGCAAGAGACACAACCACCGTCGAACGACAACTTCATAGGTACGATACAAGCGGCCGTGGTTTACAATCTGGTTAACCAAGGCAAACATAATCATACAGAACAGGTCGTCCGAGCACTGTTTCTCGTTCTGAATCCGAGCACCTCCCGGAATCCGAATTATATGCCCCCCGTCATCGCTCACTGTCCTGATAAAACACCCCGCTAGACCCCTTCATACAGCACAGCCACCTGTGCAGAGCATAAGGCATGTTAGGGTGAGCGTATTTGGCACGGTCATTCAATCACTCACTACGATCAGGCGGCCCCGGCGCACATCAGTGTGTCCTCAGACACAGCAGGATCCTTCAAACCAAGGTCTCTGGTTTGCGTGCCACATTTAGAAACTGCAGATGGGACAGTAGAGCGATATAGACAGAATGGACTTACTCGAGCAGTCTATGTTCTTCCCTAGGGTTGATGACCTCGTTGAGAATAGTCCAGTAGATCCTCTGGGATCGCAACATCTGCAGCGGATGGTCTCCTCTCTTGCATGCATCCTTGTGCTCCCGCCAATGTGCTTTCTGGCACGGCGCGCCGCAGTAATATATCTACGCTACGAGGTGAGCAAACGTAGAACCACACATCCACAAAAGCTACGAACCCTCTGACACCCGTGGCAGCGTTTCATCTTGAGGCCCGGACGCTCTATCGTCGTACACCCGGACGCTTCACAACTCTTCCAGAGGGGCTGGAAAAACGGATCCAGCTTGGCGGCCCGTTCGATCTTGGGTACACTCCGAGTGTCTTGGCCGGATGCGATGTACTGGTCGACACGATCATTCCATCCGGTGCTGAGAAACTTGCCTAGGAGTTTTGGCGTCCATTCTCCCTCGGGCCTGAAGAATATTAATCTGTCAGACGGATACGAATCCTTCAGCATGGGCACTGACATAGGCAGAAATTCAAGTGAAGTCGCCGCATGCCGGAATGCCGGATCAGCTTTCTCTTTACTTTCGGCATCGTTATGCTCGATGGCCATGAGCACGAGCTCTGAGGACTTCTTCTTTCCCGTGACTGGCCATTTTGTGGACATCAGCGTCTTCATAGTGGCAAAGGGCAAGTAGGTTGCCGTATGTCCGTCGGCTTCCATCATGCGCTGGGTGACGGTCATACGCCCTCGTTCCTCGTCCCATCTCTCCACCAGTTCGACGCTTCTGAGTTTGCAGCAGTTAGCATATGACTTCGTCGACCTGCAAATGCACGCAAATGTGGGAGGATATGGGTGGTCGCCCGATCCGTGACATTCGGAGAGTGGCTTCCCCGAGAAGCATGGGCATTTCCGCGGTGGTCGCGCCGGTGGTTCCGTCCTCGAGCCAATCGCGCCACCAGCTCCCTGCAAGCTGATGCTTTCGCGGGATCGACGACCCAAGTGCACGCCTGGGGACTCGGGCCCTCAGACAAGGCCCGAATAAGTTCAAGAGGGGCCCCATGGAGCGCCACCAGCTCGAGTAGTTCTAAATCCAAAGTCACCCAAGCGATGCAGAAAGGCAAGAGCAACGTGTCCTCGTAAGGCGCGAGATTGACATTGGCATGCTGCTCGATCAATATCTTCGCCATGTGACGCAACCGAGAAATAGTGGATATGGCGAGGCTTTCGTCCTCGGTCCCATTGTGGCGCAGCTGTCGCTTGGCCAGGTCTGATGAGAACCCATGCAACTCCTGCATGGCGCAGAACAGCGGTGTCTGTCCCTTGACGTCCTCGTGGTTAACGTCGGCACCCAGACGTATGCATTCGTATACGAACGGCACGTCACAGAACCTGACGGCGAAGTGGAGGTATGTGCTCTCGCTCCCATTGGGCATGACCTGCGGGAGTGACCAATCGGTGTCGTTGTGACCAGCCCATGTTTCATCGATGGTCGTATACGCATCCCCCAGTGCGAGAACGTAGTGTCGTAGTATCAAATGACGCATAGGGAACACCTTAGCATCCTCCTCGTCCCGCCCGAAGATGACCGATCGCTCGGACTGGAAGTCTGGATCGACTTGGAGTTTGAGCTCGTCGAGCAGAGCCTGCGGCAAGCATACTGGTAAGTGTGTTTTTGGCATCTTCGAAAGCGGAAGCCAATCGGTAAGCATCTCGAATGTTCGTTACAGCGGGGACTGTGGACGACAGAGGTTAGCTGGTACTAGTAGGCGATGATGGTTTGATAATGCGTACGCGTTGATTCGGGTGGCTGGCCAACTTCCTACTGTTACCGTAAGAGTGGGAACGCCCATGAGGAGCTCCCTCCTTAGGTGCTAGTGGTCATGAGATCCTGAGAGGCGAAGCGATGACAGTAAGTACTGCCTTACGACATCGGTGGAAGTCAATCGAACCTTATATCAAGCTTCTTCACGGTACGGAAGCTCGTTCATAACGGGCCTTGTGTGGGCCAACATAATCGTAGTCGATGGTAGGTATCAGGTCATTTGCGGCAGCCAGATACCAAACTTACACACAGCGTGGGCTCAGTGAGCCGTCACGGGAAAATGCATGCGCGGCGCGTCAACCAAAACACACATCGACAGTACTACGCAATTCCACTCGAAGTCCCCACGTTCTCTGCTGAAGGAAGGCGATGTCCCAGAACCCGCGCGGCTTGAAGGGCGATATGTTCACATACTACCATCCGATATTGTGGACCGAGAAGGGCATACATTAGTCACAGTCCGCGAGACTATTCGATGACAATCATCCATGCTAGTATAGAATAGAACAAGCTACGCATCCATCATGGAACACACATCAGTACAATGGATGCCAAGAGATGCAACGAAGCTTACAGCAGGGGGTAGACGGCGAGCATTGTCCTTTGCTTTTCGAGCTTCGTACCATCCAGGAAATTCACAGACGCTTGTGATTGCATCAACACGGCAAACAGGTGTAGTTAAAAGCGGTAAGTGACGCACCCCATACGCACCAGGCCCATGCAACAAACGTCACAGGTAGCCTGACGTAGACTAGAGGCACGAACACAGAGACCAGCGCAGCAATGTTCAGTGGGGCGACGCAATACCCGAACACGCACAACCCTTGGAAGAAAGAACTGTTCATGTCGATCATCAGAGTTATATGAAGTGCCGCCGTGAACGCTGACTTACACTCGGCCACCCAGTAGCTGAGATTCGTTCACAGTGATGAGCTTGCGGGTCAGCTTACAGGAACTCACTTGCTCACCTTTGCTTGTATTGTGACGACAAGCGAGCCACTGGTCATAAGGCAGACGACGGTTGTGAAGATGGGAAGGGATTGGTCAGGGGCAGCCTGTAAAACCAATATGGGAAACCCGAGCAACGCAGAGACATGCAAATGAACTGACCCTGATACTCAGTAGAATTCCGAGGGTAAGACTGATGACAAGCGGACCCCAGAGGTCCCAATCTCTGCAACGCATCTGAGACGGCAACTTACGGAAAACGGCAGTCATACCTGAGGACCTCTCGGTGTCCGGCTTTTGGAGGGTAGAGTACTTGTATAGTCTTGGTATAAATTGATAGTAGGTCACGTCCCTGCAAAATGCGCATTAGCTAGCTTGATTGGCGTGTCCCGGCCTGGCGCACAGACAATTGTTGTGGATATCGGCTCGTCAAGCGTGTCGAGTCCTGTATTGCTAGTACAACAGCAAGCTCAATCTTCAAATGCGGTCAATTCTGACTGCTCGCGTACCGCATCTCAACCTGCACCCCTCCGACTGTGTTTCGTGATGGTCGCGCGTTGCCATCGGTTGAGCTGCCTATGATGCCCGAGACGGGACTATGAGGGTATGTAGACGCAGGGGCTGGCTGGTCATCTCGTGCTTTGCCCTTACTCGCGGACACGGGTGTGTCTAACGAGGGATGCGTAAATCCGGGGATGGCCTCATCGTCCAGGTCGTCATCGTTGTCTGGTGCGCACACGAGCTCATGTTTCAGCATCATAGCGATAATCGAGCAGCGTTGCACATACCTGCCTCAATAAACTGAGACGTGGAAGTGAGAGGGGTATGGACGTCTGCGTCGTCGAGTCGCTGCATGCTGCCAGTTGGCGGACAAGCTGGCGACTTCAAGCGCGACCGGAGGCGCGTCTGCACCGCACAGGCCCACGTGATGTCTCCCACGTGGGCGAGACACTGACGCGTCGCGTCTTGCGCTGCTCAGCTCAGCCTGCGGTCCCTCTCCCTCGCTCACTCCCGTCTACACCTTCTGCCTTATTCCCCGCCAGACAAGCCTTCCGAGTAAGATGGTGTGTGATGAACTGAAGCAAGCATCCCGAGTCGTGCTTACATTGTGCGATACAGGGAAACACACCGTCAGGACTGCCCGGTGCGCCCCCTGGGGGCCAAAAGCCAGGCGACCAGAACCAGAAGAATAACCAAGAACAGCAGAAGAAGAAATGGGAGCCCCCCTTGCCTACTCGCGTTGGCAAGAAGAAGAGAAAACGCGGCCCCGACGCAGCGTCCAAGCTGCCTGCAGTTTACCCAACTACCCGCTGCCGCCTTCGGCTGCTGAAGATGGAGCGCATCAAGGACTATTTGTTGATGGAGGAGGAGTTCATTCAGAACCAAGAACGCCTCAAACCGGAGGCAGCGCGAGAGGAGAAGAATGAGGAGGACAGGACGAAGGTTGACGACCTGCGTGGCAGCCCGATGGCAGTGGGCACGCTGGAGGAAATAATCGACGATGACCATGCAATTATCAGCACGGCGTCAGGTCCTGAGTACTATGTCTCCATCATGAGCTTTGTCGACAAGGATCTCCTCGAACCTGGTTGCCAGGTGCTTCTTCACCACAAGAACCAAGCGGTCGTCGGTGTCCTCCAGGATGACGCGGATCCTATGGTCAACGTCATGAAACTGGACAAGGCACCGACAGAGAGCTATGCGGACATTGGCGGTCTGGAGCAGCAGATTCAGGAGATCAAGGTACGAAGACGCTGACACACGTACCGAAAGGAAGCTGACAGTGTAATAGGAATCTGTGGAGCTGCCGCTCACGCACCCCGAGTTGTACGAGGAGATGGGCATCAAGCCACCGAAGGGCGTCATCCTCTATGGTGTGCCTGGTACTGGGAAGACGCTGCTTGCGAAGGCGGTGGCGAACCAGACATCCGCGACTTTCCTGCGCGTAGTGGGCTCGGAACTCATTCAGAAATACCTCGGTGATGGCCCGAAGCTTGTGCGGGAGATGTTCCGAGTAGCAGAAGAACACGCGCCAAGTATCGTGTTCATTGACGAGATTGACGCCATCGGCACCAAGCGGTAAGTGGGATATGCCACCAAATTGCCAGTCGAGTTAATGTTTTGTCTAGGTACGACTCGACGTCAGGGGGTGAACGGGAAATTCAACGGACCATGTTGGAGCTCCTGAACCAGCTGGACGGTTTCGACACACGAGGAGACGTGAAGGTGATCATGGCGACGAACAAGATCGAGTCGCTGGACCCTGCACTCATCCGACCTGGCCGTATCGACCGGAAGATCGAGTTCCCATTACCTGATATCAAGACGAAACGACACATCTTCAAGTGGGTCTTACCTTTACGTGCTCTGTATCAGCACACTGACCGTTGCATGTCCAGGCTGCACACATCACGTATGAGCCTTTCCGAGGATGTCGAGCTTGAGGAGTTCGTCACTGCAAAGGACGACCTGTCGGGTGCCGATATCAAGGCGGTCTGCACAGAAGCCGGGTTGCTGGCCCTGCGAGAACGACGGATGCGGGTGACGAAGGTCGACTTTGCATCCGCGCGCGAGAAGGTACGTGTGTCGATGTGGGCTACGTGGGTAGTGCTGACTATGGCCTTGCAGGTGTTGTACAGGAAGAATGAGGGCACACCAGAGGGTCTCTACCTGTGATTGTATCGTACTACCTCCTAGTCTCTTCTGTTTTTGTCTTTCGTATGGACCTTGCATATTGCTGTTAGTGGATCGATGGAGGTTCGATGAACCTACCGAGAAGCAAGATTGGCCATGTGGTATTTGGCCCCGGAGGGTGAGCGCGCTTGGTGTCACGTGCTAATCGCGTCTGTGGCAAATCGCGCTCGTGTCTTCGTGGAACTGCAAGCGCTTCCTTCAAGCTTCCTTAGTCTTTTCTGAGTCCCTCAGGGAGTCGTACTGTGCCAAACTTGCTCGTTGTCATCCTATCGATATCGTCACGCGGGTGGGGCCTTGCTTGGCCTTGAGGGTCATATGAGCATGCAATCCCATAAGTCACTGTATGTTCCAGTTACGAGTTGCCGGTACCGCGGCTAGTAGGTGCATGTGAAATCGCGGGCTCTACCGGGGCTTCAGGTGTCCACTGTCCTGTTCGCTCTCAAGGCCGTCTCGTCTCACATCAAGCTTAAGGCCCTCTCAAGAACACTCTCTACATTCGCTATGGGTCGGCCAACGGAGAACAACCAGGACAGTCTGACGGTGCGCGATAACCGGACAGGCCAGACGTACACTATCCCGTAGGTCTTCCACTAAGAGTCTCTTGAGTGCGCGAGTCGCGTGGCTGAACTGCGTCAAGGATTGTGGACAACGCGGTGCCCGCGAATGCGTTCAAGGACATCAAGGCACCGAAGAAGGCTGGCGAGCGGGAAGAGAATGAGACGGAGAAAGGCCTGCGGGTGCAGGACAAGGGTTTCCTGAATACTGCTGTCATCCGCAGTGAGATCACATATATTGACGGTGAAGCCGGAGGTGAGCAACTGTTGGCACGAACCGTGAATTGACGTCTTACAGAATATACGCCTCCACGTAGTCTTACGTTACAGGTCCGTAGCGACTGTGTCGCGTGCAGGGGATAGCTAACGCGATGAGATGAATAGAGGCTACCCGATCGAGCAACTTGCCCTTCACTCGTCACATCTAGAGTCTGCGTACTTGCTCATTTATGGCGCGCTTCCGACGAAGGAGCAACACGCTCATTTCGAAACGGAGGTGATGCGTCACGGCCAAATGCACGTCGACTCCGAAGAGTTCTTCCGCTCGTTCCGGTATGTGATCCGTCTCTGTAGTGTCATGTCTACTAAACACCACGGCACGCCTGCTAGGTATGACGCGCACCCGATGAGCATGCTCACGAGCGCGTTCGCCATGCTCGGCTCGTTCTACAGCGAGGCCAATCCCTCCCTCCAAGGTACACCTCAGTGATCTACACCCGTGCCGAGTGTAATATGAAAACATATTGATGCAGGCCAGAAGTTGTACACCAAAGGCGACAAGGAATCGCTTGCTACAATGGACAGACAAATATATCGACTAATAGGGAAGGCGACCACACTCGCTGCGTATGCCTCCTCTCCTTGTGTATTACAAGTGTGGGGTTCTCGTCTGACGATGTCTGGCAGCATGGCATACCGTGTACGACAAGGACGAGACTTCGTCACTCCGCTAGTGGGACTTAGCTACACGGGATCGTTAGTGGTCTTGCCTGCCTGCCTACCGTCGGCGCGCTAAGCATAGATATTTTCTAGGTTCCTGTACCAGATGGACCACCTGGGCGAGGAAGACTACAAACCCAATCCGGTCCTAGAGAAGGCGCTTGACGTCCTCTTCCTTATTCACGCAGACCATGAACTGAATGCATCATGTACTACGGTTCTGCAAACGGGCAGCTCGCTGGTCGACCCATACTCTGCATTGCGTAAGTGCGCTTCTGCTGTGAACATCAACATGAGGGCTGAATACCCGACTTACAGAGCTGGCTGTGCTTCTCTTTAGTGAGTGTCAGAGTGCTCAATAGGGTCTCAGAGCTTACTGCGTGCCCTTTAGTGGGCCATTACACGGCGGCGCTAACGAGGCCGTCATCCGGATGTTGGTCTCCATAGGAAGGTTGGCACTCTCCTCCTGTTTAATTGTCGTCGCGAGTCAACTGTGGATTGTAGCCCTAAGAATGTTCCTGCGTTCATTGAGGCCGTCAAGAGACGCGAGAAAACGCTGTCTGGCTTTGGGCACCGGTACGTAACTGCTACTGCTACCTGTGTGAAAAGGCTATTCTCACCACGATGCGCGCGTTGTCAGCGTGTACAAGACGGTCTGTGCTATTGTGTAATTCACACTATCCGGAATGACCACTGAAGTCAAGCGGTAGTCTGATCCTCGATCATTCATCGTGCGGAAGACGGCAGACGAGGTGTTCAAAGTGTTTGTGCTGGTTTCATAGCCTCTCGCGATACCTCTCATATCGGTTGCAGTACAGGGAGGGATGCGCTACTCGAGACAGCTATGGCGCTGCACGATGCTGCGATGAAGGATGAGTACTTCATCAAGCGGAAATTGGCACCTAACGTTGACTTTTGGTATGTCCGCGCACCATTGCCTTCGCGACGGCAGGCTCATTACGTGCCCTTGCAGGAGGTACGTCTTGTCGGCACCTAGCATCACGTTTCGCTCACGGGTTTCCAGCGGCCTGATTTACCGTGCGATGGGTAACGTGTCTCTCCTCCCGTCAATTCGGTGCGGTGCTAATAGGGCCCCGAAGGCTTCCCAATGGACTTCTTCCCGGTGTTGTTCGCCGTCCCGCGGGTAGTTGGCTGGCTGGCACACTGGAGACAGATGATGCTGCAGGAGGGGGGCGTGAAGATTTGGCGTCCCAGGCAGGTGAGTGGTCGCCGGAAAGGCCGTGCTGTACAGGGTCGCCCAGCTGATCCGGCCGCCGGCATGGTTGCGTGCAGGTATACGTCGGTGCGGGGAAACGCGAGTACGTGCCCGTCGGGAAGCGCGAGGCGGTGGAGGGCCTGGGGCAGACGCCGTCTGCTGTCGAGCATGGCGGGTGAGTTGCATGCGCAGTTTGTCGTTGGCGTGCAGGAGCCTCGTGCTGATTGTTCGTCCTGATTTCGCTTCCGTTTCGGGCAGGATCACGAAGAGGACCATGCTGGCGGACTTCAAGGGGAGAAGCAGGCTCTGAGTTGCTGTACAGACCTCAGCCTGTACTTGGCCTGTACGGCGTACTATACTTTTAATTTACCCCGTGTGCGGCCGAATGTGCATGCTCTTGTGATGTCGCGGAATGTGTTCAGCCGTCGCTGCCGCGCCGTCGGCGAATGGGGCGCGACCGCTTGGCCCAACTTGGCGAGGGCACCATATGCTCGTGTTTGGCGGTGTTTGTCTTGGAAACATTGTGACGGCGACGGTCGCCCTCCTCACGCCCTCCTTGCTCATCACCACGTCGACCTTTTCTCTCCCTCCGTCCCGTCCGTGAGCTCCCTGCTCCTCTCGTTCCTCCCCGCGCATTGCCACAATGTTCGCCACGCTCATTTCTGTCGCTCTCTTCTCTGGCCTTGCCATCAAGGGAGCTCGCGCCGATTTTGCGCTCAGTACCCCCACTCTCGCCAGGTGACTTTCGGTTCTCGAAGGCCAGTTCAACCCGGGTTCCTTACTCTGTGCTTGTCCCCCTAGTGTCAACCCGCCGACTTCAGCTGGGCGAGCACCGGCTCTGACAGCTACAACATCATTGCCGTGCCCAGCGACGATGTCTGTGGCGATGAAATGTACGCGTTTCCTTATCCGCTTCTGCTGGCCGGGGAGCTAACAATGCATTGGCACCAGTGCTGACCTCGGTGACTTCACCGGCACCACCGGCACTTGGACAGTCGCCATCCCCGCTGGTCAAAACGTAACGTTTTCTGTTCAGGACCAGTGGGGCAACGAAGCTTGGAGCGGTTCGGTCAGTCGGAGACATCGGTCAGTTCCGCGCAAAACTGATCAGATGGATTGTAGGCAACCGTTGGTCCGAGTGACGACTCGTCTTGCTTGTCGGCCGTCTCTGGCGCATCCTCCGCTGTCAGCAGCGCTGTCGCCACCGCGACCACCTCGTAAGTGACTCTGTGTACGCCAGCATCCTTGTCCTGACGCCTCCTCCAGTATCCACCCTTCCACCGCCAAGGGTTCCGGCGTGGTTAACAACGCCCCCGCCTCCAGCAGCTCCGCTGCTCAGGTTGTTGGCGCCGCCAGCTCTGGCGATGGTACTTCCGCAGGGTTCACCATGCACCAGCTTAACGCTCCTGTCATGATCCTCAGCGCACTCGCTGCGCTCGCCATCGCGTTCTAGAGAACGCGACAATATACCCTCAAATTGACGCTTCGCGAAATGCCTATTGTATCGTGCTTCCTGGGGTTGGGTGTGTTACAGTTTTCTTGATCCATTCTAGGTGGTCAACGACGTGGACGCTCCGGTAGTTCCGTCGATGCCATCTTCGGTCGTTAGGCCGCTGGTTTCGGCTTGCGCAATGTCGAGTCGTTGCGAGCGGGCCTGTTGCAGCGTGGTCAAGCTGGGTGTACCATGACATATACCTATGTATTGGCGATCTGGAATGATTATTATCTTCTATATATACGTGTCTTCCGCTGTCTATTGGTGTTTGTGCTTGTGAATGTGGAATTCAAGTGTCTCGTGTATAGTGTATTGCCTAACGCGTCTGAGTGACCCACCGCGGCCCCAGGAGTGTGCCCGATGACCCGAAATCCTGAACTAAATCACGTTTGATGCAGAACCACTTGTTCAAAAGAAAGATGTCTCTCCTGTCCGCAGGATCGCACTGCTCGCCATGTCGCCAACCCACAATACTCGACTCGTGCTCGCAGAGCGGCCGACCGCGCAGGTGATGCCCTCGACATTCCGTCGGGAGGTCGTGCCGTTCGACTTCAAAGCGGGTCCCGGGGAGGTCCTCGTCAAGGTTGAATATGTCTCGATTGACCCGGCCATGCGAAGCTGGTTGAACGACCGGAGGAATTACATCGAGCCCGTGAAGATTGGCGAGGTTATGAGGGCTTTCGGGTTGGGTGAGGTCGTCCAGGCGGGTGAAGGGAGCGGGTTTACTCCGGGCGACCGCGTTGCCGGTGTGCTCGGTGAGTATGTGCATGCGCTGAGTTTACCGAGGATACTCAAAGACGGTCAGGGTGGCAAGAGTATGTTGTGTTGAAGAACACGGCGGTGCGAAAGGTGGTGTATGTCCAGCCTGAGTGCACGTATCCTGGCACCACGTTCTAGGCTGACTATCTGCATTACAGCGTGCCTCGCGGGGCAGAATACCTGGACTTCTTGGGGCCGCTGAGTATGACTGGTATGTCAGAGTTCAATCGAAGCATACCGATGACCTGAACACGACCATGCCTCAGGGTTCACTGCCTTTGTGGTGCGTCTGCGGCAGTGACAGTACTATTGCGCTTCGTCCTCAAGTCGTCTCCATAGGGTTTGCTGGACATCGGTAAAGTGAAGCCTGGCGAGACCCTTGTCGTCTCCGGCGCAGCAGGCGCGACAGGCTCTATTGTCTGCCAGATCGGCAAGCAGAAGGGCGCGAAGGTCTACGCCATCGCCGGGTCGCAAGAGAAGTGCGAATGGCTTGAGAAAGAGCTCGGCGTGGACAAGGCCCTGAACTACAAGAGCCCGACGTTCCACGACGAGTTCAAGAAGCACGTTGGCTTTTTCGACGTGTTTTTCGACAACGTGGGTGGAGAGATCCTGGATTTCTCATTGACGAGGATGAAGAAGAATGCTCGGATCGTGCTTTGTGGTGAGTGTCGATTCTACAAAGCATACCTGAGTGAGCCTGACGTCCGGTGTTCAGGTGCCATCTCGGATTACAGTAAGTCAACTTGCGGAACCCAGAAAGGGAACTGCTGAGCGGAGTCTTCACAGACGGAAAGCCCAGAGGATTGACCGGATATCTCAACCTCATCTCTCAGCGGGCGAACATGGAGGGTTTATCATGTGCGTGTGCAGCCGTAGCACTGCGGGTTCGACGAGCTAAAGGGCCGCTAGCTTCGACCACGCCGACCGCTTCCCAGCTGCCCTGCAGTATCTCGGCGAGAGGCTGCAAGACGGCAGTCTGAAGCGCAAGTTCCACGTGTGGAAGGTCTCGAAGGCGCACCTTCAGCGATGAACCTGCTGTTCACAGGTGGCAATACAGGTAAACTGTGGTACATTCACTGACCTATTCATTTTACATGGGCTACATCACTGATCTTTGACAAAGTGTTGTGAAGATTGCGAGAGATTCGAGGCGAAGCTCTGATCATGTCAGTGACCTCGTGTTAAATACATTCGAGTCTACTCAGGGAACTTGGATGTGCGCTCAGTATGGTGGCCTGTGCTTTTGCGTATAGGTTTCGAGGTTTGACACGTCTTCAGGGTGTACTGTTTGCTAGTCGCTACAGTGACGGTTGCTCATACGACGGCGGCATAAACTCGCCGATGTCTGTATTTAATAACTTACTCTCGAGAATCGTCTTCGACTGCTGGGGCATCTGAAACAACGACGTCATGATTTAGGCCATCAGAGGAATTACTTACAGAAATGTAAGATTACACAATCTAAGCTGTCATCCAAGCCAGTATGACGGTGTAGCTAAGCTACCGTATCAGATAACTCACAGTGATGGGCCAGTGGCAGCGTGCTCTCGATCTAGGACGTCAAGCAACTCCGTGCGGGGTCTGTATCACATTTCGACCCATGCGTGTTCGTCGTTGCCGCTACGCCTCATCTCCTCCACGCCTCTCTCCCGTCAATGACTTTTGTGTCCCAGGGCAGCACCAGCCCTCGCTGGGACAGTCGCAATCAGGGATTCATCCCCCATCCCAGCTCCACCAGTGGAAGCAGCAACAGGAACGCGTACACGACTTCTCTCCATCACCTCCTCCAGACAGGCGGCCTCAGCCAGAGCCTCGTCCTGCCGTGCTCAGAAAGAACTCGGCAGCGCCTGCAAGTCCGCCGTCTAACACCAATCATAGCCATTCGCGGTCGTTCTCCGCGTTCTCCCTCTTCAAGGCTAGGCATCCTCAAGAGAACCCTCCTTCGCCACCGCCTCCAGCGGATGATGACCCCGTCAAGTCCCCCCGCAGTCCACCGCCGCTTTCCAGGAGAATCGATCATCTACTCCTGACCCCGAAGCCTCTGCGCCTCAACCTGCCGTGAACAAACCGCGCTGAGCCGGCTGTCTTCGGCTGATGCCCCTACGCCTCCGCTCCATCCAGAGATACGCTCGATCGTGCAGCTCACGCTCGCACATGCGCACAAAATCTACTTCTCTGGGCCGCTCGTGAAGCGCGTCGAGCGTCAGCCAGATGGTCAGAAGCCGACCAGGGACGAGGTTGGCGAGATGTATGGGCGCAGTTGGGAGGGACGACTCTGAGCGTGTGGGACATGAAGGCCATTGAGGAGGCGAGCAAGCAGGGTAAGCAGGTACCTCCCACTTACATCAATGTGACCGACTCTGTGAGTTGCGTGTGTCCCATGTACGTCGCACATTCTAATGCACCTTGTTACACCAAGTTTGTGAATGTTCTGGGATCTCTGACAATGTCGTCAACGCCGGGCGGGCCCCCTACCAAGTTCACGAACGTAATAACCGTCAATACCGCGGGGTCCAACCTACTGTTGTTCGCATGCCCTTCCCCACAAGTGCTAGTATCATGGGCATCCGCATTCCGTTTGTCCGCTTGGGAGAAGTCGAGGTTGGAAGAGATATATACCGCCCATCTCATCCGGATCACTCTGAATGATGGTAAGTTAGTCACCGAGCACCCGCTCTATCCTGATCTCAACCCAGATCCAGGGAGGGACGCTCCGTCGCCGCTCGTCAACGGCAAGATGGAGGGCTGGGTGCGTATCCGTATCGCGGGCCAGGTCGATTGGAAGCGGATGTGGATGGTAGTCTCAGTAGGTGGGCACCCTTATGATGGATCGTCCGTCTCTTCTGTCGACCATCGGCCAGGGTCTCCGACTACTCCGCGTCGCAAGAAACGCATTTCAGACCTCTTTGTCAAAGAGCGTAGTCCCACCCGAGCAGCTCCGCCGGCGAAGCCTATCATCCACCTTGTAGCATCGCCCAAGCCGAAAGACAGGAAGCAGCCTCTGCTCACCATGAGTGCCGTCACGCAGGCGTTCGCGGTGTATCCCGAGCGGCCGGAGCTGATTAGCCGGAGCACTCTCATGAAGCTGGAAGGCATATTTGGCGAGGAGGAAATGGCTGGGGGTATGAAGCTGCGGGAAGGATGGCTCATGGTGCTGCCAGAGTTCGAAGGCTCAAACATTCGAGCGTCCGAGATGCTCAGATGGCTAATCGGTACGAGAACAACTCGATCTCTCTCGCTATATATTGACGGTGCTTCTGATAGCGCTTCATGACACGTTTGAACTCTACGGCCGGCCGCGCCAGTATAGCTGGGACCCAAGAGATCCGCGCAGTATGATGTTCGCTTATCCAATAGGACCTCAGCGGGATGTGCGTGTGCGACGGTTGACTGGCCCGCATGGGTTGCTCACTTCATCTGGCAGATGCTATTCTTGGACCGTGAACTGGCGGAGACGCTTGATGTCCGAGACGAGCGTACATCAACTATCCGCTCTCAATTGCAGAACATACTCGCCGACCGGATGCGTGGAACACAGGAACACAGTCCCATCGCGGATAAACCGCCTGTGCTACCCCCGCTCCCAGATGCCAGTTCAGAGGATCTCAACGCTAATGGCAAGGCAACCAGGGCAGAGCCTCCTGAACAGCCCAAACCACGCGAGGAGTTCGCGATGCAGCTGCCTCCGCTTGACTTTTCATCTGAAGAGCCGCCGACAGTTCCAGAGAAGAGGGTGTTGACACCGATCACCGAGCGCAGCACGTCGCGTGATCCTAGTCGATCCCTCTCGTTTGAGGAGCCTGCGTCAAAACAATTGTCTTCACAGGTCAATTCTCCGCCACGAATCGCTGAGGCGGCGGAGGAAGACAACCGCGTTCTTGGGGAGGCTATCGTGATTAGTCCTACGGCAACAACTCCACCTCCACTGCCGCCGATACCTATCCAAGAAAGAGGCAGGCGTAACCCCTCATTCGAGGTCTTCCGGCCTCAACCTAAGGCCCAACGCCCGGAGCTTGACCGGCCTGCCTCGAAGTCGTCGCTGGGATATTTATCTACAGCTCCTCAGACGCCGAGCATGCAGGCTCCCACGTCTACTCCTGGACCAGAAGCGCGCCCTGCTGCCAGTGCTCAGGCGTCCCCACCGCCCGCGAAACCTCCCACGTCACCTCCGGCACCTACGTCCCCCGTTGACAGGCCGGCACCCACTCGGTCCCCAGGGCTTCCCTCGATTGCCTCGCACTCGTCGTCGACGAGACCTGTATCACCGCAGGTTCCGAAATCACTTCCGCACCCTCTCGGGCACCTTCGTCTCCCGTTGTTCCGCAAGCCCCTTCGCCCTCGTCCAAGTCGCTGCCGCAGGTGCCTCCCGCTTCCTCTAGGGCGTCACCCGCCGTTTCCATTCCACACGCACCTCTTCCGGCCCAGCCTCCTACGCCCCCACCACACAGTGCCTCAGACGACTTTCACACGCAGCGGGGGCTCTGCTCTACATGCAACAAATGCAACAGGAGCCGGTGCAAGATACTGCAGGACAGCCCAATCTGCCACGGTCTGTCAGGCAAGACGACGACCGTGACTACGACTCGCCATCAGAGTACAGCCAGTCATATACCTCACACCAGACACCTACCAGCCCTATAAACCTCCGACATACCAGCCCGCCCAGTTCGTTCTCGGATCGTCCTCCTGCATCGCGCCGTGACACTGCAAACTCAGGCACTTCATCGCGGTCGAATATGGCCGGTGCACGTAACGAGATCACCCCGGCAATTGCCGCGAGCCCAGCCAGATCTGGGATGGGACGTAAGCCTTCTGGCGCACGTGCTGCCCCTGCGAGCAAAATCCCGTCAAGGAACTCCTTCGCCCCCGACCAGAGCCTGCAAGAACGCGACGACGACGACGAAGACATGGTCGACCTCCACGACGCCCCTCCCCAAGTCGCTAGGGCGCAACAGGCCCTCGAGGATCCCGACGCCGATGCGTTGGCCGCGCTGACGTTCCTTGAGCAAGGCGAGGACGCAGACACGAACGCGTCGCAGCGCAGACCGTCCGCGCCTCCTTATGCGACGTCATCATCACCGTCCATCCCTCGGGTAGTTGAACCTGCCGATGGCTCTGCGAAGTCCTCTGCATCGCGTGAGTACAGATCGTCATTTGCGCCATCGAAGCAAGCTGCGGAACGCAAGGCGAAGGCACAAGCGCAGCAAGCCCTTCAGCAAGCAGCTGTCAGTCGTCCAGGAAGAGCCAACGGTAAAGCGAGAGTGTCGAGTCGTGGGGCGTGGGCCGAGAGCAGTGAAGAAGAGGACGAGGAAGAGGAGGAAGAGGACGACGATGCAGATTCAGACGAGGATCCGGCGCCGCGCATGCCCTCCGGCCAGCAGTCGGCGTCGGGCTCTATTGCACCCAGCAACTCTGGCAGTGCTGCCAATTTATCCGGGAGAGGCCCTTCCCCCGCAGCACCAGAGACTAATGGCGCATATCCGCAGCCGCGCCGACCTCCGCGCGAGTTGCCTCAGGTGCCGGGTCCTGGACAGCCCTATCCGGGAATGCAGGGTACGTCAAATTAAGCTCGTGTCGTATGTTTCTCACGACGGTACAGCAGGTCAACAAGACGAATATCTTAGCCCGCAACCACGCAGGTTCATGTCAGATCCGTATACTGGCCGCCAGTCCATGGTGGCCGACCCTCCTCGCCAAGCTCCCTCTCCCCAGTCTCAGCTTCGACCCCCGACAGAGGCGCCTCATACAACGACTCACCGGCAGACCATGTGGAGCCACGCCCTTGAGGCACAATGGCACCCCTCCTCCCTCGGGACCGAGCAGGGACACGTTCATTCAGATGGAACCACCCTCCGCGACCATGACAAAGGCATTTACCCCACATGGTCTACTGTCGGCCGGGATCCAGGATAAGCAGGACCGTTCCGCCAAAAGGCAAGAAGAGCTCGCGAGGGAAACCGGCGCGTCGCTCATCAACGTGCCGAACAAGCCCCCGCCGCCACAGACTGGCCTGCTCGGTGCTGTCACCGCGCACGAGCGCGAGCACAAGCGCGAGGGTGGCATCGGCGCCGCTCTCACCGAACGCGAGCGTGAGAAGCGTCTGGCTGAGGAGCGACAACGCAAGCTAGACGAGTATCAACGACAGCAGCTGGAGCAGATGCAGCAAGGCGGTTCGATGTATGGCGGTATGGGCATGCAGGGCTTCAACCCTATGATGGGCAATCCGATGATGATGGGTATGAACCCCATGATGACGGGTGCATGGGGCTACCCCGGCATGATGCCTGGCTTCACCAGTCCCCAGCATATGATGGCTGCCCAGCAGGCCGCGATGCAGGCGTACCAGCAGGCGATGATGGCTTTCTCTACGGCGGGCTCACAGATCGGTGGCGACGGCGGTCCTGCCCCTCTCAATCCGATGATGACGGGAGGAAGCATGGGCATGGGCGGAATGGATCCACGCATGTCGATGATGGGTATGCCGATGATGAGTCCGAGCATGGGCATGAACCCCGCGATGGGGATGGGGATGAACTCGCCGATGGGTTCACCGATGGGTGGACCGATGGGGATGAACGCTGGCATGGGCATGGGCATGAACCCAGCAATGAGCCCCGGTATGTCACCAGGCATGGGCGGGATGGATCCGCGCATGTCGATGATGAGCATGCAGATGACGGGTGGTGGCATGTCACCGCCGGCGTTCGAGGGCATGCACCCCGTCAGCGAGAACAGCGGAAGCGGCCCGAACAGCTCTGTTGGCGAACGACGGTCACCCGCACCGCAAGGTCACGATTCATCAAGAGGCAGGACGGCCGCTCCGTCGCCGCTTCGGTGATACACGCCCCGTTGATTGCGTATGTATGATAGTTACGACTGGTCATGGACACATCGTTCTTATCCTCAAGGACTCGGCATTCCTCTCGTTTTGTCTGCATTTGGTCTACGTGGTTACATTATGTCCTCGCTTCGATTTCTAGCGACTCCGCACCCTTCGCGTCGTTCCACTCTTTCCTCTGGATATCTACTCATGTGTATGGTTGGCCTGCTTGTCTTAGCGGATACGGAAATTCGAACTAATTCGTGCTGTGCTGTCGGGATTTTCTTCGCCACCAGTTCGCTGGTGAGCGTAGATCAACTTAACCACATGTGCGAAGGACGCGACCGATGAGACAACCATGATGGATGTGTTCTCCAAGTCCCGTCTTAGTGGTTGCTTCCGTGTATGACGCGCGACGCGTCGGTCACGAGACCGTGATTCATGTCCCCGTATTAGTCATTTGACTGGGTGCCTTGTTCACGACAGCCTTGACTTGACCAACAACTACCAGACTGTGCTTGGTGCTGTTTCATGAATACACAACGTATGCGACTTCGAATCTTCTGGATTCTGTACGCTGAATTCTGCGCCAGTGAGCCTGCGCGAAGATGGGTGTAAAGTCGCTGTGGCAGCTACTTGACCCTGTCGGTAGGCCGGTCTTGTGAGTTTCCTTTTGCCCTCTGAATTTTCTTTTGCTTAACTGTTTGAAGGCTCGAGACGATGGAAGGCAAGGCTATGGCCATAGACTCGAGTATCTGGATCTACCAGTTCCAAGCTACGATGAGGGACAAGGAAGGTCGCGGGTTGGTCAATGCACACGTCCTTGGTTTCCTGCGCCGCATTTCCAAGCTTCTATTTTATGGCATCAAGCCTGTCTTCGTCTTTGACGGTGGCGCTCCTGCTCTGAAGCGGGCGACCATAGTGAGTATTGACTAGGCTGTGAGGGGCGCACCCGACTCAACCTTACCGTGCGCAACCAGTCCGAGCGTAAGAAGAAGAAAAGCGGTGCTGTGATGAGCCACGCAAAGGTGGCTGAAAGATTGCTTGCTGCACAAATGAGGCGTGAGGCTCTCAACCAGGTGAAAACGAAGAGGTGCGCAGGGTATGTCCTCGCTGGCACGTCTTTACCTCATGTATTTATGTAGCGGCGATTCCTCGAAGCGTAGGGGTAAAGTCCCAGACGGTCCTGTAGTCGTCGATGAGAACGCTGTTTACCTCGAGGACCTTGATGAGCCTGTTCCTACCACCCCTGCGAAGAAGGCTCAGGCATCTGCGACCTCTCCGCCATCCTCGAAGAAGAAATCCAGGTGGCATGATCATGACCCATACAAACTCCCGGCAGTCAAATGGACGAAGCAATTGCGAATGCGACGCGATCAAGTGCGCCAGACCCTCGCCTTGCGACTGAAGACGAGCTGCGGGGGTTCATCGAAGAGATGCGTCCAGAAGACTTCGATGTCGGGTCACCCGCCTTTCGCGAGCTGCCAACAGAGGTGCAATACGAAATCATCGGCGACATGCGACTTAAGTCGAGACAGACGTCGTACAAGCGTTTGCAGAACATGCTACGGATCGCAAAGACGCCTCTTGACTTCTCAAGGAGCAAATCAAAATCTGAAGCACCGAACTCGCTTACGCAGCAGCTCTTGACCACGACGGACAGCATTGGCAAAGCCCATGTTGAGATACCGATCAGAATTGCGAGTGAGCGGAATAGGGAGTATGTTCTCGTCAAGAACGAGGGTGCGGAGGGCGGCTGGGTGTTGGGCATTCGTGATGAAGGTTCTCGGAGCAAGCCGATTGAGATCGACCCCGTTAGCGACAAAGAGAACGAAGAGGACGACAGTGATGTTGAGATGGAGGAGGTCCAAATGTGAGAGTGCTCTCCATATTCTGAACTATGGTCATTCAGAAAGTGGCATTTGTAGTGACTCTGTGGCGGTCGATCCGGATCTGAGGGAGTACCGGAGAAATCAAGCTCTATCAGCTCTTGCCAGCAGGTATTCTCCCAAGAAGCTCACTCCGCTGACCACTAGGACGCAGAGGAAACCCAAGAATCCACGACCTCTCTTCGCACCTGAAGAGGATGAACTCTCAGCGAACGCCCTCGCAGGCCAAGACGCGGACGATGAGGGTGATCCAGCACTGGAAGCTGCGTTACAGGAATCCCTCGAGGTTGAGGAGGAAGCGAACCTCAGGCGGGCGATGGAGGCCTCAAGAACAGAGGTACCCTCACGAATCAACGAGAATGGCGCTCGAGCTCGAAAGTGACCCTCGATGGCGAGCAGTCGAGGGCAAGTCACTTGCCAGGTACTACGACTCGGATGACGAAGATTTGTACGCATCTCCGTCTAGGCTCGAAACTGCCCTATCGATCGCAGGTGCGCGCCCATCCAGGCGACCAGTGTCAGAGTCGCGCAGGGCATCTGGGTCATCACACCCACACTCGTCGATTTTTGGTACGCCTAGTTTGCTACTTCCCGAGTCCACTCGCGCGGCGCCCGTGCCAGCGGAGGCTACACCGACGATGGTACCGTCCGACTCGGATGAAGATGAAATGGAAGAAGTACTCGTTCCGCCGCCCGTTCCGAGGACGCCGCCGCCCAGAGTGATGGGCCTTGGTCGGTCAAGGGCGGAAGAAGCTGCTACAGCAACGCCGCACCAGCTCAGGGGACCGATACTCTATTGATCGAAGACTCAGATGAAGACATGGAGCTATCATTTTTACCCCAGGCACCCGCAGTACCAGCAGCACAGGTCAATGGTGCTGGATATGAGCGATCTCCTCGCCCGTGCTGGGACCAGAGGACCTTCCTTCCGATGGCGCAGAGGAAGTTGCACCTTCTGTACGTGGTAGCCCACCTTCGGCGTCGGAGCGAGCAAACAGCAGAGGCATCACTCCCCAATCGCCGATGCAGGAGGCTGTCGCTGCGACATTTACACCTGAAGCGACTCCGCAGACGTGCCTAGAAGCCACCCTGTATCCGAATCAGAGGACGATGAAGCCGTCCCCTGGGATAGGCCACCTTCGCTGAATAACGAGCCATCGACAAGTGGGCCAACAGCTGTTGCGTCGACGGCCGATGGCTGGGACGCAGCGGATGAGATGGATCCTCACGCGGAAGAGGGAGAGTTTGCCCGCTTCATGTCCCAGGTGAAGGGGAAGGACATCGAATCTGTACGGCGGGAAATCGACGACGAAATCCGGGACCTCAACCAGCAGCGGAAGGCGGCGATGCGTGATTCCGAGGACATCACCCAGCAGATGATATCGCAGATAATGGTGAGTCCCTCGTCGTCGTTCGCTGCTCGGACTACGGCTCATGCAGGGCAGATCATGTTGCGCTTGTTCGGCATTCCGTACATCACCGCACCCATGGAGGCCGAAGCTCAGTGCGCGGAGCTCGCCGCCCTCGGTCTGGTGGACGGCATCATCACAGACGACTCCGACGTCTTCCTTTTCGGCGGCCTCCGCGTGCTCAAGAACATGTTCAACCAGTCTAAGACCGTCGAGTGCTTTCTTCTGAGCGACCTCGAGCGCGAGCTCGGGTTGGACCGCGACAAGCTCATCAGGCTCGCGTACCTTCTGGGCAGCGACTATACGGATGGCTTACCTGGTGTCGGGCCTGTGGTGGCTATGGAGCTGCTGAAGGAATTCCGGGGCAGGATGGGCTGCATAAGTTTAAGGATTGGTGGAAGAAGGTCCAGAGCGGGAAGGACACCGCCGAAGACACGGGTACCGCCTTTCGGAAACGATTCGTATGTTAGGCTTTCATTTGTCGCTCCCTGTTCGCTCACGGATAATGCAGAAGAAACGATACAAAGAGCTCTTCATTCCGGATGACTGGCCGAACCCCACGGTGGTACGTATCATGCACGGCAATCGACCAGCTTGGCTGCTAATATGATGCCCAGCGAGATGCATACTACCATCCTACGGTCGACGAGTCGGAGGAGCCGTTCAAGTGGGGTCTCCCAGACTTGGATGCCCTGCGAGAGTACGTGCGAGCCTCACTTCGTGTTTCATTATAGTAACATCATATTCCTACAGCTTCTTCAATTCAGAACTGAGTTGGAGCCAATCCAAGGTCGACGATCTGCTGTTGCCAATCATCCGCAAGATGGGCAAGCGAGGACAAGTAGCTCTAGAACTCCTGCTGTTCCACGTTATCACGTTGCTGACACACATCCCCAGAGTACCACCAACAAGCAGGGCAACCTCGCCGGGTTTTCGACCTCCCGGTCGGCGGGCAGCCCCACGCAAACGCCAAGCCTACGCGAGCAAGCGGTTGCAACAGGTTGTCTCTGACTTCAGGAAGGAGCGTGCGCGGGTGCAGTCGACGGAGTCCTCGGGCACAGGCACAACATCAGCCAGCGGCGAGCAGAAGCTCAGTCTGACGATGAGGATACAGTGAGGTTCCTGCGAAGAGGAGGAAGACGGGCAAGGCACCAAAACCAAAGCCGGCGGGAAGGAGCGGGTGCGGCTGGGGCGAAGACTGGGCGGGGGGCCAAGTCTACGCGCGGCGGTAATAAGGGTAAGCGGACCGCGAAGAAGCGCAAGGCGAGTGAGAGCGACTCCGAGTCTGAGGCAGATGTACCCCTTGCCGACTTGCGAGCGGAGGGTGGGTCGCCTCCGCCTCCTTTGGCGGTGAACCTGAGGCCCAGGCCCAAGCCCAAGCCCGCGTACAAGGGTGCAATAGCTAATGCTGTTCCTGCGGCTGGCGGAGAGGAGAGCGGGTGAGGTTCGCGTGACAGTACTTGTAGCGTACACCTACCTAATCTTCAGCGTAGATTATTGTATATTTGCGGTTGCTGGTATCATTATTTCTTGTGCTCCTCGTACGCCAATGGCTAAACGCTCTCGAGTCGGTCTTGGAATTGCGTTTGCTGCCGTATCTGCACTACCTGGATAGGAAGACCGGAATAGATAGGAAGAATGTGTTCGGGTTGAACGTTACTTCCATATCGTCGTCGACCTACTGCAGGATTTGGAGATGTGACGTCCATACCGGAACGAAACACACCAACGTGTGTGACAGGGCACGTTGCACCAGGCAAAAGCAGGCTCTTGTTGGGACAGACTAGTAGACACATTCGTAGAGTATTCATTCATCCTCCTCTCCAGTCTCCTCCCTGGCCTGTCACGCGAGTTAATGGCATATTTGCAGACCAGTCGGTGGACCGCTCACCTTGTTGTCCTCGAGGCCGCCCAACTCGGTCACCAGGCCAGAGAAGGGGTACTCCCGCGGCACCGCTGGCCTTGCAGGAACGAGCGCGTACTTGCAGAACACACCAAATGCGGCGATGCCGGAGAAGGCGATGATGAAGTGACGGAGGGCAGTCGACGGCGGGACGACCGGCGCATCGAGACCCCACATGGAGAGGATCTCGTCTCTATCATGGAGCTGCAACTGCGTTAGAAGCGGGCTTCATACGCGAGCGACTGCGTGGCTCACAGGGTCCCCAAAGTTCCTACGCATCTGCTGGTCGTCCCATCCGCGCGCAGGCAGACGTTGCCGCGAGACCCAGGGCAGCTGGGGGTAGTCTCCAAGCTGCGGGTCGTGCTCTTCCTTGTAGTGGACGGGAGTCGCGTACGAGCGCACTGGCTGGGCGCGGTGGCACGCAGGGCGGTGCGGATGCCCGCCGAACGGGCGGTGAGGATAGTCGAGCTCATTGCAGTCACGAATGAGAGCCACGGCCGCGAGTGGAGGCTGCCGGCGATTTCCTCGGACAAGGCCTTATCGTGCCATGCAGGGGTTATGGGAGGAAAGTATTGATTTTTGCCGGTATCGGGGCCGGATTTGCTTCCGTATGGTGAATCGGTGATGCGAGAACAAGACATCGCATCGGGCGATCACAGAAATGCCCCCCAAAATATTGGTGCGGCGCGCGCTCTGGTATGTATGGCTGCCGACATAAGCGCGGGATGATTGTGTGCAATGTCCCCGCCCCTCCGCCTGACCGTTGTCCTCCCAGGTCTGGTTCCGTCTTCGCAACTTCTGGCACATGCAGTCGACCACCTCCCTTGGCTCCTCCAAAAGCGCCGTCAGCAGAGACATCCAAGATGAGCTCATGAGCAAGGGCCGCAAACGCCTGCGCGACATGGGTCCAAAGAAGTGGTCGCTACCCTACCCGCTGGTCCCGACAGACGAGCAGCATATCTAGTGCGTCTCGCTGCGCGGTCGTCACCGGCCCTGTTCGCGTCTGAATCCTTCGGCAGTGACAACTGGAATTGCCTCTTCCTGGGCGGCCTGGTGCGCGCCGTCTCTATGCACCATTTCGAGACGCCACCTAGTAGGGTACTTGAATTGGGTTGTGGGACTGGAGTCTGGGTACTTGAGGCATGCAAGCTGTGGCCAGTGAGTCCATTGCCATAACAATCGCCTTCTCACTCAACGCGTGCATTCCCAGAACGCGTCCTTCGTTGGACTCGACATCATCAAGTGTCAGCCAGATTTGTCCTCTCCCGAGATTGGGCGGACCGACCTGGCCCCCAGAGTGACATGGGTGAACGCTGACTTGTAGGTTATCCCAGAATAATCTCTACAGCAACTCATCCGCATTTGTAGCTTGGAGCCTATGCCGTTCAGAGACGGTCAATTTGATTTTGTTCGCATGTCACATATCGCTCTGGGTGTGCCAGAGGATGAGTGGCAGTATCTTTTCGAGGTGAGTTCTCGTTTATTACCACACAGTACCTGGACTAGACGGCAGTAGGAATGTGCGCGCATTCTGGAGCCTGGTGGTATCATTGAGGTACGCGCCGTGCCCATTTGTCACCGCTGCAACTAAACCAACTTTCGCTACTAGATGGTCGAGGACGATCTGATATTCCCTTGTGGGCGCCCTCCTCACAAAGCGCGAGAAGACGATCGCGCAAGCCATTCGACTGGATCGTCCAAAGTTCCTCCCAATGAGGCTCTCACGAGCGTCTCCACTTTCAGCTTCACATCCACCGGCAGCCCTTCAGTACACTCGTCCGATCACAAACTTGTCTCGCCCGAGCCAACTCCGCCCCCCTCCGCTATCTCTTACTCCGCGAGCATTGACTCGGTGCAATCGCAGCCCCGACAGGCCGACCAATACACACAGAAGGACCCCGAGCGGAACGCTGACAAAAAGGACCATACGCGGCTCATCAAGGCCTGGGACGCGATGCTGCACAACCGGTTCCTGGCGCCGCAAGTGAGCTCCATCCTGCCGTTCTACCTCTCTACGTGCTTCAGCGACATCCGGATGATGCCCTCGCTGCACATCTTGCTCCCGCCGAGCACGGAGCAGCTGAACAACAACAAGGAGTCGTTCGACCTACCGGGTCAGGGGAAGGAGACGCCGGAGGACCTCGCGGAGCTCTACTTAAGCTTGCAGCTGCATGGCAACAAGCTCTCCGTGGATCGCTCGGCGGGCGCATCCAAGGCGCCGAAGCAGCCGTGGAAGCACGCGACGATCGCGTCGTGGGCGTCCATCCATCTTGCGCGGAGCCTGAACACCATACGTGCGTGCAAAGACGCGATGTGGGATGCGTATCTGGAGGGAAGGGGATTTGGGCAGCGGAAGGAGGCGGACGAGGGCCATCTGCGAGATGACTTTGAGACAGCGTGGCAAAACTGGGAGGCGTAAGCTGCTGTTTTCTTGTCTACGTTGATACATTGACTAATGCAAGGGCTTTCAGCGACATGAAGGACCGCATGTGCATGCGAGCGAAGCTTCACGAGGCCTTGACATGGGTAGAGCCTGGCACCAGTGAGCAACCCAACTGGAAGGTCTGGCGTGAGCGCGCCAACGTAATGGAAATGATGGAGTTCCAAGATCCTTTCGGATACTATATCTCTCCAGAGAATCTATGCAGGAGCATCAAGGGATTTGTTGGCTATAAGCCAAAGGCTTGATCATATCTGACTCTTCGTTGCAGGGACTAGATCTAAGTATCCATTTATGCCGCATTGTATTACGATCTACTTTTACGATTGTACATAGTTTTATCCTAGTGCTTCCGCCCTATATATGCTGACAGGAAGAAAAGTCAACTCATGTACTTACGAATGGGCCCAGCTTTGGTTTGTCCCGGTATGACGCGTCTGGTACGCGTCAACGGTACAGTGCGCACGTGACCCTGTATTTTCGCGACCTTCCTGCTCATCGCAGCAGTCGATCGCATCCATAATCCCGCCAACCTCATCTCCTTCCTCTTCCACCCTCTGTGTATATAGTACCATGTCCGAGGCAGCAAAGCCCACAGAGGAAGTCAAGCCCGCAGAGGAGAAGCCCGCCTCCACCGCTGCGGCGGATTTCACGAAATATAAGGTGCGGACGGCCTTTTCTGCTTGGCGCGCGATCGGGATAGTTGACTGACGAGTGAATGGGATATCGCGTAGGCTGCTGCCGATATCACCAATGCTGTAATGCAGAAGATCGTCGCCGCGAGTGTGGAAGGTGCGAAGGTGCTGGATCTTTGCATCGAGGGCGACAGGCTCCTCGAGGAAGGCACGGGTGCCGTGTACAACAAGCCGGTGAAGGGCGTGAAAGTTAGCAAGGGTGCGTATCATCATGCACCTCATGCGCATTGACATTTAACCTTGCGCTCTTACCCTCAGGAATCGCGTTCCCAACGAGTGTTTCCGTCAACAACGCCGTCGCCCACTTCTCTCCATTGCCCACCGACCCCGCATCCTCGCAAACCCTTGCCAAGGGTGACGTCGTCAAGGTACACCTAGGCGCGCACATCGATGGCTACGCAGCTATCAGCGCAGAAACACTCGTCGTCGGCGCATCCGAAGACGAGCCCGTCACTGGCCGGCGCGCAGACGTGCTCAAGGCGGCATGGACTGCAGCGGAGGCAGCGATGCGGCTGGTCAAGGTCGGAAACAAGAACTGGGGAATAACGGAGTCGGTAGCGAAGATCGCTAATGCGTGGGACTGCAAACCTGTCGAGGGTGCGTGTAGTCGCGTGCTGTATTGGGAGGTTTGAATTGATGAGCGAGTGCAGGCATGCTCTCATGCGAGCAGGCGCAGAATGTGATTGACGGGAAGAAGCGCATCATCCTCAATCCGAGTGAGGAGCAGAAGAAGGGCTTCGAGACCGTGACGTTCGCGGAGAACGATGTCTGGGGCATCGACATCCTCATCTCGTCCGGAGAAGACGGCAAGGTGAGATCTACGCGAGCACATCCGATCGTCCATCCCGCGTGCTCATGTCTGATTCGATCGACCGGCACTAGGCACGGTTGGAGGAGTCCAAGACGACCATCTACCAGAAGGAGTCGAGCGTCACGTATCAGCTCAAGATGAAGACCTCGCGTGCCGTCTTCTCTGAGGTCCAAAAGAAGGCGGGTGCCTTCCCCTTCAACGTCCGCGTCTTGGAGGACGAGAAGCGAGCGCGGCTGGGTCTGCAGGAGGCCGTGCAGCACGGACTGGTGAAACCTTACGAGGTGATGTGAGTGCATTCACGTAAATCGCTTCTCGATTGAATCTGATCGGTGTACATCCCCAGCTACACGCCCTCGAACACGTTCGTCGCGGGATTCCACTTCACGATCGCGCTGCTTCCTGCAGGCCCTGTGATGATCACGAGCCCGCCTGTCTGGTACAAGCCGGAGCTGGTCAAAACGGAGAAAGAGCTTGAGGATACGGAGTTGAAGGAACTGCTGACGCAGCCGCTGAGGGAGGACAAGAAGTCCAAGAAGAAGAAAGCGAAGGAGGGTGCCGAGGAGAAGTAAAGAATGTAGTCAGTTGCACTGTATAACGACGCACTGTATCGCTAGTGTAGCGCTTACTTTGTCAATCTTGCCGACATGAACATCGTAGATACGTTCTACGCTGTTGCACCCTTCGCTGCATCTTCGCCGAACTCCGCGAGTGTTCGAGTGACTAGATCGACATTCTCGAGGAACGCGTTCACCGTGAGCCTGCTGAGCCTGACGGTCAAAGTTTTGAACGTTCTAGCATGTGTCAGCGCTCTGTGGTGATTGAAGTGGGTAGATGTGACACTCACGCGACAAGAACGTTTTCCTCTATCGACAACTCTCGCTGGACGGCATGAGGTTGCAATTCTCTGTCCACTTCAATCACTTGTTTTGCGATGGACGCGTGCTGTTCTGATCCAAATGGGATGCGAACTGTCCTGTATATCTGTGAGCACCGGTGTTGATTATGGAAGTAATGGGAATTGTACACTGTATGCCATGGTAGATCTGGAGAGGACATAACGAAAGATTTGTGACCCTCTACTGAATCACCTTCAACTTTCCGTTGGGCCTCAGAACAACTGGTGATGGCGGTCGCCAGTAAGTAACTTAGATGGCACAGGTGTCTGAGAGTGGCTGAGATCCCTAGACCCGATCCGATCTCTTGCGTTCTGCTACGAGCGCTAACGACCGAGCAGGACTCGGAGGAGGCTAATACTGTGCTTACTGTAGTACGACACTGCGATTCAGACTCCTGGTGTGCCCCGATTTCTATCACGACTTTCAGAGGCGTCTGTGGTTTATACTTCAAAGCGTGGAACTATTTGGGATCTCAGTGTCTGGGTAACTCTCGTTGCATGCCGTGGCCTGGAGAGCGTTGATCTGGTCCACTGCCATCCAACTGCCATCACACTATTTTTTCTGGCTTTCGATGTCGTATCGAATACTAGAAAAGGTGAGTCAGCAGCTCTGTGCGGTTTGACACTGCTTGCTAAGTGACTCAGTTGCTCACAAATCCCATAGACACTCCGAGTCGGCAGTGAGGGGCCTCCGCACAGCTTGCGGCCGCTGTCACTACCCTGTGGGTCGACCAACCAAGCAACATATATTCGTGAAGTCTTGTAGTAGCCCTGAGCCAAAAGACGGCGGCGAACACGATGAATTGTCGCATCAATCTGCGTGGAGCCACAGTGTCTGCGAGTGGAAGGTGGCTCGTCGGCAGTATCACCGCGTCTGTCGCCTGTGTGGAAGATGAGTCGATGTCCTTTATATCTCAGGTCTAATTCACTGGAAGTAGCCTTCACTATGTCCTGTCTACTGCCACGTATTACCTGCTGCGGGCCGAGCATGCCTGTAGCACTCGGGGTCGGCGATGTATATACATAACCCCGCATTCTTCCACGCAAAATGACAGGCTTGGCGCTGCAGACGTCAAGGCAAGAGCACAAATCAATCCCGACCGTCCCGTTGCAAATGCGAACCGTCTTCACAACTCTCAGCGCTTACCCCCGAGTGAGTGAATTTGTCAAACCATTCGTTGGTATGCTGATCCGTCGTCTTCCGTCCTGCCTTGGCCTCCAATAATCGCTCACATGTCCACAATGCAAGGCACAGGAGACACTGAGTATTGTAACGAATGTTGGCTAAGTTCCAGTGGACGCATATGATTGTCTGTATCTGCTGCGTCGCTGACTCGGATGGGCTTGTCGCAAGATTGCATTCTGAAGTCGTCCGCATCGTCGGGGGTTCGTTCTTGTTGTCCACGCTCACCACGACTTCCAACAGCCCTAAGACAGTGGGTAGGTCCATATGCACCATTCCCTTGCAGCCACAATCGATCCAATTGATGGGCTGGGAGAATGTTATCATCCAGTGCGTCGCAAACACCGTATGCTATGATCCCAGTCACCTGGTTTCATGCTACGTAGTTCGAAAAGCAGCCGCAGTCAAAGGTATGTACACAGCCGCGCTGCTGGCCGTTCATGCTACATAGGCTGAAGAAGGAATCTCGCAGTGCACACCATCGCCGCGTGCGAAGTTGCATCCACTAGGCACTCCTTGTACTCGAATGCTGTGTATCATGCGGATGTTTTCCTTTCTTGTTCGTATCATCAATCGCACGGTAGTCAGTGGTGAGTCCAGGAACCTTGGCCTTGTTCTGGACGCTAAGGATATCTGATGCCTGGATAGTGCGACCCGGATTGTCAGCCAACCTGGTGACCCTCTGTGCCAGTGTTACTGGCTTCTTTTGCTACATATATCAGTCGTGAGCCAGATAAGGTGGCCCAGACGCGTATACTTCCATATCATGGACGTGCATTCCCAAAATCTCCTGGCCCAGCCGACAAGTCCCACCAATAGCTCATTGGCTGGTCCCGATCATGATCGCGATGTCGGGTGCATAGGGGTTGTATCGAACTCGCCATTCGCCTCCCTTTGACAACTGACAGGCTGAGAGTCAACCGCAGAATTACTACTTATGCCACCGAGCGCCTCACCAGCCGGGTCGAATTGTTCTCGGCGAATACTTCTGACATATCTTGGCAATATCTTGATGCAATGGATGCAAACATCCCTGATCACAGTCTTAATATCCACACTGTCTCCGCGCAAATCGGTGAGTCGGGTCGTTTGATTGAGAATAACTCTAATGAGCTTATATGACAGTACTCGTCCATTACAGATGCGTGTGCGATGTTATATCAACAGGTAACTCTGTTTTCCCCTCAATCGTCACTCACATACATATGAAGAGCAGGTAGAAACCAGTCTTACACACGAAATGTGTCTCTGTATGAGAAGGTGGCATAGTGACGGCCATATCACAGAACCCTGCCTTTGGCCCCGCCCAAATAAGAGAACTGACGGGGACATTTGTGCAGAAGTCAATTGAGGTATACTCGGTTCACGGTTCTTCGCGCTTTATCGATCGCTTAGATGATTTTCAGCTCACGCAATACTGGCACTTGCATATCGGAACACACGGAGAACCTGCACGGATAGACGTAGTGGACGGATTGTCCAAAATGACTCTGGATGTCATAGGGCTTGCTGGTGAGGCTGGATTATATTAAGCCTCGTCGCCTTGATGGACATGCACGGTTTACATGCTAAACATCAGGATTCGACTACAACTTCAATTCCTTGAGCCCCGACGGCAAAGAAAATGAACTGAACGAAGCCTTCAATACGATATTTGGATCCGGAACTAACGGCGCATCTCTACTCAAGTTTTGCAGACTGCTATTTTCCCCCTTAGTAGCCGGTACCTGGAGCAAAAGAAGTCAACAAGGCGCGCAAGATCATGCGCAGAATCGGCATGCACCTCGTTCGTCAAAAGAAAGACGACATTCTAATGAACCCTGGGCTCAACAAGCACAGTGGACTCGGTCAACGTGACCTACTCACCCTCCTCATCAAGGGCAACATGGACCCGAACATTCCGGAGAGTCAGAGGCTATCTGACGAGGTTATCCTGGCGCGTAAGTCGACGTTGAGTGTATTCAGCAGATTAGGTGCTAACCAAATTCAAGAGATACCTACGTGAGTGTTTGGGCGGTTCAACTTTACGCCTGAGATGTCACACAAGAAACAGTTTTCTGGTTGCAGGTCATGAGACCACGAGCAACGCAGTGGCCTGGGCCCTGTACGCACTCAGCATCGAGCACAGCATGCAGACGAAGCTACGCGAAGAGTGTCTCACTCTGTCTACCGACGATCCGTCTATGGATGAACTCACCAAGCTTCCGTACCTCGAAGCCGTCGTTCGCGAAACACTCCGTCTCCATCCTCCCCTCAACAACACCTCGAGAGAAGCGACGAACGATGATATCATACCGCTCAGTAAACCTTACATCGACGTACGCGGGAACGTTCACGATCATGTGAAGTACGTGACGTCTGTACCTATAGATGGGCGTCGTCTGTACTGATCTCGGCCTAGAATTGATAAGGGAACCATGATACAGATCCCAATACTGGCCGTTAATCGTTCGAAGGTCATATGGGGAGAGGATGCACTGGAATTCAGGTACGTGTCGCTGTTCGGGATTATTTGCAACATCGTGGTTGACGGTATTATTTCTCTAGACCAGAGCGTTGGGACAATGTGCCTGAGGCGGCTCAGAAAGTTCCCGGAACGTGGGGGAACATGATGACCTTCCTTGGAGGCCCAAGAGCCTGCATAGGCTATCGGTTCTCTCTCGTGGAGTGAGTTTGTTGTTCCGTCGAGAGGAGCCTGCGTTTAATACTCTGCGGCATACAGTCATCTACCCCCTGGTGAGTCGCTACCCCCTGGTGGGTCGACTGCCTATCGCGGGTGATAAGGATAAATCGGGAAACTTAGACGCTCGGAGATCGCTGCTTATCTCAAGCCCGACGTGATGTTCGTGGCCCACCGTTGGCGGGGCTAGTAATGTAAACGGACTCGTCTACAAGCATGTATAGTTCAGGCAATTGTCCATATATAGTGGTGTATCAATCATATGAATAGCCTGTTGAGACTGCACCAGTACAGCAAAAACCAAAGTTGCGATGTCGGCCAGCTTCAAGATTGCACAACTCTCTACCAACGACTATGGGACTGAATCCATATGTGTGTATATTGTACCCTACAGCATTTTCGTGTACAGTACATTCATTGTAGTCAATGTACACTAATTTCTCGTTGCCCTGCAAGCAATGCAGACTCTACGCCCGTAGACGCGCCCCTCGTTATCTCAGTATAGATAAGATGGGAATTACCAAATCGGGCTCTTATCACCCGCGATAGGCAGTCGACCCACCAGGGGGTAGCGACTCACCAGGGGGTAGATGACTGTACGTTTAGGATGAAAGCGCTGATCTTCACGCTCATTCGGGCGTTCGAATTCGAGCTGGCCGTTCCCCAAGAGGACGTGGTGAGGCAGAACGCAGCCGTCCAGCGGCCGATCCTTCGCAACGCGATGGACAAGGGTAGCCAGCTTCCGATGCTTGTGAGACCTTACCAGAAGACGTGATTGGTTCAAGCTGAGCCAGGTTACCTCGGAGTTGGCGACTTCTTACTACAGCCCCATACCTTACTGCTCCGAGTACACGCTGTTCGAACTAACATCGCCTTTTGAAAGTGTGCCGAGGAAGATTTCCTTCCAGTAGAAACTAACTTCCGTCCGCTGCCTCTTCGTGCTTTTAGTCAACATATTCGATGTCGTTCTTGAGTCAATAGTCCGCACTCCTCCCAGTCCGTACGTCATCGCCGCATGCCAGTTGCCGCGTACCATCATCATATAGTACGTGCATACGTACGTCTCGAATGCTGCAAGCTCCGCTGGCATGAGTCTCAGCGACGCCCGGCGGGTGCTTCCCGTCTCTGGATTCAGGGCCTTCTCAGCCTCACCTGCGCAGCCGCACTGACAGCTGTAGGCTACAGGATACAGAATCCGCCGGCGCGAGCAGCCTTTGTCTTTGTGAGCTAACTAGTTCATTTCCTGGACACCTTGTCCGCCACACAGTGACGTGTGCGAGTGCGATCCCGCTGAGTTCTCACTGCTAGTGGCGGTATGAGCCTGAGGGCGCATATCTTGGTACAGACTGCTGGGCTGCCTGTCCTGCGCAGTCCCATGGTTCAATGCATTCATCGTTCACCCGGACGGTGCACCGCCTCGACAAGGTTCGCGTCGCTGTACGCCGCACAATCAGCGGATACGACCGGATATATGAGATGATTGGACCCGCTATTGAATGCACGCCGCAGTAGGGGGTTCCAGAATATAATGTGCACGAGGTTCTGCTTCGATGCGCGTATTCAAGCCGCCGCTCCCATTTCTCGATAAGCCGTCCTCCCCAGATGCCAGACGGCGGATCCGCACCCACTGTGATCGTTGAGACCACCCCGACCGCGCACCGCGATGTTCTCAAGGAACCAACCACGCAGCTCCCGCCCAAACCAGCACACGCCGCTGAACCTGTTGCTGTCGTCCTGGGACTGTCTGGCGACAGCGCTGAAGCCGTGGAGGAACTACGCGAGCACCACATTCGCGCTTTGACCGACGACACCCGGACGTCCCTCGTCGACCTTGCGTATTCGTCCACTGCGGCGTGCGGTGGAGCCACGCCGGCGAAGTACCGCTTGGCGGTGTCCGGCAGGTCGAGGGAGGAGCTCGCGGAGAAGCTGCGCGCGGCGTCGGTCGTGCCAGGCGTCGGCGAGAGCCCGCGGAAGGTCGCGTTCCTCTTCTCTGGGCAGGGCGGCCAGTCGTTCGGGATGGGCGCGGCGCTGTACAGAGCGGTGCCTACCTTCCGACAGGCGATTGATGAATGCCAGGAGAAGCTCGTCTCTTGGGGGTTCGAAGAGATGCTGCCTTTCATTCAAGGCGTATCGCAGGATGACGAGAGCGGACGGACGTTGGAGGCGGAGCACACTGCGCTCTTCTCGCTGGAGTACGCTCTTGCGCGTATGTGGACGGTGTGGGGCGTCGTGCCTGATGCAGTCTTGGGCCACAGGTGGGCATGCACAGGATAGTGGCATGTCATTTGGCCTGATCTTGAACAAGTCTAGGGGAGTATGTTGCGTTCGTCTGCTCGGGCGTCATCAGGTTGGACGATGGCCTCCGATTGATCTGGCAGAGAGCCAAGCTTACGAGGGAGCGATGTATGCGAGGGTCGTCAGGGATGCTCGTTTTCATGGGCGAACCTAGCGTGATTGAGGATATGATACGCGATGATCCGTACTATGATAAGTTGTCCATCGCATGCCACAACAGGTGAGCTCGTCGCGGAGTGTAAGGGCACGTTGTGACTGACCGCCGGTTAGCGAGACGAACGGCATCGTTGGTGGCGACATGGAACAACTGAAGCTCCTCGTCAAGATCTGCGAACAGAGGGGATGGTGGCACCGCTTGCTTGCTGTCCCCTACGCCTTCCATACGGCGTGCATGGAACCGATCCTCGACGACATGCTGAAGCTGGGCGAGACCATAACGCTCTCCTCACCCACCGTCCCCGTCGCCGCTGCCGTACATGGCGTCGTCGTGGAGGCGGGCGACCAGTCGATCTTCAAGTCCGACTATTTCGCGCACCACGCCCGGCGCCCTGTGCTCTTCCAGGAGTGCATCTACGCGATAGCCGCGCGGGACGCTGAGCTGGCCTCTGAGGGTGTTTGGCTGGAGGTAGGCCCGCACACTACGATCCTGCCACTGCTCCGGATGCATCGGGCCGTGGGGGAGGAGTGTGTGCAGGTCGGCAGCATGCGCAGAGGGGAGGTGGACGAGGAAGTTCTGTGCCAGACGCTCGCACGGCTGTACTGTGCGGGTGCGCCGGCGAATTGGCGCATTATTTTCCAGGAGTTGGCTGTTCGGAAATGATACCGTATTGGAACGTTCCTCCGTGTGTAACGGCTCGTAGGAATAGTACTTGCCAAAGGCTCGATGACGACGTGGACGCTTCCAAAGTCGGCTCATGCACATGATCAAATTTGGCAGCGGATGGTCGTCAGATCTATGCCCGATCTACGATCGAGCGTTCTTCCTGACAGGCACTGAACCAACACCGAACTGACGGCCCCGGGCGTCGAAAGCCACCAGCTGAACGTTAGATACGCGGCCCGCAAACAGCTCTACGCCCCTCACCCTTTTGCTGCAGTACACCCCCGTCCTCCTCACGACTCGGATGTCTCATTCTGCAACGTCGGGGCCGCACTGGCAGGCATTGCCAAGAGTCGGATTCAACACGGCGGCCGGCACGCACTGAGCGACGTGGCGAGAAATCCGACTATGGTATCGCGGACTTCGTGTGACGTCGATGAATCCTACAGTTTTCTCTGTAGTGCAGGTGTCCCACAGAGCACCGTGAAGAAGATTCTTGGCGCAGTATCGGGCCGTGCACAATGCGGTTGGTGTCGCTGGTCTTCCACCAGGAATGGGTAAGCGGGCCATCCATAGTCTCTTGCCGACCTCCCGGATTCCTGCAGACAGTTCTACTTCTTTGCATGTCCTCATCGCAAACATATATTGGCAGCCGCTCGCCGTTGGTACTCTCGGCGAGACAACGAGCGACCACCTGCCAAACGTTGCCCACCGCTGGCTCTACGTGTACAGCGGACAACTGTGAGTGATGTGCGCCCTCCGGAAAACACACAATGCTTGACAGAATGAGCACTCCACAGAGGTATCTATGTCAAGGTCGGCCCCGCATCCAGTTGATGAACCGCTCGCGAGCGGGGATACATATGTCTTGGGCGGGCAAGGCACGACGGCGACCTTTTCTGCTCAGAGCGTGGCAACAGCTCTGCGGGATGCGGAGCGACCTCTCGGGGAAATTCTCCTTTCAGCTTGTCATGTCGCCTTCCTCGACCAACTCGCCTCGCTCTCTCCGCACGAGCTGACGCAGTGCAGATTGGACCCCGCGCGGTTGCAGAGTGCTTCCACCTTGCTCGGCGTTCCCTCTGACCTGCAAACGCACCCTGTTCTCGTCAATATCAATTTGTATCTGACCCAGCTGCTGCGTTTCGTCGCCAACACCTCCGACTTTGCTTGTCGTCCAACCAATCTGCATGCGTCCGTAGTTCTCGGATTTTCCACAGGTCAACTCGCCGCCTCAGTAATTGCCGCTTCTACCAGTGCCCCTACCTTCCTTCTTCATGCTGTCGAAGTGCTCCGTTTCGCCTTCTGGCTGGGATACAACATGTGCTATCTCTCTCCCGACGGCCACTCCCTGGACGGGGATGCGTCTCCTTGGAGCGTAGTCTTGCTTGGCTGTTCCCGGAACGAGGCTGCAGATGCTGTTTCAGCGTTCAACAACTCCCACGTAAGTGTTACAACACTCGGCACTCGGGTGTCACTATTTGCTCAACTGCATACAGCCGGACGGCCCTCTCGTCTACCTCACTGCTGTGACGAACGAGCGATGCGTCACCGTCTCTGGTCGACCGGAAGCCGTCGCCGAATTCGAAGCGACACGCAAGCCGTCCACCGCATCTACTTCGCATTTCGCCCAGATATACGCCCTATACCACGCACCCGCCCTTCGCTCAACGAAAGCGCGTGTCCTCGCCGACCTGCAAAGACGGAACATCAGGTTTCCGACCTACGGGGATCTCAAGCGAAGCCTGCGTTCGTCCATTGACGGCAGCGTCATCGATTCGCAGCACCACCGCCCGGACTCGACGCTCGTAGAGGACATCCTCGACATGCTCCTCCTGCACCCCGTCAACTTCGACGAGGTTGTGGATAGTCTACGTACTGATCTGGCTGGCGACGACGTTCGTTCGGTCCGATTGGTCAACCTCGGGCCAGGCACGGGTCTCTGGCGGAGTACGATGCGTACGCTGGAGGGCCGCAGTTTGTCGGTCGAGGGGGTCGACTGGTCGTCTGCCTCCGTATCCGAGGCTGCGTGCGCCCCGATGCGTATTACCTGCCCCGAGAGGCAGCCTCAGAAGGAGCCCATCGCTATTGTCGGAATGGCGGTCAACTTCCCTGGTGCTCCGAATGTTGCTGAGCTGTGGAGGGTACTCGAGGAAGGGATCAACACTGTCAGCGAGGTACGCATATATCCACACACCTACGAGTGTGAACCGCTCTGATATGATTGGTGCAGATACCTGCGGACCGCTTCGACGTCGCCGACTACATGCACGACTCGGATGGATCTGGGCGAACCATGCAGTCGGCCCACGGGAACTTCCTCGAAGACGCCGACGTCTTCGACAACGCGTTTTTTCGCGTGAGTCCTCGCGAGGCCCGCAGCATGGACCCTCAGCAGCGCGTTTTGCTGCACGTCGCGTACCATGCGCTCGAGGACGCAGGGTACGTCCCGAATGCCACCCCGTGTTTCGACCCCGAGACGTTTGCGGTACACGTCGGCGTCGCTACGAATGACTACGTGCACAATCTGAGGGACGACATGGACGTCTACTACAGTACTGGTATGTGGACACATGCGCATATATACATGGATGTGCCGCTGAGAACGGGTGTGTAGGCACGCTGCAGGCGTTTCTGAGCGGCAAGATCTCGTATGCTTTTGGGTTTGGTGGCCCTTCCATGGTCGTCGACACAGCCTGTTCTTCCGCCGTCGTTGCCATATACCAGGCCTGCCGTTCCCTGCAAGCAGGTGACTGCAATGCCGCTCTTGCTGGTGGCGTCAACATCATCACCAGCCCCGACGTGAGTGCGTTCGTACTTCATCGTGTCCTCTCGGCAACTCATCGTTGACAACTACACAGATGCACATTGGCCTCGATCGCGCCCACTTCCTCAGCCCCACAGGCCAGTGCCGTCCCTGGGACGCCTCCGCAGACGGCTACTGCCGCGCGGAGGGCTGCGGCATGTTCGTCCTCAAGCGGCTCTCGGACGCGCTCGCCGAGCACGACCGCGTCCTCGGCGTCATCCGCGCCGTCGAGGTCAACCAGTCCGGGACCGCCGACTCGATCACGCACCCGCACGTCGCGACGCAGGCGCGGCTCTTCCGGAAGGTCCTGCAGTCCGCGGGCGTGCGCCCGGCGGATGTGAGCGTGGTGGAGGCGCATGGGACGGGGACGCAGGCGGGGGACCCTGCGGAGGTCGAGGCTCTGCGCGAGGTGTTTGGGGGAGACGGGGAGAGGGAGGGGGTGCTGCGTGTCACGTCGGTGAAGGCGAACATTGGGCATGCGGAGGCGGCCTCGGGGGCGGCGAGCCTCGCGAAGCTTGTGTTGATGATGCGCCATGGGACGATTCCGCAGACGATCTCGTTGAAGACGCTCAACCCGAGGATCGCCCCATTGGAGAAGGACGGGCTCTGCATCGATACGGAGGCTTGCGAGTGGAGCCCGCCGGCAGAGGTCGGCAAGCGCGTGGCGTTGTTGAACAACTTCGGGGCTGCTGGGTCGAATGCGGCGTTGGTACTCGAGGAGCCACCCGTCTTCCCAGTGTCTGTCCCTGATACAGGGCGCTGTCCAGTCGTCCTTGGTTTGTCCTGCGATAGTCTCGAAGCCCTCGAAAAGCTGCGCCAGCGATATCTCGAAAAGCTGAGCGATCAACCGCTTGATCATGCGTCACTCGTCGACTTCGCGTATACCGCCACGGCGCGTAGGCGGCTGCACAGATACCGCCTGGCTGTCTCTGGCAAGTCGAAGCAAGAGCTTGGTAGCAATCTGCGGACAGCTCCCGTCGTTCAGGTCGGTGAATGCACGAGGAAGGTCATATTCCTGTTCTCTGGGCAAGGCGGCCAGTATCATGACATGGGCTCGGGGTTGTATGAGGTCGTTCCCAGTTTTCGACGTGCGGTGGATTTGTGCGACGAGAAATTGGTTGCGTGGGGCTATCAAGGCGTGTTGAATTTGATCAAGGGAGTGCACGCAGGGGAAGATGACGGTCTCGATGCGAGCCAGAGCCTGGAGACGTCACACTGCGCTTTGTTCGTCCTAGAATACGCGTTGGCGAGCATGTGGCAGTCTTGGGGACTACGGCCTGATGCCGTCGTTGGCCATAGGTATTTGACCCATTGTAAATTGCTGTCTTCATTCTGACCAGCCGATACCTTCCACAGCCTTGGAGAATACGCCGCGTTGGTCTGTGCGGAAGTCATCAGCCTTGACGATGCTCTGCGACTCGTCGCTCAAAGGGCAAGACTGACGAGCGAGCGCTGTCCGCGCGGCACTTCCGGGATGCTTGCTGTCAGAACAGATCCGAGCCTCGTTGTAGAGATGCTGAAGCAAGACGCGGCTTACGCAGGGCTCTCAATTGCGTGCCACAACAGGTGAGGTACGCCGGTATACGTAGCCATAACTGGCTCTGATCATAGCCTTTGCTTGGTAGCAATGTGGATTGTGTCGTTGGCGGCGTTTCGACGCAATTGGAACATCTCGAGGAAGCCTGTCGACGCTCTGGACACTTGTGTCGACGCCTCGATGTGCAATACGCATATCACACGCCGACCATGGACCCGATCGTAGACGAGCTCCGGTCTCTTGGCCAGAACGTAGAGTTACTAGCTCTGAAGATCCCATTGGCGTCCACAGTACTTGGTGCTGTCGTGCCCGTGGGCGACGGTGGCCTATCCATGATCACCACAGACCACTTCGCGAAGCACTGCAGAGAACCGGTACTATTCCGCCAGAGTATCCAGGCACTCTTCGATCGCGACGCGGACGCCAGAGAAGCTGCGTGGCTGGAGATCGGTCCTCACCCGACGACGTCTCCTCTTCTTCGTGGAAACGGCGTGAGCACAGACGGAGTGCTCATGACCACTTTGCGCAAGGGCCAAGTGGACGAAGAATCTGTTTGTGGCGTACTCACGCAAATGTATCGCGCCGGAATCGAGATCAACTGGTGCAGCGTCTTTGCAGATCTTGCACCGGGTGCGAAGCTCACAGACATACCATCATATCCCTTAGCCAAAACCCGGTTCTGGGTACCCTACACAGAGATTAAAGGCTTGAGATCTTCTGGACATCACCGCAAATCGCCGTCGACCTCCTCGAACAACAGCGTGGTCGGCGGATGTATTCATTGGCCAGCGACAAATAGCGACCTACCGGCCGTATTCGACGTTGATATCGCGAGACTATCGCATCTCATAACTGGCCACCAAGTAGTAGGATCTCCACTCTGCCCTGCGTCTGTCTACCAGGAGCTCGTTCTCGCTGCCAGTCACGCATGGTGCGAGAGGGTGGGACTTCCTCCCTTCGCTTCTTCACTCGTGATGACCGAGATTGCATATGAAGCGCCTCTAGTTTACTCTCCTCGCCATCCTGGGACCGTTCGAATCGAAGTCGCCACGAAGGGTGCCGCAGGCGGCTTCGATGCCAGCTTCGTCATCCGCTCCGGGAGCTCACGCACGCAGGGACCATGGCAAGTACACTGCACTGGGAATGTACGCGCAGAGCTGCGTGATTCCGTCGAAGAGCATCTTTCGGGCTTCCGGGATAAGATCCAGGGTTGTGTCAAGTCCCTCCAGACTGGTGCTCGGGACACTCGGATGTTGTATGCCTCCACCATCTATGACGAGACGTTCTCGTGTGTTGTCGACTACTCCGACGCTTTCCGAACCATCAAGGTCATCACGTTACGATGCGACGGCGTCGATGCATATGCACTGGCACAATCACCGGCGTCAGACTCCGGACAGTACGTCGTCCACCCGGTTTTCATGGACACGCTACTACATGCAGCAGGCTTCCTGCTGAACCTCGAATCTGACGACGACGGCTACATCTTCGTTTGCAGTCACGTTCAGACCGTCACTGTGCTCCCTGACTGCGTCCGCCCCTCTGCTATGTTCGGAGTGTACTGTCAAGTCGGCTACCTCTCACAGACGATGGCCATCGCCGATGCTTATGCCATTGACCTGGAAAGAGGCACAGGACAAGTGTTCGCGCATATGGGCAAGATACAGTTTCGGAGACTATCGAGGTCTGGCTTCAAAGCGATCCTCTCGATGAGCACCCACGACACCTCGAAGCGTCTTACCCCATCCCTCGGTTCCGATAAAATCGACACGCCGGCACCGCTTGTTTCGCCTAGAGATCGCATTACCAGGCTGGTTACGGAAATGTGTGGTATCTCCGTCGACCATGTCACCCTTGAATCACGACTCGACCACCTCGGAGTGGACTCCTTGATGAGTATCGAATTGACCGGTCGCCTGAATGATGCTTATCCTTCCTTGAGCATGAGCGCGCGCGCCCTGGGTGTCCTCGAGCGAGTCAAGGACCTGATCGACTTCATCGAGCAACATCTAAGTGGACAGGCGAATGTAGGACATGACTTCGGGCTATCTGGTGACAAGCCGCGAGGACGCGACCCGTTCACGGCCCAGATCACCGTGGAATCTGTGCGGGGCGTGCTCTCAGGCATCTTGGACATACCAGCAGAGCGGCTGGCCGACGACGAACATCTGGACCGCCTCGGACTCGATTCATTGTCATCCATAGAAGCTCGCCATTCCTTCAGCTCCACATTTTATCTCCAGGTCCCGCAGGATATCTTTACCAGATGTAAAACCGTCAAGGAACTAGCCGTCGCGCTCGCGAAGCATGCAGCTAGCTCCAGCCCGTCTCCAGATCCCGCTACGAGCTTGCAGGTGCGAACGAACCCAATGTTGTTGCAGGACGGCAAGGACCAGACAGAGACGCCTTTGGTCCTGATTCATGATGGGAGCGGAATGGTACATCCTTACATGCGCTTGGATGACCTGGGTCGGCGCGTGTGGGGCATACACAACCCCAAGGTGCCTTCAGGAGAGGGGTGGAAAGGTGGGATCCTGGAGATCGCCGCGCATTATGCAGAGCTCGTCCGGACGACTCTGGGAGAAGGGTGCCCTTGCCTACTAGGAGGTGAGCTTCGCTCTGGATTCCGTGCATCAAGTTCTAACGCGCCTCGACACAGGGTGGTCCTTTGGCGGAGTCGTGGCATTCGAAGTGGCTCGCATGCTCGTCGCCAGCGGGAGCCGCGTGGACGGTCTGCTCCTGATCGACTCCCCGCACCCGCGGATGGGCTGCGCGCTCCCGGACGCGGTCATCGACGCGGTCGTCAGCGCGAAAGTGGCGAACCCGAGACACGCAGAGCTCGTGCGTCTGCAGATGCGGCACGCCTCGAGGGCGTTGGCGCACTACGACCCTGCGCGGTCTCCGGCATGCCATGTCAGACTACCCAAGGCTGTCATGCTGCGATCGCAAGAGGCATACGTCGGCGACGTGGAGGGGCGCGCGACCGCTGCATTCCTGACCGACAGACGGGAGCCTGCCAAGTCGGTTGAGGGGTGGGAGAAAGTGCTGGGCGCGGTGGTCCCTGTCGTCGACATTCCGGGGAACCACTTCCAGCCTTTCGATCCTGAGAATGTGCGTACCGCGGCGGAGTGTTCGAGTTCGGAAATGCTGACCTTACCACAGGTAGCAATCGTCTCAGAGAAAATGCGACAGGCTTTGAGCATGCTAGATGAACAACCGTGATTCCGTACGAAAGAGCTGCCATGCTAGCTGCATTCATTCACCCGCGAGGGCAAGTTTATCCATCATTTCCCAATTGTAGAGACAAAGTGTACGGCGCATACTACACTATTACAGGCAAGATAAAACATACGTACCTACTAGGCCGTTGAGAGGTGTCGTCAGAGATAGAAGATGAACACAAATAAAAGACGCGGAAAAGTAACGATATATGGCAGGAAGGGGGGAATGGTGTCGCAGAACACGATAAGGGAGGAGCACACTATTACACAGCGGAGAGCAAGACGTATATGAGAGACATCGTTATAACACCCGGCGACCCGCAGGGTGGGAAAGTCCCGGTGCGTCGTCTAGATCGATACAGACTTAAACCCCGGTTGGGTATCGACCCATCCGGGGGTTCAGATCTGTAGATAGTTCTGCATCGTGGGCAGCAGGCTGTAGGACGCATGTCAGGACCATCAACACAACGGGACGCAAACACGACAACTCACAAAGCGCCCCATCCGACAGCAAACGCGAGGGCGCCCCAGGCGAGAGACTTGCGCTCTGGGGGCATGTTCGCGAGTATGGACACCCGGCGGTTCGTCGCGATCGCCCGCTCGCCGACCTCGCCCGAGGGCTCCTTGAAGTTGAACTTGAGGGGTTCCTCGTCCTCGCGCTGCCGCTTGCTCGCGGGCTTCGCGGGCGACACCTCGTCCTCGTCGCCAGACTCGGCGTCTTCGTCCTCCTCGTCCTCTTCTTCGACAAAGCGGCGCGCCTCTTCGCGGCGTGCCTTGAGGCGCGCGATGAGCTCCTTCTGCTCGCGGATGTCCTCCGCCATCACCTCGTCCGCGAGCTTCTGGGCGATGGGGTCGACCGCACCGTCGACCTCGTCCTTAACGGCGTTCGGGGTCTTACGTGTGCCGCGCGCGCTCCGCGGCGTCCTGGTGGGGAGAGGCGTAGCCGCGGGCGGGCCGGGGCTCTTGTGCCGGGTTGACCGTCTGGGAGGGGGCGTAGCGGTCTGCCTGGCGGTGGAGGGTGGTGGGGTGGGAACGGTGGGCTTCGCAGCCGCCGGTGCGGCGGCAGGAGTGGGCACCGACGCGGAGGCGGGCGTCATGGGCGACGCCTCCTTGCGCCTCTTTGCGGGCGTCGGGCCGGGCTCCTTGCCCGTGGCGGGCGACTGCTCGGGCGTGGGCTGCTGTGCGCGCGTGGAGCGGCGGTAGACGACAGCCGGGTCGGGGTCAGCCTTGGCGAGGACGGAGATGGCGGCGCCGAGGCCGTAGCTGTCGGCGAGCTGGAGCGCGATCTCGGGGGTGACCCACGTCCCGGCGAAGCGGGCGCGGCCGCCCTTGTTGGTGCCGGAGAGGTCGAAGGAGGCGCGGACCCAGCTGGACTCGAGCTTCTCTGCATCGTCGGTCGCGGTGGGGAAGGCAGCGCGGAACATGGTGGTGAGGCTGATCGCACCCGTGTCGAGGCGACGGAGGATGAACGCGTGTCCGGAGGGCTGTCGGGCGAGGGTGAGCGGCGCAGGACGGCGCGAGCGAAAGGACGTACCGTCGGGATCTTCAGGCGGCCAACCTGGAAGGTGTGGTCAGATCGCGGAGCAGAGAACGGTGAGGGCCACGCACGATAGTTGCCTGACCATCGCGAACGATCTCTTGGAACTTGACAGGGGGAGGTTTGGAGGGATCCACTGGAGAAGAGGACAATAGGTCACGGTGAGGTTATCGGAGAGAAAGGAGGACGGACTCTGCTTAAGATGAGGGTTTACATGGTCTGAGGGGAGGGGAAATCGCTGGACAGCGCCGTTCTGCTTCATCGCGGAGGCGTGGAAGGGGGAGAGACGCGTCGCGTACACACGGGGCAGGGCGCGCTGGTGGCAGTCAAACACACGCACACCCGCCACGCCCGCCCTCAGCCCAACATCACTTTCCCACGATCGCTTACGTACACATCGTCTGCGTTGCTGCTCAGACCACGTCCAGCCCAGCGTGCGCATGTCCACTCACACATTCACGAGTAACGTTGATCTGTTCCTGCTCGCAGTTCGTCCTCGGAGGTTCTGGTCGGAGACACGGCGTGCGCCGCGGATAGGAACCGTTCCAGGTGTTTCCAAAGTCTATAGCCCAACTCCGAGTCGAACAGGAGCCGACATTATTCTGTCTTGGAGCGCAGGTATGTACCACCGAGCCTTGGCTCTGCCAGACGGTCTCATGTACCATGAAAGACAAATGGTTGAGTCGAACGTTGAATCTGTGACTAGTATGCCAGTGTTTTTGTCGGTCACGAAGTTCTAGCGCACGGTCCCGCATCTCCTCGAGGCCCTCAATGACAGAATTTAACGATATATCGTACGCAGTGGCTACCTATACAATCTATTCGGTTGTCTACGACTCTATGTCTGGCTCAATACAACAAGATGTTTGCTTCTGCCATCGAATACACACGTACAACCGCCCTCAGATATCCACAGGCAGGTGCTTGTCCAGCAGTTGCTGCCGCGCAACGATCATCTCGACCAAGTCCGTGTACGGCGCCCACCACGCCTCCTTCCCGCGCCGGTTGTGCATGTCCGCGTGCGTGACCATCTCCGTGACGGGCACCCACTTCACCGCCGTGCCCTGGATCGTGATCACCGCCGCGGACTCGGGCGGCGCCAGCTTCCGCCCTTGCTGCCGGAGCAGCGCCTGGTGGTGCTCCTCCACGAAGGACATGCACTTCAGCGCGAGGCGCACCGCGCGGGTCCGGTCGAGCGGCGAGGGGATCCCGCCCTGCAGTGTGTGCCCGAGCATGGCGGCGCGCGAGTCGAACAGCGAGCCGCCCTCCTCTTTGAACATCTTCCTGATGAAGTCTGTGCTGTAGACGTCGGACGACGACTCATTCCTAAGAAGTGATTGAGAATCTGACTTGCGGTTGGCTGCGAGAAACATACCTGAGCACCAGTCGTCCCTCTGCCTTACCCTTCTGGTCAAGAGCAAACCGTCTCTTCAAGAACCTGACGTCGCGGCGCAACATGTCCAGGTCGATACCCCGCTCTGGGGTATACACAATCACGGCTCCGGTCTGGAAATCTCGCTCAGCAACGGAATCCCCTCAGCTGTTGACCGACTTACCGCCAATGCACCCATCGTTGCGATGTAGCCACACTTCCCCCCTGCGTCTCCACAACAAACACCCTGTTCCGACTCGCCGACGCGCTCTGCTTGATCGCATCGCACGCCGTCACCAGCGCGTTCAGGCTCGTGTCCGAGCCCAAACTGTACTCCATCACCGGCACGTTATTCGAGATCGTCGCGGGCAGATGGACCATCGGGATCTGGAACGCGGGGTAGTTCTTCCGCGCGGCCTCGAGGATGGAGAGCGCGTGGAACGCCTCGAAGCCGCCGATGAGGAGGAGCGCGTGGAAGTTGTGCTGCTGGAACTTCGCCGCGACCGCGCCGAGGTCGATGTCCGGCAGCTTGCGGTTCGTGCCCAGCTCGGATCCGCCCCGCGTCATCCAGTTGTCCACCCCGAGCCAGGAGAGCGGGTGCACGTTGTCCTCGAGCAGGCCGGGGAACCCGCTGTGGATTGCGAACGGCTTGTGCCCTTGCCGGAGGCAGTAGCGCACGGCGGTGCGTGTTGCCGCGTTCATCCCGCCTGCAGGCGCACCAACGCTGCGTGGAACGGTCAATTCGCGGAAGCTGTGACGCGATGAACATTGTGCTTACTGCATGATGCCAACACGCATTCGCTGGGCGTATACTGTCATGAGACTTAGCTCAGCCATGGTACGACCGCGGAACGCACCAGATGATGAGGCAGCATTGGCTCCTTCAACAGCACCGACGTAGCATAGAACCCCTCCAGCATCTCTGCAAACTCCGGGTCGCGCAACGACATTGCCTTCTTGAAGTTCTTCTCTGAGATCGCTGTACCCACCGAACGCGTCTACACACCGTGTACGTAAATACACGTCAGGCAGCGTGGAGCGAAAATGTGGTAATCGAGACGCACCAGAGCGACAGCCTCCATAAGTGGGACACGTGTGACTTTGTTCTCGCTGATGCCAATCATGTACGACGGTGTATCCGGCGTGGACTCGAGGAGCGCGTCGACAGCTTCGATACCTTGTAGTGTCGGCTACACACACAAGGCACAATCAGCCCAACACGACACCACAAGCGAGATCTGGGAGCCCACCATGATGCGATCGTACGCCGCGGGCGCACCCCCGCGCTGCGTGTGCCCCAGCGTGGTCACCCGCGTGTCGAGGCCGAGCCGCTCCGCGAGCACGTCTTTGACATACTCCGCCCGGATCGGTTTGAGGTCCTTGTCGATCGCGCCCTCCGCGACGATCACGATCGTCTTGCGCTGCCCGATGTCCCGGTGCTTTGCGTGATCTCAGCATGCTGTAGGTCCCCGCGCGATGTGGACTTACGGTCTGGATCATCTTGCACATGCTGTCTTCCCAATTGTCTTCGGAGGGAGGGTCTTCCGGGATGAAGATGAAGTCCGCGCCGCAACTGTTTGACGGTTGTCAGCTCTTGCCTCCCGATCCATGTGGTGCGTCTACATACCTTGCACCCGCCATGAGCGCCAGCCATCCGCAATGCCGTCCCATGACTTCCACCACAAAGGCACGCGAATGCGACACGGCGGTCGAGTTGATGTTGTCGATGGACTCGCATATACGGTGCAGCGCCGTGACTGCACCGATTGTCAGGTCCGTCATAGACATGTCGTTGTCAATTGAGCCCACGAGGCCTACGATGCGCAAATGATGGTGGTTCTTAACCTGCTCGTCGGTGATCTTGCCTTGGGAGACTTAGTATCAGGCTGTTCTAGGAGGGACTCCTAGGGCGATGCCTTCCTGTACATTCAAGTGCCGCACTGCAACAGATCCTCGAGCGTCATATGGGTGACTAGTGCGAGCGGCAGCAAGCCCGACGCTTGAGGATTTGTGCAGCGCATATACGCGACTCGGCACACTGTGGAGCACTCGACTTGTCGGAAAGCATGACCACTAGGAGTCCCTTCATGAGGCGCTGAATATCACGCACCTGCTGCACGCAACGCCTCGACATGCTTTGGCCATTCGGACCGAAAGACATCTGCACCAGTCAGAGAGCCGTCTCCTCCGCAGACGACGAGGGCGTCAATGCCCTCCTTGATCATGTTATATGCTGCCGTCTGCCGGCCTTCTTGTGTGCGGAATGTGGTGGAGCGGGCAGTTCCAATCAACGTCCCACCCTGTTAGACGCAGTCATTCCTCGCTGTTCAGACAGCCACTGGGGTCACTCACCTCGCCGAACCACCCGCGTACATCGTCCATCCTACGCGGACGATATACCGCCCCTTGATAGTGCGTCCACTGATGTAGTCGCCCGTGCCATCCTTCAGCAGCTCTCCGTCACCAAATCGAAGATTGTGCACGAAACTCGCGTCCTCTTTCACGGTACGGGAGTCGGACGACTCTTGCGCATTGCCGCGGACGAGACCCTCGTACCCCTCGCGGACAACCCAGGCCTCGCAGCCTCTGAGAACAGGTGATCAAGGTCAAATGGAAGACGAAAGAGGCCACAGGGAGCCGCACTTGGCGATGGCCATCTTTACGACTGAACGGACGACGGCGTTCATGCCGGCGCTGTCCCCGCCGGACGTGAGCACAGCGATCTTCATCTTCGAGTGTTGAGGGCCGTCGGTGTCGCTGTATGCGCCGTGCGGAGGTCGTAGACACGGGCAAGGGAATGGTGGAGGTAGAAGACCCGGAGATAGGGTGGCTATGAATATGGATCGATGAGGGGGCCTACCCCGAGTTTTTGACTGGCAGGAGCGTAGAGACCGCGTCAGGCGCCAATAGTCAGACCATCCATACAGGCGCGCCTCGACGCGTCGCGGACTCGCCTCCGCACAAACAAGCTCGACGTGGTGCGCGTCGCTGGCCGTCGGCCCCTCGAGCACGGGCGGGAGGTGCGAGGCCTGGGCGATGCGGGCAGATATAGCGCAGACTCAGCCCGACGCGTCGACGCGGATCCATCGAGACTGGTCCATGGCGAGCCCCGCCGCGCTATGGCCGCGGCTGCAGCCACACACGCGCGTCTCCTCTCCTCCGTCCGCCACACTCGGACGTTCTCAGACTCTACTGCTAAGTACATACGCCTTGCAGAATATGGTCCACGTCCGACTCAACGAGCGCGAGATAAATCCCAACCCGCACATCAACTTCATAACCGCTCTTCCCATGCCAGACGCGGCGGACCAAGAGGAGGCACGCCAGCTACTCCGTGCACTGGCTGCTCAGGTCCGGCCGGTCATGAAAGCGCACGGCTTCGTGGTGAACAGCTTCGAAGAGGTACGACGAGTGACTGCATGGTCGGCGAGGCGTTGTGACGATCAGTGAGCAGTACGAGTTCAACAAGGTCTTCGCCGGGAGGAATGGAATGCGGGTGAAGTGGTCGGTAGGTGACCCTTAATACGGGCAAGGGGGTCGACTGGATCTGAGCGGGGCCATTAGAACTGGTACTCAGAGAGGCCAGTGGGGCTTTCTCCTCAATATCCTGGCTCATGAGCACATTATGCCACGAGGTGTGTCGGTCAGGCCGATGTTGTGATATCTGAGGGGTTCTGAAGGGCGCGGCTCCTATCAAGTTAGCACATATCACGGTGGGTTCGCACACGCTTGAAGGAACTTCGAGTATCCATGCCATTGTCAGCACCAGAACCATGGCCCTGCATTCCAAGCGCTGTGGGCCAAGCTACGCGCCGAAGTGAGAGAGCTACAGAGCAAGGGTACTACGGAGACGGTCAGGAAGCCATCGTAACTCACTGTGATCGTTCTAATTGCTGAAGCAACGTAGGCTACTGGTCATCCGGCAAGAGGCTAGCAGACTCTGCACGCGTCGGCGGCGAATCCCTCGGCGCAGGAGACCTCCCAGAGTACATGGTACGTCTCCATTCTACTCTCTAAAAGGCTGTCTCACACGTCTGCTCAATCCACAGTGCGGCGGTGCCCAAGCACGCAAACGCCCGACGTCTCTCCGCCGGCGACGTACAGCCGGCCCCTCCCAGACAGGTGCCCAAACAGCCAAAAGGCGCAAAGCGGGCTCGCGAGTCACAGCAAAGGGCACATTCCGGGGCTCCGGCCGTGCCGTCAACGAGGACGCCAGCGACGAGGAGCAGAAGAAGTCCGGCGCAGGTTTCAGGAAGAAGGCGGGCAGTAAACGCGCGAGGGAGGAGAGGGCGCTCGCGGCGGAACGGAGATTAAAGGCGTTGCAGGGTGCAGGTCAGCTTCTGGCTCGCTGTGCCTGGCTACAGCAAGCTTGACTCTTCCTTTGCGTTAGCCGGACCGTCGACCGAGTCGCGGGAGGATGAAATCGATGAGGATGAAGAGGATAGCGACGTGGAGATCGTGGAGGAGACGGATCAGGAGAGACGGCGCACCATGCTTGACGCAACAGCACAGAACGACATGGACACCTGAAGAGCTCGCAGACCGACTTCTCGTCAGACTTCATCTTCCGCGGATATCGTCGACGACAGATGAAGAGCCACCCTGCGATGTCCAGATTCTATCACGCCCGAGTGCTACCGCTACCTCCGCCGTGGAGGAATCATCATCACGCAAGGGAAAGCAGCGAGTTAGTTCGGAAGTCATAGACTTAACGGAGGAAACCCCGAACGGCAAAACAGCCCCGCGGAAGAAGGCCAAACGAGACGTGCCTTACGGCAACCTCATCGAAGACGAGATGAAACAGCGCAAGCTCGAATCGTTAGGACTAACAGGCACCGGCCAGCGTCTCGGTGGGAACCGGAAGGCACCCCCTGAACCACAGAACGCGAAGTCGAACGGACCCGCGTCAAGAGCAGCTCGCAGCAGCGGTCAACTGACTGACTCTGATCAACGTCACAACAAAGACAAATGCGAATGGAATTGTCTCGTTTGCACGTTGTGAGTGGGGCCGTCATTCGTGATTGCTCCTGCGAGATGCAGGAGGCTCATCCTCGTGGATCTGACCACGGTGCTATCCCTTCTCTAGGTCGAACGCACCTGAACATCTTGCCTGCGCCGCTTGTACCACGCCTCGAGGCGAGTCCACCTGGGCGAGACAGCCTACGTGATGGCGTCCGCGAATCTATTCTCGATCCTCATGGTTCCGTTAGCCACGGAGGCTTGGGACACTGTGTCAGATGGCAGTCTTTGACGGTAGTCCGATAAGCTATTGTCGGGCAATACACTTGCTCGTATTACGGCCTTTCCGTTGAGAATGGTACGCCAAGGGACGCATGGCATGACACTGGGGGATTTTTGGGGACAATGTATCGGTGCTCGTCAGATAGTTTCCTGTTAATGTTACATGCTCGTTTGCACTCATGACCAATCCTCTCATTCACGCTCTCGACACCCGTTCAACGCCAGCATCTGTACACCGGAAGCATCAGAGTTACAGCCCTTGCATGCGTAGCCGCGAACTTACAGGATCTCGTAGCTCTCGTGAATGACGTGTTCGCCGCCGCCAAACGCAACATTGCATGCGCCCTGCCAAGTAGTCCACACGTCAATTGCCCCGCCGCAAGCATGACTTCAAATGGTACATACAAGGTGCTCGCCAGTCTTACCAGGGACTCGGACGCCCTGGACAGTAGCCATGGCATGGTAAAGCTTTCCTCCGCCCTGCTCGTAACCGCCCTCTACGGGACGCCGGCCGGGAGGAACTCGGCCATGCGAGGTGGGGACCCACTCCATCGTATTGGGATCGAATGGCAGGAGGTCATACCGCCCGTTGTGCTCGTGCTCGCCGCCGCCGTATGGCACGCGGCACGGCGGCGACAGGTGTGGGCCGATCTTGCAGGGGTGCACGGAGTTCGGGAAGATCGCAGAGCCAATGTACACGGGCGAGCGACCGTCCCCGTCGAAGCTCACGGGCTGGCCGAGCTGCTCGGGGGACGGCAGCGCGGACTGAGTGCTGAGTGGGATGCGGAACCCGGATGGTGGGGGCGCTTGATGCGCCTGATACGGAGGCGGAGACTGGCCATGGTTGGGTGTGGGGAACTGGGGAGGCGTCTGCATTGCGATCGTAGGTCTGTCTGTCCTGGTGGAAGGTGAGCTCGCGTTCGTGATGCGCTTTTGGCCTCACTCGAGGATGCTGTGTGGACCGCAATGCGGTACAGATAAACGATCAGTGGTAAGGCGATGAGCGCTGTCAGTATGGCCAGCACAGGCACTTGACGCCCATTGCGGCAAGCTCAGCACGTGCATGCCGCCGTATACATTCCGAACGGAGGAACGAGCTCGAGGACGAGTCTGAGGGTGTAACAATGTCACGTAGCGTCTTCGTCGGTGCTGTTTCGTACGACGATCATCCATTTATTCCTAAGCGACACACAGTAAATCAGTATGCATGCCATCGCTTTACATAGTTACATCAGTCTGCAAGACGTGTCCGAGTCCTGTCAGGTCAGCTGGGACGTGCCCATCCTAACCTTATGGGCGTTGCTTCGTGCCATGCAAGGACGGACGCGCAGGAGGCAACACCATGCTCTCCCACTCGTCCGAATCCGGAGGAGGAAGATCCAACACCGCCTGACGGGCAAGCTGCGTTGAAGGCTGTACGTCTTCTGGATGTTGCGTAGAAATGTTCCTTGGAGGGGAAGCGGGCGTTGCGGGCGGTGTTAGGGTCATTGAACTCATTGCCCTGGTCAGATTGCTTTCCGGCCCCATGAGCCGACCTCCGAGGCTCAAAAACAAAGCGCGAAATACTCACTGAATCTCGCGCTTGCGCATATTGACCCAATCTTTACACGTATCCCTAAATTGTGTTAAAATGGCTGCGAAGTCGTTATAGAACTGGGTTGTACACGTGAGTCATGGGCATGATTATACAGCGATTATCTCAAACTAACCTTCAGACCCTCGTCAAGATTTCGTGTGATCTCCTTGTACTTGTGATACGCGAGATCCAAGGACTGCAAGGCATGTTCGCGCTCCTTGACACTTGTATCTTCTCTGCGAGACTGTATGAACATCTCGTTCCGCTCCTGACATGGACCATCATTAAGCGAGCGTGAGCATGGAGTCAAGTCGAGAGGGATGACCTTGATCTGCTGCAGAAGCGACTCCTGTCCGCGCGCCGTCTCTTCCACACCGACGCGGAACTTCTCATATTTTACAAGCTCTTCTTCCAGCACATCTTCGAATTTCGCCGGCTGAACTTCTACCCACTGTGCAATGGCATTAGCTGCTTTGATGATCCGAGGGCTGATATCCTCAGACTCCGCAAGACGAGTGGCACGCCTGACATGGTCTTCTCGTTTTCGCGTCACGTCATCCAGAGACTCGAGAAGCACCCGCAGAGCGCGCGCGTGTGTCTGCGTCGGATTGGCGCCGGACCTCGAGGATGGGGAAAGCGACACTGTTGATGATGGGATGGACGCCTCGAGCTGTGCCTGCCAGAAACAATTACGTGAATGCCGATCACTGGAATAAGCAGGGTCCTACCTCATCCCAGGTCAGTTCTACGATATTCTTCTCCCAATCATCCCACTTCTGCCTGACATGCCCGTCGCTTTCTGACGCCTGGTCCATAATATTCCGGTAGCGCTCGGCCTTCCCAATCAGCTCCATGTTGGCTTCGTGGGACGGGGGCCGATCCACACTCGTTTCAGCCCGGATGGTTTCGTCTTCATCCGCTTCTTGATCAAGGATATCCATGGCCTTTTGTTGGAATTACATCGTGTCATTGCCGTGTGGACCATGCTCCGACACACAGACGCACCTCATCCAGTATACCCATGTCTTGCTGTGCGAGCTTCCGGACATTGTCTACCGATGATTCAATCCTCGCCGGACCATCTTCCACTCTTACTTCTTCTGCCTTTTGCAATAGACTCGGGGGCAGTCCTACTGGTCTCTCCAGCGCTTCCAGCGCTGCAGGGAGATTGAGCGACTCGAGGGTTCTATCGTTCGCACGAGTGTCAGCGACGAACGATCATGCACTACGGGTTCCCGAGAGGGCTCGCTCACTTCGTGGTGAGGTCATCAAGCTGCTGAGCCCTATCTAGCACCTCATCTTTGATCCAGTTCTGCCGTCTGTCATTGTATATGTCTGCGACACAGGTCGTATGATTAGCCGTTGACCGGCAGAACAAGCAACACAGGTCGTGTTCCTACCTATTGCAACCCTTGCGCCCCATCCGAGCAGCTCGGCAAAAATCACGCCGTCACCGCCGATGGCAGTCTTAGGGTCCGTCAATGCTGTGTGAACAGCAGACTGGACCATAGACACGCCTTGTAGTTGCGGCAAGGCTGATGCAGATGGCACGTCTTGGTGATAGATGAGGTCGTTATCACGCTCCGCGCGGGCGAAGTTCTTCTGAACTGTATCCCAAAGGGACTTCGGGCTATGTCAGTTGTCGCGCATATCACAATATAGTCCCTGAGCTACCTTGATGTCCTGGAGGACGGCCGGCGAGACACCACCGCGGCGGGCGACATCATGGCCCTTCTTGGCCGCGGCTTGTGCTTCGGTGAGCCGTGCTATTTCATAGCCGTACCTGCATCGCGAATGTTCAGGGTCTTCATCTCAGAACGGACTACTACGCCGACCTGCTGGCTTCTAGATCTTCCACGCTCTTCCTGTAGTATGCAGCGGCTTCGAAGTGTAATTGCTTTGTCTCAAGATGGGCCTGCCAGTGCTGAGTGGGGCTATATTAACTCATACACTCGGTCCAATAGATGTACGAAGGTCCGCACCGAAGGGAACATATGCCGGATGGATGGTGAGGCACCTTTGATGGCCACGAGGGACTCTCCGTATAGGGAGGAAACCTGTGTAGGCGTCAGTGCAAATTTTCCGGCGACGATAATTTTGGCCGTGACCTTCATGGACAATTTGGCGATGAGTCCGTTCTTGTAGTTGTCTGCGATGTCTGTTAGTCGCGGGTAGACATAGCCGAAAGCAAAGGCTGACCCATTACAGCCCTTTGCCACACGCATTCTTGTGCCTGCGCTAACATCAACAATTCTAGGCTTGTGACGAATGCTTCCGTAAGGTCCGCGGGCATGTCATCCTCAGCAACAGAGGCTCTCAGCTGGGATACCACAGACGAAGCCATATACTTCCAAGTCCCCGCGGCACTCTTTGAACTTCAGCGCGCCATCAACATCATAGTCACGCAGATCGGTTCACCTGATAGTATGCGATTGCCTGCTTGAGGCCCTGAGTTGTTGAGCGGTCCTCTGCAGCGGCCAATTGAGAGGCGAGGGCCCCGATATTGAACAAGACGCCAGCTCGTTCGAATAACAGATTCGACAGTGTAACTGGAAGCGCACTAGAGGCAAACACTGGCGCATATGCTATTTCTAGCCCGATCTAGAAGGATTTGAATTTCAGAGTACAGAGTCAGTCACCCGGGAAAGACACTGACATCGGCTGGCAATTTCGTCATAATAAATACAAGCTGTGCGTGATAACTTGTCAAAGTCAATAATGTATGGGACGCGTCTCACGGACAACAACATACCTCAGTGACGGTTCCACTTTGCCGACGTGAACGACACCGCCGACGCCATCCTTGCGGAGGGTTTCCCAGCGGTTGATGTCCCATCGAAACGCGTCAGGGTGAGTATCTGTGTGGTTCTTGAATAGATACTCCCGGACGGCTTGTCGAATCTCTGCCGTATACGTCTTCTTGAAAGGAACAGACAACTGGTTTGGCATTGCGAGTGACGTAGAACGGGCGAGCTCCTGATCCTGGCGTGACTTCTGGACTCCGAGCGGACAGCTGCACAGTGCAGGCCCTCTCGTCACTACTAGTTTTTGTGCGCTTGCACAAACTACTCAAGCAGTCAGCTTGTAGTACGTACTATATCTTCTGGGTCAGTTGTGGGTATAGTTGGTGAGACAAGTACTGGTTGGTGGCGAAGGAGCAGTGGTAAGGCGCGAATCGCGATGCTTCGGATGAATGACAGCCTGAGCCCAGTGAGGATGGCTTGCCATAGTCACGTGCCCGTGTTTCGAGCGCTCGCGCCCATCGCACTGACTCGGATCGCAGCACTTTGCTCGGTCAATTGTGCCCATGATTCTCGGCTTCGACTTCTCCTATCCAGCTGCAGGCTGTCCATCGATACAATGGTGCATTCCACACGACGGTACTGCGTTGATCGCTCTCTAAGTCTGTAACTGAATCACTGCAGGATGTTAGACTGTTAGATGTCCCGGATCGGTGAGAAGCATTGCGCTCGAGCATCTATTCTTCAGAAAGAACGAACACCCGGGGCAAGGTGGAATCACTTCCATTCGTTGCCAAGGGACATTAGAGGACCACAGCCCACTAGTTAACCACTGTGGTTCCGCCGGGATTGAATCACCGCAGTGCGACTTCAGGGCCTGAATGAAGGTGGAGTGTAACATCGTTCAAGGAAATGCATCTGCCGCATCAGTATGTTCAAAAGCTCTGCATGATCCGTATTCTACTGTTCTCGACGGGCGTCCCTCTGCTAGCCTCCGATAGCCGGCGTACGGAGCTTCACACGCGATTCTTACGCGCCTCCCATGGTTCAATGACGTTGAGCGTGTCGGGATATGGCTCCGTTGCCCTACTGGCCATAATGGTACTTCTCCGATAGCTGAATTTCACGCGAGTCAACCATAAACCTATCTATGGAAGTGGCGGCCCTATCTAAGTTCGTGGAAAGGACTTGGAGAACACAGACTCCGTTGTTTCCGGAATGGGGACATCTCCTCGGCGTGCTATCCATCCTTGCGGATTACTCTCCGGCCTAGAGTGTTCACTCTCCCTTACACGGCAGGGCCACTCTTCCCGCGCTCAAACAGAATCATGACTCTGCGGTTTGATACGCGTCAGCTGCCTGGCTAGGTATAAAGCTTACCATCGTAAGGGCCTCCTCTCGAAGCGAATTCTTGCCCCCCCCCCCGTGTATGCCATGGGTCCTCAACACAAGATGTTTGCGCAGGCGCCGCAGGGTAGTCAACCTCGGGCACCTCCTCAGGCCCATAACGTACGACTACAAACTAGAGCTACACTACTTCAGACTTCTAACATCATGATATGGACGACGTAGGCCTCCAGGAGCAATTCGTTACCAACTACGGCAGCTGGACCTACTACATATCCCATGGCCAACAACGTAGGACATGATTCCATCGCGCTCTTTGCGTCCGCTGACCTCATTCTGGTTGAATGCAGGGAAGTGTGAGTATAGTCTGACCGATTTGCACACCAATCAATCAATCAGTTTGAAGCAGGGACTAGGGACCGTAACCCAAGCCTCGCAGCAGAACGCTCGACTCAGAGAGCCCGCCGTCGCCGATCCACCTCGCCGGCAGACCACTGTAAGCCATCACACCATTTACATCTCAGACTATCCTGTGACCGACGTTCTCCGTTACTAGTTATAGGCGTAATGATCCGGGGCTAGCGAACGACGAAGGCAGTTGTATTGACCGTGTACAAAGTAGGCTCGCATTGAGCATTGCGTTAGTTTATGTATCATCAAAGCGACTCGATTGTCCACCAACCGCGAAATTCTGAGCAATCAGGTCATCTGGAGAACAGCAATGTGTCTTAGCAAACGCACAGTTAACATGGACAACGACTTGGACAGGACGTGAGATGCTTCCGTATCGGCCGATCGGGCTGATCTGGTGACGGAGCCGCCGATTGCAGCGTGCTTCATTGAGGGCCTGCAGAACATCATACCAATATCTGCTTCTTCGCGCAATTGACTCATTGCGCAGCTGTAGGATGCCCGGCAGCAAAGACACGCGTTCGCCACGGACCGACGGCGACGGTTGTGATCCGTTAGCCCCGTACCACTGTGCGACGGCGTGCTTGACCCTATTGCCATATGTCCATCATTGCAGCCAAACCACACAAACGTAAAGATAGCCCCTTGTGTGGTGTCTCAGCTGCTCCTGTGATCACCTGTGTCCCACGGAGCTCTCGCACTGGCAGAGTCCCCAGCGTGAGAGAAGGAGCAACGGGGTCGGTTTCGCCTGGGGACCCCGGACCTGGCTTGCCTGGGGACCCGATTAACAGTGAGTCCCACTGGGAAAGCGCTGTGCGAAGCGTTCGGCTTCAGCGTCGTGCAAGCGACCACCCCGACACGCTACCGAGTCCCGACTTGGTGCGACGCTCCACTCGTTCGAGGCTCTGTGAAGGAGAACCGGATATATTGCGTCTTCGCTATCAGCCAAGGTCCACTGTGGTGTACGACGCATGTATGGACCTGAAATAACATCGAGTCCATCGTATCACCGACGAAAAAGAACCTGAAATTGAGCGTTCTGTTCAGTCGCAATACCGAACCACTCAAGGTCAGAGTTGCGTAACCTTGTGGGGCATCACTGCCTCCAGACGGGCCGATACAGAGATATGCACCTCGAGGGAACATGCAAGCCTATCCTTCGAACCCCGGGACACGCTTGACCGTATGCAGTATAGTGTGTCTGCGATGTCTGAATTCCCCGCGTCCGATGTCAATTGCGCGGTGATTTTGCATAGCGAAAGAGGGTTCTCACAATGTAGCAATGAGTTTGCGTGACACGGGTCATTGGTCGAAACGTCGTATTTGTCGTTGACCCCAGGCCACGCTCCGAGTCGTATGTTTCGAGCGGAGTCTCCAGTTGTTTCGCTTCTGTCAATTGCCGGCAGGGTGGTCGCCGCCGGGTGCAACCGCGATACAATGAAGTTGCTTACCCAGCCTGGAGGACAGCCACATATCGTATACTTCGAGCACTGCATGCAACTGCCCTCACGTTCTCGCTTTGGGCGTATTTGGTCCCTATGGACGCAGCTGATAGTAAAGGATCGCACCTCAGCATGATGCAGCCTCACTCGACAATACAGTTCGCTGCCACCATGTCGCATGCCCCTCGTCCAGCTCCAAATGCAGGCTCCCGTCAGGGGCAGCCGTCGCAAAGTACGGTTGCGACGTCAGCACCAGCCTGGCGGGTGCAATTCGATTTCGTGGGTGACAATTGCTAGATGCTTTCCACTGTCGCATAAGCTGATTTATCCGCAGGGTCAGGTACGACCGACACACCTAAGCGATGGCCCTCCACTGATCTGCCTGAATTTGCAGGGACAGCAGGTGATTGTCAGGTTGAGGGGACAGATATGGGTTCCCGGCAAAGTGATTAGCTTTCGTCAGCGACAGCTAGAGGTCAGTCTTTGGCGCACATACAAATACACTGTCCTCATACTTGGCGTGCAGTGGCAGAAAGTCGAGTACAAGGTTGAGTACGAACTAGGTGGCTCGGTCTCGGTGGGCTTCTTCCAGGCCGAGGACATGCAGCGCGGCCGTTGACGGATAAAAGTCTGCGACGGCTGGGTGTCTGTGGACGGCTATGATGTATGATTATGTTAATGCGGAAATGGTCCCATACATGCCTTCGTTATTGTGCTATCGTACCATGCCCGGATGCCGGAGAAGCGACAATGAAGTCACGCAGGCGAGAGAATATTTGTTTGATCTTCAAGTACTGCCAGACTCGGATGATAAGATTCGGCCATTGGAACGGCACCATCAGGATGCGAATTGCGTGTTGTACGACTCACGAATGGCCACGAACATCGAAGAACAGGATCATAACTGTTTACGCGACAACCGACACAGCGTACGACAACTCGTTCTATAGATCATTTCGTCAGATCTACCGCAGTGGGCGCCCAATGACGTGGGCGCGGAGTTCATGTTCTTCCAGTCAATGTTCGATCGAGCGATGCGTGTCTGATGCATGCGATATATGTATATCGCCCTGGCTGTGGGTGCCACTGCGTTAGCTCACATGGAATGCGACACAACTACGCAAGCCTACATTGTCTGGCCAGCGAGAAGATGCACGTCCCCCACGTTCCGAACAGTGCCGGGCGCCGTACACCGCTCGCCACGCATGGAACACGAGTCGCATAGCGCCGAGTCCAAGGGAGTCCGTGCGAGGCCTCGAGGAAAGCCGCCGAGTCTTTGGAGCAGCCTCATCACATTGTATTCAAGTTGCCCTCCGCCCGCCACTGATGCCTCTCGATGACTCGTACGACCACCCACGTCCTGCTCCTCCTTCTCGCGTCAGCGACGACAGCGTCGGTGGGAGCCCAGCAATGTCGACTCATAGCCCATAACGACGCGGGGAGCGTGCCTACCCGGACTTCTGGGTCCGGCGGGGGATCGCCCGCATCGATCTCAGCGACGGCCACCGGCGCACAGCCTTCCGCTTCCGCAGCGTCCACAAACGCCTCTTCTTTCGATTACGGGAGGGATGTGATCAGAGGGGTGAACCTGTGAGTTTCTGCCATTGGATATCGAGCGGGGCGCAGCTGATGGGAGCGAAGGGGCGGGTGGTTCGTGCTAGAGGTCAGTGGTCCAGTGGCGTTATAATTCACAGGCAGGGCGCCTTTCATGTCGAGGCTGTTGACGGCCGTCTCGTTCATAGCCATGGATCACTCCGAGCATATTTGAGAACACGAATGATACCGACGTTGTCGACGAATATACATTTGGCCAGCTGCTAGACTCGAATTATGCCTCCAGCGCATTGCAGCAACATTGGGACACGTGGATCACAGAGGACGACTTCAAGGCCATCAAGGCAGCGGGCCTCAACCATGTGCGGTACGTTTGACTGGTTGTCACCTGTAACGTAGCGATATTTACGTCTGTCTAGAATACCAGTAGGCTACTGGTCCGTGCCTATCACGTCCGCCGACACGAGCTACTCGACGGATGTCTCACCGTACGTCACCGGCGCATGGCCCTACCTTCTTCGCGGCCTGCACTGGGCGAACGAGAATTCGGTCCACGTCATTCTGGATTTGCATGGCGCTCCAGGATCGCAGAATGGTTTCGATAATTCTGGGCGGAGGGGCTCCGCGGATTGGGCGAACAACTCGACGAATATAGACCGGACGCTGGACATTATCCGATTTATTGCCGACAAGGTCGGCGGCTTGGTGAACGTCGTGGAATTGCTCAACGAACCCGCTGGGTGGGATTCGAACATCAATGCTGCCATTGGACCCTATTGGAGGGATGGTTACTCTGTTGTCCGAAACGTCACAGGAATGGAGAACCATGTCATGATCGGTGATGCCTTCTTGGGCGTGGATGTGGGCGTTCCGTCGTACTGTATGCAATAGCCGCCACTAACCCATCTGTAGGATTGGCAGAACTTCCTTCTCCCTCCAGAAGGGCAGGGAGTAATCATGGACTACGTACGCTCCACCTCGTCTCTGTTTGTCTGTCCTCACTGACTAGTTGCTCTACTAGCATCAGTACCAGATTTTCAATACCGACCAAATCGAGCTTTCGGAGGACCAGCACATAAATGTATGTCTCCGGCCTCCCAACAGGGCGCGCGCGCTCATCCGTGCATTTCTCCAGTATACTTGTCAAATCAATGCCACGCTAGCACCGTACGCCAAGTCTAACCTAATGACTATCACGGGAGAGTGGTCGAACGCCATCACGGACTGCGCGAAATGGCTGAACGGACGCAATGTCGGAGCCCGATGGGATGGTAGCTACGCTTCCGGAGAGACCGCTTATGGCAGCTGCAACGGCATGACGGGAAACTACTCGACGTTCAGCGCCGACTACAAGACCTTCCTCAGAAAGTAGGTGGTGGCTTCATTTGAGTCATCAAGCGCGCTCACGCCGGTTTGACTCCGCCCAGATTCTGGGAGGCGCAGGTCGCAGTCGGCGAGAGTGTACAAGGATGGATATTTTGGACGTGGAAGGTGAGTGGGCTGATGGCATCGATCTCCCCACGACGTAACAGAAACTGACGTGGTCCGTGCAGGCTGAGAACGCGGACGATTGGAGCTATCAGAAGGGTCTCGAGGGCGGCTGGATACCGCAAGACCCGACGGACAGAATGTACCCAGACATTTGTTCCGGCAGCTCGAGCTCGTAGCTCGGGGGGCGATGGCCTCCGGGCTGGGATCTAGATGTAATACTGTAATATGGTCATTGCTCTCGAACAATTCTCTGATGGGCTGTGGTCGTGATTTCAGTGCAAGTCACAGGATTGTCTTGGACATTTTCATTCACTGCATCAGCGTTTTCTCGCCTCTTCTCGCCCAACTCCAGAAAGCAGAATCACCGGTGTGACGGTAACACGCGCCACATTGCTGCGCCCTGATTGGTGGAGGGACGCCAATGTCACCGGCGCCTGTCCAGGGAGCCCACGTGGGGAGCCGTTTACGGCAACTGCGCGCTTGCTGCGCGCAGAGGCGGCTTCGGGCTGGCGAGCCTGACTACTTACAGCACTCTCCCTTCACCCACGCAAGCTGCGCTTTCGCTTCCCCTTCGTTCGTATGTCGCTGGGCTCGTAAACCGCGTCCACAAGCAATGTTCCTGGCCCTCCTTCTCGTCGCCCTCATCGCCGTCCTCCATGGGTGCTCTGCGGCGGTCGCTCCCTCGACGCCCGCAAGGCTCGGAAGGCGGCAAATCCTCGAGGATATCGTCAATGGCATGAACACGACGGCGAACCATGCAACACTGCTGGGCGTGAAATTGTCGACGGACAAACAGTGCGTACACGCGCTATCTGGCTCGCGAGCACCACCGTGATGCCTTCGCAGGTCCTACTACACCATCGTTTCGATGGGCAACATGAGCTTTCGCGTCGCGCTTGACTCGGGCTCTGCCGATTTATGGGTGGTGTCCACGGCGTGCTCTAGCAGTGTCTGCTCCTCCATCCCCAGATACCAGCTTGCGTACGGCAGCTCGACCTTCCAGTCGGTGAACAGCAACAACTCTCTGTTCAATATCAGCTACGCCGATACTACCTGTGAGCTTGCTGTTCTCTCTGCATCGGTATATGCATAGTATGGCTCCACTATCTGGTTGCACATTTGGGTGGAACGATGGCCTACTCGCTGACTGCTCGGCTCTGCGCAGTACAGCCGAGCAGCCGGAATCAAGAAGGCTCATCTCGTTCAAAGGCGGGACGTGACGGGTGACGCGTAGATTCGTCGGTCATGTTAACCTGCCAGGTCATCGTCTGCGTACAAATGATTTGGCAGCGTACGGAGGACGACTTGGCGGGTTTGGCGTACCTTACACACCCATGGCTTTTCTTGTCTATCAGTGACATTGACGTCGTCGACGCGGTCTCGGATCCCCGTTGCTGTGTCATCATGAGCTGGGCCCAAGCTAGCGAAATACCATGGAGCACGACACAGCTACGCACTCGATGTCTGGAGGCTTGACCATGCAGGATACCAATGCTTGTTATAATGTTTTCAGCGCGTAGATGCTGATCCTTCTACGCAGTTGCATCTGGTTTCATTGCGCGGGAGACTGTATATCTACAAAACTTGACTGTTCCTCAACAAGCGTTCGGTAAGTTTACGCGACTGCGACCTTTCGTGTCGCTCATGTCTGTCAGGTTTGATGAACTCGTCCAATGTTACGTTGAACGACGACATAAGCGGCGTCATGGGTCTTGGGTTCCCTCGTTTGTCTACTATTGCGAGTACTGCCGCCAACGGTAAGTCTCTTTGTAGGTGCTCCGAGTGATGATCTATAATCACTTTTGTAGCCACGCCCATATTCGCGTCTATGGCATCACAGGGACTCCTCAACTACCCTCTGTTTGGCTTGTTCCTCAGCAGGAACGAGACTGGGAGTCTGACTCTAGGTCTGTCCACATCTCAATGCTGAAAGGTGCTATCATACTGATGGATGCAACAGGTGCAATCGATGCCTCGGTCGTCACCAACAGGAGCCTGATCGAATGGCATGACGTGGTTCCGTTCGCACCATTCAACGGCACCGACGGCACGACGGCGAGCTACCTCCAATGGGCGATCGAGCTCCGTCAAATTTGGGTAGGTCCACCTCCATCGCTGCTTCAGAGTTCCGTGTTGATTCGCGTAGGTTAATGGCACGTATATCAACCCCGCACCGACATACTCTCAGTCAGATTCGAATACTTCTTTGGCTCTCTTGGATGTGTGAGTGCTTTCTTCTTGCCGGTCAGTTATCAGAGTTCACAGATGAGCAACAGCGGTTCTTCCGGTATTTATGGACCCTATCAAGATGTGAGCATGAACTATGAATTGGCATGGCCTTCATCTGACTGTTTGACAAGGTCGAGCGGATCTTCTCTGGATTCAGCGGTAGTCGCCTTGTTGACCAGACGAGTGAGTTCGCGGAGATCATCCCAGCTGAACCTTGTTCATGTCCCATCCGCAGATGGTCAATGGGCGGTGCCATGCGATTCGAGCGAAACGATAACGTATAACTTCGGGTACGATCGCTCTGTCCCGAATTCGGAAATTGTGCTTACTCTGTATCAAGGTACGGCAACTTTACTCTTCAGCCTACCGACTACCTGGTCGGGCCTGTCGCGGGCGATTCGTATTATTGTCTGGCTTGGCCGGCTGCTACTTCGCCCCGATCTGATGGTATAGACTGGCAACTAGGTAAGAAACTCTGAGTTCAGGTGAACGTATGATAGCTGATATTCGCACAGGCCAACCTTTCTTGCACACTGTTTATTCGATCTTCAGGTGTGTCCTACAGCCTGGGCAATTCATTGAGTCGTGACTGATGCTGGAACTGCCGCAGTTATGGCATCGATACAAAAGAAGCACCCTTGATAGGGCTGTATCCTCTCAACAATGCGACCGCAGCGGTGCAATCGCCTAGTGTCGTCAGCTCTTACTTCTCCGCCGCATCCGCAACCGTCAATACGGCTCTTCCGAACTACCTCGTCCCTACGCCATCATACACGACCCCCGCTTACATCTTCAACACGTCCGTCACCGCACCGCCCGGCCTGATCGTCTCGTCCGGCCTCGGCGCCAGCACGTATTCGCCTGTGCTTGGAACGGGATACCTCAATGTCACCGCTATACCCACTGTCGCTCCCTCCCCGACGCTGCTCACTTCCTGATCACCGAATCGGGAGGCGTGTCCACGTCGGTGTCGACGGCATCGCAGCCGTCCATCACCCTCGGCGAGCCCCCCGGCTGGAGCAGCGGCGCGAGCGCGCTGCATGTCCCGTTCAAGACAATCACGTTCGGTTCCTTACTGCTGCTGCTCAGTCTCTTCATGTAGGACCGTGGACCTAGATGTACTACCCCGCCCCGACTTGCGCCCGCCGCGCACCTTACGGCACGACGTTCGTTACGCCGCCCTATAGCATACGCCCTGTTCTGGACTTCACATGGACCTTCGCCCGCAGAGTGTTTTAGTAACCTTCTCAGAGCCCTAATCGCACAGCTCCGTCGTTTGCGTCGGGCAATAGCACTAACTTTATTCGATATCCAATACGTCTGTACTTCGACTTGGCTTGGTGCTGAGCGTCCTATCCGCACGGAAGGGAACTGCGCTACCTAAACCCGTTGTCGGCTTTGTTTGGCCGGTCATCCCATTCCTTGAGCCAAGCTGGCTTCATGTCGTTTGTCTTCGCGTGCAGCTGCACGTAGTCCCTCTCGCGATGCTCTATCATCCCCTGCGTGGTTCGTGGAGCCCACTCCGCGAAGACTTTAAGATGTTTCTCCGGGGCAGCGTGCTTCAACGTGATGTCCATCGCTTCCGCAAGGCGCTGTCGTCGAAGAGGTGCCAGTGAGTCGAAGTGCGTCGCAACACTGCGAGAAATACAACTTACTTTCATCTTCATCACTTCGAGAGCCACACGCTGCCTCGTGTTGTCCAACCTTATCCACGCCTGGTTGCTCGTAACCTCTGCGTCCGTGAATTCCCGGATGCGCAGATCGTCCCAGTCCACAGGCCATGAGGATTCAGCAGAAAAGAAGTCGCGTCGGAGAAGAAGTGTTTCTGGTAGGCCTCCATCGCGCCCTTGGTGAACGCGGCGTCTCCGAGCAGCTGAGAGAGCTCCTTCTCGATCGCCGCGGATCCGACCCTTGTCCCGGAGGAGACGACGTCGCATGTGAGGTTGGCGAAACTTTTCATGAACTGCAGAATGCAGCCGACTGGGGAGAGCAGGAGAGAAAGGCGCGTGTCGGCCACTTGGGGGACGGTCAGACCCTCCGCGACCAGCCTGAAGTAGTCGTCGTTGATGTAGTAGCCCTAAGCGGGGAGCGTCAGTGCACCCTGCGCGCTGAAGTAGATGAGGCAAAGGGTGCGGGTTCTACGCGGTAGCAGAGGCCTACAGCCTCGAAGGCGAAAGTTCAGAGCGTGTGTGCTTACCCCCGAAGTAGAAGCGGCGTCCATTACTACGGTGTAGTTTGCAGGACCGTTGATCAGGTTTAGTTCGTACTGCAGGACATAAACGGGGACGAGCACGGGGTATGCGGCCATCTGGTTGTGTCGTGGGTGACTGCGGCCTACGCTCAGCGTACACGGTATGGCGCACCATTGTAACTGACGCAGTGTGCGGCTTGATGTGAAATGTGGGGCCCACGGGCCAGCGTATGTTCTCCATCTGACTACAGAGCTCGAGCAGAGGGAATGGTGTATGTGTGAATGGGAGACAGAGGACCTGCGTTCCGTGTTGTGTGCGGAGGTCTTCTGAGAAGGGGACAGCGGCACTTGTCGACAACGCCGGTGAGTTCAGAGCCATCCGAGAGAGTGGCTCGTATACGAAGCCTGGGCACGGTCAGTGATACAAACACATGGGGCCCTGCACACCGTGTACATACCTGGCATGTACCTGCATTGATGTGTGTGGGCTATGTCCGTAGTGAGGGATATATCACGTACGATAAGTCTGAGGAAACGCTGACAAATGCCTAAGGACGCAAGCTATGAGAACAGAGTGGGTATCGATGCAAGAGAAGCAATACCGATCGCCAGCCGGAGGGTCGTTCATACTCAGCATCAAACGTGACGGCCGAGTCAATCAACCAGACAGGTAGGTACACGGCTTGGACATTCTTGGGTCGCATTTGCCAATTGCCATTGCCGTCGAAGAGGTCGAGCGACCATAAGTGGCGAAATAATCCGGGGCGGGTTTCCGGTCTACTGCCATACTTCCACGAGTACATGGCTGTGAAGATGTTCGCCTCCTGGAGGACATCTTCTGCGGGCATGGCGAACGGGAACGCTTGGAGCAAACGCCTCAGCGTGAAGCAGCCGTAGCCAAGACACGTAGCTCTGACCTCGGACCTTGGGCGAGTACACAGTTGGTGGGCTCGAGGTGCTCAAGAGACGTCTCCTCAATTGACTTCGTGTACACAGCGACCTGCTGGTAGTATGCCATGGCCTCCGAGTCGCGAACATGTTGAGATGACTGCGGGTGGGATACGGTCGATCGTATCCTGATTCCCTGCGCTATCCTGGAGCACGCTGAACTGTGGTGAGGAGTCTTTGGTTCGTAGAAGACGGCTGTGAGGGGGCGATGTGAAGCAGGCTTGAAGAGATTCAGACAGTCGCGTTGCACACTTGAGTGAAGCGCCCTTTTGAAGTCGAAGCAGCCTTGTACCGGCCCGGGCTTCCCGTTTCGTTCAAGCCTGGCAAAACGACGTCACCTGTAAGTACGTACGGCGGCACATAGATACAGGTCGTCCAGGCACTAGGTCATCTGCAGGACATTGCGGCTTTCCGGGAGACTTCCGGTAGATATCCTGTGGACGGAATGTCCTTCGTGTATACATACCTTATGTAATCGACTCGCGCGGGCCCGTGACCAGATCGCGTCGCGTCGCGCGCATATATATACTCGCACTTGAACTTGAGCGTCGAGGCTCGGGCACCGCGCGCATACAACCACAGTACTCGCGTCTCCCCTCCTCAAATCAATCCCCTTTCCAAGTTTCACAGTCATGCCCAAGTCCGCTCGATCAGTAAACCGAACATCGCAGCCAAAACCTTATGGTAAGGGCTGGATAATGCCTGTTATAGGCCTCCAGAAATGCCCGTGTAGCGTCTGCAAGGCGAACCCACGAAGTGACCGGCAGACGCGAGCCAACATTCGCAAGCATGTGCAGAAGGATGAAGCCCGAAAATGCCAAGTGCGGCTCCTTGAAGCCAGGAAGCGCGAAGCGCTCCGTGCCGAGATGGAGGGACCGGAAGGGTTCGCTGAGGCTCCGAGCGCAGAGACGTCTGCTTTGCGCCACAAGTCTGTTATTTGAACACTTCGCTTCAGAGTCACACACTGATACATTGACAGAAGCTCTGGGCTATACATGGTGTCGGTTTGACCCCAGGCCCAGAGCCGCCTGAAGAGATTGCAAGCGATGATGTCTCTCCGAGTCGTTCGTTGTCACAGTCCATTCAATCATCCCGGTCACCAGTTGCTTAGCTGCCATCCGCCGCCGGCTTGCTCTCCGAAGCCTCTTAATTTTCATCTGTGCGATCACCTAGCACTGCGTCGCACTCGCCAACTGTCCATTCGCAATCTCTACACTGGCTGTCTTCTCGCTCACCATCTGTGTACTTGTCGTCCGCGTAATCGCAGGCTGTCCGCTCGCCATCTGTCCACGCCAACTCAGCATCTGCTCACTCGACTCCAGGGGCCGTCTTCACACCTGCTCGCTCGCTGTCTGCTCCATCACTGCTCGCCGCCCACCTTCTGTCTGCTCGCTCGCTGTCTACTGGCTCGCAGTCGAGTGGAATTTACTCGCCGTCTCTTCGCTCAGATGTTGCGATCCCAGAGATCTACTCAGTTGTTCTCGACGAGCGAGCCCGCGCAGGAGCTTGTGATGCAAGAAATCCCTCAGCCGCAGTTCAAAGGATCCTACAGAGGTTGGACCTGACTACCATACGACGCCGCCCTGACTAAAGTCATATTGCATGCGTAGATGCCATCGAACTGCCGTCTCAAACTTGTGTATCCGTTGGTGTCGTATAAAGGTGTTGAGTGAGATGTGAGATTTAGCGCATGCCTTCTTCCTCCTCTTAGTAAAGGTGCATGATGGCCTGTACGGTAGCAGGCTCGAGGTGAGTCATAATGACCAGTGCTTACCAGATTGCGTTTGGTACATACCGAGTAATGCAGTAAGATTGACTGAAGTCAGCAGGCGACATCGTCAGTGCAATCTAGGATCACTCTTGCGGGTCGCTCTCCGTCACCAGCAACGAGCAATTCACCCCCGAACACGCCAGAAATCCCAAAGTTACACTGATTGTCGGTCATGATACAGCAATGTAGTACAGCAAAAACAGCCTATCCCAGGTCCGACCGCAAGGAAGTAACACACACATACACACACTGACTTGACACCGCAAAAAAGACATCCGCCAGCCGTTGCTAGTATGTCTGTGGGGGCCAGTCAGGCAGACTGGTGAGAGCGGCGTTGATCGCCTCGCGCACGCGACGTTTGGAGGCGAGGTCGCCGGATTGCCTGTACCCGGTGAACACCTCGTGCATCTGGAACGACGACGCTGCCACCGAGTCTGATAACGGCGGCACCATCAAGAAGGGCTGGTCAGCAATCCGACCAGAGGCATCTAAACTCCAACGCACCGAAATTGGTTTCCGCCTGCCTCGCGAGCTGTTCCAGCCGCGCAGCCTCCTGTTGTGGGCCGCCGTAGTATCCCCCATATCCCTGCGCCCCGTTGAACAGCCCCGCACCGCCCATCGAGCGCACCCTGCCCTCGATCTCGTGTTTCCGCTGGCCCCAGGCCTCCTTCAGCACGTCAAACGAGTTCTGCACCTGGGCGGGGATCAGATGGGCGCTGAGGCTGTATTAGTGCCTGACACACTGACCTGCTTCCACGCATAGGTATCCCAGGTCTCGAGCTCCTGCTTGTGCTGCTGGACGTATTCGCGCGGATGTGGCGGCCTGCCCCCGTACTGCACCCCGCCCCCCGCGGGCGCCCCACCGTACGCCGGCTGCTGTTGCTGCTGTTGTTGTCCCCCACCCTGTGCGTAGGGATCGAACTCGGCCAAGTACGAAGGCGTCTGCTGCTGCTGAGAATAGCTGGGCTGGTAGCCCGCGCCGAACTGCGGCTGCTGCTGGCCTGCGGGGTAGCCGCCGTACTGTGGTGGTGGTTGCTGCTGCTGCTGCTGCTGCGGCAGGCCGGTGTACGCGGTGTTCACATGCGAGGCGAGCTGCTGGCCGAATGAGCTCGTCGGCTGGAACCCCGACATCTGCTGGCCCTGTGGCGGGCTGCCATAGCCCTGCTGCTGGCCGTACCCCGCGCCGGGGTTCCACCCCGTCGGTTGTGCGAGCAGCGGCTGCTGGTACCCGCCACTGTACGTCTGGCCTTGGTACCCCGCAGGAGTTGGCGCGAATGAAGAGGATGGTTGCTGCTGCGTCCACTGTCCGTACTGCCCCGATGAGCCAGTGGCATTGTTCACCGCGTTGATATCGGGGTAGCGATTGAGGGCGTTGGCTGGATGGTCGATGAAGGGGTTATTGGAGAGCTCGGCGGGCGGCGAGCCGTAGCTTGGTGAGGAGTACATCACAGCTCACAGGCAGATGGAGAAGGTAGACAGAAACGAACAAGAGCGACGAGAGGGGTTGAGCAAAATACACAGGAATACACGGGAATCAGGATGGCTCGCTGCGGACCTGGACCACAGCGACGGCGGCTTTCAGCGCGCCCACGGGCCACACCCGCGCCGGCCGCGCCCCCGCGTCATGCTACGCGTCCCACGTGACCAGTACATTACGCGCTCCAGAGACACTCGCTAGCATATTCGATGAGTTTGTGATCACGTAGTCAGTAGGTACATACACGGAGGGGAGTGAGTAGGGATATACGGTACAGGGACATCTCACAAATAAGATGGGAGCAGTGAAGTACAGTGTATGTCATAATACATGAGTGCAGTGTCAATAATATACCACTAGTTGCACGGGAACCATCGCGAGGTGAAAGGCAAAGGAAGGGAGCAGGTATACCTGAATAGACTAAGTGTGAAAGATGTCGCAACCCCGAACGCACCTCAGTGCGTCAGCGCCGTCCTCGCCTTCCGATGCGCCCTGCGCTCCTGAGCGAGCCTACGAGCCGTCATGGACTCCACCATCTGCCTCCCGCGGACCGGCCACGCATCCATCGTCAATATCTCGTCCTTCGACGCCCGCGCGTTCTCCCTCGCCCTGTTCACCCTCCCCTTCACCTTCTCCTGCACCGACTCGAACAGCCGTCCACCCATCCGCCTCAGCTCCATCGCCCGCGCACGAGCACGCTCATGCCGCGCATGGATCATCGTCTTCAAGCCCTGCACGGCCCCCGCGGACTGCGCCCACACCAACGCGGACTGCCGCCCAATCGCACGCGCGAGTTCGTCCAGCGCGTCCATGATCTCTTGCACGTCTTGTGCGACCACACGCGCCACGGCGGTGTATCCGAGGCCGAGGATCTCCGCGAGCGAGCCCGCGCCGCGCCAGGCGCTCAACGCAAACATCGTGTCGTCTCCGCGCGCGACAGCCTTGCCCTTCGCGCCGTCCGCAACGTAGCCTGAATGCGAGGAAACCATCGCCAGACTAGACTTGCCAGCGTCGTGTACCGCTGACGTCGCGGGCGTCGGACGGAGCATCAAGTCCGTGGTACCCTTGGACTTGCCTGGCCAGGTGATCAATCCACAGCCGCAGGCGCATTCGGACGGCGCATCTACGGAGGTGACGGGGTCGGCGTGGTGGGGAGATGGCATGGCCGACGGCTGACTGGTCGAGGTAGAAGCAACAAGTGGCGCGGGGAGCACGGCCAGGGCGAAGTCCTTCAGAGACGACCGAACGAGTCCCGATGTCGCGGGGTTCAGGCTCGGTTGTGGGGTCGAATGGTTGATGGGCACGCTGACCGGCGGGAATGCGAACGTGGGTGTCGTCTGCTGAGGCTGCGAGGATACGACTGTGGGCGTGGCGGAAGGGGTGAAGGAGCCCTTGATCGCGTAGCCGAGGACGACGGACAGAATCGCGAGACTGTCAATGAGTGTAAGCATTAACGTCAAGTGGATGGGTGTCCATAACGTACATCGTGAAAGCGTGCTTCGAAGCGATCCGTTGCGTAAAGCGGGGAGATTGCCGCACCTCTCCTGCGAACAGCGGGCGCAAGGCGCGAGCAAGTTGCTTGGGTGCGACACGTTCAATCTCGTCTACATCGACGACAGAGGACGAGCAACGAGACACTGGCACAACCTTGCGCTGTGGGACGTTGAATGTATCCCATTGCTGCTCGGCGTCGAGGAGTTGGTCAGCGGAGAAGGGAATATCTATGACGCTCGGGCTATGTGCCAAGACCGGAAGGTAGAGAGAATGGTCGGGCACGAAAGTCAAAGGCGATGGAAGAAACACGACAGCTAAGGAAGGCCGGTCAAACGGGACAAAGCTCGACTAAGAAAGGATGAAGTTAGTTCCGGTGAACAACAGTGACATATACCCACAGTATCAACACTGTCCGTTCGGTCGATGACCCAAACCGTCCTATTGTCCTGGCCGCCATTGGACGATAGGAAGCGGACATACCCGTCGATGAGCCCGACGATGCGCGAGGTCAGCGTGAGGCCCATGCCGACCGCCGCCTTCTCAAGCAGCTTATCGATCAGGGACCACTTGACCCCGGACGATGAGCCGTAGAGTACGACGTAGAGATCAGGCCTGTATTCGTCTTCGCGACTGCTCTCTTCTGCATCTGGGACCGCGGGCGTGGCGAGCGAGCCCGGATCCGCAGCTGTAGGCGCTAGCGCTGCATCGATGTCGGCCGTGCGGCGCGGGCTGGAGTCAGCGCCGGGCAGGACTGCGGGGGACGCGTCGACCTCTGCGACGGACGGGGGCGCGACAGCTTCGTAGGAGTCGTTGAGTGGCTCGTCCCGGGAGCTTGTGAGCGGGTCCGGGAAGGAGAGCCGGAGATCGCGGGTGCGGACGAGCGAGGAGTGCGAGCCACTGAGGGTGTTAGAGCGCGACGAGCTCAGCGTGCTCATCATGCTCTGGTCGAGAGCATCCTTCACCCGCTGCTCCTCCTCCGGATCTGCCTGCTGGGCTGCAGGTGCAACCCCGCCTGCAGGCGCACTACTGCTGAGAGCGGAGGGTCGGGTCAGCGGGAGTGTGGCAGTGTGGCGCTCATCGGGGATGTCTTCAATGAGACCTTCCCAGGCTTGGACCTCGCTGGTGTGCGAGCTGTTCGTACTGGAGAACGAATGCCTGGAGGGGGGCCTGTCGTCCTGGGAGTCGAGCTCGCGATCGCTATCGAAGCCGACGACCGAGTCGGTGTCCTCGGATGCCCTGCTGCTTGCGATATCTAGCCAGTCTGAATCAGACAAGCTCTCAGGTTCAGATAGAGTGTGTGGGTCAGTGGCATCCATGGATCGTGGCATGTAGAGACGATTGGTAGTTGCAGGGTGCGGCCAGGCAGGCGAGGCGATCTATAAGGAGAGGAGCGCCGGGTTTGTACATGTTTGCTCCTGCCTTATTCGGGCCGGGTGTGATAAGCTGCCACTTGGAGGGTTCCGTGTCAGGCCGTGTCGCTACGTGCTATTGACTAGGATACAGAGCAGAAAACTATGTGTTGAGCCTTTTCATCGCATCTAATCTCCACCAAAGCAACAATAGTGCCCGAGAGACGCGACAAGTTGGTCGAGAGACATTGACGCGCTCCACGTGACCGCGTCGCGATCGGTCATGGGCGTCGGATCCGGACTCGCGACGGAAGGCTGCTCCACACGCCCTTCCCGCAAGGCCTACCTCCTCCTCTCTTGACTCTTGCTCTTTCTGACCGCAAAATGGCTGCGTGCGTGCGTATCTGTGACAGACAACCGCAGGGATGTGTCGTGTCTACGCATCTTATCAACTTTCCCTCCCCTGGCCCTGGCTCGTCCGCCTAAGTTTCGGCCCGTTCGTGATAGCAGCTCGATTGATCGTCATGACGAGAGGATCGTGCGTACGTAGGCAATTATTGCGATACTAAAGTATAGCTATGACACGACATGGCTTGGCGGCGTAAGTTAGTACACACAAGAAACGACCAGATGAACCGTAGCTCATCCACACCGTCCGCAGGTCGTGCGGCACCTGTTAGTGCACATTAGCGACGCATGCTTCCTCGTCTGTCGTGTAATCCGATGATCCTAATGCACTGGAAAATTGGCGTACCCGCGAAAGGTACACATAATTACAATGCGATCGTGAGGCAGGCGAGGTTCCGCCAGTGCTGGGGATACAGGCAGATCCATTTCTACAACTAGAGTTGCACTCAAGCAACGACCGAGCGATGCAGGAGATCTCTTGTGTGCGATTACCTTCGCAGTACCAAGCTGCAGCGTGTTGCCGTATGTCCGAACGAGTCAGCCAGATATCGGACGACGGGATCATGTATAAGTGCTCTAATAACGTCCCGTGTCGGGCACAGCCCTTTCTCTACACCGACGATCAGCCCTCCCACCTCCAAATTGTCTCGAGGGCGATCCTGTCATGTCGCAGCCTGCGGGCCTAGTATATCTGCCAGAGGATATACTCCTCGAAGTCGCGTCGCATCTTTCCGTGTTCGACGTACTGTCGCTCAAGCAGGTAGGGTCACGTCTATTCTCATGCGATCGCCACGATCTCACGCATCCTCGCATCGTCCGGACTCCCATTCCTCAAGACATGCCGCACGTTGTACGCCTTTGGGTCTACCGACTATCTGTGGCACCGTATTGTCCAACGAATCGACATACCTCTTGACCTCCCGCCGGACACCCCTCTGAGCGCGCTCGCCCACTATGAGCTGCAACCGATCGTGCTCAAGGCACTCCGCCTCGAAGCCAACTGGCGAAGGCGTCCGCCACGCCTGAAGACGCTCCGCTTGCTGCCTCGGGACACGCAGGGCCAGTATGTCGACCAGATGCACTTCGTACAAGGAGGCAGGTGGCTCCTGACCGTGCAGCGAAACCGACAGAGGGGTCGGCCCGGATCGCACTTGGAAGTCTGGTCGCTGGAAGACGAGCCGTACGCGATCGCCAATGTCGACACCACAGGACTTTACAGGACGGCAGTGATGGAGCTCAAGGAGGCGAATCAGTCGATCACCCTTGCAGTGGGTTACCAGACAGACGACTTGGCGGAGTGAGTCTCGTGCATTATTCAAAAGCCGAAGGTCTCTGACGAGAATCCACAGAGTCGTCGCCGTTTACTCAGTCCCTTTCCGAGACAGGTCCGAGTTCCTATTCTACACCGCGCCCACCCTTACGCCGACGACGACACTCCGTGTTTCGCCACACCCCTCGGTGAAGTGGCAGTCCGCCAAATTCATCCATCAACTGTCTTTGTCCGACGGACGACTGGTGGTCTCTGTCGTCGACCCGACCGGGCAGACAGGCATGAGCCTGCTCCAAGTGTGCTTGATGGACATAAAGTCGAGGGTATCTCGATGGCTGGACCCAAAGTACCTCCGAGTACGTTTGTCCCGTCAGTGCCCCGACCCCTCGCATACTAACCTCAGCCCTCAGCGGTTCTCCGACGTGTCAGTCAAGATCCACGCGCACAACGGGCACCTCCTTCTCCTCGGCCCCGCCCGCCAGAGCATCACCCTCCGCGTCTACGCCATGCCCCCCAGCCTCCTCCCCAAACTGTCTTCCGACACCTGCGACCCCGCCAACGCCTTCCTCGACCTCGGGCCCCCCATCTCCGAGTACGAGCAGCCCCTCCGGCACCACTCGCAGTTCCAAGACATCATCCACGTCTCGCCGCCCTCCGCCGCCTCCATCTCCGCGCTGGTCGTCTGCTCCTTCCACGACACCTCCCCGCGCGTCGGGCAGGTGACGCGCTTCCCTCTCCCGCCGGGCCCGGCCGCGGTGCGCGGCCCCCGCCTCCCCGGCGCGTCGCGCGACTTCAGCATGCCCTCGCACGTCTCCGCGCAGCTGGCGCAGGTCGGCCCGAGCGGGCGCGCGGTGTGGGTCGAGCACGACTGGGAGGCGCAGAAGAAGCGCTTCATGCGCTTCCAGATGCGCAGGGACGAGTGGGACGGCGCCGGGGTCCCCGCGGCGGTGGGCGCGCTCTTACCCCCGGATGTGGCGCTGCCCTTCTTGCCGGACACGGTGCACTCGCTGGCATTTGACGAGGTCACTGGACGGGTGTGCCTCGGGTTGTTCAACGGGGATATATACGTAATGGATTTTGTGTGAACTTGCTGATATCCATCGATCTTGCGTACTGAACGCGGACAGCGTACAGCAATGCTACTCATCATTCATGATGCAGACGTAGATCGCGCGTCTCGAATACCTGCATAACGGATACATTTTGTAGGACCAATGGATAAGGTGGGCTTATATACCCATCTACACTTTTCGCTGTCGTACAACACGCAACCCGCCTTCGTGATCATACATTCCCTGTGAGCCTTGAGCTTGAGCTTGAGATTGAGGGCTTCAGGCGGCTCCAATAAGGATGTCGGCAACTGAATGAATTATACCACGTCAGAGATGACTCTCGTCCTCGCATCTATGTCAGTCAAGATGACGCACCGTATTCGCCAACATAGTAGGCAGTGGCTTGCGTATGCGCAGCGATTTCTAAGGGGATAATTGACATGTCGGCAACACGTAGCTTCTTCGTGCCGTATACCTATGTCAAGGATAATATGGTCAACTACGCCATCCCACATCACACAAGCATGGGGGCGATGTCAAAGCTAGAAACAGACCTGCAGCTTCGGGTTCACTACGCCGTTCTTCTCGCGCGGGAGCATGCTGAGGGTGCCGCATGCGTGAAAGCATGTGGTGCAGTAGTTCCGGAGGTATTCTAGCAGTGTGCGCAGCCGTCAGTCCAGCTCCAGGAACATCGGGATGGTCGCAACGGCAGACCTTTGATCTCCTCGTCCGTCTGTGCCGTCAATCCAGGATCGACCTCTCGGACGACCCCAGACTTGAATGGCTCCGTAGCCGCGAGGCGCCTCACAAACTTGAGGTTCTCAGTGAAGATGTCCAGATCTACGTGCCGGGTTCATGCTGTATTGCTCTGTGGAGACAAGAGGAGACGTACCATATGGCACGGAGAACGTGTTTGGGTCGATGTCCGGTTGCTCGAGAGGGTCGCTGCTCTTCGAATGCTGCAGGAGGATAAGCGATGGCAATCGTTACACACAAACGGATATGTACCACTCTGCCCCTGTTCAGGCGGTATCATTAGCATTGTAGATCCCCGATATCGACGTCAGGTGCCTACCGGGAGAACTCGTGCTGAATCACACAAAGGGCAGTGAGCTAGGGTGCATGCTCAGTCAAACGGACATGTCCCCATGCATGCGATTGGAAGACATACGTAGCACTTGCCCGGCTCTGGTCGGGCTATGGCGCACACCGTCGGTAACGGCGGCTGATAGCGATCGGAACCACTCACAGATGAATGTCAACCAGCCGGGGAACGCGAGGGTTTCCATGTCAGGCAAAGTTGCGTCCTTGAGCACGCGGAGCTGGATATCCCACTGCTCGGCGAGCCCAGGAGGGAGCGTGCCGCTTTGCTTCTTCTCCTCGACGTACGCCGTCATCTTCTCAACGATGCTGGGGGCACCATTGGGACTCGCGAGCTGAAGCGGCACGTAGCCGAAGGCCGTGATACCCAACCGGTGCAAATTTTCCTTGTCAAGATCCCTGAGAAGTGCGGGACGGGGGTTGTAGATCCCCAACAATGATCCCTGACGGTATCGGGGAAGACTTACTGCAGGCTGACTTGCTCCTTCGCGAACTCGGGGTTGCGAAACAGGTCGGCAGTTTTGTGCGACACGTTGGGATCAAGTTCGTAGGAGACGCCTTCGGACAGAGCGTATTAGCGACGCCGGCTTTTCGTGTTTCAGAGGAAAAGCTGCGCACCCACATACGTATGATCCTGCATGTTCTCTCCCACACCAGGGAGTTCTAGCTTGAGCGGAACACCGATCTTGTCGAGGACATCACGCCGACCAATCCCCGATAACTCCAGAAGTTGAGGAGATTTGATAGTGCTGACAGTCGTTCAATGCCAAATTGGATACAGTGCGAAAACGGGCTCACCCTCCAGCAAGAACAACCTCCTTGTTCGCGTACGCCTTGTAGGTCTTTCCACCGTGGATGAACTCAACGCCAGTTGCAACGAGATCTTCGCCGTCCTTTGCGTCATCGAACAAGATCTTAGCGCCAGTGGCCTCTGTGAGAACCTGAGATACCCAGTTGCATGAACTTCTGACATCGGAGCACAGGAAACGATGCAGAATTCCCGGACGATCCTGAGCGTACCTTGAGCTTCGCATTGTCCTTGTGCGGCAGGTAGTATGCCGTAGCGGCATACGAACGCGTCCACTTCGCCTTGCGGTCCAAACAGGCTGACCCTTCCCAGCACCCGGTAGTCTGCACCAACGTAAACGTTTCAGCATAAGCGGACCAGCATGTCAGTCTAGAAGACGAACATGACCACCGTAAGAGTCTTCGAGCAGAGGGAGGCCCTGTTTCTGCGCTGCCTCCAGGAAAAACTTGTTGATCTGGAGCGGGGTCACAGGGACCGTGGTCTTTATTGGGCCAGTTTGACCCCGGTACTCGATGTTGTGCGTGTGCGCGTACTCCTTCAGCTGGTCTTCGGACGCCGCCGTAAACCTAAGGATTTCGTTTGTCTGTGACGCGACGCTCGTACGAAATGTCTCACTTACCCTTCCGCGCGCAACGTGTATTTCATGTACGATTTCCAGTTCCAGCCAGGATTTCCTAGCTCTTCCCATGCATCGACGTCAGCCGCAGGGGGCTTCATCCAGCGTAGAAATTCATGGCTGAACTGCCGCCTGAGACGTTGCGTAGGCATCAGTCAACGGGAAATTCGGAAGTACAGGACTGTCCGTACCAAGGCCCTTGCCTCGAGACCAGAGCAGCTGCCGATTGTTACAGTGGCTTTGCGGTGTTGTCATGAAAGCCCAGTCATACTATGTGGACGAAGATGTGCACGGGCTGAAGCTTAGTCTGCGTCTGAAATCATACCTTAGGATCAGTGAACGTAGAACCCCATCCGCCTCCCAGCAGAATCTTCGGATCGTCCAAGTTAGGAGCGCCCGCTTCGAGTACGAGCACAGAACTATCCGTGTTCTCAAGTAGCCGCGCTGCGATGGTCAAGCCGGCGGTCTATAGTCGCTATTAAGTTCCAACACACACAATACTGGGGCGAGAACATACGCCTCCGCCCACGATGACATAGTCGAAAGTTTTGTCCGCAACGTCAGAGAGCTGGGCCACCATCGTGTAAAGTGCAGAAGCCGCAGTCTACTTGATGATCTTCTTATACCTCCCGCACAACTGGGCGAAACGTCTCACTTACCGGTGTCAACGGACTCATCAGAAGAAACGTGCCCCAGAGCGAAGAATCAGCAGATGAGCCCATAGCCGGACGCCGCTTGCAACTTCAGGCTAGAATACCGAAGGAAGGCGGATACATAATGGACGCGGCGCTTCGCTTCCAGAGCAAGGGAAACGTGTTCAGGGTACTTACCCACAGCCTTACAAACAATTGCGCACACTACCCAACCTCCACCCGCCCGACGTCTGACTTCAAGTTGCGCTAGCAGCTCGACGAGGGTCCGGAAATAGGGCCTGCTATGTACTGAGGTACGCTTGTCCGCGGTGACTGACTTCAACTAAGTACGTATCGGCGTCGAGCGTGGACAGAAGCTGGGGTGCTGATCGGTGTGCGCGTTCTGATTGCTGACATTCAATAGCTTGGCCGCTCGCCGTGGGGGAAGGGATCCGACTCGCCATTCTGTCCTAGGCCTGTCCAAGGCCTGTCTAAGACCATCCGTTTTGATTACTTAGCAAGCAATCCGTTCGCAGCGACAGGACGACATGGACCCCAAAAGCGCCTACGTCGAGCAGTTGAGCTGTACACGGCCCGAGGTTTCAGTTGTCGTCCCGTACGACATACCCTTCCTATGATACGAGACGGGGGAGAGGAGCAGAAGCAGCCGCGCCCTGGAGCTTGAGAGAAGAAGCGGCTTCGACAGGCGTCCGGTTCCCTAGATTGTTTTGCAGGACGCGCATGGTGCCCAGACTACATGTCATCCGGACGATACTGTGTATAACACCGGGCGTGGGTTGAGCTGCATGGTTGATACATGCCGGACTGGACTGCGAAACCGTGCAGCAACTTCAAGCAAGACCTCCGCCGGGAGGGAGTGGTTCAAGAGCGGTTAGCGTTGGCAGATCCCGACTGGGGAGGACCCGGTCGTGACCCGGTCCTCCGGATCTGAGATCGTAGATCGTCCATCTCTACCCGAAGCTGTTAGCCGCCGGGAGCGCGGGCCACAGAACACGTTGACCAGTCCTTGGAGACTATCGCTGGCCGGTGCTTGAGCACGGACTCAACGGCTGTAAAACAAGTACAGATTCCGTGGTGAGTGCTCAGTCTTACTTCTGACCATAATCAAGTTGACGTTCGTGTCGTGACAACGTTCCCGGCTTAGGAGAATAGTAATACCCTACAGGGTCGAGCTCAGCCCCACAAAGATGTTCGCGTAAAAGAACCAATCGCTATTTGATGCTATGGTCGTCACAAGACCTGGATCCCCGATGTCACTATGGTCGTGAGGCTTCGTGAGGTCGCCGCGTTGATTCGTTGAAACTCAAGTTCTATGGTTGCCACTGCGTGTCCTACTCGAGCTTCGGTTTGATGAGGTGAGTGTCGCTGGAGGAAAACGACCCGTCACCCGACCGCATCTGCATCCGGGGAGAAGGTCGGAACGAGCTTGTCGAGCGTCTAACTCGTCGGAGGTATCTATACCAGCGCTGGCAGTACCGACTTCGCGATATCCGACGCGACCTCTGGGTTTCCACCCGCAGGCACCGTCTGGGCATCGTAGCGGTCTTCTCGCTCGTCAGCGCCAATACTAGGGTGAGCAATGAGGTAATAAGTATTCCATGTCGGTTGCAGTCCTGCCGCTCGAACTCTTTGTGTTTCCCCGCGGTGGTACCCGTCTCCCTCCCGTTCTGTCTTTTACCGTTTCGCCCCATAGGTGTAGACTCCAAAAGAGAAATGACGAACCCGGCGGCGGCGATGGCCCAGAATGCGTACGTCGCAGGAAGTCCTTGCAGTGAACGTATGTTGACTTCTTGTGGTCCATCACCAGCCACGGGCCCGGTCTGGCTGGTATCTTCATGAACATCATGTACGCCATGCCATCGGCAGATTCGTGTATGTCTGACAATCGGTTCTGCAGGCTTTATGGGGTGATGATTTCGCAGTCGTTCTTCTATTTCTCCACGTACAAGAGGTCAGTCATAGTCAGGACAGCTTCATGACGCATCGCTCAGACACTCGTCAGTGATCCCATATGGTTGAGAGGCTATGTGAGTATTCATTGCTCCAGACGTGTCCGACGAATACAGTATGTCCTGAAGCATGACACATCGCAGGTCGCAGCGTTGCTCCTCGCAGACACGATAAACTCCATATTCAACATGTGGTGGATTTACAACGTGCTGATCAACAACTTTGGTACTCCTATCTACTTGTCGAGTCGGCCATCCTTATATCCTCACCGTCTCCAGGTGATATTGCTGCGCTCGAGAATGCGGACTGGTGTACGTAACTCTGCTCCTCGTAACATGGCATTTGTGACTGACACTTGATTTCAGTGTTCCAGTCAGGTGTGTTTGCTGCCGCAGTAACATGAGTCCCTATTGATCATGGAGTTCTACGAATACAGAAGAAGCACTAGCGGTGTGTGGATTACCAAGATGCCGTCCAAACGACTCAGACTGATTGCTGCTGCAGGGAATCATCGCAATGATGGTCCAGTTCTTTTTCGCATGGCGGATACTAAGGCTGACGCGGAACTACATTGTTGTTGCGATCATTGTCGTAGCATCCTTGGTCGGCGGACGTGCGTGTCTCTTAGCGGCGTGTACTCCGTAAACTGACGCCATGCAGTGTCTGGCATCGGAACGGGGATTGCGGTCTCGATTCATCCAGCGTTCTCGGGCTTCCAGCACCTACAGGTTGGTGACTGCGCGGCTCGGATTGGAGATGGCGATGCTAAGCGGATACATTTGCTTGGTTCGCTCAGGTTCTTGTGATCTTGTGGCTCGTGGGTGCAGCCGCGTGTGACATCCTCATTACGCTTGCTCTCTCGTGGCATCTGGTATGTACTCCGGTCGGTTGGGTGCGCGGCTCGCATCCTGATACTATGTGTCAGGCACAACAACGTACTGGCTCCCTCCAAACAGACACGGTCATTTCTAGGATTATTCAGCGTATGTGCCCTCCTTTTCCTGAAGTAAATTGATTGCTGACCAGGTACTCCAGTGACTGTATCAAACGGCCTGGTAACCGCGGGCTTTGCTGTCGCCGACATCATTGCGTTCCTGTCAACGGTACGCGTCGTGGATATCTCGGTGTAAGATCGCATTGCTCACCGACTGTCAGCCCAGGGGAATTCATCTGGCATTCAATTACACTCTCGTTAAACTGTACGTCAGCTGTAGCCATCCTTTTTGAGTGAGAGCTGAGGTGTGATTCCACTTGGCAGATACGGCAACTCCATGATGGCCAGTTTGAACTCGCGTTCGCTGCTAGCAATGTCGGCGAAGAGCTACTCCGCCGGGAGGGACATTTCTAGGATCTCTGGCACGGGCATGGTGAGCGAGCCGGGCGGGTTGAGGAGCCTCAGCTTTCCGCCTGCTGACACGACATGGTTCTCTCAGAACACCGACATGAGTGGCATAGCGACCCGTCAATCGCAGGTGCGTAGTGCGACCTCTACCGACGCAGCTGTCTGATCTGATCGACAATGTCCAGCTGTTCGCCGACGTCGAGTCGCATGAGCTCGCTGACGCATCAGGGTCGAAGGTGAAGAGTGAATCAAAATGGAGCAGCGACCGCTACAGCGGTGGGCGAGACAGCGAGGACAAGGATACAGCGGTCGCATATTGATACCCACCGGTGCTCCTCTTCAGATGTAGTGTTTGCACGTTCCATTTGCGGTGACGGTGGCTGGTGTACCATCATAGCGGATCGGCCTGGCAGCTTGCTCTTATTTTGTACTACGTAGTACCCCAGGAGCGGGCTCGCTTGAGGTCCTGCGAAGGTTGTTCATTATTCACTGAGCAGGGTTTGCGCCATATATTGAACGTCGTGTAGTTCGCGCCTCCTTAGATGCCTGAGAATGAGATGTCCGTGGCACATTCACTCGTTATGATTCAAAACTCAGGCTCACGAATCGGAACAATTCTTATGGCACGTGATTTGGTCGCGTACGTGGCACGACTGTGGCGCGTCCTGAGCGCGTCACAACGTGGAAGCGAAGTCGTCCGGAGGCACAGCGGCCCTGAGTTTGTGCCCGTCTGTTCTTGCGTGACGCTAGTTCTGTGCATTCACTACCGAAGATGTGGTCTACATTCTGGCCGCTGCTGTGTCTACTTCTCCTGGCCGTCGTAACGGAGGCTGCCGACCTCTACAAAGCCCTCGAGCGTTAGTCCAAGGCGCGCACCCTCTTAGTTAGGCCAACGGCTCACTCATGCGGTCGCTCTATTACAGTGTCGAAATCAGCCTCTGAACAGGATATCAGGAAAGCGTACAAGAAGCTGAGGTGAGGAAGGGCTGTACTTGTGCACGAGTCATGCTTGTTGAGAGCAGGACAGTCGCAAGTACCACCCCGACCGGAATCAGGAACGAGGCGCGGAAGAGAAGTTCATTGAGGTTGCACATGGTATGTCATTTCTCCTTTTCTTATGTGCTACGCTCACTGTGGCATACCTTCAGCATACGAGGTTCTATCGGATCCTGAAGTAAGCGAAACCTGACCTAATAATTCACCTTATACATGATATTGAGATCTCATGCAGAAACGACAAGTATACGATCGCTATGGGGAGGTGCGCCCATGAAGGATGTCGCACGGTCTACGTACTCACGTACCACGTTGTCGCGTAGGACGGCTTGAAAGCCAACGAGGGAGGGCGACATGCAGGAAATCCGTTCGACATCTTCCAAAATTTCTTCGGCGGCGGCTGTGAGTGATGCACGAGACTTGCTCTCGGAAACGTCATACGATTAATTCCCAACCCTCAGTCTCTGCACAACAACAGGTCCGGAAGGGGCCAACCGTACACTTTGATGTCGAAGTCACGCTGGAAGACATGTAAGCTTCAATGCTAGCTCTACATCTTGCCCAAACTCACGAACGCACGCAGTTACACAGGGAACCACGTAGAAGTAGGTAATCCGACTGTACGACCGATTTGCCGCTGACCGCCAACGCCCAGCTGCCCGTCCACAAACACATTCTCTGCGATCACTGCCGAGGTACGGGCGCCGCCTCCTCCGGAGACATCCACACCTGCCCCGCATGCAACGGCGCCGGCGTCCAAGTCGTCCGACAACAAATCATGCCCGGGATGTGGTCTCAGGCGCAGGTCACCTGCAACCAGTGCGGTGGGCGCGGGAGCATTATCACACGCAAGTGCCCGCACTGCGATGGCGCGAAGGTCATCGAGCACACGCAGGTGTACTCGATCGAGATCCACGCAGGTGTGCCGGAGGGGTGGCAGATCGTGCTCGAGAGCGAGGGCGACGAGAGTCCGGACTACGAGCCTGGGGACATTGTTTTGCGGATCAAGAGCAGGAAGACTCAGGGCTCGTGGAGGAGGAAGGAGTCCGCGCTGTACTGGAAGGAGACAATCGGGGTCGATGAGGTGCGTCTTGCGCTGTTGTACCTTGGGAAGAAGAGCTAAAGGAGATCAGGCCCTTCTTGGCTTTGAGCGTAACCTTACGCATTTGGATGGCCACGTAGTACAGATCAAGCGCGACGTCGTGACGCAGCCAGGTAAGTACTTGTGGCGTAAATCTGAAATGATGCATCCTCTCAACTTGCCATGTCAGGTTTTGTCGAGGTCGTGGACGGCGAAGGCATGCCCACACCCGAGCATGAACACTCTCACGGCAATCTGTACGTCGAGTATACTGTCGTCCTACCGACGGAGGTATCGCCCGAGAAGAAACGCCGTGAGTATCGCTAGCAATACGGACACCGAGACGTTGACACTGACGTGCCTTGCCAGAGCTACTGAAGGTCTTCCGTGGGGTGGAAGAAGGACATAAGGATGAGCTATGATATCTGAGTCACTTACCCTTCCTGCCTCTGCACGTCCTAGACTAGCGGTATGGTACAATAGAATTAGATCGTGCACTGCACGGTAATTTATTTTATAATGTGGTCCTCAGGATGTCAGCACGAAGGAAGGTTGCTACGCGTTCGAAGGTTCGTGGAAGAGCAGAATAATGAATGATTGCAGCAATGAAAGTGGTGGTACAATGAGGTGTTGATGTACACTATACTTACTACACACATCTGCAGGAAACAGGTCATGCCTAACAGCGTCCTTAGCACGGTGTCAGAAGAGCCAGAGGATGACGACTGCGTACCAGGTAGTTATATGACTTGCGGTCTTCGCATCGTTCTAAGTATTCTCGCTACAAGGTAATTAGTACAAGGCTCGCTTTGTACGTGGCCTAGTAAGACGCACCTCGATGAGCCCTTCGACGCGCTTCTTGATGCTCAATGGATTTGGTTGAAACCGACTGGAGAGTTGCCGGGTAACCTCGTTCACAAGGTCGTTGTGGGTCATATGCTTGCGGTTCTTCATGATTCGTACAATGCACGCCTGGATCATGGATGGGCGCATCAATATACTTACCATTCAGTAATGCCGTCACAACACACGCACCTCCGTTTGATGTCGCCGCTCTTCCTCCACCCTATCCTTCGTCTCCCTCCTCTCGTCCGTGTTCTCGACTCGCGAAGCGACCGTGCTAATTTTGATCTTTTGCAGTGGCGCCGAGAACTCGGCGTTGAATGTGAACTTGTCTTCTGGGCTCACTTCCCGGCCGGACGGGTGTTTCTTGAGAATCTTGTACTTTGCGCATGCGAGCGACTGCAGATTGCGCTGGAGGTCCGTGTCTGGGATGGCTGTTGCCGATTTGATGTCCTACGAACATATATCAGAAATGCGAGTCGTGTGCAGGTGGCTGGCTGACCTGATAACTCAATGACGTGCCATCTGCGGCGTCCTCGAACAGAAGCAAGATGACGAGGGCATACGTCGACACGTTCAAGTCGTGATTCCGCGAGTTGAACCTCACTCGAATGTCAGCGTTGCCCATTGATGGCTGCCACGTTAGTCGTCGGCCAGAGTGACGGGACAGGTAGAACTGTTCGAAAGACTTCGCGGGTTTGAGCAGTTCGGCGGGGAAGTTACAAGGCGAGCCGGAGTGCGACATAGGCCAGAACGTCGATGTCATGACGATGACCGCGATCTCAACGTCCGGTGCCTGCAGGGGGTCTTAGCGCTTGGGTGTATGTGGATGAGAAAGACGATCACCGTAGTCGTCGCAAGATGGTTACGGTACGCGTGCATGGTATCCGCAGAGATCTTCATGTCATGGAACATGCCCTCGAGCTTCTGCGTGAACTGGTAGCCGCACTCGACCTTGAGCTTCGCAAGCATGCCCCGCTCAGCATCGTCGGACACGGATCGCCCGAGCAGGAGCCGCTTGGCGAGATGGCCTTTGTAGTACCGTTCAAAGACATCCTTGTCGGAGAGGAAGCGAAAGATCGTGATTGTCTTGTCGAGAACGACGTCCACCTCCGTGTCGGTTTTCTGAGCTAACCATGAGCAACGTTCTTCCAGGCGACATCATGAGCCTCACCCCTTTCAGGCCCTTCTTGAGATTGTCGTCAATAAACAGCGAAATGAACTCGGGGGATTTCTCATGCATGTTGATGAAGGTTCCAAATGCCTGAAAGAATATTTAACGCATTAAAATCACCATATATGCGTGATACGTACCTCGTCGACGCTACTCTCAACGTCATGGTCACTTTGGAAGCCGCCGACCCATATCTTGTCGAACTTGTCCTTCATGTCCAAGACATCTTGTACCCACTTCAGCGCGAGCGAGAGTACCTGTGAACCGGCATTTGCAGCCCGTGATTTTCCCTTGCCCTTCGCCTTGCTACTCTTCTCCATGTCCTCGTCCTCCTGCGCATCCTCTCCCTCGAACGACAGACTCGTAGAGTTGATGTCCTTTCCTCGTCGAATCACCGTCTCTCTGAGAGCCTTGCGGAGGGTGGTAATACCAGCGGGCACCATGGCGAACAGTCGGTAGAGACGTGCGAGATCGTCGATCTTGTCCAGGTCTATCATGACATCTAAACCGGAATTAGGCATGGCTATTATGGTGCAGAGGTGTGGGTTGATGAGCTCCTCTTCCAGTATTCGACGTAGAGGCTGGCTGGTCTGTGATGACAAGAAGTGATGGGCTCGCGATTCTTCCTGGTCTAATCGACTCTCAACCTAGTCGTGTTCAGCGGCGTGTCCTCATACCTGTGGCGGAAACTACCTACTCGTCGTAGGTACTCAGGGGCATCGCAAGTTTCCAGAAGATGCTCGCCCTCCTTCTCGTAGAAGGCCTCGCTTTCTTTCAGGAGAATAGGTTCCAAGTCTCGTTTGTACACAGAGACATCCTCCCGCTCGTCAAACAGCTGCAGAAGCACGTCCACGCAGCCTTTCACGGCGGAGCGGTTTATTACATACCCATCGCGTTCCGTCTGTATCTGGGTCAAGATCGCCGAGATGATGTGCCCCTGTATTGGCGAGCGTAGGATGTGCTCGATGAACAAGAGCAGCCCCGCCTCCCATATTTCTGGCACTTGTTTGGATTTCGTGTAAACGCGGTCCTGCTACCATTCCAGAAACAAGCAAGGTGGCGCAACGTGAAGACGTACCATATACTTCAAGACGTCTCGCAACTTGGACAGACTAGACGTATGATCGTCCCACACCTTCTTCACCGCCTTCAGGAGCAGCTCTCCGGCCTGTGCCATCTCGACCGGATCGTCGTCGACATGTGCGGGGAATGCCGGTATGATGTACTCGTTCGCGAGCCTATCGAGGTTGTCCGCTATGAGCTTCTTCGTCCCCTGGTACAGCGTCTCGCCATGTTTGTAGAGGACCATGTTATACGCGAAACGATGGTTCTCTTCGTACGAGAGGTTGGCGGCATTGTGATTCTGGATCTCGACGATGTTCCTAGACAGCTTTGCCCATGTATCGTCAATTGAAAACTCCGGTCCATGCTACCGAGCATGTATGCTCAGTGTGAGGTGGATATGAGTGCATGGACTGGAATCCTACCTTCTTCGCCGGTTTCTGTCGTAAATAGTTAGCTGCATCCAAGCCGGAAGCGTAACATACTGACGATCTTCGGTTTCACTCGTGCGCGCGGTACTATTGTGCCCATGCTTGAGTCGAAATATTTGCGCGTAAGCAGAACGCTTACCCGCTGCCATAACTCTTCCGTATATATCCTACACTGCCAGGGTGCCCGGTAAACAGTTCCGCACCGCCCGCTGACTTTCACGACTGCGTAACTGCTTGGCTCGCCAAAGGATTGACAGCGCGAAAGGGGGGATACACGAAAGTACGCCTTATACGCGAGAGATGTGGATGAGAGACGGTCCGAGCAGCACTGTGCCAGTGACAGACAATGAAAGGCAGCGCTGCAGCCACCGCGTAGCCGTATGTCACGTGTCCCGAGAGGTGGACAGTCATTCCGGCTGATTCGGGACGACGGTAGTAGGGCGCCTCTCCTGTAGTTCGATTTCACCGTTAGCTTCTATGTGGGAACCACGTTGAACTTGTTAGTCGGCGAACCGACATCGGTATGTACATCATCGTTCCGTGGCATGCCTCTCCCTGAACCACTGGCTACTGAACAGCCGAAGCGACCTTGTTTGCTCCTGTTAGGATCCAAAGTCCCCGCTTCCCTTTTGCGGAACATCTATCTCGGGACAGTACGCCGCGCTTCGTACGCTCCCACCCGCCGCGCACACATCAACGTCAACAATCAGGACATATAGTGAACAACTGATTCATTGATGCATACAAGAATGACACAATCTCTCGCGAGCCCCAGCTTGGCCCCAGCCGCGTTACTGTAACTACCGCTAACTACCGTTAAGTAGCGACCGCTCCGGCGCCAACTGGAGATTCCCACGGAGCGCTGGGAGGACCTGCGACGGCGAGGCTCATTTGCGAACTTTCATACGACCAAGTCGCATGCCTGAGCCTCCTCTCTTTCCTCCGCCAACATGGGCTACGGTGCACCCAAGCTCCTCTTCGTCGCCGCCCTGGCGGTCAACTGCATCTTGTGGTCGCACAGTCGCTACGGCCAAGTCTACTCGATCCGCACGCAACCCGAGGCACTTGCGCATGCGAAGCGGAGTCTGCTCGATGTTGAGTATGTGAACGGGTCCTCTCTGGGAAAGGACGCCGACGAAGAAGTGAGTACTGCCCGTCGTGTACCAATTTTCGATTGCTCACGGAGCGCGCTACGATGATAGCAATGCTTCCCCATTACCGTGCCTATAGAGCACCAATGCGCACATATCATCGACTCGTGTCCAGACACTCGGACGTTTCTGTCGATACCCTACCTGCAATCATACTTCTGTGCTGATGTCTCCTTTCGACCACTGGTCTTCTCCGCATATCTCGTCTGGCTCGTCTTCATATTCTCCACGCTGGGTATCAGTGCCGCCGACTTCTTCTGCCCTAACCTCGCTACGCTCGCACAGCTGCTCGGTTTGGACGAAAACATGGCAGGCGTTACCTTCCTCGCGTTCGGAAACGGAAGCCCGGACGTGTTCGCTACGTTCTCCGCCATGAAGGCGAACTCGGGCGGCCTCGCGATCGGCGAGCTCCTCGGTGCTGCGACATTTGTCGTCTCATGCGTCGCTGGCTCACTGTGTATCATCAAGCCGTTCCGAGTGCTGCCCTACCGCTTCTTCCGCGATGTCGGGTTCTTCACGGTAGCCGTCGCGATACTGCTTGTGGTGCTCTGGGATAGCGAGCTCGAGGCTTGGGAGGCAGCTGCACTCATCTCCCTGTATTTACTGTACGTCGTGGTCGTGGTCGGCGGCAGCTTTTGGGAGAAGCGAATGGAGCGCAGGCGGCGATATGAAGAGCTCATGCGGGACGAGTTCAGGGAGGAAGTAACCGTACCTACCCCGTACCATGACGACGAGCCGTATAGAGACGACCGTGAGTGTACTATATTCTCCTTTGTTCGATAGCGATGCTCACAGTTGAGCAGCCTTCACTGCTCTTGCACCATCTTCGACCCTCGAGGTCCCTACACCATACACGCGCACCCGTGCTGTGTCGCATCCTGGCCCTCCTCGTTTGGGTCTGGAAACGGAACTCCCGCCCAGACCTCGGACACGTTCTCCCTCTCCACATAGCAGCCCACACCTGAGTGCGATGCCATCTTTCTCCCTGGTTGGCGCCCTCGAGTTCCGCCGCATCGTCTCGTCGCTTCAGCAGGAAGCGGCGGGCTCCTCCCTCAGCGTGTTTGACACACCATCTCCCTATCCGGGCGGCCACTACCACCGACATGGCGGCTCGCGCTCGCGCTCGCGTTCACATACTCCTCGCTTAGAAATTCGGGATCCGTGGGATGCCGCCCTCGGTGTGCCCCTGGACGAGCGCTCGCCGCCCCTAATAGTTGCTCCACCTCCAGAGTCAGCAGAGGAGATGCCACCTATACCAACCATCTCACATACGCCCGCGTCGCCTGTCGTCTCCGAGACGGACACGGACGTGCAGTCTGAGCAATTCACTCAGTCCTCGCGGCGGCACTCGATCAAACGTGTCTTGGGGCACGCTTTCCACCTAATCTTCCCTACGCTACACGGCTTCCGCGCGAAGCCGTTCTTGGGCAAGGTTGCCGCTATTCTCGCGGCGCCGGCTGTGATGGTCCTCACGCTGACGCTGCCTGTGGTGGTGACGGCGTACGACGACGTGGGGCGGGAACGCGAGAAGCACCATGAGCGGAGCGTTTTGGACATAAATGACAGTCGACTCGTGGACTTTGAGGAGGAGGGCGTCGAGCGTGCGCTTATTGCGGAAGAGGAGGTTGCGGAAGAGATGCACGAACTGAAGTACAACAAATGGCTCATGGCCGTGCAATGCACGCTTGGGCCGCTGTTCGCCGCTGCCATCCTGTTTGGTGCGTCACTTGTGCCATTTGTATGGTTTGACGGCTGACGGATGGTTGGCAGATGGGACCAAGCATGAGCCATGGCTGCTTCTGGCGACAGGCGTAGCGGGCTTTACCATTGGCATCCTCGTGCTCGTCTTCTCAGACAAGGGCTCGCATCCAACAGCACTGCTCGCTCGTTGTATCATGGGGTTCATGGTTGCCGTAGTCTGGATCATGGCTATAGCCGATGAAGTAGTGGAAGTGCTGACCGTACGCCTCCTCCTCACTCCCCCGCTTGTCCGCTTCTCATGAAATTCTTTGCTAGACGTTTGGGTTCATTTTCGGCCTTTCCGATGCAATCATTGGACTAACAATATTCGCCGTCGGGAACTCGCTCGCTGACCTCGTGGCAAACATGAGTGTTGCTGTAAGCGATAATCCTCGCCTTGTCTACTCAATCCTGACGCTGCTCTAGGTATTCGCCCCAATCATGGGCTTCTCCGCATGCTTTGGTGGACCGATGCTCAACATCCTGCTCGGTATTGGCATCTCCGGATCCTACATCATCCGTCAAACCGCCGAGCCATACTACCTGCATTTCTCCACGACTCTCGTCGTCACCGGGTGTGGGCTCCTCGCCCTCCTGCTCGCAACGCTCGTCTTCGTACCACTGAACGGCTTCTTCCTACCGCGCGGCTGGGGCATCACCCTGATTGTCGCCTACACGGTGATCATGATCACGAATGTTGTCGTGGAGATCAAGAGCAAGAGCTGACTGGGCATCGGAGCTGCATGGACAATGGACTGCTGTTGGAGCTATCTGTGATCTGGTGTTGCATATCTATCGTATCAGAGCTGATAATGCGTTGTATTTAAATCACAGTGTACTGTACTATGCAATCCAAGGCAGTGACAAACTGGGAAATAATGACTTGACATGCGCTTGCCGGTGCGAGGGGCAGTGGTTGGTATTGGACACGGAGGGGGCTCGGAGCGACGTTAGTTAAGTGATCATCCTCGTGAGCCGTAGACGCTTGGTCGGTACACGGTCATGAGAAAAACTTTGGTCACTTGTGCGCAGCGGGGTGCCGACGGTCGAAGAGGTAAACCCATGTTATAGCTAGACATGACTGGTTGCCCAACCATCCACCCACAGGCCATCAATGCCTGCCCGACAAAAGCTCCTCCTCTCGTCGGACGGCACACAGATATGGGCCGAAGAAGCGGGGGATCCTACGAAACCTGCCCTCGTCTTCATTCATGGCCTGGCCTGCACTGCGTTGGGATTCAACGCGCAGTTCACCGATCCAATGCTGCTCAGTAACGCGCATCTGGTGAGGTACGAGATGCGAGGGCACGGTCGAAGCGGAAAGCCAGAGGACATCGAGGCATATCGATCCCTTCGGCATGCTGAAGACTTTCGTGCCGTGTGCGAAGCGTTTGGTCTTGTCAGGCCGATTGTGCTCGGGTGGTGAGTGAGAAATCTGGAGAGCTTGCAGGTGGTTGTGCTCATCGATCGTGTCTTGCGCCAGGAGTCTCGGCGGTAGGGCATGCATACTGAGAGTTGTGGATGAGCGCACTGAACCAATGAACAGGTAGCATCCCAGTGGACATCGTCCGATACTACGGGCCAGACTACATCGCAGGCATCATCTACAATGGGGGTGCCGTCCTCTCTCTAAAGCTCAACGAGGAATGCTGGCACCCGTCCTTCCTTGCGCTGATTCCGTTGATATGCTCTCCGGACGCCCAAGTAGCAGCAAAGTCAGCGGTACCATTCGTCGAGTCCTGCTTTGCGGACCCAGCGTCGCTCAGCTTTGAGGTCAAGATGGGCCTTGTCGGCGGATTCGGGATGCAGCCGCCCATCATCCGCCACTACTCACTGACCCGCGAGCAGGACGACAGTCTGTGGCGCGAGACCGCGCGGAATATCCCTGTCCTCATCGTGCAGGGAACGAAGGATACACACTGTCTGTATGAGAGGATGATCGCGCAGGCGAAGGAAATCTATGTGGACATGGATGTGAAACTCATACAGGGAGTGGGGCATGCACCTCAAGCTGAGGCACCGGAGGAGACAAATCGGTACCTACTGGCTTTTATACAGCGCGTGTCTACCAAGTAATGCATACCTGGTACCGTCCATCTGGCAACCTGGGGATCTGGCTTATGTTGTCGCTCTTGGATCTACTTGACAAATCTGAGATTCCATGACGGTTGTACGCGTCTGTCAGGTGACCGCGTTGATCATTGACGTTGAGCGTTCACCGCTTTCCCTGTCACTAAACTAAAGAACTTTACCTGGTGAGCGTGGTTCTATTTCAGAACGAGAAGTTGTCGGAGACCGCCCTATACTTACGGAATGACGTCCCTGTGTTAGAGCGATTGAATCGCCCGTACCGTGCAATAGCTTACATAATCAGCCGTTCGTGTACGCGTTCGTGGCCGCCGCAATTCTGTACTACTCATCGTAGCGGCGCAAGCGCCATCCTCGACTCCTGCATGGCACACAGCTTCTCACGTGTTTTTCACGGAGGGAACGGCATCCCTGGCATTGGCAAGGGCCGACTTACGATTCGGACAAAGCCCTCCTCCCTCCCTCTCCGGTCGGAGTCGGGGATACACTCTTATACACTGTACTATCCTTGCTTTCGGCCGTTGCTCCTGCTGCTTAATCACCTACATATGATAGGTCACGTATCCCGACCGCGGCGGGCAATCTGAGACTGCAAATACTGTACAATGCAAATCCATGCCTCTGACTTGCCTCTTCCTTGTTTCACGCCGCATTCCGAGGCCCTCCTCGTACTCATCTTTCATCCTGCCTGTCGCAGATGGCTTCTGACGAGCGAATCCTTACTTCGCTGGGCAGCACACACATATGGGCCGAAGCGATCGGCGATCCTGCGAACACTTCCATCGTCTTCATCCACGGGATGGCATGCTCGGCGATGTTATTTGACAAGCAATTCCATGACCCCATGATGCTTGACAAGTTCTATATGGTGCGGTACGAGATGAGGGGCATGGAAGGAGTGGTACCCGGAGGGCATAGAGGCGTATGCATCCAAGTATCAAGCGGAAGACTTCCGCTTGGTGTGCGAGGCCTTTCATTTGCAGAAGCCTTGGGTGTTTGGATGGTGAGTTTGATTGCAAGCTCGTGAGTAGTCTAGTCTGATATCAGTGCCAGGAGTCTTGGCGGTACGAGACGTGCTCTTCCTACATGAGCGTCGTTCACTGACTCGGAGGGGCACAACCTCTATGTCTCGTACGTTGTCAGGCACTATACCCGTGGACATTGCCAACCACTTGGGGCCCTCCTACATCGCCGGAGTGATTTACAACGGCGGCGCTGTGCTCACACTTGCACTCAGTGTCGAGACGATCCCGGAGTCCTTCCTACCACTCATGCAGCACGTCCAGTCGACGGACGCGAACATCGTTGCGCGCTTTGCTCAGCGGTTCGTAGAGGGCTGTGTCGCAGATCCGGTCTCAACGCTGCCATGGCCGGTGAAGCTGCAGTGGATGGGGTCTTTCGCAGCACAGCCGCCGGCGGTCCGAACGTGGTCTCACAATCGCGAGCAGGACGAGACGAGGTGGCGTGCAGAGACGGGAAGTTGGCCCGTGATGCTGATACAGGGTGCGGAGGACACGCACTGTGAGGCGGGTCTCTTGGCAAGGCAAGTGAAGGGTCTATATGGCGATGCGGAGGTGCACATCCTGCAGGGTGTCGGGCATGCACCTCATCTCGAACGGCCCGGCGTCGTCAATGAACTCATTGTAGACTTCGTCGAGAAGAAGCGTGGATAACAGACAATCGCCAACGACTTTGTTAATGTAGATATGTTATCGAGGCCATGGGCGAGGGGATCTATCAGGTAGAAGGGTTGAAGTGGACCGTATATTGCGAGCCGGTCCTGGTGTGGACGAGGCGGGACGGGGCCAGAATCCCGATCAGTGTTATCTAATCTCATGGCGATACTTATGTAGCGCAGGCACGTGAAAATGCAGCGACGGGCGAACTGGACGAGTCGGACCACCTCTCGTCTTCCTCACTGTGTCCTTCAAGGTTCTCCCCGACCGCGCGTTGCCCATTATCAGCATTGTTCATACTGGATTGTGTAATTCGAGGACTCCTCGATACATCCGCCACAGCTTCAGTCTGCTCACTGGTCGTGCACGCACATGGAGGTCTCGCGCCATACCCTCAAGCAGCTGAAATTCATCCTCCCTGGAGGGCTTATCACGTACTATTATCTGGGTAGCCATGCTGCCTTCTGGCGAATAGTGAATGGAGATGCAGATGTTGAAGGCTGGGGTCGGTACGTACAACGTTTCACGTCGTAAGACGCGTCTCCGTATGGTCTTACCTGTACGTTGTTGGACGTGTAGCCTCGCCGCCCTCGCTTCGCTTGGGTCAGCCATGCTGACCATCAGCCTTTTCATGTATATCCTATCAATTCCGTTGATACAAGGACAACAACCCAATGTATGTCGTTGCGCTTGTGCGAATTCTGTTCCATAGCTCACCGAGGGTGTTCAAAGTATCGTCGGTGGCGAGAATCTGGCGTATTATCGTCAGTCATTCCCGTGCGTATTGATGCACGTTTACGCCTTCTTGAATGTGCTGACAGAACAACGACAATTAGTTGCTGACGGCATCTATTGTCGTGGGGTGGTCACTACTATCCTACACGCTGGGCCGGTGGTCAAGGTTCGGGGTCGTTGAAGGTGTAATAGCTTGTCAGTCCTCTTCTCTACTCGAGACCCCACATAAGTTACTCACGGGTCATATCCGCACTTAATCATAGCATCCGGTCTATACGCCCTTACGTTTGGCCTGTTGGGCCTCATTCCCGCGCCGAAGGTACCGCGACAATGATCACCCAATATCCAATCCTCCCCGCCCATTCCCTGTCATGATATGTATTCGCATTGTATCGCATCGTCACGCATAGCTTTGTTGCACATCCACTCCATATTCTCGTAATTATAGACATTCTATCTTGTTCTTATAGTGGAGAGACAGCGGCATTGGAAACCCGTGATCCTGACATGTACTAGTATCATATGTGCTACCAACTAACATAGACAGGTTGACGTGCCCGATGTCTACGCTAGGCTCACCTTCATCGGCATCTCCGCATAGTTGCTACCCGTTCCTACGGTGGGGTATCGTACCGAGGCGACGTTCCATACAACGGGTTTGTCGGTCAACTCAAATTTGAATGTCGATAGCAGCACGGATAGAATGACCTCTACGCAAGGCAATCGTCAGCATGCCCCACATGACAGCATTCAGCAGACCGCTCACTCATTTCCAGCTCGGCGAACTTGAATCCACTAGATCACCCCACGCGCTCAGGTCAGTTGTGAAAGAAGCGGATCCAACAATGATTACGCTCACATGCACGATCTGCCACCGCCCAAGAACGTCATCCTGACAGCAAGAGGTTAAGTGAGTGGTCATATGCAAGAGCGGATCACACGCAGATACACGCACATATTTGAATATACCCCAGGGATTGGCGCATCTGTGACAGCACTGGGAAGGGGCGAAAGCCAGCGTTCCGGCTTCCATACCAGCGCGTCTTCGCCCCACAGCGCCTTATCCGTGTTGCAGCCCAAGACGCCAATGATGATCGGCGTGCCCTTTGGGATGGAGATCTCGTGGATCGTCTTGCCGTCGAGCCCTTGGATGGGTTCGGACAAGGGTAGGACGACGTCCTTGATGGGTCTGACGGGGAACGGGGGCTCTCTTCAGCACAGTTCCTGTGCGTGCTGAAGTACGATCGGACTTACTGTCGTGTGATCATGTTAGCAAGCGGGTCGCTGCAACGATATCGGTGTCATCTCAAAGTTCAACGTTTCACACTGGCGGATAACTGTAACTGCTTCACTTACACTCGAAAGGTTTCCCTGACGATAGCGTCGAGGAGGGGCAACCGCATGAGCTCATCATAGGACAGTCGTCCTGCACTCTGAGCCTCGGTGACTTCCTTCCGCAGCTTGTCTTCGATGTCTGGGTGTTGTGCTAGGCGTTCGAGGACCATCGACGTGCTGTTGGATGTCGTGTCCATGGCGGCAAACAACATTGTTCTGTATAGCAATTGGTTGAGCAACGGGTTTGGAAGAATAGGCACATAATAATCTGAGGCTCACGTTATCTGTGCAATAACCTCGTCCTCTGGCAATCTGTCCGCTTCTGATGCTGCCATGTTCGCTCGCACTAGCGGGAATGACAGTCCTTGAGTTCGTTGACCTCCTACAAATCATGTCCAACAAAACTCACTGAGGATGCTGAAGATGTCCTTCCCTTCCGCCACTTGCCTCGACGTTTCCTCCTCGCCGTGCTGGAGAGCTTCCTTCTTTGCTTCATAGATAGCAACGGACTTGCGAGCACTGATGTCGACGATGTACTTCATCTCTTGGAGCCGTTTGTGGGGTATCATATTCACGAGCCACCTTCGGAACCATACCGGGCCAACTTCACATATATATGGCAGGAGGAGTGCATAGCGGAGGAGGCCGAGGCCGTACAGGGTCGGTCTAGGAAAGAGGACAGACAGATCAGATGCCAAACTCATGCAAAGCGTAACAAGAATACTAACACGAGGGCTTTCAGTGCGCCTGTATACGCATCTGGGGTGTCGTTAACCAGTGGGTCCAGGGACGTGCCGATGCCGCCTTGAGCGATCAGCTCAAGGGCGGCGCGACCCATCCAGTTCAGCACGTCTAATTCGCGTGGTTCGTCATTGACTCGCGCCAGCCAGGTGTCGCGCAGCTGTGAACAAATATAAGCGGGAAGCATGGGAAATAATGTGATGGCAGGACCTTCTCTGTGACACTGTAGAAAATAGGCAGCATATCGCGCATATGGCCTGCAGAGAATACGGGGTTCAACATCTTGCGTTGTTTCCGGTGTTGGTCACCTGAAACGATCCCGTCAGTCAACGAATGTGCTCTGTGCTTGGATGAGGACACATACCCAGTACGGAGATTAGGCCTGGTCCAAAGATGAGGGTGTTCGTCCTGCACGGATAATAGAAACGTATCATCAACGGATTTGGTAAGGAACATAGCGGATGATAGGCACCTCACAAACAACTCCTCCTCGTCATAATCAGACGCTTCTTTGATGAGCATTGTGTGAAGTGCTCTCGGGTCGTATATGTACAATAGAGGTTGCTGCATAAGCGTGACATTTCATCAGCCGTAAATGGGTCAGTTGAGGAACGTCGTACACCAAACATGCCCTGCATCTTGACGACCGGTCCGTAGTTGTGAGCAACTCGTCTCTGGAACTCGGTGCCATGTCGGTCGAAGTACTGCGGCAGATGACCTGTGCGGTAGGCATGAGTATTTGGATGGCATTGGGGCGAATTGCCATGCAGCCGCACCTGTCAAGAACGGTGCAGGAGGTGGGCCAGGTATGTTGTCGAGAGGAGTTCTCGCAAAGATTCGCCGTGAGATTCGCCATACAATGTGTATGGCCACAACGACCAGTGAAGACTGGATGATGAGGTTCACCACAGTCATCGAGCTAGGGAGATAATGCAGAGGTGTCAGCTTGGGTGTGCGATTAGTCAATACTTATAGAATCGGTAGCAGGCCACTATGCTTAGCTTTGGGCGTCCGCCATCGGCGATGTCTGGCCTTCTCAGGCTCATGTGTTTGATCCATCAGAGACTTGTGCTCCACACATGTCGTCCGGTCCCACAGCGCGCTGTTGGTAAACGTTAATTTCAAGTCAACTTATGAAAGAGTCAAGGCTCCCACGAGACGGTCGATCACTTCGTGGAACATACTGGTGATCCTGGGCGCCGACGCCGATGCCCAGATAGCCTATCAGCGGTGATAGGCTTCCTTGTAGCAACTAGAAGGATGTATACCAGTCATCGGGAGGCCCGCGCAAGAATTAATTAGTGCGTGGCCAAGCTCACCAGAATCACTACAACCCCGGTCGTATCCATGTTCTCGCAGGAAATCACGGATTGCAGGCTCATTTAGGTCATCGAGCGAACCCCTGAAAGAGTTGATACCAGATGGGCGGATGTAGGAAAATATGGCAGCACGCTGATTTTGTTACCAAATGCAAGATGATACGTGAGTCTTGAAACTCCCAGTCCTGCGCACCGAGTGTCGTTAGTCTGACCGCTCGCGTCGCACTTAGCAGCAGAATACCCACCACCATATAACCAGCACTAAGACATACTCCCGAAGGCACCTCTATACAATGTTGGGACTTTCTCCGTAGAAGTGGCTGGGAGCGTCGTGTGTACTCTACCGCGATGGGTCTAATTTAGTGTGGATGGATGCTGGCGCTGAATTACTATACTTAGCGGCGTGAGTTGTGGGCCCTAGGGAAGCCAATCGCTTTCCCGCGAAAATCCGACTGATTGAAGGCGCGAATTGTCTCCTCTATGACTGCTGACAGCGTTGACACATTAGCTCGCCGATCCCCGGTTCTCCTTCTTTGAAAGAGAAGATCTGTTCGAGTAATACAGTTGTCAGTCGCCAGCGTTCGAGAGTTGGGAAGCTCTATGGCGATATTCAAGTTGGCGCCAGATGACAACAAGCGCCAGAACATCGGCAGCCGGACCTACTAACAGTCGAATCCAGCAGCGTTGAGCAGTTCCTGCGGTGACTTCTATTGCCCTTCGTAGGCCACACGGAAACGATAGGGCACCATATCAGGTGATCAGATCTCGAACTCTAGAAACATTGCGTCGTTGCTTGTGGGGCCGCCATACAGCTGTGAGGATTGAGCGCTGTGCAGAGGACTCACTTGCATATAAGACAACCTGAAATCTTGAATGATGCATCTCACCGGGCAGGTTGCGGATGTGACATCTCGTGATTGAATATTGACCGGTTGACCATTGAACCTCGGTCGATGTCGACGCCATTTGCACCGCGAATGTAAATCAAATTCTGAACTTCGAAAGCTTGCCCACATAACAACTCACAGGACTTGAGTGACAGTGCCGAGCCAAAGCATGCACAAAGTCAAGTGTTCTAGGGTATCAGCCGCAACCAGACTCGAGTTTTAGAAATGCAACCACAGGTACCTGCTGGCAACGTTGACTTGAGAACGATGGTTGAAGTGGGAATTGATGAGGATGATACCAACGGGATCAGAGCGAACATAAGTAACTGACCCGCTTGTCTTTTCAGCAGAGTTCGCCACAATAATATAATGAATGGGGGCTGCAGCATCAGCATCCGACTCCCAGTTTGCGTGGCACACGAGCAATACAAGCAGTCATTGGACTACCTCGGAATTACCTCGGTCGGTTCACTATTCCCCATGGACAAGAGCAGAACCACAGAATCGCTGCCGCACGTAGGTTTGACAGATCCATGATCTCGCAGATATCATATAGCACTGCTTGTCTGCTGCAGTGGACTGGTCGATACACTGTACGCGATGGACAGGGAAGAGGTCAGTCTGCGTAATATGAACTGTGCGGCCACTCACCCATAGAAGTCTCTTGAAACTACAACATGTTACGGGCAGTCCAGGTCGGCACTTGATCCTACAGCCGTCCTGGCGACGCCGTTTAAGTTGTGGCCAGCGAACAATGTCCGCGCTGTTCGGACAAGAGGCCACTGCCCTGCACAGTTGCACGGCTGCGTATTCCTATACCAAATCATATCAGCATCTGTCTACTACGATTTGTGCCGCCGGAGCAAAGTAGAGCATCTCAGTTGTCTCAGAGCATCTCCGAGTCGCAGTCTGGCAGTTGCGAAGCATCAACTTCCGTTGTGGCGATTCAGATGAAGATCTCTGTAGCCAGATATGGACATATCTCTATTGTAAGTGGCCGTAAAAGGAGTTATATTGCCCGTGTCTGAATTCCGAACGGGGTAATCTCTCAGTCGCCGTATCCGTCCCTCCAACCGACCACTATCCCTTCCTCCGACAGACCCTCCTGCCCGCGACTGTTCACGAAATCGACCACGTTCCTTCGTTTACAGCAGGTCTGCAACTGGCGATTATTTGGCTCCCGCGCCCCAGTGTTCCCGCTTGCAACTGCAGCAGCATACCACTTCTCCCTTGATACCAACCACCGATGTCCTCGTACTCTGACCTTCCGACTTCGCCCCAGTCGCCCGGAAGCATGTCTTCCAGGCGACTGACAAACCGGAATACCAACCGGTACAGCGTGACGGCCCTATTCAGCATGGCTGCCGAGCAGGACGTAGAAGTTGAAGATGAGTTGGGTCGAGGTGAGTAGCCCCTTTCTGCTGATAATAGCAATACACTCATCGCATCTACGCCACCTGAAAGCGCAAAAGCGGTTGCGGGAGCTCAAGTCGCGCATTTCGGCTCAGTCAAAGCGCAACTTTGTCCTCGAACGGGATGTCCGCTTCCTCGATACTCGGATTGGACTGCTCATTGCGAACCGGATGGCTCTTGACGAGGTATGTGGAAGTATCACTGTATGACTCTATCATGTTCACTCCCTTGGCCATAGCAAAACGAGGTCGAGAAACATCTCGAGGAAGTGGACGCGACTGAGGGTCACTACCCTGATGATCGCAAGTTGCAACAATACTCCAACCTCTTCTTCCTCCTGCAGTCCGAGCCGCGCCACATTGCCAACCTGTGTCGGCTGGTCAGCTTGACCGAGATCGACACGCTGCTGCAGACGGTCATGTTCACGCTCTATGGAAACCAGTACGAGAGTCGAGAAGAGCACCTCCTGCTGACCATGTTCCAGTCCGTCCTGTCGTCACAGTTCGAGACCGCGACGGAGTTCGGTTCCCTACTCCGCGCCAACACGCCCGTTTCGCGGATGATGACAACGTATACTCGCCGAGGACCTGGACAGAGCTACCTCAAGAGCGTACTCGCTGAGCGTATCAACAGCTTGATCGAGCACAAGGACCTGAATCTGGAGATCAACCCCGTCAAGGTCTACGAGCAGATGATTGTGCAAATTGAGGAGGAGACAGGCTCTCTTCCACCGAATTTGCCCCGTGGTGTCCCGCCGGAAGTGGCGAGCGCGAACCCCGACGTGCAGGCCATCATCGCGCCACGTCTGACTATGCTTATGGAGATAGCAAACAGCTTCCTGTTGACAATCATCGACAGTATGGAGAGCGTGCCCTATGGTATCAGGTGGATATGCAAGCAGATTAGGAGTCTCACAAGAGTGCGTCTATGCTATTCATCCTAGCATCACTGTTAATCTCGCATCCCTTGGTTTCGTTATGAACAGCGGAAGTACCCGGAAGCTACAGATTATGCGATCTGCTCACTCATTGGCGGGTTCTTCTTCCTGCGCTTCATTAACCCCGCCATCGTCACTCCCCAAGCTTACATGCTGGTCGAGGGTGTCCCTGCCAAGTTCCCTAGGAGAACACTCACTCTGGTCAGTAAACGCGACCGTTTCGAGGCCAAGTCTGACTTCTTCGGCATTTTAGATCGCCAAGATGTTGCAAAACTTGGCGAATAAGCCGTCTTACGCAAAGGAAGCGTACATGATCACACTCAACCCTTTCGTTGAGAACAACAAGGCGCGAATCAATCAGTTTTTGAATAACCTGTGCGAAGTCGGCGACTTCTATGACACTCTAGAGGTAGGCGTCCCGTAACAAGTAATGGTGTGCAGATGCCTCATTCCTGCGCTCTCATCTAGATGGATCAATACATGGCTCTGTCCAAGAAGGACCTTGTCATCAATATCACATTGAACGAGCTGTACAACACGCATTCCTTGCTTCTTCAACACGTCGAAGTCTTGGTATGTAACCCGTGATAGTCGAACCACGCATATGCTGATACACCTTTCAGACTCCAAATGAGAAGCAGCACCTCCGCATTCTCACTGACGAGCTTGGCCCTGCACCGGCACAGGTTCCTCGTAAGGAGAATCGGGCAATCGAGCTTCAGCTCTACAGTCGCTGGGAGACGCCGATCCAGGACATCCAGAGTGCACTGATGGACTCAGTCTCGACGACGGACATGTTGTACATGGAGACCAAGTCTAATCTCGTCCAGCTCATCCGTTCGCTTCCACCAACGGAGAAGAAGCCCTACAACCTCGCTGCAATTGCAGAGCGCGCAGCGACAACGAAGGATGCGACACTGGTGCGGAAAGGCATCAAGGTTAAGGAGATGTTGCGCGAGCTCGAGGAGTACAAGATCATCGAACGATCCGACGGGTACAAGCTCATGCAAGACGAAGTCGCTGCCGAGCTCGTGCACCTCGGGAACCTGCGTGACAAGGTTCTGGCCGAGACGAAGTCGTTGGAGGCAGTCTACAAGACGATCTGCGACCACAACAACTACCTGCGAACGCAGTTGGAGCAGTACAAGGCTTATTTGCAGAACGTACGTCTCACGGCGACCAAGGACAAGGGTGCAACGACGGGTGTGGGCGTCGTCACAGTCGGTGGCAAGGAGAAGAAGCCCGCGAAGCCGGTCGTCCACGGGCCGTATCGTTTCACTCATGCGCAGCTGGAGAAGGAAGGGATCATCGTCGAGAGTAACGTCCCAGACAACCGGTATGTCTTCCACGTACTACGTGTTGTCTATTCGCTAACGTCTTCATTGTAACCAGGCGACCCAATATCTACTTTAACTTCACTTCTCCTACGCCGGGGACATTCATCATCGCTCTGCACTACAAGGGCCGTGATAAGGCTATCTTGGAGATGGATCTCAATATCGATGATCTCCTTGAGAAGGTGAGTATCAGTGTACCCCGCTCGTATACTCAACATTGAAGGACTTCCTTTGCCCCAGCAAAAAGATAATAAACATCTCCTCGACCTCGAGTACGTACAGCTCAACGTGCCCAAGGTGCTCGGTCTGCTCAACAAGATCTTCACGAAACGATGACCGCCTAATCCCGGGCACACCATCTTCGTTCGTCCACCCACTTTGGTTTATTTATCACGATCCATTATGCATGTGTAGTCCGTTCTGCGTTCCTCTACGCCCCGCGACACCACGCCCCGCCCGACTGTCCATACTCGTCTCTATCCTTGTTCCTCTCTATTACTATATCCCTCTCCTCGCAAGAGCCGTCACTCTCTCTAGTCTCTCTGTTTCGATATCCCCTCTGTCTGGTCTTCGTCGTTCACACACAGCCCCTCAAAGCGTGGCTCTGTATATCCCCCGTCTTTTGCGATCAGGATGTATTATCGGTATTCTCGTTGTATGCACGTCTATTTCGAGTAATTGTTGTGGCAGGGCAGGTAATAGAAGGGAAGATGGTTCTGACATTGTTACATGAGAAGACGCAGCACCGTGGACAACTAACACATACGTGTGCACAGATGATTGGAAAGCATGATTGACACCTGCGAGAGGGACGACAGGAGCGAGGCGGAAGGAAAATAGTGCGGCAGGTAAGTACAAATATTCTCTATGCTTACTTGCGGGGATGACACGTCCCCCTTGAGTGTAGACTGTAGACCGTTGAAGGTCAGCTCGTTGCCCAGCGAATGTTCGGGCAATGATTGGACCGTCACGTCGTATGTCTAGTACGGCCAGTGCTGCCTTTATGTAACTGGCATATAGCACTTCTGGTGAGATGGCTCCCGGCAAGGCACGTAATGTCTTGACGGCTGCTGACGGGACATCTAGGAGACTACGTTCTATCCTGTTCCATCCTTTCCCGGCTGGGTAATGCGGTCCTGTTAACCCCTCGTATGGCATACCATGGCCAAGCCACCCGTCCTTCTGATGAATCTGCAGCCAGATGACCGCTTGTAAACGACCGATCCCTCGCATCGACCAGCGCTGCGTACCGGCGGGGACGACGCCTTGTTGCTGCCACCTCCGTTTGTACCGACCAGATGACGCAGTACGTCGTCAGCATGAGGACTCCCGGGTGTTGCTGCGAATGGGATACATGAGCGAGACAGACACGTGTGTACAAACGGGCTCACTCACACCGACAATCTTCAGAGCTGATTCAGTTCTCCAGGTGATGGTGAGTATGTTACGGGCATTCCATGGCAGTAATATGCCACCACGGAACATGGCCTCGAGCTTTCGAGCATTCAGCCTGGTCTGAGGGGTCCGAACCAACAGATACAGTTTCACCTCGACATCCTCCAATGTGTCGAAGTATGGCCGGCTCATGACCTAATGCAGGTCCCGCAGGTCGAGCTTCACGAGGACAGCGCTGGGTCACTCAGGCTCGAGTAGTAGGCTGCTGTTGACGGGAACGTCGATCTTGAGTGCTCGAGCTGACGGCTTCGGATGGTGGAGAAAATGCTGTAGAACTCGTACACTGCTTTGGTCCACGCCGCGCGCAATCCCTGGTCTTCGGCCGTGTATTCGATGGTTGGCAGTGCTGGGTGCCAGGATCGCAAGGCGGTGTTTTGTAACAGATTTATGTGACCATCTACATTGTGCACATGCATCAGCGGCGAAGTCGGTAAGCAAGACAGAGAGGCTCTTACTGTAGCTATAGGTACTCTCGCGGTAACGGGTCAACGATGCCCCTGCCGTTTCGAGGAGTTTGTTAAGAGAGGTCTGTACCATGGAGAGATCGTTGAACTGGACTGTCAGATCCGCAAGTGAGGTGCAGAGGCCCGAGCGCCTCATCCAGTCAACGAACATCGCCATGACTTCTCCGTGCATATGGACGTGAAGGTATCGAAGGCGTATGCGAGACGATGGCTGAAATAGTGAGCTTCCCGCATGACTGGCAGCACCTCGTTGAGGGAAGTCAACCTGATGCATCGTGAGGTTTGTAAGCTGAGGGAAGGCGGATACAATCCGCCGCAGCTGCGTGATGTTGTTCAGAAGGCAGTGCCAAAGCGTTAACGACTTGACAGACTTGTACCTCGACAGGGCGAGGAAGAAGTCTGTGCGGATGAAACGAAGTCCTCCATTCCGGGTGTGAAGGATGCGTACACGAGGCATCAGAGCAGCGAGCGCGAGCGGTAGTGCTTGAAGGAAGCGAGTATCATGATTGCTCTTGTTTCCATACTGCGGGCTTTCCATGCTCGTGTCTTCGGCCTTACCCTTGTCCTGGTAGTAATTAGGGTTGTCCTTGTACACACGTCGGGGTAAGCACCCACCTCATCTACCACCAGCTCGCATGTGCTTGCGAGCCACTGCTTGAAGCGTAGCGACGCGTGACACTGCTTGAACAACATGTTGTAGCTTGTGCGGCTGCGAAGCTCGACACTGTAGTAGAGGTTGTGCATCGCTCGAGGGTACCATGTTGTGTGGCAGACCAGCGCCATGGCGGCCAACCTGGGCTGATACCTGATCGCGTCGACGATGAGCTCGAAGACCTCGAGCGGGATGCGAGCGGAAAGGGCCGGCGGCAGGATACCTTGCATACGGGCGTCGCTCCAGCCATGCCAGACACTCTGTTCATCTGCACTCTGTCCACCGGCACTCAATCCGTCAACACTCGATCCTTTGGCAGCCTGTTTATCGGCACTCCGGCACCTCTGACCGACCTCAATCTGCCCATTGACACCCCATTGCGCGACTTGTGCGTGTGAGGCGTCGTCGAGGAAAGGGGAAGATGCCAAGTGGACGCACCAGTCGGGCTCGTGGACAAAAGCAAGATGACTGACGCTAGGCTGTAGATCGAACATCTAGGCGGTTACTGCGTTCAAGGCGCGTATCCTCTGGATGTATATTCGGCCCTGTATTAGCCCCACCTCTACGAAGCCGAACTCTAGTAGACGTGGCAGGTTTAGAGTAGATTATACCTGTTTCGACCAAGGGCACACATGTACGCATGCACTCGTACTAGAATGCTTCCCGTGCGTCCGCACAGGACTATCTCAATGAAAGCGAGCAATTGCCTCAACTCAAGCAGTTGTAGTTCAGGCTGAAGCAAGAGTTCCGTGGCGCATGTTCCTCGTCAAGGGGCTGGTCCGGGATATGTCTTGTCCAATGTCCAGGTCTTGTCAATGTCAGGACTCAGAGTCTTGCGCCGCTGCCGCCACACGCCACAATCGCCATCACGTGCGAGTGAAAGATTGGATCATCGAGTCGAGTAACTCGAGTTCGCGAGCCCGATGGTGCACTCGACCACTTGACTCAAACCTCCGTCGCCGCCACCTATCCGCTCGCATCTTTACTACTGCAGGCACGGCGGATCCAATGGAACAGGAACTCAATCAAGTCATCCAGGCCATCGCCATCGCGTCCGATCCTACACAAGTCGCCCTCCACCAACAAGCCCTGCAATTTCTGTCCACTATTCAGCAGAACGCAGAAAATACGTGGCGTCTTGCATTAGCCATCTTTGTTGAGACCAACTCGAATGGCTCAAGAAAACATGCTGCACAAGCACGGTTCTTCGCTCTGCGGGTCCTAGACGAATTTCTAGACAACCGGTGAGACGGCTCGACCTTTGCTCACTGTGCCTTCGTTCATTGTGTATCTCCACCGCAGATTCGAACCGCTAGATGACGAATCCTTTCAAACGTTACGACAAGGCCTAGTCACATACATTCAGTCCGAATACATCTATGGTTCAGCGGAGACGGATGCTTCATGTACGTCTGCTTAACATAATTGTGGCCACGGACGTTGATCCTCCTCCTAGTTCTGCGGAACAAGTTTGCGCACACTCTCACTCTGTTCTTCCTATGCACGTACATGGACCAATGGCCCACCTTTTTCAGCGACCTGTTTTCCTTGATCCGGCCCACAGAGTCAACATCACAATCCACATACAATCAACATGTCTCCCTCCTCTTCTTCCACATAGTTCTCGAGATCTCTGGGGAGGTGGCGGACCAGCTGATAAAGGCTGCTCGGCAGTTCAGCCAGGCGCGACAAGCGCGAGACACTCGTGTGAGAGATGCCGTGCGCGAGCGGGACGCGGGACGCATCAACGAGGCGGTCCTGACTATCGTGGCCGATGGCGCGGGGAGGATGACAGCATTGCGCACGGCGGGCACAGAGTCCGCTGGCTCTCGGGAACTTGACGGCGCTGTGGAAGTGGTAGATTGGGGCATCAGGACCTTCGCGTCCTACGTCGGTGAGTCAAACGGGTGCTTCCGAGCGATTTCACTAATTCCGATGGGCCTAATGACAGGTTGGATCGACATCAACCTGACCGTCACTCCGACGACTGTGCCGCTGCTGTTCTCATTACTGTCCGACCCTTCATTGGCGATCCGATTAGCTACATCCGTAGCACTACTCAAGATCACTGCAAAAGGCTTGAAAGAGCCCGGAGATAAGCTTCAACTGATCAAAGTCTTATCCCTTGGTCAAGTCATCGATGCTTTGGAAGCAAAAACACGCGTTGAACAAGCTGCCCGAGAGTCAGACGTAGACGAAGGCGAGGAGTCATACCGCGAGGCCCTTGGTCGTTTGCTGAACGTCCTGGGTCTTGAGCTGTGCAAGCTTGTCGAAGTGAGTAAGCTTCGTCTCTGCTCGTATTGCGACTGACAGGCCGAGCTAGGAGTCCACCACCGATGACGTGCGGTCAGAAGCGTCACAACTACTTGAGCAGACTCTTCCGGTCATGCTCCGCTTCATGGCGGATGAATATGACGACACTGCGTCAACCGTATTCCCATTCCTGCAAAATGTTCTCGGCAACGTATGTACACGCTCGGCTCGCAATTTTACCCTTGCGTTGACTTGAATTCATTCAGTACAAGCGTGCGCGGAAAACGTCAGCAGAACCTCTAGAAGAGTCAAAGCGAACATTCTTGACGTCGCTTCTCCGAGTCGTTCTCCAGAAGCTGAAGTGGGAAGAGGACAGTGATCCCGACGACATGGATGAGGATGACAAGGCTGCGTTTGATGACCTGCGCAAGGTATCGTACCATGATCGTACTGCCGAATAGCCTCTGATAGATTTTACAGGATCTCCGCACATTCATGGACTCCACCCATGTCATAGAGCAGACTCTGGTCACTGACGCGGTGCGGACTCTGGTGCTCAATACCTTCAACGCGTATCGTAACGGGTCCACCGTAAAATGGAACGATGCTGAGTTGGCCGTCTATTTGGTGTATAGCTTTGGCGAGATCAACAAGAGTAGGTACTCTCTTTCACTGACTCGTATTGCCGTCGCTGATAATCTCGTCAGGCGGCAGCAAAGGTCGTGGAGCATTCTGCCAAGCATCGTCTGTGGCGAAGGAGAAGCGAAAAGAAGCTGATTACTCCGAATACCCTCTAACGAGCCATGGCGAGATGCTCTACGCCATGATAGAGTCTGGTATCTCTGCCTACCCGCACAAATGGTTGCTATGCAGTTCTTCGAGGCGGCAGCACGATATGGCGACTTCTTCAAGGTCCGAAAAGAGTGCATCATGCCTACGTTGCAGGCTATGATGGATGCTCGGTGAGTACATCTCAAACAAGAGGACGACAGTCAGGTGCTGATTCGTATGCTACAGAGGGCTGCATAATCCGGAGTCCAGTTTGCGTGCACGGGTCTACTATTGTTCCAACGGTTCATTCGAGAAGACCGGAACGAGATCTCGCCTGAACTGGCAGTGTCCCTCATTGAGGGCATGCGGGATCTGCTCACCATCGAAGTAGAATTGCCGGAGATTGAGGAGGGCCAGGACCTTCTATCAGAGGCCATCACCAACCCAGGCATCTTTGACTCTCAGCTCTACATCTTCGAGACAGCCGGCATACTCGTCTCCCTCTTGTACAAGATGCCGGGCCAAGCCGCCGTGCTGCTTCTGTCCATCGTGAAACCGTTGCTAGAGGACCTGTCTGCGAGTCTGCAGGCAGTCAAGGGTGCAGGCGACGTCGTGCCCGTACTAAAGGTTCATCACATCATCATGGCACTGGGAAACATTGCCAAAGGCTTTCCAGATTATCCTTCGCCGGTCCCGGAAGGATATATCTTGCCGCCTTTGGAGGTTTTCACTGAGATCGCACAGGCGATCTTGGTATGCTTGGAGGCTATGAATGTCTTCAAGGTCATCAGAGACGCGGTGAGTGTATCCGCAAGCAGATGGGAGCGCACGAGGTGACGAATTTGTAGACCCGGTTTGCCTTTGCTCGGATCATTGGCACAACAGGCCCGAACATCACGCACCTCATCCCCCCGTTGATGGCCAACCTGCTTGCCCACTTCGAGCAGTCGGAGCTGGTAGACTTCATAAATTTCATCGGCCTCGTGATCCACAAACTCCAGGTATGTCTATGCTTATCGTGCTGCCACTCTACAATAGACTCACATCGTTACAGGACGATATGTTCAACGTACTGGATCAGTTGTTCGGTCCCCTGAATGCACATATCACCGGCCTACTTTCGCAACCTGTAAACGGTACAGATGACGAGCTTGCTCGCGCGGAACAAAGAAGGCGTACCTCGCTTTGCTGAATCAGATCTTGTCATCGAAGCTGCAAGGCGTCTTCACTTCTGAGCGTGAGTAGCCGAAGTACGACGCCTTCTCACAACACTGATGTCCTCCGCAGGGAACAACGCTCAGCTCGAACGTCTCCTTGCCACCATGAGACAAATAGTGGAAGATGTATCGGATCCCGCAAGCCAGAAGGCTGCCTTGACGTTCTTTGGACGCTCAGTGGCCGTGTGGGCGCAACCCGCCGTGAATGGCGATGCTCAGACACAAGCATTGCCTGGCTTCGAACGCTTCATCTACGAAACGGTCATCCCGACGGCTTTCGCGGTCTTGTCGTTGCCGCAGTTCAACATCAGGGACGGCCAAATGCTCACGGTATGTGGTAATACTTTCCTCTCCGCTGACTGCCCTGACACTGCCTACAGGTCTTGCACGAGATCGCCAACTTCCTCCAGACGGTATTGAAAACTCGCGGCGAGGAAGCCTTCAATTTTTTCGGAAATGTCTTCCTCCCCCGCAAGGCTGGCCCGCGCAAACCATCATAGACTTCACGACCAAAATGCGGGATCTCGACCCGAAAGCATTCCGGAAATACTTCGCCGACTTCGTACGCGCCTCCCGCGCAGGCTCATAACGTTCGCTATATGTTCATCCACTCTGTCACTGTCCATGCACCAGCAAGCTATCCAACACGTCGCAATTTTGAGGTCAAGTATCGTTGTAGCTAATTCCACTCGTTCTCCGTGACAATTGTGCCCCAGGATCTGACCAACACGCGCTGTATTCTCTACCATGCTCATGTACTCACATCATCTGTTCTATGACTCTGCTTATCATACTTCGTACGCAGCCCAAAAGAATAATTGTATTTCAGCAGTATCATATATCCTCACCGTGCCGAACACCTAGTACCAATTGGAAGGAGTGCGGTCCGCGGATGCATAACGACCATGCATTGCATGAGGTTGTGAGACCCACGAACGCGAGTAAGTTAGAATGCAATGCGACTGCCCCGTCTACGACAGAACGTGAGATGATGATACGAACGACCTAAGCAACACCGCTCAGGATATCGGCCACTGTCGAATCGTCAGATGGTCTCTTGTGCTATTGACACAATCGAGCGACTCACTGTATTCGCCGATACCATACACGACGGCCTGTGTATGCGCTGCGATCTCGAGTGGCGCAATGGACAGGTCGGCTACGCGAAGATTTTTGGTGCCGTATACCTACAGAATTGAACTAATCGCATGGAGATCTACATGAAAGCATGAACGAGCTGACCTTCAGCTTCGGGTCGACGACTCCATTCTTCTCGCGCGGGAGCATGCTGCAAGTACCGCACGCATGGAAGCATGTGTTACTGTAGTTTCGGATATACTCTGTGCATAGGGAGAAGGCGTTCGTTCAGTGAATACATCGAGCGATTCGAGCGACTGACCCTTAAGTTCCTCGTCCGTCTGCGCCGCAGCGCCTGGATCAACCTCGCGTACGGTTCCCGACTTGAACGGCTCGGTCTCCCCAAGACGCCGCGCGAACTTGAGCAGCTCTGTGAATATATCCAAGTCTGCCGGAACCATAGCAATGTCAGGACGGCAACACTTTGAGCTAGGTGGGTGTAACACACCGATAGGGACGGAGAATGTATTCGGGTCAAGGTCGGGTTGCTCTAGCGGGTCGTTGCTCTTCGCGTGCTACAACGGTTGGTGATATCAAGAAGTGATGCAAGTTGGTCAATCTGGAGTTTACTCACGACTGATCCCCTGACACACTCATGTCAGAGGTGGTCATAAGTGCGTAAAAGGGGTACTTACCTCGAGAACGGATGTTGCGTGACGCAGAGATTAGTCGCCTTAATCATCAAACAGTAAGTCGTGGCATCTCAATCTAAGTTGACTTCCGGCACACGCACATAGCTCTTGCCAGCCTCTGGGGTAGCTATAATAAAGAGGATTAGCATGCAGAACGACAGCCTTGAATCTTGAAAACACAGACATATGAAGGTCAACCAGCCCGGGAAAATGATGGCTTCAATGTCCGGAAGGCTCCCATCCTTGAGAATGCGCAGTTGGATGTCCCACTGTTCGGCAAGCCCAGGTGGAAGTGTGCCACTTCTCTTCTTCTCCTCGATGAAAGCTTCAGTGCGCTCGATGATGCTTGAAGCGTCGTTTGGACTGGTAGTCTGAATTGGCGTATAGATACAGGCATTCACGCCCAACCGGTGCAAGTTCTCCTCGTTGAGGTTGCTGGGTAGTGCGAAGCGTCAGTTATAACGGTAGATCGCCGGGCCAAATGTCTCGGCAGACTTACTGTAGTCTCACTTGCTCCTTGGCAAACTCCGGATCGCGGAACAGGTCCGTAGTCTTGTGGGCAACATTCGGACCCAGTTCGTAGGACATTCCTGCAGATGACGTCACTACGCGACACCACACATACAAGAACGATAAAAGCGCACCAATGTATGAATGATCCTGCATGTTCTCTCCTACACCAGGCAGCTCGATTTTGAGCGGCACGCCTATCTTTTCGAGCACCTCGCGGCGGCCAATGCCTGACAACTCCAGCAACTGTGGAGACTTCAGAGTACTGCTCGGAATGTCAGCGGTACTAGGCTTGGTGTCTTAAGGTGCAATCTCACCCCGTGGAGATGATGACTTCTTTCTTTGCATGCGCCTTATGCTTCTCTCCACCATGCACAAACTCAACTCCCATAGCAACAATATCTTCGCCATCCTTTTCGTCGCTGAACAGTATTTTCGCGCCAACAGCCTCGGTGAGCACCTAGACCGTGCTCATTAGCGACGGCGGTACGGATCGACAGATGGCAGACTCACCGTCAATCTCGGATGGTCCTTGTGAGGGATGTAGTGAGCCGTAGCGGCGTACGAGCGCGTCCACTTCTCCGCACGGTCCATATTCGCGGCACCTTCCCAGCATCCGGTGGTCTTTGGCGGTCGAAAGCCACAGTCAGCGAGACCGGAAAACACCCGAGCGTTGGGGACAGACTCACGTAGCCGCCATACGCATCCTCAAGCAGAGGCAGACCCTGCGCTTGCGCCGCCTCAAGGAACATCTTGTTAAGCTGTGAAGGGATCATAGGGACCGTAGTCTTGATGGGTCCGTTCTGTCCCCGAAACTCTGCTTTGTGCGTGTGCGCATACAGCTTCAGCTGGTCCTCAGAGGCCGCCGTAAACCTGTAATTATCTAAGTTCGAGGGCCGAGCAGATTTCCTGACAGTCTCGGGGCTTACTGTTCTGTACGCAAGGTATACTTGAGGTAGTTGTCCCAGTTCCAACCGGGGTTTCCGAGCTCTTCCCAGCATCGATGTCTGCAGTCGGCGGCTTGCTCCAGAACAGGAAATTCATGGCCGAGCTGCCGCCTGTCGTAGACGTAGTTTTAGTTGTAGTCGATTCTAACAGAGCGTGAAGGTATATAATGAAGCATACCGAGGCCTTTTCCACGCGACCAGACGATCGTACGATCGTTGCAATGCTTCTGGGGTGTAGTCTCGAAAATCCAATCATACTAAATGAAGGGTCGTGAGGGTAGTTAAAATATTTCCGAAGACAGTGAAGGCATGTATCGAAATGCTATACCTTGGGATCGCCAAAGGTACCGCCCCATTGAGCCCCCAGCAAGATCTTGGGATCGTCGAGATTGGGCTGGCCCGCCTCAAGGACGAGAACGGAGCTCTCTGTGTTCTCCAGGAGGCGGGACGCGATGGTCAAACCAGCGGTCTGTAGAAGGACGCTGAGTGCACATCTATATTAAATAACGCGGATCACTCACTCCCCCTCCGACAATAACATAGTCGAAAGTCTTGTCGGCGACGTCGGCGAGTTGCGCAACCATGGCGGGAAAAGAGAAAAGATGAGTAGTGAGGGGTGTCTCGTCTGAGTCGTATTTATACTAGCACTATCCTGATTCCAGCTCGTTGTCGGGTATCACCCCCGACTTGCCTAGTAGACGGGCCTCACCATGCGAGAGCCCTGACGCAGCGCTCATAGCGGATTTCTACTTGTGCCGACATACGGTCGACGATCTACGCGCCGCCCACACCCGCAGATCCCTCCATCAGACCCCGATAGCGGGATTCTCGCGAGATGTCTCAGTGCTACAGCGCTCGCTTGTGCAGCGTTATGATGCCTTAGGCTGTGAAATGCGTCGTACTGTACGAGGGCCCGGGGCCGATTGCATATTACCTTCGATAGCACGTTCTGTTAAACGGAGCTGTACGAGTTTGAGTTTGTGCGCACCTTCAATGATTTTGGGCTGTCGTTCCGCAGTGCAAGCAGCAAGGCATAAGTGGTCTTGGCGGGCGAAGTCACAAGTACTATCGAGGCGCTAAGTACATATCGAGTGTTTGCATCAGTCCCGGGCCTGTCTGCACCAAGACCCCGCGCAGGATTCGGACGTTGCACATCACGTATCCAATTGCACGAGGACTTGACAATGATGCGGACCCTCAACGCATCAGCGTCGTGGCGAGGGCGCCCCGAGCCCTCGGAGTATACAACACGATAATCGCCGTGATTCCACGTTGAAGCAGTGATAGTATCTAGCGGATCAAATTGTTCAGTAAACCCGTTGGCAAATCTGTGTGATGTAGCAATGCATAACAGACCTAGTAGGAACATGCCACACAGAACCAATGATGTACATACCTATGATGATGTTTCGCCGACTGATGTGTTGAACGTGGTAACATTTAGCGATGAAATCGAATTGCGTAGTCCGGAGTCAGGACATGGGCTTGCTCTTTGCTTGTTCTGTCTGGCTTACGAGAGAATATTTGGGTCATTTTTGGATATCGATGAATCGCTTATTCGTATCAATCCACGTTGCCGCCAGTAGTGTACATGTGTGCGCGGCGTAGTCGTCCCAAGATTTCCGCAAAAGGGAGGCGGGAGCTTCGGATCCTAACAAGAGCAAACAAGGTCGCTTCGGCGAATCAGCGCCTGGTTCAGAGGTCGCGTCCCAATTCGCTGCGTGGCAAAGCATACAGTACTTTAGCCAATCGCCAGACCGTCTACAACCTCCGATATGTCCTCGATATATGATGTGTATGACGTTGAAAAGGACAGTTCTAGCAGCTCGCCAACCGTACGCGTGCTGCCGCGGTGACTGCCCTTGCGTGACTGCATGCACGACGTCATGCTCCGCCTCTGCGCCTGAGTCTACTCACTCGTAGGCGGTATGCGGGTATGGATTTGGAACTTTGTTTTCCCCCAGCAGAACGCGTCGCATCGACTGGTCAACTGCACAAGAGGTACGCAACGTTATGCGATCTTTGCACACGGCGCACTCAACCTGAACACGCGATACAGCCATGCCCGAGCATCGCGCACCGAAGAACGGTCTCATCCTCGCCGTGAATGCGGGGTCGTCTTCCCTCAAGATATCCCTATACCGCCGCGCCGACGAACGCGCGGAAAGCTCAGGACAGGACGTCGTCGAGCTGCTCCTGACGTCTAGCATCACGAACATTTCGTCACCACCGCCTCCTTTACCTTCAAGCTCGCATCTCACAGTGAGGGACGCGAGGCAAAGAAGGAGTCTGTAGACGGGATTAAGGACCACGCAGCTGCGTTCGCCTACTTCCTCGAGCATCTGAAGAACGAGAGCAAGATCGAACGGAGTCCATCGTGCACGTCTGCCATCGTGTCGTGCATGGCGGCGACTATTTTGAGCCCGTAATCATCAACTCGGAGAGTTACCAACATATTGAGAATTTGTCCGATCTAGCTCCACTGTGAGTAGTTCGGTTGTTCAGTACGCACGGACGTGCGAGTGATGGTATATGCAGCCATAACGGTGCAGCGCTCTCAGTAATGAAGAGCGCTATCGACTCTCTTCCGAAGGCGAGCTCTATCGCCTACTTTGATACCTCGTTCCACCGGTCGATACCCCTGCACGTAGCAAGCTACGCCATCAATCCGGAGGTTGCCCATAAGCGCGGATTGAAGAAGTATGGCTTCCATGGCCTGAGTTGTGAGTCCGCGATGTGTCATTGTGTTGAATGTCACCATTGAGCTACGTCGCCAGACGCATACATCCTCGGTGCTGTTGGTCATTATCTGCAGAAGGTGCGTCACTTCCCCGACGTACATAGACCACAACCTCACACATTCGCCTAGGACACGTCCGCTCTCAATCTCATCGTCATGCACCTCGGTTCCGGGGCCAGCATCTGTGCCATCCGGAACGGCCAGTCTCTCGACACGTCCATGGGACTGACACCCGTCTCCGGGCTCCCAGGCGCGACACGGAGCGGGCTTGTCGACCCGTCCCTCATCTTCCACTACACAAACCGCGCCGGACGGATCACCCACGACCCACACCAAGCCGTCGACGTGCACGTCACGCAGGCCGAGGAGATCCTCAACACCGAGTCGGGGTGGAAGGCGCTCACGGGGACGTCGGACTTTGGCGATGTCGTGAAGAACATGAAGGAGCACTTGCAGCAGCAGGGGGCGACGAAGGGCAAGGACGTCGTGGACTGGCAGAGCGAGGCGAAGTGGAAGCTCGCGTTTGATCTGTTCGTGGACAGGATCCTCGGCTTCGTGGGCGCGTACTACGTGAGGCTGGGCGGGAAGGTGGACGCGCTCGTCTTCTCTGGTGGTATCGGCGAGAAGAGCGCCGAGCTCCGGGAGGCCATCGTGCGGAGTTCAGAATGTCTTGGCTTCCAGCTCGACGAGGCGGCAATGCGAAAGTGGGCCAGCAGGAAGGCGCGGTTGTCAACGGGGTAAGAGGACAGACGTCTGCCGTGTGCTGGTGTGTAGGACGGATGAGCAGGTGGTGTCCGTCTCCTGCGCGTGGTCTCTGCTGATGAGTGCGGCTAGCTCGAGATGGCCAAGGAGTGTGCTCTGGCAGACAAGTTCTGGCAGTGAGTGGGGACGGCGTTTGATACTGCAGCTGCATACGCAGACGTCATGTAGCCTCAACCCAAATTTTGCGGATCCTTGTGGTTGATATGATATAGGGAATCATATGTGCGCTTAATAGACCGCCGGTCAATGGAAGTTCACTTGCATTATACATGCTGCGCACACGAATGCCAGGTGAAAAGGGTATCGCAGGGCTGTCTAGACTTGGTACTTGGTAGAACGGGGCGTTTGTGAAACAAATGGACGCAAACGAAAAAGAAAATGCCTCTTGGCTGATTTGAACAACCGACCTCACCATTACGTAAGCATTGTTACGTAAGGCATTGTGCTCTAGAGTATACGAGTGGCGCGCTCTACCAACTGAGCTAAAGGGGCTGCAAAATTGGCGCTCGTAGATGTGGCTGATGGTTGTGGATGGTGGCACGGAGGTGTGACGGATGTGGCGCGTTTGACGCGAAGACTGACGTCGTTTGAGCCCGCATACCGATGAGCAGCTGCTCGTTCCACTGCTCGTTGCAGGATATACATCATGGCCAGTATGCTGCTCTCACTTCGTCCCTCATTTCAACTCTTGTCGCCTTCTCCGAAAATGCCTGGTCAACAGATCTTCGAGCCCAATCCTCCACCAGACTCTTCACAGCTGCCCGACTCGCTGCTCGACTACCGGGTCAAGCTGAAGGTCAAGGGGTCGCTCTCGAGAGATGAGCTCGAGGCGATCTCATATTTCAGACGGGCTGCCGACTACATCGCAGCTGGTAAGCGTTATCATTCTCAATGATTGTTCGTCACAGTTCGTCGAATGTGGAGCCATCTGCGTCCGTGCGAGTGCATGCCTAATGCCAAACCACGCTGGACACCAGGTGTACCGACAGGCTTGCATGGTTGGGTATTTGACGTACTAAATACCTCACACGTGCGAGACGCGCAGTGGTTCGCGTCCTACGTGATTCGTGTGCAGCTCGGTTGCCTCCATGCGACTTGCAATGATGCCGCTGTGCATACAATCAGGATATGTCTTGCCAACACTACTTCAGCATCCCCCCTGGAAAGGATGAAGGTGCATCGTGCTAATTATACTCGCAGCTATGATCTTCTTGAAGACCGGCGTCCTAGAACAGCGCGACCTCACGCCGGACGACATCAAGCAACGGCTGCTCGGACACTGGGGGACGTGCCCCGGTCTCGTCCTCGTCTACGCGCATATCAACCTCCTCGTTCGCAAAACCGACATAGACGTGCTCTACGTCGTCGGGCCAGGGCACGGCGCACCGGGCATACTGTCCTGCCTATGGTTGGAAAACTCGCTAAGCCACTTCTGGCCCCGTAATATGCGTGACCGTACTGGCTTGAAGAATCTCGTATCCGGTTTCAGTGTACCAGGCGGATTCCCAAGGTACGCGTATGAACGCGTCACTGAGTGGCGCGCGAGTTCGCTGATGCGACGTTCAAAGCCATGTCAACGCAGAGACGCCAGGTTCTATCCACGAAGGCGGCGAGCTGGGATACGCGCTCAGTGTTGCGTTTGGCGCAGTCATGGACAAGCCCGATCTGGTCTGTGTATGTGTCGTTGGAGACGGCGAGGCTGAGACCGGGCCTACTGCGACGTGCGTGATATCGCCTTCCTCATTACTTCCTTTCTCCTAATGTAGCACCAGCGCGTGGCACGGATATAAGTACCTCGACCCCGCAGAGTCCGGCGCTGTCTTGCCGATCGTGCACGTCAATGGGTTCAAGATCTCCGAACGCACGATCTACGGCACGATGGATGACAAGGAGCTCGTCGCGCTGTTTACTGGCTACGGGTACCAGGTGCGCTTCGTCGAAGATCTGGGAAATATCGACGAGGACATGGCGGCGTCGATGGAGTGGGCACTCGGCGAGATTCACGCTATACAACGGGCGGCGAGGAGTGGACAGCCACAAGTGAAGCCGCGATGGCCAGTTCTGCTTATGCGTACCCCGAAGGTAAGGGATGTATCTCGAGCTGCAGAACTTGTGGCTAACGGAGATATTGCAGGGTTGGGGTGGACCGAAAAAACTCGGTGACGAGATCATCGAGGGATCATTTCATGCCCACCAAGTCCCACTTCCTGGCGCAAAGAAGGACCCAGAACAACTCAAGCTGCTACAGGAATGGTTGAGATCGTACAAGCCCGAAGAACTCTTTGACGAGAATGGCGTACCGAATGAGAAGATTCTGTCGATCATCCCAGAGGTACACTTCCATTCGTGGATGGTCAGACAAAGCGGTGCGTTTACATTGACTTGCAGAAAGATGATAAGAAGGTCGGCATGAGAAAGGAGGTCTACGCGGGTTACATGCCTCTTCATGTACCGGACTGGGCGCCGAAGAGCGTGGAGAGGGGTAGCCAGGAGAGCTGTATGAAGGTCGTGGGCGAGTTGCTACTTGACGTCATGGATAAGTGCGTATCGCAACATTCGTTCGATATGCTGTGCTCATACCCCAATCCCAGAAACCCCCACACGTTCCGGATCTTCTCCCCGGATGAACTAGAGTCGAACAAGCTGAGCGCGACGCTCCGCCACAGCGGCCGGAATATGCAGTGGGACGTGGCCAGTCGCGCCAACGGCGGACGCGTCATCGAGATTCTCTCAGAGCACACCTGCCAGGGCATGATGCAGGGCTACACGCTCACCGGGCGGACGGCGCTCTTCCCGAGCTACGAGGCGTTCCTCGGCATCGTGCACACCATGATGGTGCAGTACAGCAAGTTCGTGAAGATGGCGCAGGAGACCAACTGGCGCCAGCCGATCGGCTCGCTGAACTACCTCGAGACGAGCACCTGGGCGCGTCAGGAGCACAACGGCTTCTCGCACCAGAACCCGTCGTTCATCGGCGCGGTGTTGGACTTGAAGCCGAGTATCGCGAGGGTTTACCTCCCTCCGGACGCGAACTGTTTCTTGTCGACGGTGGCGCATTGCTTGAGGGCGAAGAACTACATCAACCTCATGGTCGGAAGCAAGCAGCCGACACCCGTCTGGCTGAGCGCAGAAGAGGCGGACGAGGTACGTTCGTTAGACCTAGGTTCATCGCGAATGCTCACACAACAATCTCTGTCACAGCATTGTATTGCTGGCGCGTCAATCTGGAAGTTCGCCAGCGTGGACGACGGCGTTGACCCAGACGTCGTACTCGTTGGCATCGGCGTAGAGGTGACCTTCGAGGTTATCGCCGCCGCGGCGCTCCTCCGCCAGCGTCTGCCTCAGCTTCGCGTGCGTGTGGTGAATGTTACTGACTTGATGATCCTCGAACCCTTCGGCACGCACCCGCACGCGCTGACGGAGCTCGACTTTGAGGCTCTGTTCACGAAGGACCGCCCAGTCCACTTCAACTATCACGGATACGTGAACGAACTGAAGGTAGAAACCATCTCTTCGCCATATCGCCTGCCAGTTGCTGATCGTCTGTGCAGGGTCTGCTCTTCGGCCGCTCCAATATGCAGCGTGTCACGATGGAAGGGTGCGCTCTCTCTGCTCCGCTATCACGCCACACTCACACCTGCACCCCGCAGATACCGCGAAGAGGGGACGACGACCTCTCCATTTGCCATGATGCTCCTGAACCATACGTCGCGCTATCATGTAGCCGCCGCCGCGGTGCGAGGCGCAGCGGCGCTCAACCCGCGCGTGGAGGTGGACGCCCACACGGCGATCAGCGGGTTCATGCATGAGGCGCAGAAGGCCCGGCAGTATATCAGAGAGCAAGGAGAAGATCCGGACGGTACGTTCGACGTACCGAAGTTCGTGTAGAGATCCGCAGGTGGGCGGTATCGGACTGCACACCAAGAGAAGATGTCCAAATTGTTGTACAGTACGTGCCATAAACTGGTGGTAATAGGTTCGCATTACGATGTGCGGCAATTGGGTTACTGGAACGGCCAAAGACATTGTCCACGGACACAGCCTTGGTGTTATTTGGATAGATGTGTAGGAGGCAGGTATTCGGCCCTAGCTCCTGCACTCCGCTACAGACACCGTCCATGATGGTCGAGGCTATGTTGTTTGCGGGGTTGACGGCGGTTGTCCCATGCTTCGACGGGGGCTGCGCACGCTGATAAGAATCAGTGCTACATAGTGCTCCTCACTGAGTCCGGACATGCATTCTGACATAACAGGTGTACTCAGGAGTTGGCTTCATGCTGCAGATCTTCTTTAGAAGGCGATACCAATAAACTCTCGCTGACAATGGGCCGTCGAAATGCCTCGTGGTGTGCGGAAATGAGTCTCCGTGGTAAGTGACTCGGATTTGAATGCAGACGCGCAGCTATAAGCTTCAACAGATTTGTTTACAGCTTCGGCAACGTGTTCGGTGCGATATGGCGAAAGGCACGATATAAGACAAGGGTAATCTCTCAACTGTGTCGTACTCTCCCGCCATGGATCTCATCCAGGAGATCAACAGGAGCCACGGCCTCAACGGGGACCTGACAGGTCGCAACAACGACCCAGTAGTAACCTCGCTGCGAGGGAAATTGGAACGCGCATGCGAGAGGTATGCAGCATAGCTGCCACGGTTGACCTATCTAATCGGATGTGTGCAGACTTTCGAAGGACCTATACAATAGCCAGAGTCATTTCATCTTGGAATTCGTCCAGAATGCCGACGACAACCATTACAAGCCCGGAGTGGACCCGACCTTACACCTGCGCCTCAGCGACAGTGAAGTGATCATCAAGTGCAACGAGAAGGGGTTCGACAAGGACAACGTAAAGGCGATATGTGACATCGGTGCGAGTACGAAAGCGAGACAGAAGAAAGTTGACGGCTACATAGGTGAGTAAGATCCATTGATGACACATTTACTGACAAAAGCTGACGGGATATGACGATAGGCGAAAAGGGGATAGGTAGGAAGTGAACCGATCACCGTTGGCATGCTTTGACTGGGGAACTCAGGATTCAAGGCCGTCTTCGCCGTAGCTCAACGAGTCCGTGTTGCGTCAGGCGACTTCACATTCCGATTCGATCGAGATGGGCCGCTGGGTATGATTAATCCTATCTGGGATGCGTCGTACCCTAGCGTTCCTGGCTGGACGACCTTCCGTCTGACCATGACACAAGCGGTGGCCCGGAGCGATCTGAAGGAGCAGATTAAGGGCATCCAGTCCTCGTTATTGCTGTTTCTCCGCAAGCTACGTGCGATCGACATCGACGTAGCCATGGGTCAACACTCGACGATTTCAGTCCGTCGCATTGACGAACCGAATGATGTCATCAGACTCGAGCGTCACGAAAACAGCACCTGTGTATCGAAATGTAGATACATCGTGTCGAAGCAAACTGTCAAGGCGTACGCGCACGAAGAGAAGAGGGAAGGTATCGAGCAGAGCGAGATCGTTCTGGCATTCCCTATCGACGGCGACGGTCGCCCTGCAATCGGCAAACAGGACGTGCATGCCTTCCTGCCTGTGGCTACGTATGGGTTGAATGTGAGTGCGGGCTATACGTGTGCGCGTATGTAAAGTTAACTCCATTCTGTATCAGTTCGTCGTTCAGGCAGACTTCTTGACGTCCTCCAGCAGAGAAGATATCATCGCGGACTCGCAATGGAATCGTGTGCTACTACAAGGCGTTACGGACACGTTCCTTGCCGCTATAGAGCGTTTTCGACAGCACCACATCCTTCGAGACTGCTGGATGCGATACATCCCCAGGAATGCTCGAGTGCCTTTCAGCGCGGTCGAGGATTCCATCGTCAAGGCCCTTCGCTCGCGGCCTATCTTGCGCGACATTTTTGATCGGTATCAGCTACCGACGACACTCATCACCATCCCTAGCCACTTCCGGCTCCCCCGCGGCGGGGATCCCCTCATCGGTACTTCGGACTTACCATCGTCCCCATCTTTGTCAGTTAAATCGGATTAAAAATGGTACTTAAAAGTACCTTAGGTCAGATTAACTAGGTACACTAATGTACTTCCTAATCCGTGATCCACTATTGATCCACACTACATCCATACTTAATCCAATTCTAAGCTACTTAATCCAATTTGAGATCAGGATCAGACATTACTAATCCACAATCCACAGTTAATCCAATTCTGAGATCAGGATTAGAGTGTATTAATCCACAATCCATCCATAGTTAACCCAATACTGAGATTAGGATTAGTACATGCTAATCCACTTATGACCTCAGGTTTAGTACAATCTAATCCAGTACTGAGATCAGGATTAGTACATGCTAATCTAGTTATAAGACTTGGATCTATACACTGCTAATCTAGTTATAAGACTTGGATCTATACACTGCTAATCCATTTATGAGATCAGGATCAGTACACTCTAATCCACTTATGAGATCAGGATTAGTACATGCTAATCCACTTATGAGATCAGGATCAGTACACTCTAATCCACTTATGAGATCAGGTTTAGTACATGCTAATCCACTTATGAGATCAGGTTTAGTACACTCTAATCCACTCAAGTCGAAAGTTAATCACAATTAATCCAATCCCATCACAGTTCATCAATGCCAGATTAACACCGAGTCTATCGTGTTAATCCAGGTAAAGTCCAAACCCTCTACACTAATCCCAAAATCTTAACTAAGACGAGCACTCTTCCGAATTGCAGGCCTACATGGGCAGTAAGCAACCATTAGATATTCAGAGAACACGATGACACTCACTGGGAGCCCGTCGAATGCGTCACTCGAGGCACCACCTTCGCCTTCGCCTTCTCCTTCTCCTTGCCCTTCACATCCGCATCGGCCTTCGCCTTCACCTTCGCACCCACCTTCACCTTCGCACCCGCCTTCCCCTTCCCGCCTGCCTTCGCCTTCGCACCCGCCTTCTCCTTCGCCTTCCCCTTCGCATCCACCTTCGCATCCACCTTCGCATTCCCACTTTTACCACCCGAGACCTTGACCTTCTTCTTTGGTGCCTCCTCGATGTTGCTGTCATCATCCTCACGCTCCTTTCGTCGCAACTTCCGGGGCCTGTCCTCATCAGCTTCATGGAAGGTCAGTATACCGCTTAATATCAATCACATACGAGCTCACACACCTTCAGACTCCACGTCATCGGCTTGCACGACCTTACCGCCGGACGACGACGCCGTGGACGTAGAAGGCTCGACGGCCGCGGAGGCATCAATGTCCAGTTCGCCAACGGCGTCCTCGTCCTCGACGCCGTCGAGGCGACTCGGACTCCGACCACGTTGCGACGATGTGTCGACCTCATCGTTGTCGTTGTCGTCTTCGTCCTCGCTAGAACTGTCACTCGAGCCGTCTTCGGACTCCTCCGGCACGGAGGGTACCTAGTCGACCACGTACATTACTTTCACACCATTGAAGAAAAGTATCGACATCGACTTACCTTATCCGTGTCTGCGCTGGCGACCGCGTTTCCGTCCTCGCCGTCTTCCTCGGCTTGCGCAAAGCTCCTCGGGTCGACTTCCTCCACCTGCAGTTCAGCCTGCGGTGCATTCTCCGGGTGAACGTCTTCGAAGTTGAAGCCGGCGCCACCTGTCTGCGTCGACTCGATTTTGCGCCACAGCTCCCATGCCACATCGGCAGTGGGACCCATCGGGTCGCTGAAATCGAGAATTGGCCATCCCAAAGACGAAAGGCGCTCGGAAGTCACTGCGGCCGAGAAGGGCGGCACTGCATTGACCAAGCGATGTGCATATTCTGCGACGACGAAGTCAGTCGTACGCGCGCGCGATGTTAATATAATTGGGAACACACCCCAGCTAGCACGAAAGTATGCATGTAAGGCCTCGATCAACTGGAGACCTGTCCATTGTAAGCGACTCTTCGGCAGCATTGGTCGGCCGCTGTCCTCATAAGTGATACCCTGATCCAAACCTATCGTCGGTGATGCTGTGTAGGCAGCACTGAGTATCGTAATATAGTAGATATTGTATGTGACTTACCCAGGACGGCTTGCGCGAACGCCATCCATTTCGTGTGGTCTTCTTGTGCGTACTCGCCAAACGTTTGCTCGCCTTGATCAGTCTTGAGTAGTGGGCCGACGTGTAGTCTGGGTCACGGTCGTGAGCCATACCCAATACTGAGTGATTTCACTTACTGCTTATAATGCGACTTTCCGTGACTATCCTTGATCGCCACACGAACGTTAAACACGGCTGGCCCGACGCGGTCGTCGCCGACGCCGATTGCACTGTGCATAATCCTGTGCAAGTTTGGCATCAGCATCTCCCGGTTTCTGCCAACGACCTCTGTTAGCAAACACGTCGAGACCTCAAAACGGAACTCACTGGTCCATTTTACCGGGCGTGACCACCACGATTGGCGGCGCCGCCGGCTGGTCTTTCTTTCCCTTCCTGCCCTTCTGCGTCGAGCTGTCTGCTTGTGTGTGCCACGGCGCCTGCTCGGCCTCAGGTAGAGCCTTGAAGGCTTGCCTCCGTGCTTTTGCCAGCTCGCCTCCACGGCCCTCTCGGATGTTCTTGTCCGCGACGGCCTTGACAACATCCTTGTTGGCAGGTACGTCTCCCCAGAGTTCGGAGGCACCCTTGGGGCGGGTCCTCTTGAACAGCGAGACCTTCTTCCAGTTGACGTCATCGGGAACCGCGTCGAGCGCCTTCTCTTTTGTTCTCAACTTGAATTTCTTCTCGTTGTTCTTGAGGAAGTTGTAGACGGCCTGGTTTAGTTGGTCAGAGTCCCTTCGACCGCAGCAGTCATTCTTGCTTACGTCGGACATCGTCGCGGCACCTTCTTTCTGGACCCACTTCTTTGTTGCAAGGACCTCGTCCACGACCTTAGATCTGTACGCGTTCCGACGGGCGTTACCGCGACCACATTCTACAAACCCCGGTACGCGCTCCATCATGAAGTCCTTGAGACCCATGCGCGACCAATCTGTTCGCGGCTTGCCGACCTCGTCACCCTCTTTGCGAGCCTTCCTCTTCTCCTGCGCTTTGTGTAAGGGCTTGTCACCAGACTTGACGTCGCCTTGGGACGCAGGGTCGGGATTCTCGCCATGGTCGGCATCTCCGCCCTGCGGTTGAGAGACAGGGGTGGAAAGTTCGTCATCGTCGGAATTTCCGTCCCCCGGTTCAGGAGCCTCGCGTGCTGAAGTCGTCGAAGGAGTTGAGTCGGAAGCCATGGGACGCGAAGAGGGCTTGGAACAGCACGTCGACGTAGCAGTTCAAGGCTAGGAGAGCCGTGGTGAGGCCTGTTCCCCGATCCGCTTGTAGATCGCACCACGCTTCATGAGCGCAACGAGGTCGCTGCTTGGCGGGTGCGTTGGTTACCGTTTAGCCCGAAAGCGTCCCACTTCAAGATCTGACCGATCCCATCTTATTTTCACCGCATGCAACTCGGGTACCCTAGTCTACGCGAACTTCGAGGTCGTTATCCACAACCTCCCACACTCCCTCGTACCCCTCGTCCTCGTGCCTGTGCTGCTTCCCTTTGGCGCGTTTACGCGCCGATCCCGGATCGTCCTCGCGCTTTCGCTTGCGTCCCGACGAGACGTTCCGTAGGGAGGCAATAGCCGTCCGCGCGGAGCTTGCTCCGAGGCGAGAGGAAGACGTTTGCGAGGTCGACGGGCTACTGGGAGGCTCTGAGACCGGATCGGTGAGCAGAGCTCGACCAGGGGACGAGTACCTGATCTCCAGGCCGTCGCTGTGTGCTGAGGGCCGGAAACGCTCCGGGGACGAGGCGCGGGTCGCGTCATCGTCGCTGTACGGATGTTCGTCTAAATGCTCGAGTAGGGAGGGCAAAGGCGGGGCGTGGAAGGGCATGATATGACGCGCGGCGAGTTCTTCAACACCTGGACAGTTAGCCACGCCTGATGCCCGGTACACGAGGACCTCGTTGCGGTCGACGTAGCGCTTTTCGTGAGGAGGTGGATGCGTCACGAAACGTCCCACATGAGCGTCGTAATGCTCGAAGGGGATGTTGGTTTGGCGAGGCGTGATTCCAAGGACGTCGCAGGTGATGAACTGGCGGAAGTGCACTGTGAGCCATTCGTCGTCTTCTACAGAGCACAGAAGTGGTATGCAGATCGGAATGTCCCCTGCCTAGAATAATGTCAGTGTGTAATACAACTACAGACGACGTGTACATACCTCTATGTAGATGTATGCATCCACTGTCGTCGTCTCCAGCGGCGGTCTCGCAGCACGGCGTCTTCGAACGGCAGGGCGAGGCCGTTCCAAGGCAGGTCGTGGCCTCAGGTAGTACGTCCCACCAAGTCGGGCGGGCGGGTCGAGCTCAGCAATACGCTTCCGCATATCGTCGGCAACCTCACTCGACATCTGTATCGTCGCCGGTTTGAGGTGGTTCCTGCATTTCAAGTGTCCTGGTAAGGTACACTTAAGGACGAGTTGATCAGTAGTGGTGCATGCGAACGGAATGAACAACTGACCACACCAAACACTTTCCCCAGCGTGTCTTGATTCGTGGCGCCATAGCTTTTGATAGAGTAGTGCGGGACCGTCTTGTACACCGTGCAAGGTAGCTGATTCGTGCCGAGGGAGGCTTCGGGGGGTATGAGCTTGTCGACGATGACCCGGACTCGGGGATCGACGGGGGCCATTTTGGAGATGCAGTTAGAGATGGACTGGCCGTCCTTTTATGTGTTTCGCTCTGGCCCGCATTCGAGACAGAGCGGCAAATATCTCCAGGAATTAGCACGAACCCATGCGAAAAACGGAGAACCCACCGCGGAAGGTGGGATTTCCATTTTGGGGAAGCCCGGAGCAAGACATCATGTCATTTACAAGTCGAGGATATGCTATGTACACGAGTAGACTACGACATTACGTTACACCCATTTCGTCGGCAGCACAGCGGGGGGAATTGGAAGACGCTTGAAGACATTAGTGAACGTGCGCACGTAGAATTGTAATGCGGCACGCTGAACAACTCGGAATTTGTCCGCGGGGTACTCTACTATCTCGTCGGCGATGCCCTTGAGCTCTTCAGGAAGTCCCGGCCACCGAGCCATGACGCCCACAAGCTCCGACAGGGTTGAGCGTGCCTCACGCCAACCACTCTCGTCAGGAGAGTCCCAGCGTGCGCGGGTCGTCTCCCCACTCTCCCAACGAGGGATGACGCGGAGCCCTGAGCCGATGCCGCTCCAGAGGCGGCACACTCGGGCCTCGCGCTCCCATCGTGTCAGGACGTCCCAGTCGCGGGAACGCGTCAGCTCGGCGTCGAGGGCGCGTACTTCGCATCGCCAGTTGATCTCGTGGGCCTCCCAGAGCACTTGCGCATGCAGGGCGGGGTCTTTCGCAGTGTTCTCGCTCACAGTAACTTGACCCCACTGTGGGGTTAGGGCAGCCGTGTACGTGGCTAGACCCGCAGTGTTTCCAAAGAGCCGGCGCACGTTTTGCTGGATCTGTTTGCGCTCCTTGCCCCTGGTCGACGAATCTTCGGATGGAACGTCGGCGGGCTGGGTGCGGTAGTCCCCCCACAGAGCATCGCGCCATTCTGAGATGCGCAACGGCTCGGCTCCCACGGTTCGATCAAGAAGGCGCTGGCGGCAGAACTGGCGGATGCGGATGTAGTTATGGTAGTAGCGATTGGATTTGCCGCCACCTCCTTCAAACAAGAAGGGCGGCGGCCAGTAATACGTGGCGGGTGATGGCGGCGAAGGCAAGGTCCCGGCCGCGACCAGAACGACTTCCCAGGCGCCAGGCACAACACTTGTGTGCGGCGACTGGTACCGTAGCGACGGGTGTGGCGGGGGTAACTCCGGTGCGGCGCGTTTACCCCGGCGCGTGCGGCGTGACGAGCTGCCCGATTGTTCGGTACGCCCTCGATCGAGATGCACATCGGGGGATGTCTTGACCTTCTTGGCTGGCCGAGCGTCCGAGGCCCCGTCGGCCGCGATTGGTTGCTGGTTGGGCAACGGGGAGATCTTGATATCCAGTAGTGTCTTGAGGACCTCCCGCTGCATCGCGAATGGCCAGTCTCCAGGGTGCTGCACGACGCCTGCGAGATCACCACCGTCGCTATGCAAGCGAGGCTGGGACAACTCGTCGCTCATGCGCGAGGAGATTGGGGTCGAGTACGTGTGGACCTCGACGACGCGCAACGATCGAGTCAGCGTCTGGATAAACCAAACGGGAATGCCGAGCCGAAACAAAACCTGCGTCGTCCCAGCGTCGTTGGTGAACGCGCCCCGAATAGGCAGAGCCTTCTTCGCGACGAAGGCCGGATCGAGAGCACGCGGTTGCACAATCTCGTACAGCACGATGAGGCCGCATAGTTCTAGCAGGAGCCGCTTGACGTGCGCAGCGAGGGCGATGGCATGGGCCCGGATCATGGGTAGGATTGAGAGTTGGTCGAGGGCTTGATCGACAGTCGCGATCAGATGTTTTCCGAACTTCTGGCGGTCCTCCCGTTGAGCAAGCGTGGACATGTGATACGTGACGCCGATGTGGGCAGCTACGCCTTTGAGAAGCGTTATCGAGCCCTTGTCAATGTAACCGAGGTCGGGAACCCCACACTCTTTGCAGACCTGCCATTCATTCCAAGCTACGTGGTCGTACAGATCGTCAGCTTGGAACTTCAGGCCGTCTATTAGTGCTCCCTGCACAGGGATGCACGCGTGATGTAAGACTCGTTTATGATACAGCTGGGGCCACAACGAGTATTCCTGCGGACCCCACCGGCCGTCGACTCGCGTGCAGATCTCGCCTGGAGACGCGACGGGGAATTCGGGCAGCCACGTCGCATTAGGGGTCGTAACCACAGCCTTGTCGTTCATCTTCCATTCGGTCGCCAATCGACCGTCGCACCACCTTATTCTGGAATCGGTCGCTATTCAGGGCATGAGTGCTGCGGTTCCGTTAGGGTGGTCAGACGACGCACCAAATAGTTCTGGCGTTTCCCTCAATACCAGCTCCGGTGCATCCCCGTCCAGCCCGTCACCATCTCTCCCATCACGCCTCGTTTCATCTAAGTTTGCCCGCGGGGCCGCCGGCGCGACAGCAAGATGGGTCCCATATTGCGCGCTGCCAAATGAGTTGCCACGTCAATGCTTGGACGCAGACGACGCGTTCTTGGACGTACCGGCCTCGGCCAGAATCATCGCGGGTCAATCCTCGCCGCTTCGTGGACCTGTTTCAGGTTATCTTACAGCTCGCACTCGTCTCACGAAGTGATCTGAAACTCACATCTGCGAGCCGGGTGGTTCGTGCGCGCGGTGGTACATCGTTGGTGCGCAGCCGACCGTACGCGGACTTGTCTTGACGACGCCGTAGAGAACCCAGCGACCAGATGGTAACCCTTCTGGTGCACTTAGGTGTGGTGAAGAGGGGCGAACTTGGGTACAATCCCTGAGTTCGCACCACTCGAGGAGGGGTGTAGGGGCTTGAGGACGTTGGAATTGGCGAGGAAGGGTCCCGGGGCGTTGAGGAGCTTGAGTGCGGCGGGGAAGGGTCCCGGGGCGTCGAGAACGTTGAGGGCGGTTGAGGGACTGGGGCAAAGAAAAGGATTAAGCAGGATTAAGGATGAACGAGAACTGGATTAAGCTGGATTAAGGGACCAGTGCGAGGATGAACCAAGTTCAACACGCGTGACTTCTGCCACAATGGGTAATGCCACGTGCCTGCTGGGGCGCCAGCGTATCACACTCATACTAATCCGACTCTAATCCAACTCTCCAACTCTAATCCGACTTAATCCAACCTCTCAGTGCCTCATCTCTCGTCGACGGCAAGACACGGTTGAGCGAGATGGCTTTGTGGCCTACCTTGAACCCGTTTAAGCACGACACGTTCCCGCAGGGTCTCCCGCGGTCGAGGTGTCGCTGATCGTCAATGCCCACCGGCCACCGAAGCCACCAGCAAGTCGAAATCTCCAAGTGCAAGTCGTCACTCGATATCGTTCTGATGACTTTGCATGCCCGGCTGTGCGCATGCACACATCATCGGGAACATGCCGCCAGTCCAGTCCGTCGTCAAAGGAGGCATTGCCCTCAACTCGTAGCGGGCGCTAAGGCATGAGACCTCTGTGTGTGTATTTGGAGGACTACGGCTGACTGAAGCTTTCCACCGTCGTCAGCAGTCCCGTCATCAGTGCGACATCTCGACGTACACCACCGTCGCCCAACAAGTTCTCATGTATGTACTTCGGCTGAGGATCCAGGCTCCCTGTCGCTCACCCTGTACACAGTTTCCCTCGAACCGCTCCACGTCCGAGACTTCAAAGCCAAATCGGCTCATACTTAATACTGTGAGCATCGACTCTCTCGCTGCCGGTAGAGCCTGACACTTTGACGTAGGCGCCGTCTGTTGGGCGCGATTGAGAAGCGGGTGGTGGGCTGTTTTGAGCCTCGGCGGGGTCACCTGGCCATCATCATGAAGACAGATTGGGGAGCGGGCGGGAATGCGGACTGATAAGACCCGAGTAACGCGCCTTTACGCGGCCCGATGCGAAATCTACGTTGTTAGACACTCTTACACGGGGGAAGCGCGTCTTGGAGATACGATCGGGCGGGTATGCGGGTCGTGGGCGCAATTTGTGTAGTCCGTAGTGCATCACACCTGTACTGTATCACAACTTTACGGCGTCGCGTCGCGCCTCCCTTGCCTCTCGCTCTTTGCTACTGTCTGGGCCACGTCAACCCTCTGCTCCTCAACCAGTATGTCACGATCGCACCGTTGGGCCACTATCCACGTCACCGACATGGCACCTCCCATTGTCGCTGTCTCCGAATCTATCCATGTGTCCCTGGATGGCCGCATCCATCACTCTCAAATCACTGCGCACCGCGATTCGCCGACCCCTGCGAGAAAGCGCGCGCGTCCCTCCCATTCCCCGAATTCAGCACGCGCGAGCACCTCGTATCAGGAGGCGGAATTGACGACTGATGACGCGCCGCAGCCGTCTAGCGGGGACGCGTCGGGGGCTCCTAGTGGGGGGTCTAAGCAGGGACGGACGGTGAAGGTACGCGCTCCTGATGTATGCATGTTCTATTCACCATACCCACGTCTATGATCCCAGAACGGAGTGTCAAAGGTACTGGAAGAATGGAAGCCCAAGTTCCCCAGCATCCTAGAAGACATCCTTGCCGCCGAGGTGCCCGCTAACATCGGTGGGCCCTGTATATGTGGCAACGCGCTAGCTACGGTACGATGCCGGGACTGCCTGCAAGGCGCCCTCCAATGCCGCCAATGCCTCGTCGACAGCCACCGTCTATCACCTCTCCACTGGATCGACGTCTGGAATGGACGCTGCCTAGAGAGGCAGGACATGTCTGAAGCCGGTCTCGTACTCTACCTGGGACATAACGGGCATCGGTGCCCATCTCTCCGAGGAACAAAACACCCCATCGTATACACCGTCACACACAGTAACGGAATTCACCGTGTACCCGTCCATGAGTGCTGTTGTCCCGACGCGCGCGGCACTGTCTCGCAACTTCTTCGGGCCGGATTGTTTCCCGCCACCTTGGAACGACCCGAGAGCGCGTTCACCTTCGACGTCCTGCGACAATGGGATATGCACTTCCTTACGTCGAAAAAGGGCACATACGACTACTACGATGCCTTGCGGCGGCTGACAGACAACTCGGGCACTCGAATCGTCAAGGTATGATACGTAGTTATGTCCTATAATCTTTTGACTCACGAATCATCAGAATCGCTATCGTGAACTCAACCTCGCAGGTCGTCTTTGGCAACATTTAACTGCACTGAAACGGTCGGGGATGCACCACGACCTGATCCTTCCCAACCGACCCGCATCCATCGCCGTTCCGTGTTTTGCTTGCCCATGGCCAGGTTTCAACATGCCTCCCAATTGGCAACAGACACCGCCCGACCTTGCGTGAGCGCGGGCCAATACTGTTTCCAAGGTCGCCACTGATACCAATTCCCACAGTTATATACACGGATGCGAGCTCGGCGGAGATGGAAACCACGGACTGCAGAAGAAACGGAAACGGGACGATCCAGCAGATGTCAGCCTGGGCGAAGGACGGGGTTTCTTTGTTGACCCGATGAAGATGCAAACGTACCTGGCCGAAATCGACGCCGAGGCAGCTGTGAGTACTCCACATGTTGCCCGCCATGTGGGTCCTCGCTCACGTAGTACCAGCCGGAGACTTGCAGTGGGTTCAAAGTAGGCCGAGCTCAGCGACCTGGAAAGTTCCGCAATCTAGAGGTTAGCGGGGTAGTCGCAGTCATATGCATTCGTCACGGGTGCTTCAGACCGGGTGCCATGGTTGATCTTCAGAAGGGCGAGAGGTATGTCAACGCGTGCCAGAGTATTCAATTTGCTAACATCACGTCAGATATGGTCATATGGACTTCGCTTTGGCGGGCGCCCTCGCAGGGATGGAAGAGGTCCTGCATTTCATCTTCACCTACGACGTCGCGTGCATCTATGGCATCAACCTTCGTAACCGCTTCGGGAAGCGCTTCCCACATCTCCTTCCGCTGCTCGACCGAATGCAGCTGCTTCTTCCGAAGCTCCACATGCTCGCCCACAAGGAGCGCTGCCAGATATTGTACGCGCTTTGCTACTCTTGGGGGGCTGGGCTCTCGCACGGGGAGAGCGTGGAGCACCCGTGGGCGGAACACAACCAAGTCGGCCTCAGCACCCGCGAGATGAGTCTTGGTCATCGTCATGACGCCCTGAACGCCATCCACAACTTCTGGAATTGGTGCAAAATGGAGTCCGCGGGTACGTCATCCTCACATCAACCCATATATGACTAACAGTGATAATGAAGGTTCTTACCTCTCACGAAAACTCAATGAGGCATTCAAGTTGCAACAGAGCAAGACCACCCTCTTCACTGCGCTAAGCGACGTAGCGGGTGACACAGTGGACGAGTGGAAGAAGATGAAGGTTGATTCCCCAGCATCTTTGACCGCGGCGGCGCCCGAAGAGACGTCCGTTCGGAAACGCAAGGGAAAGGGCAAGGGGAAAGGAAAGAAACGAGGGAAGAAGGTGAAGGACCCAGTCGAAAGCGTTTACATGCTCGACGAAAGCATAGGTACGCGTGGCGACGGCTTCCTCGGTACGATCATTCAGCGAGCTCACCGACAATTAGTCCCTAGCGCAGGGAAAGTATACGAAGAACTCGTGAAGCAAGAAATCACACCCGAAGACAAGTACACGGCCGCGGCGGCGCAGGGTGTCCCGCAGGGGACGACCAATTACTTCAAGAAGGGGCTGGATCTAGAGCAGCGCCAGTGAGTGTTGACCTCATCCTTTCGTATAGCCATACTCCAACAACGTTGCAGGTTCGAACTCCGTGCCAAGATCAAAAAGAGCCGCTCCGCTGCGGCCGCGGACCCTCTCGAGGAGGAGGATGCACTGCTCACGGGGGTGTCCGGGACGCGACAGAGCCTTCGGCGTGAGCTCGATAAGTGGCGCGATCTGCAGGCTTCGCTTATGCCCCACCTCGACTTCCCTGACGCCGAAGGCGACGAACAGGCCGATGCAGACGACGACGAGGAAGGCTCTGGCACACCTGAGGAGGAGCCCCTTGCACTCCCGTCCGACTTTTCTGAGACAGAACGTGAAGATCTCGGGCTGCAGGCTCTCGCGATCTTCGAACGGAGCATCCGTGTAGGTCATGCATACGACCTACTGGATGCTATCAAGCAATCATTGAACCATCAAGGCGCTTTCCTCGTCGACAAGCGAAAGCATGCACGAGGCCAGAAAGACAACACTCGGTCGCAAACCCAAGTGAACGCTGCAGTTGGGCGGACACGAGCGATGGCTGGGCTGTACAATTACAACCGCGATCGCCTCGTCGCTTTGAAGTCGGACGAATCAGACATCATGTCGGCGATCGACCTAGACAAGGACCTCAAAGGCAAGAATTGGCGAAGCCCACGACAACTGGGCGACAGTCATGCCGAGCCGAGCTGGATATGGACAGCCGTTCCGCCGTGGAGGACTGAAGCGGAAGCCGAGGCCTGGCAACTGGAAGGTATGTGATATCAAATTGAAAACGCCGTGCCCTAACTGACGATGGAGTAGTGGATCGCGTGCAGTGGTTTCGGGCGAGAGCAGAGATGGAACGAGCCAATGAAGAGGTGAACAAGCTACATGCTGAGTTCAAGCGGACGATCCTTGGCTTCAAGAACATGTCGAACGCATGGGAGTCCGTCTCTACGAAGGCGACGTTGTCGGAGGGTGCGCGAGTGTATGCGAGGAAGAAGGCTGACATGTTCAGCAAGCTTAGTCTCCAATGTGCTAGCACGTTCGCGAGCACGCGGAAAGACCACGAAGAGAAATGGGACTATGCGATTGTAAGTGACCTCCGATGGTTCGGACTACCTGCTGACTGACCCTCCTTGCCTGGGCAGCGCACTACCGCTACGTCATCGCCAGAGGATCTGGCTAAGGCTGGTGCTCAAGGCAAGACGAAGACGTGATCTCCCGCGCGATCCATTGACAATGCAGCTAGCGACCCCGCTTACCAGGCGCGGTATCAACTGGTCTCAATACTCCCTCGCGTACCTCATCTCCTCTGGACAGCCAATCCGCTAGCGTCGTCGCCGCCTCTGGCACAAACATCGGCGTACACCCTCAATAGAAGACGGCTACCATGGGCTCTGGCTGAGGATGACGCACCAGCGGTGTCTAAGCCACCGTGCGAGGTCCAGAAAGCGTCGATGCCGCTAACAACCTGCCCCAGTATCAACTGCTCTCAATACTCCCTCGCGTACCTCATCTCCTTCGAACCTATCATCAGACAAATACATAGATACACTTCGTATAGGCGACCCCACCGACCCCCGCCATACCCTCCCTCCCCGAGCTGTCCCGAAGTCGTCAAGCTGTACTCTCTCCCCGCACTCATCAGCCACAACAATGAAGGTATCACCCTCCACATGAGTAGATTCCGAGCCAGCGTGACGCGCAGATCTATCCAACAATACTCGCGAGAAGGATCTGTAGTCGCGAGAAAGCCAATGGGTTCAGCAGTGAGTGATGCACTCTCCTTTCTCCAGAAGTGAACACCAACTAACTCGTCGTCGCCTAAGCATCTCACCTCGACATGAACTCCTCTCGGCCGTATGTCGTCCTCTACAGCCCGACTCGGCGAGACTTTGCAATCCAAGCCGGCGGACGCAAAGTGTCGAAGAAGACGCGACCTTGTCTGGTCACGGCCCTAGAGGGTGATGAAATGTGGCTCGCACCGTTGTTAACAGCTCGGGAGCACACCAAGGTGATTCGGCTGATTCAACAATGCCGCGTTGTAACTGACACATTATTGATACAGATGAATCCGTTTGCATGGAGCATTGTCGACTACGGCCGTCACGGTCCTCATCCGCCCAGCAGCCCGGACGTCAATGCTGCGACGTTCGTGATTCCGTTGAGACGTGGGCGCACGCGGCGATGGAAACCGACGTCGTGCTTTGTGTGGACTCGCGACGCAGGCCAGTTGGTCAGCGTCAGCGAGTTCCGAGTGCTGCAGGCCCGGGGAAGGGCGGCCGTCCTGGACACCGACTTTGCTCTCGATGCTGTGCAGATGGAACGTCTGCGCATAATGCATCACGATGTTGGTAGGTCGCAAGTCCTTTACGCGAGATACAATGCTCATATGTATCAGCCCAGGGATAGCAGAATTGGCGAAAGCAGGGTGGGAGTGACATTGAATAACCGACTAGCTACCTATACTGTACGCCTACGGCTGCTCACCCGCTCCCTGACGAACTTGCTGCCACGTTAGCACGTCGCCTCGCAGTCGAATGCGTCCGCGCGATCTGGGCGACTGCGCACAATCATCACTTCCTGTGCCCACTACTATACATGTACACCGTCTCTCGCATGCACAACCTCACTCTCCCCGCCCACGCGTCCGATCGCGACGGATCGGCGAAGTCCCTTTCTAAATCCGCGGTGCAGACCCAGCGCTCGCGCCTTTCACTCCGCACTCTCGACCGTCATCCCGCCGGCAACTGCCCCCGGTCGACCTCTTTCGACCACTATCCCGCCGGCCACCGCCCCCGCTCGACCTCCTTTGACCACCAACCCGACCTCCTTCAAGCCTTGGGTGCCTCGCGTCGTGCAACACACGCGAGCGTGAATTCGAGGAGCCCATGCGCACAATGAGCATGCAACGCGAGCTGTCAGCGAGCACGGGGAGGAACAGACCGGGCGGGAACAGACAGGACGGGAGCGACGCGGGATGCATGGACCAGGCGAGGGAGAGCGAGCAGTAGAAAGGCGAGAGTACGCCCTTGGTGAGCACGGCTGTTACCCGCCTCCTCCCCTATCCGTCCAGTCCACCCAGACCGGCTTTTTCCCCCTCCGTCCCCCTCCCCGCGTCGTCCCTCGCCCTCGCGTTCACCATCTGCCTGTCGTTGACGTGGCGAGACGGGCGGACGTGTTCGCCGGTCCGCAAGATCTACCGCCCTCGCGTCCCGTTCCCCCGCCACGCGTTTCGTTCCCCCGCCTCATCCACACTCGCCCTCGCGTTCACCGTCTGCCTGTCGCGGGAGACGTGTGGCGAGACGAGTCGGACGTGTTCGCCGGTCCGCACCCTCTACCGCCCTCGCGTACCGTGCCTTCGTCGCGCCCTCCCTCGCCCTAGCGTTCACCGTCTGCCTGTCGCGGCGGACGCGTAGCTGACGTGGCGAGACGGGTCGGACGTGTTCGCTGGTACGCAGGCACTACCACCCTCGCGTTCCGTCCCCCGCGTCGTGCACCCTCCTTCTCGCGTTCACCACGGACCTGTCGCGGCGGACGCGTCGTTGACGTGGGTCGGACGTGTTGGCTGGCAGGGTACGCTCTACCGCCGTCGCGGTCACTGTCGCATTGTCGGGTTTGACCTGTCGTGCTGACGTGTGCCTGACGCTTGCGCGGGGTCGTTTGGGACCCTCGGGCGACCTGTACATGACTCGGATTACGCGACCTGTACATGATCCGGATTACTGATGTAGATTAAGTGTGATTAATTGACGACTTCATTCCGATTTAAGTACACTATCAGGCTGGATGAAGTGTATAGATGAGTTATTCACACCATGCAGCCCTTTTCACCCGAAGCCTATCCTGTAGCCGACGTGCCGTCTCGCGGAATGTCATGGGAGTAGCCTACGCCGGCCGACGCGTCGGCTTGTACGATGAGGATGGTGCAGCCGACGTAGACATAATGTACTTACCTGGGTGCAATGTAATCGGGATTCGTGATCCCAATTGATAGTGTGAATCGACCAGCCGGGCTTGTTTGTGAGTTCGAAGCGTCGGCTGGCTCAATCAAGGCGTCGGCTCACTGGGAATGCATCCGCCTTGCTCGTGTGCCACCGTCCTGCCCTCGCGTCGTCTTGTTTGCCCGCCGTCCTGTTCGTCTAACGTTCTGTTGGCATACCGTCTTGGCGACCCAATTTCCTTCTCGGGTGCTGTCTTACTCGCGCGCTGTCCTGCTCGTGCACACCGTCTTGCCTGCGCGCCGTCTTGACTCGGCGCACCATCCTGCTCACACCGTGCTGCTCGCATACCCGGGCTGTCTTAGCTGCGCGCTGTACTCGTTACACACCGTACTGTTCGCGCGAACCGTCCTACTCGTGACCACCACCGCCGCCCGAGCCCGGGTCTACCTTCAGGCGTCCGAACTCTGGACGCTTCAACTTTGAACTCGCTGTGGCGGGTACAGAGGACGTGCAGGTATGTGCAGGTCGTTGTCGTCATGGAAGCAAATTGCTCACCGTGAGTCCATAGGTGGCGAGTCTCTGGACGAGTAACTCGTCGCTGCGGGTGAGTGGGAGGGTGAGTGAGCGAGCGAACGAGAGGGCAGGCGTGTGAGTGAAAGGTCGGGCCAGCGAGCGAGAGGTCGGGTGAGCGAGTGAGAGGACGGGCCAGCGAGCGAGAGGACGGGAAAGCAGCCGAGAAGGTAAGTGGAAGAGCAGGCGGGCGCACGGGCAAGCGAGCGAGTGAAAGGGCCGGCAAGTGCGTCTGAGGATGGCACGCAGGTGAGAGGGTGGAAGGGCGAGCGAGCGAGAGGGTGGGCAGAAAAGAGGGTGAGCATTTGAGTTGCTTTCTCGTGTCCCGTCTTGCTCATGTATCGCCGTCTTGCTCGCGAGCGCCGTCTTGCACATCTATCGTCTTGCTTACGCGCCGTCCTGGTTGCCCGCCGTCTTGCTTGCGCACTACCTTGGTAGTGCACCGTCCCGGTTGCATGCTGTCTCGCTTGTGAGTTGCATGTCGTCTTGCTCGCACACACTATCCGCTCAACGCTTTGGCACGATCATCGCCACACGACGATTGCTTGGCTCACTTCACAGGGACTTACCAGATCAGCACTCCGGCGACATACGTGTCGGCATGGGTTACCTTGCCGCCGTCGCCGTCCGAGTCAGGGCTCCCACTGCTCAGCAACAGCCTTCCATCACCACCCGCCTCGAATCACGACACCACGACGCCGAACGCCTTCTCCGCGATCACCCGTGACTGCTCTGCACCCTTCTCCAATCCGGGCGGGCTGAGCTCCTCCAACTTGCACTCGAGCGGTGTCTCGCGCGTCTCGAAGAAGTACTCCGCACTCTGCAAGCTCAGCGCCGTCGCGATGGCATGCAGCATCAGCAGCATGAAATTCTGGTGCAGCTTGGTGGCGAACACCTGCACGAAGCCGGCCTGGAGCGCACGCGTGTCAGTGGAGAGGAGCACGAGCATGACGGGGTAAGTCTCGTCGAGGTGCCGCACGATCCTGGTGCGCCCCCGTCTTGCCTGCTTTGGACCGTCTTGCCCCACTGATCATCGTCTTGCTCGCCAACCGTCTTGCCTGCCAGTGGTAGAGTCGGCACGTACCTCGAGACGGACGCCTGACCCGCAAGCCGGTGCTGCAATACTTAGTACAGACACGCCGTGGGCTTTGTAGTCTGCGCGGAAGACCGACATCGGCGTAGATACTAAGCGAGATTTGGAATGGGTTCGACATGAGGATCACCGCCAAACAGCTGGTATGACCGTCATGATGCGTGTGACCAGGCTGGTTGAGTTCGTGATGACTGCGTGTAGTGAGTCGTGACCGTGCAATGAAATGTCATGGTAGCCATTGGGCTGTACTGGACTCTCGTCTCCTGTCTTCCATGGGCAGACCCCAGTGCTACAAGGATACTACAAATGGAAGTACTACTGACCGTCTTGCCTGCTGACCGTCTTGCTCACTGACTGTCTTGCACACTTACTGTCCCGCTCGTGTGCCATCTCGCTGCCTACTGTCTCACCTGACAGGTGTCCCGACCCATGCACTGTCTTGCACACCTGCCATTTCACTGTCTCACATGAAATTACTTAAACTAGACTTGTTTCCTGGAATAGTTGTGGGCAGTTTTGGACGAGACAGAGCATGAGTGAGGCTACTACCTCACAGGTGTCATATGTTGCAATGAGGTATGCTCAATATACCAGCCTTGCTTGCATACTAGGATGGGTATTGAGATCATTGTCTGTCACTGTATGGATATGATGGTTCACTCCGAGCAATGAACTCATCGTCATTTGATCCAATATGCATGTACATTTTTCGTAATTGTACTGTACTGGTAGTGATTCCACTAGTGAATATACACTTCAGAATACTGTGATCATATGTCCAGTACAACCTCTATTAGTATTCAATGACATAGAAGTACAATGATGTGGACAACCAGATGATATGTACATGAAGTTGGTGTGAGTAGTAGGAGCACGGTCACTAAATACGCAAACACTCTCCAGTGATTTGCCCTCGGGCATTGCCTCGGCCATATCCCCGAGCCACCGGGATGATGTTCTTTTCATTATAACTTCACCCCCGTGCCACCATATGCTATGAAACTTTGTACCAAGCATATCTATATATAGTACATGGCCTATATAAATTTGTGTGAGAATTGAACCGTGGGATGTGTTTGTCTAAGACGTGCTCTGCATGTATAACCTTCTTGGCTATCTCAAGCTTCAACATTGCCAGATTGCGTTGGAGTATTGTTAGCAGCAACATATACCATGGACACAGCATGAATAAAACTTCTGTATGCACTCAATTGTGACAATTGTCTTGCAGAAGCTGCGAACTAATCTATATGCCTCCCAGTATCTCCAAACAACATATCATTTTTGAGATCTGTCCTGAGATCCTAATTCTGTAAAAGCCAAGATTACACAATGCCAAAGTACTCTTTACATATAGGACAATGAGTTCAGTGGTCTATGTAAGTGGTTGGCCTAACAAGGCCTAATGTACATGTAGCTCTGTAAACACATATAGAACATATAGGACATGTTTGAACTCAGAGTAGTACTACATCCATGCCATTGAATCTGAAAGCAATGAATGTAAAAGAAAGAGCATACATCAATACACGTACTCACTGAGACCATAAGCTCTGAACAACATGCAAATGTTCCACCTTGAACACACCGCCTTGAACCGCCTTGAACACACCGCCTTGAACACACTGCCTTGAACATTTCATCTTGAATACTCCGTCTTGAGCACTCCGTCTTGAGCACTCCGTCTTGAGCACTCCGTCTTGAGCACTCCGCCTTGACAAGTGTGTCTTAAGGAGGCAACATCCATTCCGCCTTGAGAATGCTCCGTCTTGAGAACACAATATTCTTCGCCTTGACAAGAGCTCAGACTAGTATACACTCTGCTATGAACTAGCCCGTCTTGGCATCCCCTCACACTGTCTGTCTTGAGACCTTCCATCTCAGGCTCATCATTTCCTCGTTGACATCTCCTTGCTCCTTGGCACATCTGTATTGACAAGCATGAGCTAACCATTAGTTACCTTAGCAAGCCAACTTACAATGGCTAATAGGCAATGCCAATCAACATGCACAAAATGGTCGGCTGGGTCAAGACGGCCATCGGCCAGGGTAGGTGGTCCAGCCGATGGTTGGTTAGTGGATTGGCTTGGGTGAGTCAAGAAGGTCCAAGAAGGTCGGCTGAGTCAAGACGGACATCGGCTGGGAAAGGTACCTCAGCCAATGCTCGGCTCATGCATTGTATTGGGTGAGACAACATGGTCGGCTGGGTCAAGACGAGAATCGGTTGGAAACAGTGGCCCAGCCAATGGTTGGTTAATGGGTGGGCTTGGGTGAGTCAAGAAGGTTCTAAGAAGGTCGGCTGGGTCAAGACGAGAATTGGTTGGGAACAGTGGCCCAGCCAATGGTCGGGCAGTGGATTGTCTTGGGTGAGTCAAAATGGTCGGCTGGGTCAAGACGAGAATCGGTTGGGAACAGTAGCCCAGCCGATGGTTGGTCAGTGGATTGGCTTGGGTAAGTCAAGAAGGTTCTAAGAAGGTCGGCTGAGTCAAGACGGACATTGGCTGGGAAAATCCCCTCAGCCGACGCTCAGCTCATGCAATGTATTGGGTGAGTCAAAATGGTCGGCTGGGTCAAGACGTGAATCGGTTGGGAACAGTAGCCCAGCTGATGGTCGGTCAGTGGATTGGCTTGGGTAAGTCAAGAAGGTTCTAAGAAGGTCGGCTGGGTCAAGGCGAGAATCAGTTGGGAACAGTGGCCCAGCCGATGGTCGGGCAGTGGAATGTCTTGGGTGAGCCAAGAAGGTCACAATTGCACTAACATTGGTGTTATTATGCCATTCAATTTTATTGTAGTACCAGTCAGTATGAACTATGATATCTACTAAACACCGCCTTGCAAGGCCGTCTTGCCCGTCTTGACTGCCTCTGCCTTGGCCTCGGCCGACCCCATCCTCTTCGGTGAGACAATTTTGGTCGGCCGACGTCGGCCCACCCCATCATGTTTCGTGAGACGACATGTCGGCTGTCCAATACCCTTCGGTGAGACGGCTGAATGGGCTCAGTTATTATGCTGACCTTCGTGGAATGGATTAGCCTTAGCTGATCCACCGAGAAGTATACTAATCCAGATCTCATAAGTGGATTAGCAGTGTATAGATCCAAGTCTTATAACTAGATTAGCATGTACTAATCCTGATCTCAGTACTGGATTAGAGTGTGCTAATCCAGATTTCAGTATTGGATCAGTACGCTTTAATCCTGATGTCAGTATTGGATTAACTATGGATGGATTATGGATCAACGCACTCTAATCCTGATCTCAAATTGGATTAAGTAGCTTAGAATTGGATTAAGTATGGATGTAGTGTGGATCAATAGTGGATCACGGATTAGGAAGTACATTAGTGTACCTAGTTAATCTGACCTAAGGTACTTAGAAGTACCTCTATAAATCCGGTTTAACTGACATCACTGTCGTCCCAGTACTACATATCATCCTCATACGACACCAGCCGTGACCAAGATCATCTATCCAGGCTCGGTGTGACAGCGATGTCAAACCAGCAATTCTTGGGTGGTCTGCGTGTCATGGATAAACGAGGTGGATTTACAGATCGCTCCGACGAGTGGCACGAGACAGTCTGCCGATACCTGAATATCAACATCCCAAGGCCGTACGGACGGTTTAATTGGGACATACTAGACCTTTGTATCCTTCCTTTGGCAGACGGGACTTGGGGACGTGCCGCATCGGCATCCGAATGCTGCTTCCCCACTGAACTCGACCTCTCACATCTTGTCGGTCTCAAATTCATCAGTCCCAAGGTCAGGCCAGGTACATTGAGGTATGCGTTCCTCGAGGCACTGGGAGTCCGCCCAGCAAACGCGGTTGTCGTGGCCAATCACATACTCCAGTCGAACAAGATGTACGCTTTATCGGACATGGTCCGATTCGCACACTTCTTCTATAGCCACCAAGACGATCGTGGCTTTCCCAGTCCGTCAGGTCTCGCTGTCATGGATGCAAACGAGAACAAGACCACGGGCAATGAGCTATACCTTGATGCGACGATGGCGGATGGAGGTAGTCTGCGCTCAATCCTCCCCAACGCCCGGTTTATTCACGCTGCTTATGCTCCGCCGTCGGTATACCAGGCATCAAGCTGGCGGAAATGGCTCCGGGAACACCTCGGTGTTCATATTCGCCCGCGTGTCATATATGGCAAGCTGTCACCGGAGTTTCGGATGATGACACAGACGCTTTCCGAGTTGGAGACCCCTCGCAGGCTCCTTGGTGTGTTGCAGGAGTACTGGCCTTTTATCTCGCAGGAGCTTTCTCGAGATGGCTTGGGCGAGCTGTCCGCAACGGCTGTGACCTGTGTGGATGGCGTGCGGCGCAAGCTGGCTGAGACAGCCCTCCACAGGCGCGCTCTCCGAATGGCACAGATCCCCCCTCAGAGTCTTCACTTCATCGACGTTTCGAACCCAGATGATCCCAGATGGGACTTCCTGCAGACACTCGGTGTCATGGTGGAACCTAACGCTATTGCCTGGTTGGAAGTCCTCAAGCGATTGCAGGCGACAGAACTGCTACCGGCAGCAATGATTAGCGCAGTCGAGGAAGCATACAAGCAGCTCAATGCCAGGTTTAACGAGGCCTCCGATGAGATACGGTGAGCGCGGAGTCCGTGTCTGTGCCCAGTGTACTGATGAGCGATGTATAGTCAAACCTTCCGCGATCACCCTCTTCTCCTTCTCATATCGGGTGACAGAGACAACATGTCTGTGACTTGGACGGGCATGAGCAGCGCGTATTGGGAGGGGCCATCCTACCTCAGTGACGTCCTGATCAAACACTCGTATCCATATTTGCGAGATTTCTTCGTCGACAAGCTGGGACTGCCCACCGGCGCCCCTCCGCGTGCCGTCATTGACCGACTCTTGCAGATCACGCAAACCTACGTGGACATGGAGCTGCAGAAGAGTGTCCATGACGTCGTCGAGCGCATCCTCTTGGACGTAGCGGAGTGGTGTGCCAAGCCACCACGCAATATGCAGGTTACCTCCGAGCTGAAGAGACTTCAAAACAAAGCCATATTCCCTGTTCTCACGACGGAAGGCACGATCATGCTTCGAAGCGTGGATCGGTTCTATGTCCGTCGAAGCAGCCTCGCACAACTGGAGAAACTGGAAGGTCGGATACCTCTGTTGGTCACTACACCTCGCCTACGCATCCCCGATATCGAACCGCTACTGGACAGCGAGATATGGTCAACTCCGGTCAAGTATTTGGAGCCGCCGGTCATTGAGATCCAGCACAAACCCGAGGGCGATCTGGAACTAAGCATGGCTCTCAGAGAGCGATACACCGAGCCATTCCGGTTGCAATGCATTCGAAGGTAGGTTCTGAGATGTATTCGTATCTTGACACAGAGTTGACGCAAGTACTGCAGCACCATATGCCATACACTGGGCTCTCGAGCTCGCCAACGAGATTCCAAGGAACTGATCTTCGCGGGCAAGCTGTCTTCCATGACGATAGGTACTGTCGGCGCAATTGTTGAAACTATATCATTACCCGCCGAAGACGTCTCGCATGTGACTCAATTGGCGTCGCATCTGGAAGAAACAGACGAAGGTCTCAGGATCCTCGTAGCAAGGACAACTATCGAAGACGCAGACGAGAAAATCATTGGCCAGCTCAGTCAACGCCTCGGTATTGATCTATGCAGGATGTTCATGTACATGAAGTCCCCTCGCAAGGACGTCCTCCGCATCCTGAAGCTCGAGGGGATCGACATCACCTCTGCGGACTATGTCGAGGACAATGACTCGTTTCCCTGGGACCAATATCAAGAATGGCAATCGACTCCGAGCAGCGCTCCAAGCGCAAGCATTGCTCGCAGTCGGGCATCTGACTTGTCGCGGGGTGGTACGCGCCTGGAGAACTCTTTCACCAGTCAACTTACGGTGTCCGAGCGACGCTCTCGTTCCGATGCAACAGAAACGCAAGAGCGCCAATCTTTGGCCGGCCAGGTACACGACGCAATGCGCAATCTCGAGGAATGCCTCGGCTCCATCTCACTTGACACAGGCGCTGTGTATGCGACCGACTCACTGGAGAACTCCCCGTTGGAGATCGACCTCTCCTCCCTGGTCACTTCGCTTTCGAAGCCCAGGTCAAGCGCGCTGGTGACAGCTGCCGCGGGGAGCACGCAGACTCGCAGAGACACATCAGGACTGTCGGCGATAACTTCGACACCGAGTGATTGGGCCTTAGAGACAGCCTCGGCAGATGCACCAGATGGTACACTCAGCGGCTCTCGGGCTCTCAACACGGGGACGACGTCGACAATCGCTAGCATTTTTACTTCTCTCGCTACATCAGTGGCAGCCATCGACGATGTGAGCGATTATCAGATAGTCAACGGAATCCTAGGCGAGCGTTATGTGAGCCATCCTTACATCGAAACTCACATACCGAATGCTCTAACGTCCGATGGCTGGTAGGCTTACGCGGTCTTGAGCAAGCTGTTAGGGCCAAGCTTTGGGCCAGACAACTGGACAAGTGAGCTGCGTGGTCAGGTACCGGGCTTCACGTACTATGAAGGCAACCCCCTTGCCGACTTCCGCTGTCCAGACGACAACGGCGTCCTGACCGGGCGTTGGTACGGAGAAGAAGTGAAGAAGCGCTGGGAGCCCGAATGGCCGACGTACCACGTCGAAGTCAAGTCGACGTCCAGGTCCCGCGAGGAGCCATTTCACATGAAGCGTGCGCAGCTCCGCACGGTGAGTCTCTCGTCAAATGATTTCGAGCTCGGGTACTTACATGCACTATATTTACAGGCTTTACAATTGACGGCCCAGTCAGAGAGCTTGGAGTCGCCTCCAAAGCATGTCTATATCCTTATGCGTGTGTCAGGCATACGCAGCGGCAGGCCTACGCACATGGTCTTCATAGATCCGCACCGTTGGATCTACAAAGGAGCATTGGTCATCGAGAGCGACATCGAGGTCTCTGTGGATGTGAACGCGCTGCCTACCACTTAGAGTGACATTGCACTCCGTGTATCCGGCTTGGGCGACAGACGTGAGCATATGATGGTACTGTGTCGGGATTTCTTCCATAACACAAATGATGCGATTGTACTTGTACTTGTATACACTGAATATATCAGGATCGAAAACACTATATACGTAACCTTGCGTGTCATTCTGCCTTGATCTTCCGAGATTCAATTAGAGGCACGTATTTAGAGCTACAGCTCGGGCTAGATGATGTAGGCGCGAAGTCAATCGACCCAGTGAGACCACGTCGATCGCAGACCCAGGGTACAAGAACCCGGAGGGCACACTGCACGAGGTTGTCTCTCCAGCCTGAAGGACGCCCTGCATTGTTCCGCATCGTCAGCAATCAGACCACTTATACGCTCCCTTGTTGAGATCGCTCAGCTGCCTCAGTGCAGTTGAGAACGCAGCGAAGATCATGAGCGCGCCCGGGCCGCCTTTGGCTCCAGTTTTTGGTTGAAAGTTCGAATCATACATAGATCATTGTCAGAACACGGTGTCAGTGCATGGAGTCGGAATATGCACGTTACCAATCATCTTTGTTAGCACGGTAAATCGCCCTTTTTAAAGTGCTATGTACCGTACCTCGCTGACTGGTGATGAACGTAGGTGCATCTATTGAACTGAAAGGAAGCAAGGCCATAAGCAAGAGCTATAACCAAGATAAGCGACTACTCGCCGGGTATACATCTTGGGTTCAGTACTGCAGTGTTATAGACTGCGAAGAGTACATAAAATGCTATGGGCCCATACAGCAACGGTCGAGGTATCCTGAGCTCGATCGAACGTCGAAAGTAAGTGCATGCGCAGCACCGATTCCGGTCGGTCATCGATGGGACTTTTCGTGAGCAAAAAGCCAGTCAAGCTGTAACAAATTTCTGTTAAGGTGATAGTCAAGAGCAGCCAGCTATGCGACGTGTATTACATGCAGGTATCGTGCTTGTAGCACCATGACTGACCTGGAAGAGGCCCGACACGCGCGAGAGACGCGCCTGTGGCGCGCGACTCGGAGCTTTAGGAGGCCTCATCTCCTGTTTGTGTCTGGACCGCAAGCATCATGCGCGGCAACATCACTTGTGTGAACTTTAACTCGATTTCAGCGGCAGTGTGTGTGCCAGGACACGCATGTTGTACCACACCGAGTGTTGTCCAGTGCCTTAGCCCCGTCTTCTGCTCCATTGAACCGTCGCGACTATTACTAGCATGGACCTCATCCGAAAGATTAATAGGAATCATGGTTTGGGCGACCGTGACATACAGCGTTCTGGCAACGATCCAGTGGTAGTGTTGAGAGGCAAGTTGGAAAGAGCATGCGAGAGGTACGTCAATTAGGCGAGCTTACAGTCTTCCTGCCGTAACTGACTTTCGAGGTCGCTTGGTACAGGCTATCGCGAGACTTGTACAACACCAAGACCCACTTCCTCCTCGAGTTCATCCAGAATGCTGACGACAATGAGTATGATCCGCACGTCGTTCCCAGCCTGCATTTGCACCTCCGCGGCCGTGAATTGACCATTAGGTGCAACGAGAAGGGCTTCCGGGTGGACAATGTGGAGGCGATCTGCGACATAGGCAGTAGCACCAAGAGGAGAGAGACAAGGTCGGAAGGCTATATCGGCGAGAAGGGAATAGGTATGTATATGTCTACCTTCGCATGCTCGTAAGTTGAGCAGGGCCGGCAGGATTCAAGGCTGTCTTCGTCGTGGCCGAACGAGTCCACGTCGCATCGAGGGAGTTCACCTTCCGATTCGACCGCGATGGGCCGCTAGGTATGATTAATCCAATTTGGGATGCGTCGTATCCTAGCGACCCTGGGTGGACGACCTTTCGCCTGAACATCCTCCACACCATTGACATCAACGACCTACGTGAACAAATCCGGATCATTCATCCATCACTGCTTCTATTCCTGCGGAGGCTACGTGCCATTGACATCGACGTTGCCACGACCAACCAACCAACTGACGGAAACACTAAGATCACCATCTCTAGGATAGACGAACTGGGCAATGTCGTCAGGCTTGAGTGCCACGAAAACGGATGCGTTACATCTAGTGCAAAGTATATCGTGTTCAAGCAGACCACGCGGACTTACACAGGCGAAGAGAAGCGACGGGGCATAGGGGAAAGCGAAGTTGTCCTCGCCTTTCCTGTCACGGCTGACGGAGAGCCTGAGATGGGCAACCAATTCGTGCATGCCTTTCTACCAGTGGCTAAATATGGCCTCAATGTAAGCCTGGGTCGACGACTGTGACCTTCATACCTCTGACGTTTGCGCGTTACAGTTCGTCGTGCAAGCGGATTTCCTGACGCCAGCCAGTCGAGAGGGCATCGTCATCGACTCGAAGTGGAACTTGTCGCTTTTCGACGGCGTTACTGAAACCTTCCTGCACGCAGTCGAGCAGTTTCAGCAGGATCCAGTATTGCGTTACTCTTGGATGCGGTTCATACCTATCCACGCGCAATCAGCATTCTCCGCAGTGGCCGAGGGTATGATAGCGAGGCTGCAGACCCGAGAAGTGTTGCTCTCCGTAGACGGACGTTACCGACGACCGGAGGACGTCGTCACCATCCCCAAGGGCCTCCGCATCAACCGCACCGAGCCGCTCATTCCTCCTCAATATCTCCTTTCGGTTTACTACATCAGCGACTGTATGATGCCTCCCACGACCAACAGTACTTGACGAAGCTCGGCGTCAAGGCGTTGTCTGACCAGCACTTCCTCGATGGTCTCACTGCGATGGATCGCGCGAACGTCATTGGCGCACAGACCGAACAATGGCACAACATCGTCTGCGCTCATTTGAGTGATATGCCGCGGATCAAGGGGAAGTTCAGCCAGCAGATTCTCGATCTACGCCTGCTTCCCCTCAATGACGGCTCCTGGCGGCCAGCGCGAGAGGCCGAACAGTACGTGTTCATGTCCGAGATGGATATGCTGCAGGACATGGAGTTCAAGTGCATCGCAAATGATGTGAAAGAGCATTCCGCAAGATACGCTTTCTTCCAGTTGCTAGGTGTGCGTCGCGCTGACACAAACCTCATCGCGACCAAGATCCTCTTGCAAGTCAGATTGTCCTCATCAGTGCCGACGCTGATACGCTACGCACGGTTTTTCTACGACAATCGTAACCAAGTCGGATTGCCTCGCCCCTCAACAAGCTTCAAAGTGATGGACAAACCGGACATGTCGCGATGAGTGATGAGCTCTACCTAGACGTGCCACTGGAGGGCATGCCCGGCCACGAGGTCAAGCTTCGTAATGTCCTGCCCTCTGACGTGCGGTTCTTGCACCAGGACTACGTCGAGCTGTATCCTGAAGACCGTTACTGGCTCTCATGGCTGCAGGATTGCCTCGGCCTCCATACTTCGCCGCGGATCGTATTAGGACGACTATCGCCCGAGATCTACTCCATGGCACGCAACCTCGAAACATCGAAGTTCCTCGCTGCTCTCCGCGCGTTCTGGCCGCAGCTTTCGGCGAGCATCTCTCCCGCCGGCATAATTGACATGTCCAACATTGAAGTCGTCTGCGAAGATGGCGTAGCATACCCTCTGGCAACCACTTCCCTGAAACGACAGAACCTAGCCTGGCTACCAGCCACACTCTCATCTTGCCTTCACTTCCTGCCACTCCCTGATCCCGATGATTTGAGCTGGAGCTTCTTAACTAGGGTCGGCGTCACTATGGAAGCAAACGCGGCCGCGTGGATCGGTATGCTCTTCCGACTCCAGGAGATGAACAGCGCAGATGAGAAGACGGTCGTCAGTGTATACCAGCAGCTTGATGCTAGGTTCAACGAGGCGGCCGATTTTATCCGGTGCGTGGATCTGGTGCTTGGCTACGTAGCTTTGCCTCATGCATAGCATTCCAGCGGATCTTTCTACCAGTATCCACTCATACTCGTACCATCAGACGGACAGAACCGTTCAGTCGCGTCGTGGACGAGCTGTTGTGACGCATACTGGGATGGACCGTCCACTCTCCGCTCCAAGTTCATCGTGAAGTCGAGGTATGCCGCCCTGGAAGACTTATTTAGTCGGAAGCTGCTACTGCAGAACGCTCCCCTTGAAGTACTTGTCGATGAACTCAGCACATTCGCTGCTGAACACGAGGGACGTCCTATAGCGGGGGACACCGTTCAGATACTGGAACAAATGCTCGTGGATATAAGCCAGTACATCGCGTGGAAGCCTGCAGCGCAATTCGCTCTCCTCGGCCTGGCCGATAGAGCGATCTTCCCCGTGCATATCCGTGGGGAAATCCGACTTCAAAGGATTGACGAGTTCTTCGTCTCGGAGAAGGGCAGCAAGAGCGTGGAGCGGTTCCGGAACTCCGTCCCCATACTGGCGTTCTCTAGTGCACAAACGCTGAGTCAACTGCGGCCAATGCTGGAGAGCAATATCTGGCCGAGTCCTCTGCGAGTGCTCGAAACGTCTCTCACAGCGAAATCGATCCCGCTCGGCCCGAAGACTCTCGACCAAGAGAATACCGACCTGTACAGCGGCAGATCTGAGTACATGGAAAAGTAAGATTTGAGCACATCTGGGCTTTCAGCAGATCTGACGCTCTCACAGATACGTACAACACATCACTCAATACTGTCCATCGGCCGGGCAGATGGAGTTTCTAGCGAAGATGAGGAGCACCTCCATCTACGTCGTCGACACAGTCATCGTCATGTGGTCCTTGGCTGGGAACACAGTCAATGTTCAGAGCGACGTCAAGGTGGCCATCGTTGAGACAGAGGACTCGGTGATCTTCTATGTTTCGAAGGCGTGCGCAGCCATGCCGCGCACCCGAGATCGCGAGATTTGCAGTCTCCTCGGCGACCGTGTGGCGATTGACAAGCTTGCCCTTCTGCAGTTCGTTTCCATGCCGTGGGACGACTTGCTGCTTTACCTGGAGGATGAAGGTGTTGACATCAGCACGTGCATCCCACAGACAACGCAGGAATCAACGTACGAGCAAGAGCAGGTCAAGGTTGAACCGACGGTATCGTATCCTGTGCCACCAGAACCACAACAGTCCCCAGAGCCGACAGTATCCCAACGGTCTCAACCCTCAGAGCCACAATACTCTCCGAATCCGGCAGCACCGCCTTTTGTGCCATCCAACTCGACAAACGCACCTGCCGAAAGACAGCGGCGGTCTGCAGACGTTCGGGATAAGAATACCGAGAAGCCGTCAGCATTCCATGCGAGCCCCAGTCGAGTGCCTGCAAGAGAGCCGGAGGTTCAGAATCAAGCCTGGCGTACACAGCCTGCATCGTATCCAACTCCGGCTCTTGCTCCAGCTCAGAACAATGCTCACCGCAGACGGGCGTCTACGCTTGACCAGCACATCTTGCAGCAGCTGGAAACGGCATCAAGTACAACATCGGTACCCTTCGCGCCTGCTGTTCCTCCGCAGAGAAGGGAGCAAAGCGCAGGGAAAGGAGAGAGTACTGGAGGCACCCCGTATCAAGAAAGTGAACGCGATCGCGCGAACGGCGTCCTTGGCGAAGTATACGTAAGTGTGCATGCTCGGACCGAATCGCGCTGTTTACATACCTGCTCACAAACATCAGGTATTCCACATGCTACAGCGCATACTAGGACCCGGCTTCACTGAGAATAATTGGACGAGCGAGTTGCGAGGTCAAGTGCCTGGCTTCTCTCCATTTAATGGACCGTCGATCGCAGACTTCCAATACAAGGACAAGGACGGCGTCCTGACCGACCTGTGGCACGGAAAGAAGCAAAGGAAATCATGGAAAGGCCGCTGGCCAACCTACCACTTCGAAGTGAAGACAACGTCCGGCGCTGCCAGCGAGCCGTTCCACATGAGCTATGCGCAGTTGCAAGCGGTACGTGGTCCGATTTCGCATCAGAAATGGTCGTGTAGTGACGCAGTCCCGGCCGTTGTGCGAACTTGAAGGCGAGACAATGCAGCATCGCTGCGCGGGCGAGTCACGGCGTACCCCAAGATGTGTACGTGATCATCCGTGTGTCGGAGATCAAGAGTGCTCAGCCTAAGCACGACATCTACCTCGATCCCCACAAGTGGTTCTACGAGGGAGGACTGGTCATCAGAAGCGACATCGAAGCGAGCCCCCCATAATTGCTGTCCTGGTCTTCTTGCATTCGATGCTACATGTAGGGGTGCGATATGAAGGTACACACAATATGATACATGGCCACGCCCCTTTCTTCGTCTTTCACATCACGGTGGAAGTTGCTGTCAACAGTCCGAAGGATCCCCCTGAATTCATGTACCCACTGGATGCACTGACTCTCGCTCGTACGTCCCCGTCCCTCAAGTATCCTTCCTTCATCCTTCTCTCGATCTCCGTGAACAGGAAGGAGCAGACCACTTGGTCGTCGACCTGCTCTGCCCGGGGACTCAGTTTGAGCATAGCGCGGATCTCCTTTGGAGCGGGAGGTTTTGCACTCTCGTCCACGCTTGACTTGTGAAATGCAGCTATGGACTGCTTGTAGTCGTCATCTTCGCAGTATAGCTTCGCAGTGGTTGTCAACGATTGGATTGGACGACGGTATATACGACTAAACTCACCTCGTATCTCTTCCACTTATACTTTCGCCCTTCCCCGTCCACGAAGGTTACGCTGCTATACTCTCGGTAAATACTTGGCTGTATCTCTTCAATCGAAGAGGCACATACTCTTTGTTGAACGGCATCTTACTCTTGCACAACCACTCGCGTACCGGGAGAGTCTGTCCCTCCCGAAAAGCGACCGTCACGGTCCCTGCGTGCAGATTCACGCCGGTCCATCGCAGCCGTGCAACCTCGACGGCTTTCAAATCGACGTCACCCTCGGATACGTGTGTCGTGAATGTGCCGTTGTCACATTCCGTATGAACGTCGTACAAGACTTGACCGGAGGAATCGGTGAGGGTCGTGTCGCGGGGACTGTCCGTGGACAGATAGAGGGTCAGCCCCTCAGACTCGGGCTGGTGTTGACGTTGCATGGCGGGCAATTGAGGCAGGTAAAACGTCACGGCGTTCTCGAAGTTGAATCTTTACCTCGAAGAAGTCAAGGTCTATAAGTATGAAGTGCCCGGACGCGGCGCAGTCGGACTCGCAACGCACATGCCCCCAACAATATGGAGCTGCCAACGTCGTACACAGCACATGTCCAACGTCGGAAACTACGTCCATTCTGCCATGACACGCCGAGCCGACGAAGTGTAGCGCCGGCGGAGTGCCGTGCATCATGACTTGAAGTTGCACTGCCTCGCAGCACTGTTAGTACTCGATGTAAGAAGACTGCCTCACACGAGGGCCGGCGTACGTGCTATGTACTTTGCATTTTTTTGTTGCTGTTGCTTTCTGTGGGTTTAATGACACCAGCGACGGGCTGAAGGCGATGCTCACTTGACGCTCCGTGCCAGGACCACATAGAAGCCTACACGCCCGGCACCAGACAAGAAATAGAGGTGTCTATAGCGGACTAGCAGTATCATCGGTATCCTCTCGTACATGACAGGTCGTTACAACATGGCCACCACCACAGCCCAATATCCCTCAGCGAGCTTAGACACAAGCAGCAGCACCCAAGATTACACTAGTTAAATATGCTACCTGGTCAGTCAAACACCACCGCCCATCCAGCACCTCACGCGAGCTTCTCGTCGATGCTGTTCGGGTCATTCGACTCGCGCGACGCGATCGTCGGCGTCGACTCGCCCTCGAGGCCCATCATCGACGTGTCGAAGCCGTGCGCCTCGAGGTACTCGCGGAACAGGCGGTCCTCCTCCTCCATGCCGTCGTGCGAGAGCGGCTTGATGAGGAAGAACGTCACGAGCGCGCTGAGGATCGCGAGGCCCGACGCGATCCAGAACGGGCCCGTGTTCCCGCGCTTGCTCTCCGAGCCGCCAAAGTCGTCCACGATGTCCTGCCAGACCCACGTGCCGATGAACGCACCGACCTTGCCCACCGCCGCGGCGACCCCGTAGAACTGCCCGCGCACCGCGGTCGGGCCGGTCTTCGCGGCGAGCATGCCGAGGCAGTTCCCGGGCCCGAACTCGCCGAAGCTGAGGAAGATGCCGTAGACGACGGCGAAGGCGGCGATGTGGTTCGTGAGCTGGTCGTAGAGACCGCTCATGATGAAGCCGATGACGGCCTGGCACAGAAGGCCGGTGATTTGGGTGTACTTCGGACCGAGGTAGTCGACGACGAATGCACCGCCGATCGTGCCCGGGATGTAGAACAAGCTGAAGGGTCCCATCAGTTACTGGTACATATGAGTAAATCACAGCACGGACTTGATCACGACGTTCCAGCCGAACACAACGCTAAGCGCGCTGGAGTTGTTCGTGATGTTATTCACGACCGTCGAGGAAAAGATACCGAACTGCACACGTCATAAGTCCTGAAGATCGACAGCAGTGTGTGTGTGTCAAGTGTGACTCACCGGATACACGATGAAGTCGTAGATGAACCACGAGATGCAGATGCCCAAGAATTCCACCCAGTACCTGCGGATAATGAGGAGGTACGGTGTCTTCGTGCGCTTCATTGAGTCCTTCTTGAACCGGGTCGGCTCCTCCATCCGCAACCGCCAGACGAAGACCGCAACGGCCGGGATGAGACCGAGACCGACCGAGATACGCCATACGGCACGGAGATGGTTCTCGCCAAAAATCCAGTAGAGTACGAGCGGGACGAACGCGGAGACGACGCAGCCAAAATCGATCATGGAGTCTGCAAAGGCGCATATAGTCATCCGTCCCTTATGCTGAACAGAGAAGAGGCAGACGTACTGGTCGCGAGCGCAAACCATCGATGCTGAGAGTTTTTGCTGATACCTGGCTCTTCCGACTGTTCTGAAGCGGCGACGGACCCGCAGGGATATTCTGCACCGACACCTATACCAATGAGGAACCGCATCGCGCAAAGCATGTCGAGCATCCCCCGCACGCTATGGTTCGCCCCACTTGACGCCGCCGAAAGGCCGGAGAAGAGAGCGACGATACCCGTTGCGAGCATCTACACGAGGCAGTGCAATCAGCCAGAGCACAACGAAACATCCGAGCGAAGGCGTTAGATGCGCGGTTCGGACTGCTGGGACTCATGCTGCGGAGACGCGCCGGCTCGCGACGCTAGCTTCGGAGTGACGTTTGCAGGCAAGGCGCCTCGCCAAACGTCTCCGCAGATACAAAATTCCGCTCCATTTACCGGGTCAGCAGGGGAGGTAAGTCAGCAGGCAATGACGCTGCAAACACACCTCTCCTCCCAGATGCCGGCAAGCAGACACAGAGGTTCTGAGATGCGTGGTGCGTTGGACGAGACGTGGGATCAAGAAGTGTCGTTGTATGCGTCGAGCCTCTGCACGTTGTGGATGGTGGAGAGCAAAGTACTCACCATACCGAACTTTCGACTGATCTTGTCAGAGACGTAGCCGAATATGAGCATGCCGACGACGGTGCCGGCGAAGGCAAGGGACGTGAGGGTATTGCTGTAGACCTTATCGACCTGCTCCGGGCCATAGATCCGCTTGAGGATGGTATTCACTGTGAATCGTGAAAAGACTGAGTATATGCGCGGGAAAGGAGGACGGGCACACTCACCGCTCCCAATGATGTTGTTAGCATAACCTGCCAATGAGCCCTGTCAACTTCCTGCATCGTCAGACATGGACAAACAAAGTACCGTCAGAGAACAAGGCGGTCCCGCAACTGGCATACGATGTCAATGTCGTTGTATGTGGCTGCGAAGAGCGAGCACGTACGCAAAGATGAGGGAGACCTGGCTGAGGCCGACGCGTTTCTTGCCGGTGGAAGCCATTGCTCAAGTCGACGCTCACAGTGAAGGGAGGTAGACGAGACGGGGACGGTAGGGCGTGCGGGACGAGCATCATCGCGCTGATATACAGTTTGCGGGGAGAGCGAGCACCATGCTCCGGCGAATTCTGCTATCTTTTTCTCCCTGATGGCCCTGGGTTATGTCCATATTCGGCTTATCTCCCGGCGCACGTTCGTCCTCCTCCCAAACTGTGGCCCCGCTCCAGACAGAACTCTGTCCGGCCACATCACCGCCCACCGAATCCCTGCCGGCTCGTCTGCCCTGCATAGCCTTCTCTCGCCCCGGTGCGCCAACGTTCGTGCGCTCAGACTGGCGGTCGACGACGGCGCTGGGTCTTGCTGGATGCGGACTGCTGTGCTGTGGCAGTCCGGCTGGCGTCGTCCATGTGGAACGCAAAGTGGACCTGATAGGTCGGATCTGGGGGCAGATGGGCGCCCATGTACGATCCAGATCGGTGATCTCGCCGACTCATTTTTGAGCAAGTTTCCGAGATGGTCAATAAGTTCATCTGAGCTCCTCCTGGCGCAGGCAGCATCCACGTACATGGCTGAAAAAAGGCTGTGTTTTTATCGTGTATGTGGTGCCTGGACCAACATGGCGCAGGTGGTACTCATCGACTTTGTTTATGAGATCGCACTGCCGATCGACGCGATCGAGCTTGACATTGTCCGACCTGGTCCCGACGCTCAGGGGTCCGTGCGCATGTACAGTCCTTCCTTTTATGCTCTCCTATGATTCCACCACCGACCGAAACACTCGGCGCACACTTTCTATGCAAAATCTGGAAGTCCCGGGCCTCCCTTCGCGCGCAGTAAGCCGACGTCATCGACCAGCGAGCGACTCGCCCGCGGCACTCGCCCACAGAGATCCGGATGCGGTGGGACCTAGATCATTTTGACTTCAGCCCATGCTTCTTGCATCGACCAGGGCAGCTTCCTCGCCCTTTGCTTAAGCTTACAACCGCCGCGGTACACGTTGCGGACTCGTAGGATCTGCCAGTGTCTGTCAGCCTGTTCCGTTCCTAAGTTTGTCTTCTTTCATTTATGCACGGGCTTCCGCTGCCAGCAATCTGCCGACCGCGCTCAGAGGATGTCTAACTGTATTTGCGCGCCTGGCGCGTGCGGGTAGGTTTGCGCGCACGTTCGTCGAGTGTGGTACCCGCCATACGACACTGGCGACTCGCCAGAGTTCTGCGTGAGTGCTTCTCTGACGAGGAGAATGAACCCATGGGACTGGCCACCGGCAGCAGGTGTACACTGTACAGCATGTGGTACCTCTCAATATCCAACCGCTCGCTTGGGCAATGACTGCCCATACATAGGGCTTGACATTCTCGCTTCTATTCGGTGCACGTAGAACTCACGCTGCAGCCGTAGTTGCGCCTGCTCTGGGTGCGGTCAACTCAGTCGCCCGCGAACACGGTGTTACAAGTCGCCATATTACGTACATTTTCATTTCCTTTTACTTGTTATCCCTAACCACCTCACGTGCATGAGGACCGGTTATGTACTATACCGCACCCGGACTATCATATGATAGCTGAACCTTGCTGACTCGTTTCTTCGTCATGATTACCACTCTCTTCGTCAGCGATGACATATCCTGACTCATGCTTACTATACGTCTTGACTCAGACTCGTTCACTTGTATACTGTAGCGAACCCCACAACCCGGATGGGGGTGTGACGTGTGACAGGCTGTACACGATCCGGCGCAGCGGCGGGGACGCGTGTGACGTGTGATGCGCCCCCCGGATGGCGGTCCTGTCGCTGTGCCCGCCGCAGGCGCCGCTCCTAGCGCCTAGCGACAGTGTTGGCGCCGGCGGCGGGGTCGGGTGTGACGAGTAACATGACATCCTCGCCGCGGCGGGCGGCGGGCTTGTGACGCGTGACATCCGGGTTGTAGGGTTCGCTACAGTATATACCTGTACAATAGAGGTCGGACTCTTCAGTTCGACCTGGTTAGCAATCGACGCTAGCTTTCTCATACCGCTACCGCTTCGGAACTCGACTAGGACGAAGGGACTTGCGTCCTTCCTAGGTCTAAGATACAGAACTCTTCTTTGAAGTTAGTAACCTTGCAAGCTTGTGGCTTGTAGTGTTCCACTCGCCTAGCTTCGCGTAACATAAGGTCGAACTCTTCTTCCATCTCCACCTTCTCAGGTGTAGAGAACCCAACCTCCCGAACGGGCTCGAATCCTCGAGTCCGCCGAAACCACCATCACGCGCCATCCGATCCTCGACCCTGGCCGACTCAACTTGCCAGGCCTAGGCGCAGACGAAACCCTTTTCTGGGACGACGAACTCCTCCGATTTGATATCACCGCGAAAGGACGTACCGAACCCGTCCACACCGAATTCTCGAACAAACACCAGACATACGTTTGGACGAACTTTCGATCCAACGTCGACGACGAAAAGAGAACTACCCAGTTCTTTTTGAAACAACCACGATTCGCGAAAGCGAAAGCCCATATCGCTGGGTTGAAACGATCCCTCTCCCGAACCCCGTCCCTCGAACTTGAACCATCGACTTCCACCCGTACGCTTGAGAAACGTCCGGAACGAACTCCCGCACCGATCGAACCCATATCGTTGACTCCTGTCGACGAAGAAACCAGAACCGAACCCGACACCTTTCCCTATCGTTTTCCATCACCCGAACCACCGATGTCCGTCTCTTCTGCAGAGTTCCAGGCTCTGAAGCAGGAGCTTCTGGAGCTGAAGGCCCGAAGTGTAGAGCGAGGAGAAAAACTTGAGGTCGCTAGTCCAGAAGCCTTCAAAGGCGATCCTCTTGACTTGACTCGCTTCCTCAACGACATCGAGAACTACTTCGCAGCCACAAAGAATACCAACACTGATGACCAACGAAAGATCGCTTACGCGGTCTCCAAGCTCGACGGGAAGGCCAAAGGATGGCGCACTCTGTTCTACGAGGAACAGAATGAGAAGCGTGCAAGCAACCAGGTCATGTACCCGACCTGGAAGGACTTCGTAACCGCTCTCACGTCGTCATTCCCCGTCTACGAGCACCTCGACAAAGCCATCACCGACTTCGACAATCTCACCCAAGGAAAGATGTCGACGCACGAGTTCGTACACAAATTCAAGACGGCCGCGGCACGAGCCAAGTTCCGGGATGCTACCGGAACAGGAGCTACCAGGGTTGCAAACGACTACAACCTACTCTCCAACCGTTTCCGCCGTGCGGTCCGACCCGAGCTACTTCGAAAGATGCTCGGAACCGACAGGACGATGGAGAAAATGTCGGACTGGTATGACGTCGCCCAGAAACACGCCTCCTACGGCGAGTATGTCGACCGACCCCATGGTGGACAGGCACCCAGGACGAGTGGCCGACTCGACGAACCCATGGACATCGACGCTACCACGTCCAACCGCATGTCCCAGGCGGACCGAGACCGACACATGAAGGAAGGCCTTTGCTTCGTGTGCCACCAGAAGGGTCACCGCTCCATTGACCACCGCAATGGCAAGGTACCACAGCCAGTCGCTTATCGTCCAGCACAATACACCGCACCTCCCCCGGCCCCGCGATCAAAGACGATCCGCGAGCTCTTCGCAGAACTGAAGGCCGAGGAGAAGCAGTCTGTCTTCGAACAGCTCGGAGCGGATTTTTAGGAGGGTTCCACGACTCAGCGCAGTGCGAACCCACGAACTTTACCGTCTCGCATGTACAATACGGAGTAGAAGAATCAGAATCTTTGCACCTACCCGTATTCGTGAGAGGAAAAGACGCCGACACCGAAGTGAATGCTCTTGTGGACAGTGGAGCCATGGCAGTATTCATACATCCCCGCCTAGTCATCCGACTACGACTAGGAACCAAACGACTACGACGACCGATCCCCGTTTTTAACGTAGACGGGACCCCTAACCAAGTCAAAACCATAGAAGAAAAAGTCTTCCTACGCTACCGATGGAACGACACCATGCGTGTTACCACCGCATATGTCGCCAGCATCGGCAAGCAGGACTTAATCCTTGGTTACAACTGGTTGAAGAGGGAGAACCCACGTATTGACTGGAAGAGAAGCATCTTCCGATTCCCCGACCCACCAACGCAAGCCCAGCTACAGCAAGCTGAGCCTGCTATTCGTACCATCAAAACAGAACCCCTGCACGCCACGATAGAAGAAATTCCCGATCCAGAATTCGAACGCGAAACTATTCCTGACACCGCTCCCAAGACTATAGAAGAGGACTTCAACCCAGAAGTTGAACTTCGAGCCATGATGACGGACGTAGCAAATGACGAAGTGCTGATGTCCTACGTCAAAGGAGAACCCATGGTATACATGACGACATCACAGGAAGTTCCCCTCACCCAGGAACATGTTCAAGACATCGGAACATCCTCCCCGCACTCCGTCAATCGATTCATCCGCACCACGACTGGAAGGATCCTCCCTGCCGCGTTTTCTATTGGTCACGTAACTACCGCTACGGAGCTAGCAGCCGCCAGTCACAAGGACGATAAACCGAAGGAACTGAAGGAAATGGTACCCGAATACCTTCATGAGTTCCTATCGGTCTTTGACAAAGGCACGGCAGCTCGACTCCCTGAGCACACGGAATATGACCACGAGATCAACCTGAAACCGGATTTCACGGAGCTCAAAACGCAGATCTATCCTCTGAATCCAGCGCAACGGATAGAACTTGATAAGTTCATCAAGGAAAACGAGTCCAAAGGGTATATCCGACCGTCTAAATCTCCTATGGCAAGCCCATTCTTCTTCGTTGCGAAGAAGGATGGCACTTGGAGACCCTGTCAGGACTACCGGAAGCTGAACGAAAACACGGTCAAGGATCGCTATCCCCTCCCCCTTATCTCAGATCTCATGGACAAATTCAAGCACGCAAAGATCTTTACCAAGATGGATCTTCGCGCTGGCTACAACAACGTCCGTGTAAAAGAGGGAGACGAATGGAAAGCTGCATTCGCAGTACCCGGTACAGATGGCGGTCCTCCTCGACTCTTCGAACCAACGGTCATGTTCTTTGGTCTATGCAACTCGCCGTCCACCTTCCAGCGAATGATGAATGTCATCTTCGCCGACATGCTTGAAGAAGGTTGGATGGTGATTTATATGGACGACATCCTCATCTACTCGGCCAACCTCGACGACCACCATGAACGAACACGACGAGTCATTGCACGCTTGAAGGAACACGACCTCTATCTCAAACCCGAGAAATGTTTCTTCGACGTAGAAGAAGTGGAATTCTTAGGCATGATCATCCGACCCGGACATATAGGCATGGACCCGATCAAAGTTAACGGCATCACGCACTGGCCTGTCCCAACATGTGTCAAACATGTACGATCCTTCGTCGGATTCGCCAACTTTTATAGGAAGTTTATCCACCACTTCTCTGACCGAGTA